CTGCCTTACTCTCACCTCACTCTTTCACGGAAGAGAGTTGCCTGCCTGCATCGACTCGTCGATGTACCCTGCTCCCTACCTTACCTGTCGCATAGATAGCTGGACTCGAGCTCCCCATTACCTTCGGATGCAGACCTCACCTTAGCAGTGCGTAACTCGCGTCGATCCTATCTCTCTCCTTGTTTCCCGTTCGGAATCCCGAGCTACACGTGTCTCCCGGTCCTCCAAACCTAAGCTCAAAATGGGCCGATGCCGAGTACGGTGATTGTTTGGACGACGACGGGACTTTAACACGCCGAGCCAACAAAGTAGCAAGACAAGGGAGAGAAGACTTTGAAGTAACCTAGACTGTCGCCATCAATCCTCCACCGCCGAATCCCCGTCCATGTAGTCAAGGCAGGTAAACCAACGTTGTCAGGTCATACACCCATCACAATGTGTCCTCCACGTGCCCCCCAACCCTGGGCCGGAGCATGAACTGAAATGAAGCAACTGCGATTGGTCCGCTCTTCATCAATTCAACAGTGCACACGGTCCCCTTCTGTCGGATAGTGTCCTCCTCTACGCCAGCGAGTGAGGTTGCATTGCAGCCCATCCCCCATCAACCGGCGAGGTTCATATCATGTGATTGCCACGATCTGACACCCTTTGTCAAACACGCGCCAGTCCCAGCTTGACAACCTTCCATAGTGCTTCTTTTCACCTTCGCAACGTCTCGCCACAAACTTAACCCATCTACTGCGCAGAGATAAACCCTATTCTTGGACGACGGGCTCGCCGAGCCTTGAGAGTTCAGGCGAGACGGTCGGCTTTTTTGGCCTTCACAGCGCGAGATGGGCAGAGTAGATGCCCCATTGCCGGCTCCGATAGGCTGGATGTGTTGCGTCGGAGGCAAGCAGAAGGTAACGAAACACCAATAACGTGGGCTTGGAGCAACATTTGCATTGACGATGAACATGGGCTTTTCTGGTCGAGGTGCCGATTGGAGACTGCAACCCCCCCCTCTTCAAATGCTTGTTCAGACGGTTGGCTTGCGGCTTGCTGTCCGTCCATCTCGCCCACGAAGTGCCACGTCCTCGCGTTGTCGGCTGGGGCTGCAACTGCATTGTTTGGGGATGTGCCATCTTTTCATCTTTGATTGTTTCGCTTCCATGCAGCGACGAACTCCGGTACGATACCCATGTCGAATCAGACACAAGGGGCTCTTTTCTCAAAGACCTGCTTCCACCCGCCGACCGTTGCCTTCTTTTCTTCGGACTTCCCCCCAGGATATCTACGGATATCCCGAACCCATCATGTGCGACTTGACGTCTGACCCCAGCAACAGAGCCCGGGTCCCGGGCCGGCATCGGAGCAGTTGATGAAGGGAAAAAAGCGGATGGAAAGCCTAGGTTCACTGGCGAGGAGGAGCAGCGACGGATGACGGAAGATGGGACGGACGAGACCAGCAAGGTGCCTGGCTTGGCCTCCCTAGTCTCTCCTCCTCTTCCGCATCTCGACCTTATCTTATTTGCTCATGCCCATGCCCATGCCCATGCCCATGCCCATGCCCATGCCCCCAGTCTGTATTTTACCGCCGGAAGAGCAATGATGTGCTCTTGGGAGTCGAGGAGCGCAAGGTTACGGATACGGGCAGATAGTGAGAGTGAGTGCGAGAGTGAAAAAGAGAGAAAGGGTCAGGATGGCTGGAGTCTGCTCGGCGCATTTGGGTGGGCGAAAACGAGGTAACAGCGTTGGGTACCCATGTCCAAGTTGGCTTGCAGCTGGACTGTGAGACTTGAGAGAGCGTGAGTGAGGTGTGGTTTTGGCCCCCCACCCTCCGGTCAGTTCTGAAAGGGGTGAAGAGTGTGTCAAAGCACATCTTCGCATTTACCCCCAGTCTATTGCGCCAGTGGGCTACTGGATAAGCCTGCCCATGCTGCCGCCAGTGTTCAAGCCTGGGGTTCAATTCAAGAGGTCGACGTTGAGGTCGAGCGTCGACGGGCAGGTGACGGTGGGAAAGCAGAAAGTACGTACCTCCAGCCTAAGGCATCAGCGGGCGTACCGTACCGTCCCTTACCGTAAAAGGAACAGAAGGCGGGAAACCGCCTCACCTCACGGAAAATTCCATTGTTGGCGCTAGAACAACTCTCCTGCACACCGGGGCTGCGCCGTTTGCTGCCACACCCAGGATGCTAGCCTGCCGCTTGGGTACCTTGACTGCCACGACGGTGCGCTTGTTCTCGCCTGTTCGGCGGGTTTTCCACGCCGTAGGTTCAAGGCACGCCGGCTCCCATACGTTCATGATACAGGACGCCAACCTACGATGGATATGGAGGCTAGCCAACCCCTCAACCTTTGACTCTACATATCCGTGCTTTGCTGAGCGGAGCAACGCACTGCAACACGGATAAGGTGCACCTCGATCCGTCAGGAGACGACATACAGTCCGTGCCTCTCCTCGTCGACTCCATCGAACTGACCCATTCATCCTTGATCATTGATGGCACCCAGCCTTTCGAGAGTCTGCAGTCTGGTGTACCTGCTCGCCCACCCGTACCGGTTTAACTGTCGCGCTTCGCACTTCGCCTATTATCAACAGGGCAAGGCGCCTTGAGATCCCCCCTCCCACACGCCTTAGTGTCTAAGGAAAAAGAACGCTTTGCCTTACAAGGCCGACAGCATCATGGAAGGGACCAGGGGACGGGGACCTGTCAGTCTGTCACAGATGCCCTGCAAGCGCATAAACCCCTTGGCAAACCCAATTCAATTCCAAAAACCTCAGCCCGTTTTTACCGCAAGAGGAAACATGGCGCTTGGCAAGGTAAGGCACGGGTAAGGAGAGTTAACCGGCCGGTAAATTTGCAACTGGACCAAGTGGGCAAGGCCCAAGACCAGGACTCCAGAAGGGACTCATCTTGACACAAGTGTACCTATGTGGGACACCGATCTTCAAACCACTGGCAGTTACTCGGCACTTTCCGGCCCATCGCCCGGCTCGCTACTCTTCGGGGCAGTGAAGTCCGGCGCTTTTACATCATTGCAGCGACGCCGGATGCTGAAAGCCTCCGGTGCAGCAGCGAGTGCAGAGTGAGACCCCAGGGGCTTGGCCACATCCCAGCCCTGGTCCTGGCAACCCAAGATGCTTGAGTCCCAGCCTCTAGAAGGCCACGACCAGCTCTCCCAGTTCGCAGCTCCCCAGTCCTAGCCACAGAGCAGCAAGGCGCTGTGCTGGAACTCAATTGGATTGGCTAAAATCCTCAATGCATGCTTTAGGATCCCGCGTTCTCTGCCTGCTCCTCGGACCTTGACCCCCCGCAATCCTCGACCCAAGTAGCAGACCGTGACAGAACAGTAACAGTAACAACTGCACATCACACGAACCGACGCAGGCGCAGCAGGCGCAGCCACGACGACATCACATTCAGGCGTAGAAAGGTGACTTACCCTGATCAATGCTCATGATCCAGGCTCCCCTCTAGGTTCAAAGCCGGATGGCGCTACTCCACCAACAGCAGTGGTAAGGCAAGGTAGCTTGCAGTAGCCGCTGCTACTTGGCGACGTCGAGGCCAAAGGCAGACAGCGTATCTGCAGAAAGCGTCCATCCGTATAAACTTACTGCATTCTCTCGGCAGGCAGTTCCAGGCGGAGGCGGAGCCGGGGGGGCTCAGGATCGAATGAATGTCAATCCCCAGTAGAGCTCCAAAGGGGAAAAGCTCACCTGAAGCTGCGCAGCCTTCACTTCACCCACATCACACATCACCCTGTGAGCTTCCAGAGTACCTTGCAGCGGTCTCCGTTTTATCCACGGATACGGATACAGAGTCTCCATTCCATGCTCATATTCCTTACCCATCCCGGAGCAGCACCACGTCGCCCAGCACCGAAAGGCAAACGGTCCGTCACAAAACTTGAACCGTTGTCGTCGGGTCGGGTCAGCTCGACCTCTCCCCCGGTTTTCAGCGTTGCATTTTGCCCATCTCCTGTTGCGGGACGAAGTGGGCGACGCGCCAACCCTCCGGCAATATCCTCAACTCTCACCTCATTACGATCAAGGGGCCCCGGAAGTGGATTGAACGGTGACGGGGACCAGAAAACCCAAATAAAGCAGCTGTCAGCGGAACGCATCAAACAAGACGGCAAAAAGAAACCTTGTCCTTCTGGTAGGGAGACGGGCGAATGGTCCGCCCGCGTCAGGCGTCCACTCTTCCCGAGCCCACGGGGCGTCATAGTGCCGTTGAACTCTGATGCATCGGTGCATCCCCGGTTCGTACATGGTCAGGCTCAATAACGTCGGGCCTGTCCCGGCCTTGTCTTCAGCGCTTGCGGATACCGTTTTACCATGCACTCAGTCCGCCAGCCATCACAAACCACGACTGCCTGGCGGCTTGCGGCCGCTGAAGGAGTTTCCAACTGTACCTGCAGCCAGCCCTCTAGTGATCTTATCCCGGCAGAGAGCAGTCCGTGCCTGAGGTTGTCCACGTCGGGCGCACAGCACATGCTTCCAGGCGACCTTAGCTCTCCCGAGCGGACAAAACCCGCAAGCCAAGCCTCGAATCAGGACAAGGGCCCTTGCGGAAAACGGTACGTATCCCGGCTGTCCATCTTACCATCACGCCGTCTCCCTGCGACAGGCGACTTGCGACTCCTCCTTGCCGCCGACGGTTCGCTGCTGGGTTAATCTATCCCTAGCGCGTTCGTGTACATCACTTACGTATTCACAGAAGCATGCCTTGGAACATGCCAAACTCTAACCGACTGCTCATCAGGTTTTCGATCGTCTGATGCATCCCGTACGGATACCGATGCGCAAACTACGGGTACACAAGCATCGTACGTGCGAGAGAGGGGGCGCCCGTGTATTGTACGCAGACCCATCGCACCATGTCTCGACTATTGCGACGCGGAGGGAGGAGTCTTTGAACAGTTCGCGGGACGCGCCTAGCCAGCTAGCGAGGCCTAAGTCAAGTCTTGATGCGAGACCCTCCAAGACACCAGATCTCGACATTGCCCAAATGACGCTACTCTCCATCCGTCCCCGTCCGCCGCTCGACGAGGGATCGGCCAAGGCGGCGACGGTCAAACGATCTCTCTAGGGCAGAAGCTGTGGAGAGGTGGATCGCGGCCCAGAGGCCATTGCCAGACGCTGCCAACCAGTCAATCGCACTTTGCTTAACCAACTTGTCTTTGCCTCTCCGGAGTCCGGACCTCTGGTCTGCGGACACCATGAGACCCAGACCCCAGAGTCTGAGGCGTCCAACGAACTGGTAACTGGGCTCCTCTTCAGATGGATCCCGCCCATAGCCTATGTATTGGTATGGCGCCTCTCCATTCTTCCTCTTCTTCCCCGCCTCCATCTCGTTCTCGTTCTGCCATCTGCGAGCACCGCATGGGCTCTGACATGCACGCGCATTTAGCGGGACGCATTGGTGGTTAAACAAGATCGAGTGGCACCCTCGTGGCTCGTGGCCTCCAGAACACAAAGTCCAACGGGGTCAACGATGGGGCCTGACCAAAGAGAAGGACACGCCAGTCCAGGAATGGCGGTCAATTCGTCGTCGTTACCACCTTGGGTTGATTGATTGCCCCTAAGGCTCCGCAGCATCTCGACTCTCTGCTGGGACAATCCACCTTACGCAAGTTGCAATGGAGACAGCAAATGGAACACTGGAGCACGCCCAGATATGGAGGGCCCAGGATGTGGTGCGAGAGAGGCTTAACTCGTCAAAGTGGAGGTGGCATTTCTACAGGTGTATCCACACAACGTCACGGCATATCCCATGTCATTCCTCTCCTCAGCATTCGAGTCCAAAACACACTCACCTCACACTTCACTCCTTTTGTGCCAATTCCCACAATACAAGGGCGGAACACGTCAAGGGGTTAAGGGAGGGGGAGATGGGGTGTCAATGGGATGACCCATATTCAGATCGGCGTTGACGAGGCACTCCTGGGTCAGCATCACCCTTCTCCAGGTGTGCGCGGGCGCGCAAGCGTGTGCGCAGCATCCGACCACTGCCCTCTCTCTTGTTTCTTCATTCTTGAACAGTCGCATGTTTGCTCTCAAATTAGAATAAGAATGCTGCTAGTGTAGCAGATAACAACCCGCCGATGAACAGCCCGACGCCCATCCCCTGGTCACCAATGCCACTTGGACCAACGGCCAGTGGTTGGTTGGCTTCCTGGTGGTCTGCCTACTAAGTGGGAGGGGTTCCTGTCGCTTCCTGCCCATCGGCTATCCCATCGCTTAAGACAGCAGTGGCAGGCATTGCGCCTAAAAGACCCATACCCGAGACGAATGAGAGGGAAGCGAGGAGTGAGGCTCTGGGCCTTCTCTTGGTCATTGTCTTAGGTATTGTAGCTTTTTGTTTATTGGTTTTCATTATTATTCTTTTGATATGGGGACCGCAGCCAGGGAATCGGGGACGGTTGCACAATTTTGGGAAACTGTACGGCTGATTACAGCAATTGACCGATTTATTAGCTGACAAGGGACCACATAGCTCTACTCCACCTTTCTCTCTCTCTCTCTCTCCCTCTGCCTTCCTCTCTCTCTCTCTCTCTTTCTCTGCCTTCCTCTCTCTCTCTCTCTTTCCTGTCTCCCTCTGACTGTCTCTACTCTTTTCGTCTCCCCACAGTTACTAAGTGGGATGACAGCTGCTCTCTTCATACCCCGGTTCCCATTTTCCCTGTCCCATTTGGACGTGAAGGGGAGGGAAGGGGGTCCGAGCAACATCGGCGGTGACGGGCAGGCGGGTGATGCACACTGCGACCTTCTCTTCCCAGTTACTCGAGACGACGCACTCGTTTGAGGCATAGCCTGCTGGCTCTCTGCCTTGCCCTGGGCGTCGCTATCGCTCTGCCGAGTGGATACACCTGATTTCTTTTCACGTTACATTTGGATACTGAGTAAAGGGAGATTATGGCGGGGGAGATTGGAGGCAGAACACGAGGCAGGCAAAGCACGCCGAAGGATTGCGTCGAGTGTCACCTAGGGCAGAACATGAGGCAACTAGATTGATTGAACGACAACGAGGGCCGCAGGAGACTGAGGAAGGCAGAGAGAGAGAGACAGGGTGGACGTTTACGCGGTATGTGCGTCTACCAAGCGGCAAGGGCGCCTCCCCTTGTCTTGGACCCACGTCTCTCCGCCTAGACCTCTGCCTCTTTCTCTCTCTGTCTCTCTCTCTCTCACTCACACACACACACACACACACACACACACACACACACACTCACTCCGTTCCTGGCTGTCCCTGTCTGTACCAATTTATTTCTTTATTGTTTATTTCTTGTATGTGTCTTGCCCTTGTCTTGTCTGATGGACGATGATCTCCGGTCACTTTTCCCTCACTTCCACTTGTCTTGTCGGACGGTCTGTTCTTATGTCCAGTGGCTCAGCCTGCCTGCGCTGGACCCCTGCTCCGCTGTTGTGTCTTCGGTCCGGCTCGGCTGCGCAGCAATTGAGGTGTGTGTGTGTGTGTGTGCGTGGCTCTCCCCTGGCTGGCTGTCCCATCTTCTAGACGACATGCCGGCAGAAGACGGTTTGACTCGGGTGCCGTGGTTGGATCACCTCGTCTCTTCCCTGGTCGGGCCAGATCCAGAAAAGACACTTCCCGTCGTCTTCTCCATCGCAGGATTCTTTGCTTCCTGCTTGCTGCTGCTGGTCCCGGATCTTGTATCTTGCATCTTGAAAGTCTGACAAGGAACTCGACTCACGCGAATCCTACGCTCTCAGGTTCCCTGACAACGTCATGTCGCGTCAAAGAAACTCGAGGAGTGCAGCTGGTGCCTACTTGCGTAATGGAGGGTGTTGGGGTGGGTATTTGTCTGAGGTTTTTTGGAACCCTTTAACATCCCAGCAACAGGGGGAAGGGGGGGGAAGCATAGAGTTTACAGCAGTTGTGCCGTCTCTTCCAAAGTTGTCTTAGTATCCTTGGTATGGAAACCTCGACTGTAGTGTCTGTCAACCTGCCCGTCTCTTGTTGAAAGCGAGAAAAGCGCGACTCGACACAACTGATCGGCAGTCCCAATGCTGTCATAGTCTGTCCTCCGCCAATGTCCCCTCCAAGTCTCCCTCCCTCTCAGACAACTCAAGTCGTCTGAACGAAGCCATATGCCAACTACTTGTTTGCGCATAACGTAGCAACCAAAAGTCTGCTCGCTGATCACGACTCAATAAAAAGCTTGTTCTTGAAATGTTCGTCAAATTTTTTGGTTCTGCGTGCCTGGACAGGTTTCCCCCTTCGCCGGCCACGTAACTATGGTTAAACATCAAAGTCCATAATCACATTCTTTTAGTCCCATCCCAGAATGTGTTGTGTGTATCATCCCCCTCTCTCCTAAAGATTCTAAAACCGCCCAATGGTTTGTTGTGCCCAGAATAGATGACGAAAAGTAAAAAATAAAAGAGAAAGAAAAACCTCCCAAATACCTGTACAGCGCCTCTCTTTCTCCAGGTTTCCCAGTAAATCGAACGTAAAAACAAGAAACAATCGTAATTGAGTTTTGAGTGCAAGAATCCTCCAACCTGATTCCCATGCACCAGTGTATGTTGATCAAAAAGAAGAAGAAAAACAGAGAAGTCGTGAAAAAGAAAAAGACCCAGCCGACGTGCTCCTCCGACCGCCCGTGAAATGCCTTGACGATGAACCAACCCGTTGTTTTTATCTACTACAAAGACCATCCAGGTAAAGTGTGTGGTTGTGTGTTGGGTGAATTTTTTTCCAAGAGGTCCCATCCCATTCCAGCTAGAATGAAACTCCGTTTCGCAACAAGGGGGGGGGGGGATGTAAGAACGAAAAGAGCCAAGAAACGAAACGGAAGGTTCGGGGTTTGAGTAATATAAACAAGTAGAGCAAAACCGCCCTCAAGATCCTTCAACGGCAACACAGCCACGAAGTTCAGGGTAGCGTCGAACAAAGTTCTCATTGAGGCGCCAGTTTTCGATACGCATTGCGTGGGCCGTGAACGTGTCGCTCAGCCACATCTCTCCGGATTGCGGGTCGACTACCAGTGCGTCAATAGGTCGGCACGGCCAGTTGATGAATCTTAGGCTGGCCGAGTAGACGGACTGAAACTCTTCATTGGCGTACACCTCTTGCCGCTCGATAAGTGCAGTACGCAGAGGAGCCCAGAGTATGAGGTCGATCCACTGAGGATGCGGAATGCTGGTTTGGCAAGGCTTGGGCGTGATTTCCGGCATAATGGCGGCATACGCCTCACGTGTTGGGTGTACCAGCCAGGCGACAGTCCTTTGAGTGACGGCGAAGACTGCGAGACACTCAATGACGTTTGTGACGCCCGCCTTATTGACGAGAGCGGTGATTAGCTCGGCGATGGGGTGGTTAACACCTGGCCCCGTGACCCTTGTGGAAGCGGCTCGGTCAAGGTCGGCTAGCTGGCACCGTGGGGGTTCTGTTGTGGGCGAGGCCGGGTGATACTCGAGGAAATTCTTCACGTTGACCCTAGTAGGCCGTAGGAGCGTGTCGATGGATTTCAGTTGGGCCAGTCGGCGGCAGTCCTGTACGAAGCCGACAATGAGCTGGTCGATTCGACATGTGGGCGGGACGATGAGCGTCGGAATCTCCCAGAGGATGGTGCCGGGCTGACGGATCAGTGAGCCGACGGTTGTTGATAGTACACTGGAGTTGGGTACGAGTTCCACGACTGCTGGTGATGAAGATACGATTGATGATGATGAGACATGGGCACCTGTTGGTGGTGAGCCATTGAGTGGTTGTGAGGATATCCAGCGTCTAGGAACTGAGTGGTTAGCGTCTCAGAATTGCGTTGCAACCCAACCACCGCATGCAGGGGAGACCACCCACCAGAGTCAACTTCGTCGTAGTCCATCTTGGCCGGGATGCTTCGAGCGTCCATCATAGGCGCGGGGACGCTCGTGGGGATGTAGCCAGCGCCGTACTCGTCCGTGTTGGCGGAAGATGACGGGCTGGAGACAGTGGAGGGCACGGAAACGGGGATGCCTGGACCCCATGACTCTGATGCATCCGGCATAGGCACGTATGAGGAGCCGAGTTCTTGCATCACGTTGTAATCACCGTTGGAAGGGAACGGCGAAGATCGAGGGCTTGGGACGGCCCCGCTGATGGAACTGAGGTTGTCGTCATATACTGGAGCCGAGTCAGCACGAACAAGAGGCAACCACGCAGAAGACGAGGCGACTGAGGAGGCAGCCGTACCTGAGTTTGGGTAGGACTGCCCGTTGGGAACGCCCATGCTCTCACGGAGCTTGAACAGTTCCTCTTCAAGGGCCTTGTTCTTGCGTAAAAGCTCCTGGACGGTCTGACTCTGATCGCGGCCACGTTCGCTCTTGAGCTCTTCGAGCTCTCGCTCGAGTCTCTCGATGTGCTCCTTTGTCCTGGCTCTGATGGCCCGCTGGGCTTCTCTGTCATTGGCACGTTTGCGAGCCAGTTGGGAAGGCGTCAAGGTTGAGACGCTTCTGGTACCTGTCGAGGGGCGGACCAAGTCAACATACTGTCCATACATGAAGCAACGAGGGGGAGGAAGGGTGGTGTTGGGGGATGGAGGAGGATGGCAAAGCAGGGAGCGTTCAAGGCGGCGGCGGCGACAACGACAAAGGCATATTGTAGTATACGTCGTCGTCGTCGTCGACGCCTCCATCCCTCGAGGAGTGAAGTTGATAATGCGTACCCTTGCGCTTGGTGGGCTTCGTGGGCTCTGCGGAAGCTGATCGCGTCATGTTGTCGGCGGCGTACTTGTCGTGCTGTGCAACAACGGGAGTGGTGACAGGTCTTGTTCGAGTGTTGGCAACGGCAGTATGGGCCATACTCTGGAAAAGAAGACTGGAGGAGAGCGAAGAGAATATATTGGGCGACGAGTTGTAGTTGTTGTTATTGTTGTTCGTGTTACGAAGGCAGGGATCGAATGAAGAGGATCAACTGGCAGCGCATCTGGAGTTATAAGATCTATTGACGACAAGAGTAGACGCAAGAACAGGGCCCCCCAATGCCGGCGGCAAAGTAGTTTCAGGGCAGCTGGGAGCCAAGAGGGGGGTATCAGTACGACGGTACGTACACTAGAGGGAACATGGGTCTAGGGGAATGAGTGTGCACTAGGACGAAAAGAATGGCCAGTGACTTTCGCAAAGTGAGGATGAAGAGGCAGGAGGTTGTGGAGGGTTCAACGAGAGTACGTACCGGACAGGTCCAAGGGGACTTGCACATAAGGTAGGCAAGTCGAGAGCAGGGGTTCGAGGGATCGCTGCATCCGGGCTAGTGTACTGGAAAGCAGCCCAGTTGTGAGGGTAAGGACGTGGGCCACTGTGTTCTGGTACTGACCGGAGGTAGTGTAGGGTAGCAAGGGGGTGAGAAGGCAGAGGGCAACAGAGCAGGGCAGCGGTACGACAGGCACACCCCGTGCTCGAGCACTTTCGGCTGGGAGAAGGGTCAAGTATCGGTGAAGAGACAGAAAGAGAGAGAGAGAGAGAGCGAGAGAGACGTAACTTGGCACATGACAGTTGATGTTAGGCGCAGACATGGCGTAAATTGCTAACCCACTTCCAGAACAACTTACAGATCTCTCAAGGATGGACTGGGATTCGATGGGTGTGGGCAGGGGTCTGCACAGAACAGAACTGGACAGACGGCGCAAGGAACATGGGAGAATGCGGATAGGACGGGGGGTGCAGAAGGGCGAAGTAGGGTACACTACGCTGTCAAGAGACGGTAGCTGGATACGTACCTGCGCGAGGGGTGGAGGGATATGGGGGGGGGTGCGATGGGGAGGGAGAAAGGGGGGTGGGGTGGGGGGTGTTTGACCCTGCCTATGAGGTACGTTTAGAAGATGCGGAAGACGTATGAGATGCCTTGCCTTAGGTAATGGGATCGGCCACCTCACGCACGTTTGCCCCAAGTTACGGTGCGTTTGGTGCGTCACCTTTTTCTGCGCTACACGTCCTGCCCAATAGCAAGAAGCTGCTGCGAGTTATAGTATATCCGTGGAGTTAACTCGAACGAAGAAGGATCGCATGCGAGCCCAAGGCCTGCCGCCGCTGCTCCTCGGGAGCCGCTCAATGTTGCCGTCTTATGTGTCCTCAGTGTTTACGCTGCGTCGCGCACAAGGCGACGGGGAGGTGCGCTCACACGTCCAGTAGCAGCCAAGGTGGGTGAACGACGTACTTATCCCCGTGGCTGTGACCTTGTTCTGGTTCGAGTTCGATGTAGACGACGGGTTCCAGGCGGAGGGTTGCTTATCCGCAAGGAAAGGCTTATGGTCAGGTCTTGAGACAGGCATAGCATTGGGGAAAAGCGTGCTGGACAAGGTGACGGAACGGAGGGCAACTGGGTCGATGGTAAGGCGAAGGGGAAACACAAGGCAGAGCGAGGCAAGCTAAGGTTCCTGCAATGGAAAAGGTACCCAGGTGCCTTGTCGACTCCGTTGAAGAAGCAACCACCAAATCACAGCTCGACTTCTCATCCCACACTGGATCGTGGCTTCCTTGTTGGTCTGGCCACTCTCTGCCCTCCCATGCCTTGCCCGCTTTATCCACAAAGGTGTGTGAGGTGGTTGAAAGACACCTACAGCAGTCTGTCCCGGTTGGGCTCACACATCGCGTCGGTCTCTGCTGGCTTCGAAACGGGGGGAGGACCAGGGGACACTTGCAAGGCGACTGATGAGAGTGGCCTGCACTTTCACTGCAAAGCAACAAGCAGCAATAGTACCGGTCCGGTCTCTGCTAGGAATAGCCATACCCATGAATTGGCCTGTGTGGCCCTTGACACGCCTGGGCCATACGGTAACGTAAGGTCGGGCTAGAAAGACAGGGTAACCTCTAATGCCCATCTTTCTTGACATCCGTATCGCGTTGACGAGGGCCGGGAAAAGACTTGTCCAGGCAGGGGTGGTGTGGTGTGTGGTGTATTAGTGGTTTGTTCGGTTTTGGCCCGACACCGACAACACCGCGCCGCAAGCCTGCGCCAGCCCTCCCGTACGGCAACGCCTTGCCAGGCAGGGCAGAGATCCATGAGCACCAACTCTGTTGAAGCTAGCACTTCTGCACCGGTTGCTGCATGCCCAGGAAGTTTCGGCCACACTCCGATGACCGGGGTAAGATCGAGGATGACGGAATGAGCCTTTGGCTGTCAATCAACCCTTGCGGGGTCTGAAGAAGAGGAAGGAAGAACAGAGCAGCGCCGAACGCCACGAATGGCCAGTATTTCGCAGGCGTGCGGCCGTGGTCGAGTAGTGCGCGCGCGCCCAGGGATGTTGGGTCACCGCAGATACGGCCCATGTGTGGGTGTGAGTGGTGGTAAGAGAGTGAGTGAGGAGAGTGGGAGAGAGATGAGCTTGGGATGCTTGGGATGTCCAAGTGGATGTGAGCGCACGCGCGTGCTCTCTCCCTCTCCCTCTCGCTCTCTCTCGCTCTCTCTCAGTTTTTCTCTCACACACGCACCCGCACCCACACCCACACACACATACACATAACTGATGAGCAGAGGCAATTCGAGTTCCGTTAGGTGATGAGGTGAGGTGAGGTAAGGGCCGTGAGGTCAGTCGGGGCCCTGGAGTAAACCGTGGGAAAATGAATGGGTGGAGAAAGAAAAAAACACAGGAGAAGCCGTACCCCCCTTGCGAGAAATAAACTTTGCGCCAAGTCCATATGCGGACTAGCTTCGTGGGCGCCGATACGCGGCCCAGCAGGTGCACCAGCAGCAAAAGTGAGGGAGGGGGGGGGGGGAAGGAGGGGGGAAAGTGGGCATGTATCAACCAGGAAGCAGCGCGCAGAGGGAAGGGGAAAAAAGAAGGAAAAAAAGAGGGTCAACGCAGGCTTCCTGGGATTCGCTCCAGTGTCCCAGTGCCAAGTGCCTCCCACTCTTCCACTCTTTTTTACCCACTGGCGGCGGCGGTACGTACCCGACTGCCGTGAACCATCATCTTAGCACGATGCAAAATGCACGGAAACTTGCTCCCATATCTGCTGCTCCGGCCACAGCGGCCAGCCCGACCGCTACCTTTGCTCTCCTCCACCACACCCAGCCGTAACACGCTTGTCCGTATCTAGAGGGATGAGGAAACGCATGGTTGGATGGCTGGAAGGGGTGTGGTGTGCGAACAGTGGGGAGGTGGTGCACGAAGGCCTCTATCCTTTGCACTTGATGCTGAGTCCTAGGCCAGAGGTACATACCTATGACCCTCTCGACTTGTCTGTCTTGCAACTCGGAATGAGGAGAGGCGACAAACTGACAAATTCCAATCAACGGTTTGGCGCCATACGGTGTGAGCACTCAAAGTAACGCCCATCGCCGCCGGCCCTGCTTCGCAAGGACAAGAAGAGCGGGAGCGAGTGGTGAGTGGTGCGATGGCACAATGTCGGTTTGCCAACCCACGAGAACTGATTGCCGAATGGAGTATCCCGGATCGGAAAACCCTACCCAATCTCTTCTAGCCCGATAACCACCTCCATTGAGATGGCTGACGAGGTTGGCAACAAGGCCTGCCGACTTTTAGTGTGCTTCATCATCTCCTGTTCTGAGGCCTTCCAGCACGTACTGGAAGATTTTGACCTGAGGGCGGCGGCGGCGGTTTCATTGGCATGTTCGGCCTGACGGTGAAGCCTTCTAGCCGCCCGACCAGAAACATGGCCAGGAACATTATTAGTACTAGTCGTTGCGTGCCCCAAATGCCAGTGCCGGAGCCACTGCCAAGAACTGATGGCTCGTCCGCTCGCTCGTCTGACGGCTTGAATTCTCCTAAGGGCCACGCCGCGACGACAGTTCAATAACGCTCGAGACCGTCTTTGCAGCTAGAACGCCCAAGTATCGGACCCAAACCGCGCGTGGCCTAGACTTCCCGACGGCTCAGCTGCCTTGTTAGCGAAGGCCTCGATGCTTTACCCCATCGATCCGTTTAGGGGGAGGGAAACGAAAAGCACCGCCCCAAAAGCATACCGAAACGGCATCCTCGGAATCCGATGGCCGTGAGTATGCACATTTTTTACCATCTTCTCCAAATTTGCGACACCGCTTGCAATGGCCCGGCATGCTAAAGGCCGTGATGTGCGCTGCTTGTGCGACCAAATGGCGTATCCGTCGTTCCAGTCACCGGACTTGATTCCGGCTGCCCAATTCCATGGAGGCCACGACGAAACCGCCATTGACAATCTTTTCCCCCTCGGTTCCCTTATTCGCTCGTCGGAATGCGGGCTGATGACGGGTTATGCAAATCTCACCCTGGTGTCTCTCTTGCTGCCTCTTGTCACCGTCAGTAGAACCCGTAGGAGAAGCTAGAGTCGGGCTTTGCAGCTTTGCGGCTTTGCGTCTTGTTCGTCGGGCTTTGCGTCTTGTTCTCCCTGCTGCGGGATGGGGTTCAGCACCCTGTCTCACTTCCAGCTTCACGACACACGCGCACACCCCTCTGACCGAGCCAACTTTGATTCAGCGCCGTCAGCGGTCCGCGGCTCGCAGCAATATTCGCTCGAGGTGTTGCTGGTGGATGTTCGTAACATGGGGTATGCACGATTGCAACCAGATGAAGGCCACGCCCAGCAGCGACAATGAGATCTCTGCTGTCAAATCCGCACGCATTCTGTGTTGTCTCCGTCCCTTATTACATGTTTTCCCATTCTTTTTCCGTCTCTGGTTTCTCCGAGAATCCGGCGCCGTGCGAAGCTCGCATAGGTGCTAGATGGCAATGCGCCGACATTTTTTTGACAATATAGCGGACTCCTCGACACTCCATAGCTCTCCCCTAGGTTCCGCATTACATTGGGTGTTCGGATTCACCCTGTCATCGTCTTAGGAAAGGGTTTGGTTCACGTCCAAGTAGGAAGTTTGTCCATGACGTACGTTGCCAATGAGGCAACTTGCCATCGCAACATACTGTCATCGCAGCGAGGAGGCGAGAAAAGGAAGCATTTCGCCGAGCTGAATGTGGTTCACAGAGTTTCCAGACTGGCGGGATTGTGGCGTCCGGAGGGCTCCCTCCTGCAGTGTCTGTCGATGCGTCTGAATGGTCGCCCTCGTCAAGTGAGGTCTCACTTGACTGTCAGTACGTGTAGCCCTCGACTTGCCAGTGTCGTGCTCGCCCAAGGGCGGGGGAAGCGTTCCGATCCGTAGCCCACCCTCTTTCTTGTTCTTTCTCTCTTCTTCTCCCTACCAGCGTCGTTCGCTTCTCATCCTTCCACAGCCTGATCATCGTGAATTTCAATGGCTTGGTCGTACAAGACGTCGAGCCGATGGCCCGAGGCTGCACGCATGCAATTTCAGGGATCGTTATTTGGTTCGTGGTATGTCATTGGCGTTCGGTTCTGGTTGACGAGGGGTTCGGACACGGCGAAAGGCGACGAGGATATCAACAAAGAATGCATCCGGAATCAGCGATTTTTAAGAGTTATTTCGGGGTGGGCTTAGCACCGTCGAAACCCAGGGGTTATCAACCCCCGATGAATGCCGTCCCATCGGAGCAACATCCAGTTCGGATTTCTGTTTTGTCAGTTTTTGTCAGTTCTGACTCAGAGAGCCGGTCATTGTCTGTTTCGTTTCCGTACTTTCCCCTCGTGGGGACACAGCACTACACTACGACTGAGGCCCCATTAGAGAAGGGCCTGCAGCAGGGCCCGTTGCAAAGGCCGGCGCAGTGCCAGGTCTGTGCCAGGCCTGTGCCAGGCCTGTGCCGGAACAACCCATTCTCGACCGCAAGGCGGACCAGCTGAGGAGAATGAGGGGAGCGGTCTGGCAGTGCGTGGGAAAAGGTGGAACGCCCTCCGGTCTCTCCAGAACATTGGCAGAGGTAGGTACCTTGGCTACTGAGGTACTTCGCACCCTGCTCAAGTAGAGTCTAGTTGCGCCTTGTCGACACTAAATTCAGGCGACGGTATACGCTAGCAGCCCAAACATGGCTACTTTTCCATACCCAACAACCAATCACTGGTCGTTCCGACCAAAGCGGATCTCACTCCGTATGAAGGGCAGGGCCTGTACCTTGGAATATCCGGGCCTGTGGTCTGAGTGTGGTGTCGGCGGCGGGAGAGCCCTCAGTGACCCCTAGATACTATGTATGTAGATATGAATCCTTCAAAGGCTAGTGACGGTGGGCGGCTGTTCTGTGCAAAATTCGCCGCGAACCTCTTGTACATCATTGCGCATTTCTGTAACCTTGAATGTTTGTAACAATCGACCTTCGAGAACATTTTTTTTGGCGGTCCTCCTATGTAATGCAGCGCAGACAAACTTTTTTTAGTTGCCGCAAAGAGAAAGCTGTTGCAAATGCCGTAGCCCAGGGTATCATATCGTCCCAAACCCAAGAGAATTGGATCGGTGGAGTCAATCGGTCCGTCCGGGACCGTTGTAAATCAAGGTACGTAGTGTCGTCGCTCTGCCATAAACCTCAAGATATTTCGAGGTTTTCTTCTTTGACAGCCTCCACTAGCTCCTCCAGCCCACCGACCTCTGTCGGTCCGTTCATGCCATCCGGAGGAAGGGCCCATCCGGGCATCGGGCTGGTGTAGCCCCATGCGCCTCCGGCGTCTTCGTATCGCAGACTGTGAAGCCAAAGCGACAGCTCATGCTCGCCGGGGTCCGTGTAAAGCGGCGTATCGCAGACATCGCAGTTTTCGCCTGACAGCTTCTCGGCCCGTCTTTTTGCGTACAAATCCACCATCTCATCATGATATGCTACCGCGTCAGCAATGTCCTGCTTGCCCATCCGTTCCAGGCGCGACATGATGTCTTCGTCCGTGTTTTCAATTGCATCAGAGTCGTTGCAACCCAGATTGATACCCCATACTCGCTGGTTTGCATACAGAGGGTCATTCTGAATCGGGTGCCCAACGAATTGCAGATGCACACGAATCTGATGCGTTCTGCCCGTTAAAGGTAAGCAGCGAACAATGGAATAACCTTCCTTCTTGATCCAGGGCCGACGTTCCTCCTCCGCGAGTTGTTCCGGGGTTTTGGGTTTCTCCAGTTCCGGGTCAGTCTGTTTCTCCGGCGGATAGTAGGCCAAACGCTTGAAGACGGTACGAGCCGATTTTCCATTGGCGCGAACCCTGTTGAGTCCCAGTCGTGGGGATATCTGTAGAATTGGTTGATCGCAAACAACTTCGCCGTCAGGGAACTCTCCGGCAACGCGAGCCAGGTATTCCTTGCGCACCGTGTGAGCTCTGATTTGCGCAGTGAGCTTTACGGCGGCCTGCGGCGTCTTGCCGATGAAAAGGATGCCGCTTGTAAGGCGGTCCAGGCGATGGCACGGGTATGGCAGGAAGTGCTCGCCCCTCTCAGCTTTCATAATTTCGATGAGTGAGTTGTACTTGTACCTGCCAGCAGGGTGCACGGGCACGCCGGACGGCTTGTTTACGACAATCATCTCATCGTCTTCGTGAATGATACGAATAGGCTCCCCAGTGACAGGAGGCTCATGGCGATGGATGGTATGATTTACCAGGTCCCCGTTCTTGACAACATGGTCTGGTCCAACGATCTTCCCGTTGACGACAATGGCTCCAGTTTCCATGGCATGGCGATAGTACTCAAGAGTACGGTCCCGGAACTCGTCCTCGAAGATGTCGATCAGCTTCCGACCGCGCCAGCGTTCCTTGGCCCATGTGTGGTAGGTGAAGTGGTAGGGAGCTACTCTGCGCAGGCCGTCCTCGAAATAGTAAGGTCGTGGCCACATGTCGCCAGTGGGAGTCGTCAGCACGTCAGGCAGCTTCTCTGAAGCCTCAGACGGTGAGATATCTGAGGGGTTGGCTTCAGTGACACGGGCAACAGTCGGCGCCGGAGCTGGAGCGGAAGCCGATGTCGTTTTTTCAGAAGCCATGGTAGACGTGAGGGGTTCCAGCCGGAGTGGTAGTCGTGCCAGAGGCGTGACTGCGCGCCTGAGAGTAGCCAGGGTTGATGGACAAGTCGACAGAGGAGGGACGGGATGTGGAGGCGCGGGTGGTTATATTGAAGGAGGCTTTGGCTAGCGGTAGAGCTTCCGTGTTTCGATACGACGCTTGCTGGTTGTCCCTTAACTCTGGTTTCTAAGATTTATCGAGATTCGCGAGTTTGGTGGTGATAGATCTTGAAAGAGTCACAAAATTGATGGCGGTCAGACCTGGCAGAACTTTGCTGAGGTTGAGTTTTACAGGCATAAGCTGAGGCAGTGGGTTTGCCAGTGGTGTGATTGGCTCTTGTTGGAGTTCGCCTTTCTAACTTCTTCCTTCCAGTGATTACATAAGTTAAGCAAGATGGCTCTTTAGGCAGTCAATTGGCCGTCCCTATTATGTAAGGTACTGATCCGGCACAGGCCCAATCAAGTCTACCGACGCAACTAACCCATTCTGCATTGGTCGTCGGTAGCAACATGTCTCTTCCTGTGCCTCGGTTTAGGTGTGAAATTTACGTTAGCCAGCCCAGTTCCCTGGCCGATTTCTCCGCACGTCTTAAGTGCCGAAGCTATGAGAGCTTCCTTTGATAGAGGCTTCGCTTCAAAGGTTTAAAAGAACGCGCTGAGCCAGCCATAATCCAAACGAAAAGTGCCGGCGACGGCGACGCACCTTATTGTTGTTGAAGACCAGCAAGTCTCTCGCTGTTTGCCTTCCTGTACCACGGCAGTCGTCGGTTGTGACAAGCTCCCTAGGCATCCGACTCTTTGTTTTCGTCCGTTTTATCACATCAGGACACTGTCATGGCGAGCTACGCAGAGCTAAAGAAGCGTCGGAGGGATGATTATCGTTACATACTGGACTACCGGACCCGATGGTGAGTGACCACCCTGCCCCCTTTCCTGGCCGTCGCGGCTTTCTATCATGGCCGCTGCCTCTCAATATCATTCGTCTTTCCCTTCTGCCGACCTCAAATTGGATGGACCAAGCTTGTTACTTTGTACAAAGGTTCAGGGGGGCTGGCCGCCACTGCAACCGGACGATCTCCTCTTGTCCTCCGCCTAACCTCTCTTCGTCCATGGATGCATCTCACGCCCTCGACTCTCCGTTGTTGGTGTTCGGGGAGGGGGGTGGGGGGGGGCGTGTTTCGATGTGTACCCGTCATCTTCCCATCATCACATTTCACTTTACCACATCCCCATTCGCATTCCTCTTGTTGGGTTCACTGCTACAGCAGTCGATAACAAAGTTTCCTAGGGCCGACAATGATATGTACCAGCACCTGAACAACAGCATCTATAACTTTCTGTATGCTTTCTCCTAGTCCGGCCAATGCGCTCGCGCCGCGTCCGACTAAGATTGTTCTGCAGATACGATTCGGTCGTCAACACCTACCTAATTGAGCACTGCAGTCTATCGCCCGCAGGGTCTGAGCAGCACGGGGTCGTGGTTCACTCGCACAGTGACTACTTTGCTTCCATCTCCTTCCCCGCAGTCGCCGAGCTGGCGCTCAGGGTGAACAAGTTGGGCAAGTCTAGTGTGACGTACGAAATTGCTCTGTTCGAGAAGGGAGTCGACCAGGTGAGAGCAGTCGCGGAGTTTGTCCACGTCTTTGTCGAGAGATCTACCGGCCGCCCAACCGCATCTGGCATGACGGACGAAATGCGGAGGGGGCTGGAGCAAATTCAGGTGGTGAAGGCCAGAGAAAATAAGCTCTGAAATTGAACTCTATCACCCACCCACAGGGCAGACCGGAGCTTATCCCCCAATTATCAATGCCTCACTGCTGCAACTGCAGCTTCTGGATCGCACCGTCCTGTTCACCACTCTTGAAGATCTTCTCCAGGAACTCTAGGTCGGCCAAAGCCTCCTCAGGAGACTGCAAGGGGTTCGGCCTCCCCGCCACCAACCCTTCCGCCCATGCCTTGACCTCCTCCTTGACACCGCTCGTCTGCTCAAACTGAGTTGTCCGTGCTTCACCATCAAAGGGCTTGACAGTCAGGTCATGGCCTGACAAGGTGACACTGCCCTTTTCGCCCGCCACCTGGAAGTCGAAGGCGCTCAAGGACGAGCCGACACTGACGGCGAAGGAGCCCGTAGCACCCGACCTGGTCTTGACCACAGCGTTGATAGTGTCGATGGGGGGCAGATGCTCCTGGGTCAGGTCCGAGAATGCCGCCACCGAGTCCGGCGCCGCCTCTTTGCCGAGCAGCAGCCGGAGCGCGGCAGCAAAGTGGACGCCACCGTCGAGGAGGAACCCACCCTGGTAGTCTGGCTTTTTGCGCCACGCCGTCTCAATGTATTTGCCACCCAGCTGTACGAAGAAGAAAACCCTCACGTTGAAGCCGGTGATTTTGCCGAGCTTCTGCACTTCATCCTGTGCCGTAGTATAGCGGGGCTGAAAACGGTAGTTCTCGGCGACAGCGAAGGTGACACCTTTTTCAGCAGAGACCTTGTGGTAGTAGTCGATCAGCTTCTGAGCTCGAGCGACGTCGGCGGCGATGGGCTTCTCGGCCAGGACGTGTTTGCCGGCGACGAGGGCTTGCTCAATGTATTCGGGCTGGTTGACAATGGGCAGGGCCAGAATAAGGGCCTGGATGTCGTCGCGGGCAAGGAGGTCCTTGAATGACTTGCCGTCGCCTGAGTCGTCGGAGTACAGGTCGGGAACTGTGGAATTGGTGACAAGCTTCGCCGTGTCCTCGGCTGACTTGCGGGACCGCGAATAGATAGCCTTGAGTGTGAGTTGGTCGCTCGCTTCCACGGCAGGCTATGTATTTGATTGGCATCAGTGAGCTTGAATGGTCCGGACATCTTGATTCTGGGACGAGATAACGCCTTTGGGATTCCTTACCAGATGCTGTTCCTTGGCAAAGATGCCACCGCCAACAATAGCAACTCCGATGGGGGCCATAATGCTTGACTCTCTTGTGTGATGTCGAATTGGTGACGTCTGAAGTAGGGCTATGCTTTGCGTTGAGCGAGATTCTTGGGAGATGTTGCTTCCAGTGAGCGATTTGCAATGTTCCAGTTGGTCTTGAATTAATCGTGCAGCAGGTCAAGAGATATTCTCGACTGATGGTTGCCGGCATATGGCGCCTTATGCGGTATCTTAAGCCAGGCACGCACACAATGCCATCGTCGTCACTTTCCTCCAATGCCAGGGGAGCTTTTGCATTCATGGTGGGGTTTGCTGGCGGGGGTGCAGCATTCAGTGACACAACTGCCCCGCAACTGGCCAGATGGTTTTGTGCCACTAACGAAGACATGCCTTACAAAAGCAGAAGTTTTGTTAGCATTCTATCCCGTCAAATGAGCCCAGAGCTTCTACAGTAGTCCTCGAGTACCGCCAAACTCTTCTGGGAAAGTCTAACAGTCGGGATGCCCCGAATCTTAAGGCGCATAGAACTGGAGGAGTTGGCTTGCATCGTGCTTCTGCATTTCCGCCATTGTTTAACATGTTTGCTTGCCCTGCCTCAATTATACACTGGCTTCATCTTTTACCTCTGGGCGGATTATTATGGATCACCGGGGGGCTGGTAACTCAAGAGACCAAATTTCCAGCCGCCGCCAACAAACTCACCAAATACCGGGACATTCATTGCCTGCAGATGCAGTCGCGAATTGCTTCTCACTTGCCAGTCACTGACTGTTAACGTATTGTCTATCAAATCTAGCCTTTTTGGCCATCTAACTACCCTGTACACCTCACTCCTCAAACAGGTTCCTCTTTGCCGAATCGCAGTGACTTGATCGGGGGTGAACATCTCGTGCTGCCTACCTACCATGCATGGCCATCGTAGCATTCCAGCTCCGAGGAAAGGCCTGTTGCACATTGCCTTTCTTTCCGCTAGACCACACTACCGGCCGTCCTCTCTGCTTCAACTTCTCCATCGCTGCTGGAGTCGTCGAGTCGATCCAGAGCGCGCTGGCATTCCTTGTCCCATTTGCTGAATCCAACAATTACCCATTCCAGCGCTCCGACCAAATATAGAGCGACGCATTGTCCAATCCACAAGCCTGCAAGACCCCAGCCGTTGAAGGCGAGGTAGATACCGGCAGGGAGAGCTCCGCCGTAGTAGCTGACAAGATTCACCACAGCCCCGACCCACTGGCGGCCCATGCCTCGAAGCGCACCACCACACGATCCATTCAACCCGTCCGCTATCTGGAACAAAGCGACGTACGGCATCACCTCGCCCACCAGCCGGATCACGCGCTCGTCGTCGTTGAATATCTTGCCAAATACATCCTTCGTTGCCATGAGAACAATGAGAACGACGCTTCCGAGGATCACGGAGAGAATCGCCGCCGCATGAGCTGCTATTGCAGCATCTCGCGGTCGCTGTGCACCCAGCAAGTTCCCCAGTCTTGCCGACGCTGCCACGCCGAGACCAAAGGGGATGGTGTTGATGATTTGATCCGCAGTCATGATAACTGACTGCGCTGCCAAGGGGATAGTGCCAAGTCTTCCGGCAGCCAGAGCGACGATCTCGAAAGCCCACCACTCGGTGCCGACATGGACGACGCCCAAAATCGCTAACTTGGCGAAGGGTCCAATGTTCCTCGCAGCTTTACGCAGCTCCAGGCCACCCCAGCACTCCTTGCCTCGGACGAAGATGGCATACGCCACGAGGAGCAAGAATGAGACCCAGTACGAGATGCCTGTGGCGATAGGGGCACCGTATAAGCCGAGGCCAAATGTGTGGATGAAGAGATAATTCAGTCCTGCGTTCAGCGGCGACGTGATGAGGAGCACGTACGTGCCTGGACGATATATCGCTGTCACAACCCAACGTCAGTTTCGACTCCGTAATTCTCTCTACTATTTGACTTTCGGGGCCTCCGACTTACCTTGCGCCTGCAAGTACTTCTTCATTGCCTCGAACCATACATACCCTAAACCGCCCGGGATCAGGCATCGCAAGAATGTCGAGCTCTGCACACAGATGAACTCCTCTTGGCCCAAAGCCCGGAACACCGGTTCGGAGAACCACCACAGCACTGCTACCACGACGTAAAATGCCGACAAGACGATGATGCCTCTCTGCAAAAGTATGCCCAAGTCGTGCTTGTTCGAAGATCCGGTGAAGCTACTTGATGCAAGCGTGTCGAGGGCTGTTGTTCCGCCTAGAGCTATGAGCCAAGCTGTTGCCATGGCGAACATATAACTAAACGCAGCTGTAGCGAGGGCTTCGGGGCTCAGCCTGCCGACAATGAGCACGCTGATGGTCTGCAGGCTGTTCTGCAAAGTGTATGCTAGAATAACGGGAACAGCGGCTTTGGCGAGGAGCAGAATCTCGGCCAGCCATTGCCGGATCGGGTAGGATTCATCGGAGGTGGACGCCGGAGACTTCGGTAGCAACGCCGTGGTCTCGGACGGGGGCTGCACGGCCAACGGGTCCAGCGTGTCGGGAGACGACGGTTCCGCCATTTTGGTTGGTGTTTGGGTTACAGCCGCTTCGTCTTACTGCTCGTTCTCGACTCGGAACCGACGCCTTTCCAAGTCCTCCTGTTGTCGAATCTTTTCCGAAGAATGGTCGAGTCGGCCAAAAGCACGAGTCAAGGGAGCTTTTGCACGGAGACAGATGAGACACACCGAGGTCATTTACTGTATCCGAGCTTCGATCCAATTGCTGACGAATCTAGGGTTTCGCAGAATGTGGTTGGAGAGAAACGAAGGTTCAGACGGTCACTTGTAAACGGAAAGCCGCGAGACACGAAGCGTCAATGTATAAAGCTTTTTCTTTTTTCTTTTGAAATCAACATCTCCAGGAACCCCCCCTATCCCATGCTAGTCTAGAATCTTCAGGCATGAGATAACTGACAAGAGCCAATTGCCACATGGAAATTGTCAACTCGACGACTCAATGACCAACAATTGAGTTTGGTCACAGCTTGTGAGGCATGTCGGCTCCTTCTGCGCGGGGGAATCCCCTCAATCGACGACCCAAGATTGGACAGCGATAAGTGTGCAGTTCGGACTACATGATATTTCTACGCTTGCGAGGGGTAGACGTGCGAGAAAGACGTTGGGCGCCGGATCACTGGCTCTGAGTGGCTGCATCATGTGGCTACGACAAGCGGTCCATCCGGACTGACGCAATACATGAGGTCGGGTTTCTCGAACAAGCAAGCGCTTGACATCTTGCGCAGTTGCTGCTACTTAATCTGCTCTGGCATGATGGTTGGAAATGCGGCGACCCGTCCTTAAGATAAGAAAAGATCGTGCTCCAAAGTCTCGGAAACACCAGTGTCGGGCCTTGGAATCTTTAGCGCTAGGCCAAGAATAGGAGCCGACGGACAACCGCTGCAGATTCCTTATCTCACATGATCCTTATCCATGGGCCGCAGGGCGGGCAAGCCTTCGGTGGCCAGGCGGTCAACGGCCGACACCGGCGTTGGGTCCCGCTGGCCGGCCGAGTGGAGAATGGGAGGGCTGAGAGGGGGGAGAAGGAGAAACATGAGGGGGTGTTGGTTGATTGACCAGTCGCATTGCTTCCAACATACGTCGCTTCGCGCGACAGCTGACTGGTCGTATACTCTTCTCCGGCCGGGGCTTGTTAGGGTTCCAGCGCGCAGGTACCGACCCCGCTCGGAGCTCATCCAAAGACGATCAGAAGAGAGAGCTGGACAGGCTAAGCGCAACGAGTAGCACATGAATAAGAAACAAACTGTCAAGATGCATTCACGCAAGGGATGCATTCACGCAAGGTGCAAGAGTAGGAATGGAACGAATCGAACAGCACCAGAAGCCCCTCTAGAAGAACCTTGGTCCAGAAGAGGGCAAACGCGAGTTACTTGCCGGAGCATCATAGCGCAACGGCAAGAGGGATGGACGAGTTTGCTGGAGGGTCAAGGTCAAGGATCCTCGCGCGCCACCATCATCTCACCATTGCAGGACGGAGTCTTTGAGCTAACGACAACAAAGCCCTAGCTGCAGAAGCTTCTCGAAAATCACCGAAACGATCCTAGTCGCTGGCAAAGCAGGCTTCCAATATGTCCAAGGGAAAGGGGGACGCGACTCAGGGAGAGCAATGCCATGTGCTCGTAATGAGTCGAAACTCGGGCAGAGATGCCAAGAATGATGGCTCAATCTCATGCGGCACGAGGCGAGTTGAGTTGAGTTCAACTCCCTTCCTCCCATTGGGTTCGGTCCAGTCGCAACTGGATACACGACTCGGGTCGACTGCAAACCTGGCCATGGAAGTGTGACGAGGAGGCAAGGCAGAGTACCGTTGCAGACGATGCATGGTCAGCGTCATTGGGATCTCATGATTGCGGTATAAAAGACTAACGGATTCTGCAAGGCGAAAGCCAAAGTCTAAATAGACGAACCCTGCCCGGTCAGCGCCCGCCACACGTTCCCACTGAGCAACCAAGATGCCAGTCTCATCACATCTCGAAGGTATCACGCAAGGTACAAGCCAAACCAAGGGAAAGAGTTGGTTCTGACACAGAACGTGGCAAGTCACTGCTTTCTGCGCGTACCCGTCTTCTTCGTCCACTGGGCAGGGAATTCGCTCGAAACATGATGTGGAACGTGGCCCCAAACTTTAAATCTTCGTCTGGGGATCCTCGCCTGCCTGGGACTAGACCTGGACGAAGGGAACAGCACCCGTCCCATTCCAACACATCACTCGGATACGGATATTGCGTTGTATCTGTTGCCATGTAGCTTGCGCAGCAGCATTGTACAGTCACCCCTACGATACATTGTCTTGCTTGTTTTCATCGCCTTTCCCTGCTCCTGAGCTCGATGGGCCTTGCATCCACCACATGGCACACACACGGAACGACGCCGCCAGCTTTCTACACCACACACACTCTCATCTACATTGTATTCATTGTCCTACGTCCTGCTCTATCTGCCCTCTACCCCCCTTTTCCGAGAGCGCGATCCTTTCGGATCTCAGATCTTGTACAGGCTTTCCTGGCAGAGGTTTTCAGCGGACGCTAGGGATCGACGCCGCCATACCTTAAGTTCTTGAACTCTGGACTCTAGACCAACGTCACCGCAGGCTGCGAAAGGAGATCAGGCCACCGGAAGGCGGAAAACCCACATCACGGTTACAGGTCGATCCGTTGAAGGTGCAAAAGCGAGCGGAGGTGCGGATGCTGGATACGGACAGGTTCGGAACTGTCCCCCACTTAAAAGCACCGTCCCGATGTTGGATGCCCGTCTGTCTGCATCCGTACGGAAGGCGGACCAAGCATTGGGAGGGAGGGGAGATATGTACGCTTTGCTACCGTTCTAGCTTCCTCTGTTGCCGCATGTGGCCTGCAGCGCGTTCCCAACATCACGCTATCGCACCAGGCTCTGGACAGCGTACTGTGTGGTCTCCCAGGGAGAGCGGTTGCAGAAACGGCGCAAAACGGTTTAGGGTTCTTTGGCATATCCACGTGGCTGACGCAGGCAACAGACGACAGCCGGTCTCCCCCCTCCTTCGTTCTTCAGCAAGGTCGCCCGTTTCACGGGGCCCCGAACGCCGCCCACCCCAGCCGTGGCAAGTTACATGTCGCCGTCAAAAACGTGGACAGCGTTGCATCGTCTTAAGATGCCAGGGTGAAAAATTGCCTGCTGGGTACTTGCTCCTAGGGCGGTTTCCACCCGCTGGAACGAGAAGAACAGCATAGCCATCACCCAGCGCCAGGGGGGTGGGAGTGACAGAGGAGCAAAGGAGAAGGGCGTTGCATCGTCTCCCACTCTTTAAAGTTCAGTGTTGCAGAAGTAACCAGTCTCTCTCGATTCCCCCTCCACATTCCCAGTGACCCGTCGACATCCTCGTAGGCTTTTGAACTTTAACCGCGGAAAGTGCAAGCGCTTTCCCCAGGAGTAATTTCGGAAGTCGGATCGTAAGAATGTGCTGAGGGGGTGGAAGTGACGACGTTATGGCAAGGTACCGGTTCTTGCACCGCAACATCGTGATCCCCAAAAAAACACCTCCCTTGCCCCCTGCAATAACAACACGTCCCCCTCCCCCCCTGTTGTGCCCTGCTGTGCCCTGCTGTGCCCTGTTGTGCCCTGCCTCCCTGCCTCTTCTCCCCTGCTCGTTAGTTGCCCTTCAATGCCACCTTTATGCAGTAGCTCCCAGCAGCAAGCTGACCCCTGGGCGAAACCGTTACGCCATATACATAGTACGACGCTGCCGGCGGCAGCGTCTCTTCTTCGACACCTCGTGGCAAGCTATGCTGCCATCCCAGGACATACCAGTACCTCTCAGTGGAAAGGCTGCAGACAAGACTTGTAGGGGGTTCCGCATGCTCGAGGACGTCATGCTGGACGTAACAGTCCGCTGTTCACGGCGGCGCCGGTGCCACTGTCGTTTTCGTCTGGCTGCGTTTTGCCTCTCCCGGACGAGAAGTAACTGTCGACCCCCTCGTCGTTGGTTTCCATGGCCCAGCCAATATGTACCCGTATGCGGCCGTGGAGCGACCGGCTTGGCTAGCCGCACCCATGATATTGCAGGATGGAGCCAAACCCACACTGGAGGAGTCGCCTCTCCAGGAACTTTTCGTGATTTCCCGGCCATACGCCGGTTCACCGCTCTTCGAGGCTGGAGCGCGGCCTTCCCGCCGCTGACCACCCTCCTCCTCCTGCCCCTGTTGATGCTGTTGATGTGGCCGCGGCTCCATCCCCTTCGCCCGCTCCTTTGACGTCTTGGCTGCCAAGCCAGTGCTGCAGCCTCAAACCGGCTCTAGCGGCGCCCATGGCCATGGCCCAGTTCTCCACGCCGAGCGTTAGCAAGCTGATCGTTGTCATGTTCTTCACGAAGCGCGCGTGCGGCGAGCGGTGGCACGCCGGCGCGATGGCCAGCATGATCCAATGGAAGACGCCCACGGCGGCGTTCCACGTTGACAGGGGCACGCGCCACGTCGTCGTCCAGATCTGCAGGAATTCCGATTCCGTGCATGCGCCGCTCAAGGGGGTACCGGTCGCGATGGCCCGCGTGTAGATGATGGCCGTCATGCGGATGACCTGGTACATGAAGTCCGGGCTCTGCTGCAAGTGGTGATGGAGATGTTGCATCGATCGAGGGCTCTTCGGAGAATCGCTAGGGTCTTGGGTCTGTGGCCATTCGGGCGTCGTTATGGAGTCGGAGGCTGGTCCCGATGGCGATCGGCCCGTGCCAACGGAGCCACGTCCCGCTGTGCCTGTGCTGGAGATGCTCCCACTTCGCACGGATGCCTCGTCGGCGACGGCAGCGTAGTAGTTGCTATTGTTCAGTGGTGAGCCCGTCCTCCTGGCCGATACTTCTGGCGATTGGTCCTGTTGGCCTCCTGGGATAGTAGGGTGAAGACCCGAGATGTGCTCGTGCATGTACTTCCCAGTGAGCTGGGCCTTTCGGGAGGCCTGTATCGAAGTCGGCGTCGGCGTCGGCGTCGGTGTAGTCGTTGTTCCCATGGCCGTGCTCGTAGACGTGCTTGTTTCGTTCGCCGCGGCGTACACCGCCTCGACGGCGCCGAACAGGTACCTCACATTGTCGAGAATGGAAGCCGTCGCCGGGTGCATGCCGAGACTCGCGGTGCAGTCGGCAAAGGACGGGAGCAGGCCGACGGATGAAGACAGGCAGCTGACGAGAGGCGACATGTGTGTCATGCGAAGGGGCACGTCTTTTATAGGGTCAATAAAGGCGTATCCTGAATGGCCCCATGGGTCTGGGGCCGTTCCCGGTGTTGCCGTTGCTTCTCCTTGACTACGTGGTGCTTGACTCTGGGTTTCTTGGCCCCCGTCGCCTCCTCCGCGGTCGTTGTTTGAGGGACACAGAGTCAGTAGCAGTGGAATCATCTCGTGTGCGAGGGATATGGAGACATCGTGACTACGTGTAAGCATATGAGTCAGTTTATGGGCAGGTCTGGACGAGCGGACAAATGCCGAACTGGCATATCGCGTGTAAGTACGTTGAGCAGACCCATTTACGAGTCAAGGCTCTAGTAAGAAAAAAAGAGCGAGAACAACGCAAGAGGGTCGGACGGACAAATGGAAACATGGTATTTAGAGCGGGATATTCTCCGCTACCAAGAAAATAGGGGAGAACCCCCGTTGACCGGAAGGATTGAGAAAAACGCAAAAAATAGAGAACGCGGGAAGTCAAACAGAGAGTCGTGTATGAACCGGGCCGGTTGCCAGCCATGTCCGTAACAACAAGGAATAAATGTCGCAAAAAAAAAAAGTAACGGCACAACCAAGTGAAGACATGAGATTTTAGCCCATGAGTTAGAGGAGTCGAGCCTACGTACATGATTGCGTTTTTTGCCAAGAGGCCGTTCATACCAAGCTGGTTGAAGCCGCCGCGTATCCGGATCATGCCTCGCAAGCCCTTGAGGTGGTATCGCAGGTCGTCCTCCGACTCGCCCCAGTACCATTCGGCCACGGTAAGTTGAATGACGCCGGCGATGGCGGCATCGCTGGGATGTTCGGATCTCCCGCTGCTACCGCCGCCGGTCGCCGTTGTGTCCTGGCAGCTCTTGTGTTGACTACTGTCGACACCGTGGGATCTTAGGCTGTCGTTGAGCATGTGGATGGCGTGTCCCTTGAGGGTCCGCAGGGCGGTAGTCGGGACGTGACCCGTCTCGTGGAGGAAGCAAGCCGAGGTGTAGAGGATTATTTGCACGACGAGAGGGTCCTGGAGGCAGAAGGGCGAGTAGTGGCGGATGAAGGGATTGTTGGGATCTGGGTCGCCGTTGAGGGAGGCCTTGAAGCGGGAAAGGACTGTGAGGTCTAACAAGGCACATATCAGACTCATTCTATCCTGAACTTACACGTAACTGGACGGGAAAAAGGGAGCTACTTACACATTCGTACTAGTTGCTTGTTCAACGTCGTCTGGGCTACCGGAAGATGAGCAATCTGTTCGTCCACCCCGCTAACGGGCCGTTCTGGATGTTGGATTCTGTGCCCTGCCGCATGATGCCAGCTTCGGGGAGTGAAGCCGTCTGCAAAAAGTTGTTCGACATCGTCGTTGCCCTTTTTGGCGAGGACTAGGCCCGGCACCGCGAGACGGTATGTGAGCAACTGCTGCGATGCCTGAATTGTGTCCGAGTATAATCTGCTGCGTTTCGGATCGGCCAACGGGAGCCATGCTACCGGTGTCGCCGCCGCCGCCGCCGCTGCTGCTGATGTTCTTGTCGCTTTCGAACTTTCACCCAGGGGATCCGGCACCGGCCACGGCGCTTCGTTGACGGACGGGTCCGTCGAACAATCCGTCTCGGGACTCGAGTGTGAGGTCGTGTTCCCCGATACGGCCCAGCCAGCAACGCTGATGGGTGAGTGCCCCGCCGTCCTCGGAGACTGAGATGCTTGGAGCAGGGGAGAGTTTACCCCTGGGAGAGGGGACTGAAGGGGAACCCGGCCTCCTGCTCGCGCTGGTGTCAAGAACGTAGATGTCCCCGGTATCCGGCTAGGAGAGTATAGTTAGACAATGGGTCGCATCAAGAGAACAGTCGTACAACAAGCGATAGAGACTGTGGTCAAGTAACAAGACTTACTTGCCTGCGCGATATTCGCATACTGGCACGGGGAATCGACGGAGGCAGTTACCGCAGGGCTGCTCCTGATCGCACTGTATCCGGGTTAGTTACAGGCCACGCACGATGAGTTGGCACATGTATGCGGAGACTTGGGATATCGATCATCGATCCATGACCGCCAGAGTACATGGTATGTCGTAAACACAGAGGTATCGATCCACATGGGAATGGGGGTAGCCATCATGACACACAACATGTACATGCCTTCTGCTTCCTTCTCCGGCACTCCCCGCACGACGTCGTCGTCCTCTCGGCACGCATCATATTGCGTGCTACACGCTGCTGCTGCGACTCTTCGGACATGTTCTCAATGCGGCAGCGATGGTGTTGGGCCCTCTTTTTCGTCCCCGGAGCATCCGTTCCTGCGGTTCCTGGTTTCCTGCAGCAGATAGGCGGCACCGCATCAAACATGGCGTGTGACCTAGAAGTCTGGTCTCGGGAGTTGAGGTGGTTTTTTGGTAAGGCTGAACTTATAAGCAATTCGGAGATAAACAGAAAAAAAGGACCAAACTTGGGCCAGGGGGAAAAGTGATTGGGGGAGGATCAAGTGCAGACAGGTGGCTTTGTTGTTTCTTTGAGGCTGCCTGTCGTCGGATTTCGACATGTTTGGTCTAGCGTCGTGGATTTGCCTGGCCCAGCCTGGCCTGGCTGGGCTGAGGCGCAAGAGGGGAGACGGGGAGCCCCTCCAGGAAGCCACAAAGCAGGCCTCCTTATTCCGGGGGGTTTGTGGTGATCTGCATTAGCTGCGTCGCTAGTGCCTAGGTCCGAACCTTTTGACAAACAAGGTTTAGATGCTGAGATTGGCCTCTTTGCCGTATGAGAGCCAGTCGCCTGAACGGAAAGTTGTGTGAAAAGGGATACCAAGACATAGGAAAGTGTTATTGGACTAGGGAAAAGGTTGGATATGTTGAAGAATAAGGTCTCGGAGAGTGGCTGATGTACGAAAACGTGGACGGTGCGACCTCTCAACACATATCACGGCCAGGGTTGCGAAGGCCTGCTCTTGGAAATCGATTCTCCTCGGAGACGGGGCCCCAATGCGACAAGTTCGGCAGCACACAAACGAATCATCGCAAAGTTTCCCAGCCTCCAAGCCCTCTTCTGGGCAGGGCAACAGCGCCATCAGCCGCAGGCTGACTGCGAAACGGTGTAGGCATTATAGCGTAAGCCGCATCGTTTGATGGCGCACTTGTAGTCGAATCTTCCCACTGAAGAAAGCCGGACACTTGTCCCTGCGCTACTGCAACTGAAAGTGATCGTCGAACAGCTCGTCCGTTCCGATCTCAAAATCCTCGACCCCGCGACCTGGCGTTGGGAGCTTGGACTGTGGTCGCGGCTCAGCTGCTTAAACGGTCCGCCATCAGTGAAGACCGGCCGATTTCCTGAAGCAAGGAAAGCACAGGAATGAATAGCAGGAGTCAACGGTGGTCCGTCCATATACGAGCCATGGCAAACACCACGTTGGCTTACTGACACCACGATGAGGCTTGAAGAGGGGCCCAACCCTCTGCGAGGAATGCAAATAACTTCAAATCCGACAAAACAGACTGGGAAGTGCACTAGCACATTCGTGCGCCCAGATCCAGAGAGACTCTAGCCGATCTCGCGATTCTTGGCCACTACACTATATCGCAAGCCTCAGTACTCAGTTTACATCGGCTGTACAGGGAGGTGCACCATCATCTCCTGCGGAATTCGTCAGCCGTGTCTCGTGGCGCTGTGGGGCAGGGAGAAAAGCAAGAAACAGGATAAGACTTCGTAAAACGCCCCTATAGAGTCCCTCAGCGGCCCCCAAATGTCTTGGGTCCTCGAGGTCCTGGTTCACTTAAGACAGGGCAACATTCCGGGAGAGCCCAACTGATTGGAGGACTCCCTTGCTGGCTACCATGATGCGTTGCTACATCGCGACCACGAAAGGAGAAGCAAAGAGATAAAAATCGTCGAGACATTGTCAAGCCACTCGAGGCAGCTGCAGCTTGCTTTGGTGCTGTGTTTTACCAAGGAGGCTTGCGCTGATGACTTTGAGGTCGCGATGGGCAGGCGGGTGTCCCAGTGACGCTATCGTCACTAGGGCGCTCCAGATCTACGCCGCGTCAATGGTTGAGGGCACTTGTATAATGTCGTGGTTTGGCTCAAGCACTCTGGTAAGGAAGCGTAGCAACAAAAAAGAGTGGGAGGTTCGGGACTAAAAAGGTAAATAGAACAGACTCCCAAGCCGGGAATATAATGGAAGTAAGAGAGTTTGCGCAGCTTTGGGAACGATGCGATTTAAGCTTAAGACCGAGTCGCGATCAGCAGGGACGGCTCGACGTGACGTAGTGCTCCACTAGCCGACCGAATTATCGGGTTATTGCCACCGGCGGCGAAGCGGGAGTGCCCCGAACTATGAAGTCACAAATTACGGGAATTACCAGGGGATACGACGCAGTCAAGCGATCGGCTCGTACCAAGACGGTTGAAAATGTCATTATCTCATTAAGGTAACAGGCTTCTGTGCTGCTACAGCACGTTTCCGAATGAAAAACATGTGCTAAGAATGGTATCTTTATGGAACCCCCAACACCGAAACCACCTTCCAATGATAACTCCTGTGATCGTATTGCTGTTCAATCGTGACTCCCGTCGCATCTCTGTTCCTTGCCCGGCATCGAGAAGTGGTCCAGCGGCTGTCCGGGCGCTTGCAAGAAAGCGGTGTATGACAACTTCGCCCGGAACTCATCACCTTCCACGATAATCCGGCTTCCTAGCCATATTCACTGGTGGAGGCTCGTCGTCAACGGGATAAGGTAAGGGCGCTGAGCTGATAGGGCGACGGCCGCCGGCTGCCTGATGTTCCGGCAATGGTGTCTTGGGAGGCAGCGGTGGTGGAATTCGTTGCGGCTGGTGCGACTGTTGTATAGAGCCGTTGTTGTACTGTTGATTCTGCCATCGCGGGTGCTCGTCGGGGCTCATGATGGCAATCTTGTCGGCGCCGGCTGCATAGCGATACTGAGAAGGCGTCGGCGCAGTAACAACCAGTCGGTCAATTTCATCGTCTTTTAGCGGAGGCGGGGGACGTTGCTCCGCTTTCGGAGCTGGTGATGGTTGAAGTCGCTCGCCAGAACTTCTGGGCGAAGGACTCATCGGCGAAGGAATATGCAGATGTTCCGTACCGGATTCGTATGACTGGCGGCTTGGCGGTGTGTTGTATGGCGGCCACGACGTGGGCATGTCGCCTGGCAACTCCACAGCAAACGACAGCGGCTCGGTGGTCTCTGAGTTTGATTTGACCAGTTCGGGGACCTCTGGCAGGCGGGAAAACCTCATGTTTGCTTTGTGGATCTTGGCCATCTTCGCGGAAGCCCCTTGGATCATTTTCTGCTCCACGTCCCGCCTCAGGTATTGTCGCGTGCTCGTGCTGATCTCGGCCAGACGGTGCCATTCGTTCATACCAAACTCGCCGACGCCAACCTCCACATTAAGGCGATAGTAGTTCTCGACGTTGACGTTCCGCTTCAGGAGGTGCTCCTTTCTCATCTGCTCGTGAATCATCTCACAGCCCTCAATCTTGGAGATGAGCTTCCGGCGGGCCTCGGCAAACTCTCCCAGAAAACCCTCATACCACATCTGCGAATTCGCATCGCTCCCTTTGGGCCGTCTGCCCGTGCCGACGCTGAGAAACACTCCAACCTCACGGCCGGGCCATTCATTCACAACTGCCTCGTCCAGAGCTTCTGGTGCAGGGTTAAAGGTGCCGCCACCGTCATCGTGGAAGACAGACTGCCCGATTTGTATGGGTTTGAAAGCCAGGCCAATCGCGCACGTGGCGCGGCCAGCTTGCCAGATCTTGCAGTCGAACTCTGGCGGAGGCTCTCTCCTCGAGTCATAGGATCGCAGGATGGCGGCAGGCGCGCCCTTGCGAGAGCCCTTGTACATTGCTAAGACGGCGCTTTGAATTTGTCAACTGGATGAGCTCCTTGGGTGGAGGCTTTGAAGTGCGTGTACTCACGTTTTGGTTCTATTCTCCCGAGCATCATATAGTCGAGCGTTTGGGTCGCCGTATCGCGAGTTGAAAGCAGGCCGTGCCATCTGCGCTTGAGGACTGCGTGCGCTAAAGCTGACGGTGCTGGCGTTGCTGGCATGCCTCCTTGGATTTGAATTGTTGTATCCACTGAGAGGGCTCATCATGTCGTTTTCGGTGCCATCGTTGCCCTCCTTTTGGTAGATGGTGTGTTCCCGGACGGCCTCCTTGATAGCCTCCTCCAGCTTAGAGGCTTTGAAAAGTGTTGATCGGTAGGGAATGCCGGCGATGGTCTTGTCCGTCTCGAAAACCATGCGCGTCATCCTCACGTAGAGTTCCTTGCACTGTTCCAGGTCCAGGCGCAATCTACCGAGCATCAGGGCGATGAGGCCGCCGGTACCGGTTCCAACAATGAGATCAAAATGGTCGCATGGTCTGGGGATTTCGTTTCGACGGGGGGCTCTACCCTCGATCTCGACGAAGGTGCGGTGCATGATTTCTTGGAGAATAATGAACATGGAGTAGCCACGAACTCCTCCACCATCTGTCGCAAAACATGTTAGTCAAGTACACCGCTTGTGGTGGCCTTCTTCGCAATCTCTCGTGCGTGGAATAAAGATTGGGCTCGCCTTGTGTCGGGGAGACTTCACGTACCTAACGATAAGATGCGGAGGGGAGGGCCCTTGGTAGTGTCCCTCCTCTTGACCCCATTGAGGTCCATGACTGGCGCGGGTTCCCGTGGGTAAGCCAGCTTGTTTGCGATCCACCGGAGTTATTTGGTTTCTGGCTGCAGTCGTCGTTTACGTCGAAGGATTTGGTTCGGGCGGTCGCAAAATGTCGCTTCGCAGGTGGGTGATGGTTATTTTTCGATTGCAGGATGAGAAAATTGGGAAGGGTCGGAGAAAACAGACTAGTAGCAAGCGCAAGTGTGTAAGTAAGTAAGGCAAGGCAAGGCGAGGCGAAGAAGGATGTACGGGTAAGGCAAAGTGCAGTCGGTCGGTCATAATCTAAAGTCTGATCACGAGTGGGAGGGTGACGCAAGAAAACGGCTTGCGCCCTGGACCGCCCACTCAGATGGAGCCCGTTTTTTTCTCGACCCTGCCACTTGCCCACTTTGCGGAGGGACTCACTTGTCAGTGTTACTCTGTGAATGAGTGAGCGAGCGAGCGAGCGAGCGAGTGCGTCCTGCAGACGTCGCGACCGTCGCTTAGGCGGAAAGAAGAACGGCGCAGAGCAGTGGCTGGCAGCGACAGCCACGGGAGGTAAAGAGAGTGCGCGCCAGAAGAGACGGGCTACTAGCAACGCCACAGCAGCTAACCTAGAAATGACCAAAATGACCCGGGGGGTTAAGCGACTTGTGACTGGGCGCGAATGGCAGGCCGCGGTTTCTACCAGGACCGATGTCTCGGCTCCCTCTTTGGTGTCTTTGGAGCGAGTGGGAGGCGGGAAAGGTATCTAAACTGGGACAAGATCTTCTCTTCAGCGAGGGCGTTGAGGGGGAGAACTCCGGCAGAGGTTGTATTGTGCACGATGATGGCGAGAAAAGGTTGCCGATCTGTTTGTGAGGGCGCCGGCGGGAGTTATTGAACAAGGAGCCGGGAGTATCGGGAGCATCTGGTAGTTGTAGGAGGTAGAGGAAGATGTTGGATACCTTGACAATGTACCTTGACGGATGACTGGCTGACTGGCTGGGCAGGAAAGCGATAGACGTTTGTCTACCTACCTAGGCTGACTTTAGCCGCTACCTTAGGTACGTAATTAGGGAAGGAGGGAATGACCAATCTGACTTTCTTACCACATGTCTTCGGTAGGGTAGGTAGGTAGGTCAGGCAGGTACGGATGGATACCTACCAGGAAATGTCGATGGGAATTAGCCAGAGCAAGGCACGGTGACGGACCCTTTTGCACGTCCCTTCCCTGCCATGGCACCTGCCGGAACGCTTATCCTCTATTGCCATTGAGCATCTACCTTGTTCGCAGGCCTCGCACACCACTGAGCTTGCCTGCTTGCATTTCTTACCATGCCGCGGTCAGTTCAGCTTCTGACATGCTCTGTCTGACCTTACGGCTTTGCCCAGACTACATGTTTCTGGGAAAACTCACCATCCTCTCTTTCCACCATGCAGTAGTACAGGCCTCCGATATGGGCGACAAATAAACAACGTGGTAGATTATCCGAATCCAGGTCTCTGCAGACGAAACATCACAGGTGCCCTCTTCTGTCGTCCACAGGAAATCAGCACTGCATCAAGAGATACCCCGAGGCATGCCGCAAGGCAGAGAGAGCGGGAAAGAGAGAGAGAGAGAGAGAGTGTGTGTGTGTGTGTGAGAGCGTGCCCGCTTGCCGCCATCCAGCTGCAAGACCAGACGGCAATCTCGCAGCAACTTACCCGAAACTGGTGCGCAGGGACGCAAAATGTTTCCTACTCGGCTACTCCACGCAAACCCCTCGCGACTTCGCCCAATCGCGCCCCATGTAGTTTATGTAACCGTCCCTCTGCTAATGGCAGTTCGGGGAGCAACGAGCCTACCTATCGACCTTGAGGCCATGTTCCTTGCTGGAGGATCCCGGGGACCTGCACTAGAACCGCACTTCTCGTTTGGGTGACGAGTCCAATCGAGGCCGTCGAACCTACCAGTCCCAGCAATGCTACCGAAGCTGCCTCTGCTAGGTGCCCCGCTCTCAATCAGGATGGTTCCCACCCTTGCCATCCCTCTTTCCATCCCGTCGGTTCTTCGCGACTCCGGCTCCTAGATCTCGTAGTTTACATTGTACCAAGCACTGGCGTCTGATGCACACGTCCGAATCCACTTCCTACTTTCTGTGGCGTGCTCGAATTCAAGATACTTGACTTCGCGTGCTCCGAAGTTGAGAATATACCCACCCGTATCCCTACCATTCTTACTTCGTCCAGAGGTACGGGAATACCCCACCAGATCCTCGGCAGCTTGCGCCGCAATGACATGGCCTGTTTCTGACCTCAGCAGCCCAAAGCCAGAGCGTCTGCATTGTGTTTCCGGCGTCTGAATGTCCGAAGAACCGCACCTTGCGTATGGAGACTGTATCTCACAGAGTGTCCCTCCAATGCAGTAAGCTTTGTAACGGGTACATTGTCCGTTGGGCTGATTACTTTCTGCGGCCTCCAACAAAGCGGCTGTCATCAGCTCTGAGTATCCTAATGCCTTGGTCATTCACCTGTCCAGTAGGATATGGGCCAGGGGACCCTTCCGGTGACTGTGCCCGCACGTCAGCAGCGCCTTCATCCTTTAGCTTCACTTGTGCCGTTGCCACGCTAGCTCCTACCTCCAGCGTTGAGAAAGGCCGTTGACCCGAGGCCTTGATTGGCTACGGTGCTTTCTTTGTGCTGAACCAGCAGGCTCGAAACCTCTTGTCCCGTGTGGCTGTGCAAGGCTTGGGCGGCTCGGTGGCACTTACCGGTACTCGCCAACCCTCGTTTGCTCCATTCTCAGTGGCAGCGTCGCCACCGACAAGCGTTCGCGTGACAGACACACGTTCCCTTTGCCCTCGGTTTCTCGCATCGTCTCATAGTCCTTCTTGGCAAGAGACATGCAGCCCAGACAAATTGACAGCTCTCGAATACTGAAAGTTTACGTCCCTCAATCACTGGGCCAAAAGACTGGATCCGTGGCTCCGTTCGTGCCCGACGAATTGTTGAGCCCAGCTAAGACGCCCCTCACGCCGGGCTTCGCGAAGCGGACTATTTTTCTTTGGGTCCCCGCGCCACACCACTGGGCACTCATTCGGCTCGTATCCGCCATCATGGAACATCCTGGGCAGTTCAATGTTGCCTTCGACTAGCAACTTCGAGAAGGTGATTCTCGCATCCCGGGGTTTAGAAGTTGGCCGAACAAGTCACTTGGCGTCGGAAAATGCGGATGTAGAAGGGCTGCTTGGAAAACACCGACGAACGGTTACGACTTGACACATTGAGGCCTGCGACCTGGGAATCACCGTCCTATCGTTTGCCGGAACGTATGCTTCAGGTGGCGCTCCGGAATCCACCGCGTCGAGCATTCGGCGACCCGGCGCATTGTCCACCGGATCGGTAACCAAGACCCAGCAGGAGTTGGGAAACAGTTGAAAAGCCCGGAGGCGACGGATCGATAGATGCCGGCTGCCTCCCTGCCCGGAGACCCACCCTCCCGACTCGGGGCATAATACTACCGGGAGCTCCCATAAATCTTGGTCTAGATCTATTTTTGCACAGAGTAAGGTTGAGGACGCAGAGGCGACCTGCAGCCCGGGATTACACTGCACTATGATCGTCGGTTCGCGCGTCACTGCTCCACCAAGAAACTGCCTTTGCAAGTGGCACAGATGTGATTCGTCGTGAAGTAGAGCGTCAGACAAGGTGTTGCACTCTCGAGCAAATCAAGCTACCGAATAAATCGGCTGCCTATCTTATTTTGAGGGACACATCATATCATCGTCAACTCGCCCAAGTTCGACAACCAAACACCTACGCAGCTATTACGAGCGATACCACAGTACAGGAAGAGGTCCCAACTTTGCTCGCACTCATAGGGCATCGTGAGTCCGACAACGCATAATGGCTGGACTTGGCCGTGTGCACCACAACACCCACAAGCTGGTGACAAAAAAAGTGATACACACAACACCCCGATTGCTACTAGTCCCCTAATTCACCTAGGAATACCTCCACGGATACCCGACTTCTTCTTTCCAAATTTCGGGAAAACTTAGATTGAGTGTTATTATGTATGAATGTCTTCTTCAATCAGAAAAATTCTGAATATTGAAGACGTCGCTGGTGCTGTTGTGAAGGCCATGGGCGGGGGAGTCTGGTTCTGTGTATCACTTTTTTTGTCACCTGCTTGACCCAGCACGTCCCCAACCTCCCAAAGCTATGTCCTCCTCTAAGTTACCGGGAGGACCCTTCATCCAAATCATCAGCGCCTGCGATCGAAGCAAAGCAGACGTGGAGTGGGAGGACCCCAGCTTCTCAAGGGTAGTGGTCCAGGCGTGAGGGCGTCAATCCCCAAACTTTACCAAAGCTTTCAGTAACTTGGGTGTTTGGCTCGTTGGACTTGATCGGCAGACTACCTAGGTAGCTTATGCCACACCAAGCCAGCCCTGAGAACACAACAGTCGACAGCATAGGGAGAGCCAAATGGGGGCGTAGTCATCAATGCAGCTAGCGCAACGCAACGAGTCGCTCTAAAGGCTGCGACCGACGGAGCAAACCCCTACAGGAAGGCGGACGCACTGGAAGCTGCTGAGACCGGATCGTGCAGCCTTAATTGGCCAGTGACACAGAAGTTGGAGTGTGAGGGTGCTGGATGGTGTGGGACCGCACATCTGCAACCATGCCTTGCCGACGTGGGCAGAAAGTGTAACCCGTCAGGTCAGCCAAGCAGGACGAGTGTCGTCTCGCGCCATTGTTATGCTCCCCTTCGGTCAACAAGTCAGGTAATTCGCTCACCTCGCAGCGCCGTTAACGGTTCGCCATCAGACTGAGAGTACCTTCCACTACGCGACTGCGCCGGCACGCCCTGTGTGTCCCGGCTGAGATGGATGGTGTGGTCGGGACTGCACTACACCCTGCATTACGGCCAAGAAAGACACTCATCTGGATGGGCATGGACGAAGATTGATGAGTGATGGATGACAGGTGGCAGGCGTCGGCCAGTCCCAGAAATACGTCAGCTCGGTGGTGTTATGAGGGCTTATCCGTATCGATACTTCAGCCATCGAGAGCGAGTACGGATTCCCTGGCGTATCACTGAAGGACCGATGGAACAGACTGGCGTGGATTTGGATCTCCGAAGCATGCCCAATGGAGCTAAAAGAAGCTGCCTTGCAGCATGACCTGGACAAAGGTCGTACATGTGGCACCAGTGGGAGGCAGAGAAAAAGGCAGCTGGCTGCATGATGGCCGGCCATCCGTCAGGCTCCAGACGCTCCAGACGCCCCAGACGGCAAGGTATGGGACTCGGCGGTCGAGGCAAAGGCGGAGGAGGGGCAAGGCCTCGAGCTGCATGAGAAGGGCGAGGGGCGCCCAAAGGATGGGCGGAGAAGAGGAGTGGTGAGAAAGTGACTGCATCAAAAAACTGACAGTGAACTTTGGGATTGTGGTATTGACCTGGCAGAGCGTCGAAGAGAAAAATCGGCAAAGGGAGCAATGAAGAAGCGAAGGAGCGTACGTAGGTACACAGAACTATGCAAAAGTCAGAGAGAGAAAGCAAGGACCCTTTCCCACGTCGAGACCCTCCCGCCTTCCCCATTTCTCAGGCTTGGATCCACAAAAATACTATCATCGGGCGGCCCTATTGTCCAATCAAAGCTTGATGCAGGTGAGAAGAGTCCAAATCCCCCAAAGGGCAACCACAGCCTCGCAGCCTCACAGCGCTCCCGCCATTCTTCCCGTGCTGTGCTCCTCGGTTTCCTCACCATCCTCCATCTCCTCATCGCCGTCATCCCGAAATTCTCGTACGATTGCCCGTTGCCTTTGCCATTGGCGCTTCCATGACCGCAACGCAACTCTACCTCGAACTGCAATCTAACAAATTGTGTTCACATTGATCCAAACCGCAGATGGAAGAGTCTCAACCAGCGAAACGGCGAAAGCTTCTCCCGCGCCAACCCTCTACCAGCACCACACAGGCGGCCCCATTTCCTCATGAATTGGTGAGCACACCGAATGAAACCAAGCGCTGCAGTGGCTAGACTGACATTGTGAATGTTTAGCCTCAGCAGCATCCAGCTCAGGAGGCCCCTCCAGCCGAACGACATGACTTCGAGTCCTTCGCGAGGCATCTGCAAGATGCCGCCATGTTAATACAACGCCAGACGGAGCGCGCGCCGTACGACAATGTGTCCGTTCTCCTTCTGCGGTGGGAAGAGGACACGTCTGTCGAAGCCGACCTCACAGCCATGGAAAACATACTTCGATCAGCCTACAACTTTCGGACCGACAGATGGGCCATTCCGACGGTGCCCAACCCCAGCATCAAGCTTGGTGTGCAGATGGCTTCCTTCCTCGAGCAGGCCAGAGCCAATCATTTGCTGATCATCTACTACGCCGGCTACGGTTACGTTGGATCCGACAACCAACTTTACTGGGCTTGGTGAGTTGAGGATCTGCCTCGAGAGCAAACCCCCGCACCGTTCTGACCGCTCTTCCATAGCAATGCCCGAGAAGATGCCGCAAAGCTCAAGTGGGACGGCGTACGCTGCTTGTTCGAAGATGCCCAATCCGACATTCTCCTGCTGCTCGACACCTGCTCAGTTCGAGACGTTCCCGTCTCTGGAAGCCACGGCATCAAGCAAGCCATCGCGGCGTGCGGTCCTGAGCAGAACCCCCGAGAAACTACAGGCAAATCCTTCACATATCACTTGATTGAAGCGCTTCACAAGTTGAGCACAGCGGGCAGACCCTTCAGTGTGCCGCGATTGCACGAAGAGGTCGTCCAGCTGAGGCAACAGGAAAATGCTCAGGCAGTCAAACTCACAAATGGTGCTAGCAAAACTCCGCCCCCGTCGACCCAGCTCCCCATATGCTTCACTCTCACGCCCAGTAAGGGACAAAGTTTGAGCTTGGCCCCATTGCCTGCTCGATCGCTTCAGCAGTCACCACGCAATGGCGTCGACGGGGACGCCCAAACGAGGACATCGCGGGAGGACCAACTCATCGACCCCGAATCTGTCACTGACCTTCGGTTCGATGAGGCAAGAGTCCTTGTGTGTACAACCTTCGTTGGGGATGCCAGTCCAGACATGTCCTTCTTTAATAGCTGGCTCCACAACACACCTCCCCTGGCCGCCAAGATTGAAGTCGAGGGAATGTTTCTCGGCCCCCCAACCATGCTTCTGATTTCGATGCCTCATTCGATCTGGAATGTCGTACAGCACGATAAGGTCTGCTGTTTCCTCGGATACATCACATCACATAACATGATTCAACTGTATCAGAAGCTGAAGGGCTCCACGGGCATCCCTAAAGCCACGGCAAAGGAGGTTGAGGACGGGCGGATTTTGTTAGAGGCGCGGGAACTAGCAGCAAGCACGCCAGCTTTGCATCGACGGTCATTAGACAGCAAAGACGCTTCATATCTTGAGGCTGCCAGTCGCGTAGATACAACCGCTGCCGGTGTGTCGTTTGCCGCTGCCGCTGCCGCCGCTGCAGCGGTGGATGGCAAGGATGATGTCGAGGATTCAGCCGAGATGCAGGAAGCCGCGGAACAGCTAAAGGCACTAAGCCATGTGCGCCATCTGAGCGACGAAGCCCCGCCCGCCGTAGAACGACAGCGTACAACCCTTCCTGATGGTGCGATACCCGCCAACCACGAGGACACAGGTTCAAGCCATGATGCGAATGAATCAGGTGCAGACGACACGATGCATTCCATCGACATGAGCACACCCAACGCAAGAACCAAACAGCGGCGATCCCTACAAAAAGCGACTCCTAAGCAAGAGACGAGATGTACGTTATGTAGCCATGCTCCTTTCAAGGACTCGTCGTCGTTGCGCAAGCACATCGCGGCTGCACACACCAGGCCATTCCCTTGCGCCTTTTCGTTCGCGGGATGCACCAGCACATTTGGGTCGAAGAACGAGTGGAAGCGGCATATCGCTTCTCAACATCTCTGCCTACAGTATTACCGTTGCTCGTCTTGCCCACAAAGCACTGTGGAAGGCAAGGGGAACGAGTTCAACCGGAAAGATCTCTTCACTCAGCACCTGCGGCGCATGCATGCACCATTCGCCATCAAGAAGGCCATTGCCAAGGGGGACAGCAAGTTGCAAGTGGAGTGGGAGGGCCATGTCAAGGAGATGCAAACGACATGCCTGGTCACGCGTAGGTCACCGCCTCAAAAATCAGCTTGCCCAAAACCCGATTGCCAAAGCGTATTCGAGGGTCCTGGCTCTTGGGACGAGTGGACAGAGCATGTTGGTAGACACATGGAGAAAGGTGAGGGTCAGCGACTCGGGGTTGATCGACTGCTGGCGAAATGGGCCCTTGACGAAGGTATCATCGAACGAAAGGAAGATGGTGAATATCGACTCTGCGCTGGCAACGGCCCTGGGCCTGGCCCTGGCGGCGGCGGCGGCGGCGGCGGCGGCGTTTCAGTCGGCGGAGATGGAAAAGATTCAATATCGGTGGTGTACCCCGAGTCAAAACAGGAAGTCGAAGCCGAAGTCGAGGCAGACAACACCGAGGACAAAATGGAAGTGGACAGTTAACCCATTGGCGCCCTCTCCATCACCCTTCGTTACCGAGAGAACGATGAAGGCCGAAGACGAAGGCGAGACAAGGGCAAAGGCGAGAGGTCGGGGTAGAGGGGAAGACAAGAGCGAGGGGTAGGAGGACTGAACTCTTAGCGGAAGTTGGCGAAGCGCTGCGGATTTTCTGTCAATCTATATACTACGGCGTCACCATTGATCGGAAGGAGTTATTGGGTACGATTGACATGAGATACATGAACGACTTTCACTCTTTTCGACAAAGTTCGCTTGCTGGCTAGCTCAGAAAACCTGGTCAGCCAGTGTGATTTAGCCGCGAAGCGCAGATTCAACGCTGGGGATGGGGAACGCACTGGAAACCACAAAAAGCAAACAGTAGTCAAGACAAAATCAGAAATCACCTTGAAGTCCTTGCAAGAAACAGACTCTGCCTACCGTAGTCGTAGACCAAGCTTTTATAATGCCGGAGCAGCTTCGGCAGTTAACTCCCTGGTGATTCCAATTGGTTGCCGCCCCGGCAGATCCTCCGATGCCCGGTGCGCCCCGGAGAGTCATTCGAGGGTCTTGACTTGGCACCGACGCCCTTTCGACGTTGCAGTAGATTGCGGGGAAGGTGGTTGTTGGTGCCTGTCATCACTCCTCAAATCGCGGCCAAAGCACCTGTATCAAGCTTCGTTATACCATGGCTTCGCGGTGGTCGTGATCGGCTGCAACCCTGGAAACGGAGCTTTGGGCCTGTCTGTCCCTGAGGCCGAAAAGGGTTGCTGATGGCTGGGCACGTGGGCACATGACACGGGCACATCCACGCAGCATCCAACCTCCGCTCTGGTTTAGTTGACGAGCCGCTGGCAGTCGATTGAAGGAACTATTCACCCCCCGGCCGATTGAGCCGGTCGCTCGCTGTGCACTAAGCCGAAGTAGGCTGGAGGATAGCTCAACGTGTGGTTCACGAGATGAGCTTGACAGGAAGACAGACATGGGGATCCCGGAGCCGGGAGGGGTTTGCAATATGGATAATTGGTGATGGGATGAAGATGTTGGCGTTTGGTTTGACCCGATAAACCGAGCTTTCTGGGCGGTATTTAATGGCCCATGTCTTCGCGATGTTGAATATGGAGAATGACTGGCCGGGTAAGGTGTGCTTCATCTGCTACCTTTGTGTGAATGTTTTCGTCTCCCTCGGAGCTGTAATACGACATAGACGTCACGCGACTACTCGCCCACCAACATGCGCCTATTCAACGGCATCGCTTCCCTCCTGGCGGGAGCAGGCCTTGCGCAGGCCACGCTTCAAATCATCCCTGGAGGGACATGGACGGCAGTAGGCAACTCTTCTTCTCTCGTGCCTTTCCTTTCTGTGCTCTTATCATTACCTCGCGACTGGATACACACTCCGTGAACCAATAAATCTGACAAAAGTACCAGACAAACACAGGCCGCCACGTCCAAGCCCACGGCGCCGGCATCACAAAAGTCGGTTCGACGTACTACCTCATCGGCGAGGACAAGACCGAGGGCTCCGCCTTCCAGAACGTCAACTGCTACGCTTCGACCAACCTGGTCGAATGGAGTTACGTCGGCGCCCTGCTCTCGCGGACGTCGGAGGCGGGCGATCTGGGGCCGAGCAGGGTTGTCGAGCGGCCCAAAGTCATTTACAACAGCAGCACCAGGAAATATGTCATGTATCTGCACATTGACAGCAGCAACTACGGCGAGGCCAAGATCGGCGTGGCGACGTCCGATAGTGTGTGTGGCAAGTACACGTATCTGGGCAGTTGGAGGCCGTTGGGGTTCGAGAGCCGGGATATCGGGCTGTTTCAGGACGACGATGGGACTGCCTATCTTCTTACCGAGGACGTGAGTCTTTCTTTTGGTTTTGTTTTTGTGCTGTCGTTGCCTGCAACATGGAAATGCGTTGCTGACGGACTTGATAACAGCGGCCCAATGGCCTGCGCATCGATGCCCTGACGTCGGATTACCTCAACGTCACACGGAACGTCTACCTTTGGGGCGAGAGCATCGAGTCGCCCGCCATCCTGAAGAAGAACGGGTACTACTTCATGTTTGGAAGCAGGCTCACCGGCTGGGACCCGAACGACAATGTACGTCTCTCCAACCCCCTCATGCTTGGCCATCTTCTGACACTCGTCAGGTCTACTCTTACGCAACCTCCCTCTCCGGCCCCTGGTCCGCCTGGAAAACCTTCGCGCCCGTCGGCTCCAAGACCTTCACCTCCCAGACATCCTACATCCTTCCTCTCGGCGACACGGCAATCTACATGGGCGACCGCTGGGTCAGCACGAACCTCATGCGAAGCACCTACGTCTGGCTGCCCCTCACAATCTCCGGCACAACCATCACCCTCACGGACCGCGTGAACTGGGTCCCCAACGTCGGCGCGGGCACCTGGGCCGCGGGCCCGACGGAGACGTCGTACGAGGGCGAAGCGGCCGCGCTCTCGGGCGGCGCGAGGGCGGTGGCGTGCACGGGCTGCAGCGGGACCTCGGCGGCCGGGTACGTCGGCGGCTCCGCGGGTGGCCGGGTCCAGTTCTCCAACGTGAGCGTGCAGGCTTCCGGCAGGACGACGGTGAGGGTGAAGCATTTGAACGGCGACCAGAGCCAGCGGTGGGGGACGGTGACGTGCAACGGAGTCTCGCAGACGGTCGGGTTTCTGCCCACCGCGGACGGAAACACGCCGGGGAGCAGCTCGGTGTTTTGTAACCTGAATGCCGGGTCCGGGAACACCATTTCGTTTGCGAGCGCGGATTCATCGTGGGTTGCTGATATTGACAGGATTTTTGTCCCTGCCAATTAGGAGGCGAGCGGAGTTCCGATCGTACAGTCAGTGGAACACGATGAAGTGAATACAATAATGATGCTTTTTTAAAAATTTATTCATTATTTGTGAGTCAAGACATCAAAAGATGACGAAAAGCCTTGGCGAGGCGTGTTGCACTAGTTGATATCGATCACGAAAGGCCCCGTCAGGGGCTTGTCAACCTCAAGCGTCTTGACAGCCTCCTGCCTCTTTCCGGTCTGTCCTCCGCTGAGAAGCGTGACCTTGGAGACCTTGAGCGGCGTCTTGTAGCCAAACTCGCCATCCACGGAAACCTTTCCGTCCTTGTAGTCAAAGGTGACGAGCGTGACGCCCGCCTGCTCCAGGCTGACGCCGTCGTCGAGGTACAGCTTACCCTTGGCAGTGCCGTCCCGTCCCACGGCAATCAGCAGCTCAAAGTTCTCCTCGCGGAGCTTGGTGGTTGTCATGGCGCTGTTGGCGCGCAGGGGCAGCACGGAACCGCCGCGGATGAAGAGGGGGATCGTGGTGTAGTCCTGGTCCTTCAGGGTAACCGTCGCGCCGGCGCCCTGGATCGTCTCGTGGGTGTACCAGTCGTAAAAGACGTCGTCGGGCAGGTAGACATCGACAGAGGTCGAGTTTTCCTCGGTGACGGGCGCGACGAGAACGGCGTCGCCGTAGAAGTACTGCAGGTCGAGGCCGAAGGTCTTCTCGTCTCCCGGGTACAGGTAAAAGAGCGGGTTGATGAGCGGGGTGCCGTCGACCGTCTGCTGGTGCAGCGCCGTGTAAATGTAGTCGAGAAGGCGGTAGCGGATAGTGATTGCCTTGCGGGCGCTGTCCGCCACGGTGTCCCAGAGATAGAACTCCTGCGAGATGCTATCGATGGAGTTGTGGTTGCGGAAGAAGGACGAAAAGGCGGCGAGAGCGGCCCAGCGTGCGCACAGCTGCTCGGTGGTGTTGTCGCCGAAGCCACAGGCGTCGGAGCCGACCATGGGAACCTGGTAGACGGAGGCAAACTGAAGCAGCTGGGAGATGGAGATGCGGTACAGCTGCCAGTTGGAAAGGTTGTCACCGAGCCAGTGACCGACGGCTGCTCCGGCGCCGGCGAAGGTCGAGCGTGTGATGATGAGAGGCCGAAGACCAGGGCGGCGGGCCTCCATTGCGGTCCTGGAGGCTACCGACATCATGGACCCGTAGAGGTTGTGAGTGTCGTACATGGCGAGGCCGTTCTGGTGGATGACGTCCGTGTTGACCGTCTTGTTGGAGATGCCGCCGCGGGCCGCGTTCGAGGCCGTGTCCCATGCTGCCTTGTTATGGATGGCGTACTTGGGGAAGAGGAGGTCGCGGTCCGGAAGGCCCTTTTGGTCGCCGGATGCCTGTCTCTCGGCAATAATCAGATTGTCAAAGTTCTGGTTGAAAGGGAGCGTCCTAGGAGAGACGTCCTTGCGAGCAAAGACATCAGATCGCTTGGTTTGGTTGTTGCCGCAGTCAGTCCCAGGAGGTTGAAAGTCGCAAGGCCAGCCGGGAAGGGGGCGGGGATTTTCGCGGACCGGTGGCGGCTCAGGGGGGTAGCCGACAGCGGAGGCGTAGGGGTCGTCGCAGGGAAAGTAGCAGGGGAAGTTGGAGGGCTCGTTCATGTCAATCCACAAGGCGTCAATGTCGACACCGTCGTCGGCCGAGAAGAAGTCGGCGAACTCGTTGTTCCAGTACGTTGTAATGTTCTCGGCGAACCAGTCGGGGAAGACAGTCACACCGGGCCAGACCACGCCGACCCAGACGGAGCCGTTGCTGCGGAGAAGCCAGATGTTGTCTTCGATACCGCGTTGCAAGGTGGGGGATTCGACGTAGGCCACTGCAGGGTCTACCATAACAATGTAGTGCTGATCGTTCTCGTGAAGCTTGTCGACGAGCTGGCGCACTTTTGCGAGAGGGTAGCGCTCCGGGTCGAGGGAAAAGACTCTGTATGGCATTAGCGTATATCCGCGGGGATGAGACTTGGGGTGAACGAGGCGTACCTTCTCCTGTCCATGTAGTCAATGTCTGTCCACATGGTCTCGAGGGGAATCTCGGCGATGCTGTAGTTGTAGACAACTTCAGCAACGTTGAAGACGTCACGGTATCCATAGCGGCACTGGTGGAAGCCCAGGCCCCAGTATGGCATCATGGCGGGCAATCCGGTGATCTGAGCATACTGCTGGGTCACCTCGATGGGAGAGGGTCCGGCCACAAAGTAAAAGTCCAGAACCCCGCCAAGCGTGTTGTACTCAAGGTACTGGCCAGACTCACCCGTCTTATTGATGAAGACATCCATACCGTTGGAGTTGAGGAAGAAGACTCCATGGGTGCTGTTCTTGCGGTGCTCGTAGTAGACAGGATGGTTTCCGTACAGATTGGCCCCGGCGGGAATGCCGTATGAGTCCTGGGACCACAGCGTGCGGACGTAATCAGTGGTGTTGAGACGGAAGGGGTCGGAATGCTCGCCCAGGCCATAGAGATTGGGGTTTTCCGGCAGCTTGGTGCGGAGGCGCAGGTACTGACTCTCAAAGACAATGTTGGTGCCCGAGGTGTCGAAGAGGACCTCGCCCGTATCGGACCGGCTCACGGTGAAGGCAAAGGGGCTCTCGGTGTAGTTGAAGCGAAGCTTGGATCCCTCCGTGCTCACGCCGCCGGCATCGGGGCGGGGGAATACGGACTCGGGGATCTGGTAGACCTGGTTTCCGGCATCCTGGATCTTGACGTGGAGGCGAGTGTCTACCAGGCGTCTCAGCATTGGTTCACGTAGGAGCTTCCAATGATGAAGCAGAGGTGTTAGGATGCTCACCAGTCTGATACTCGACAGTCAGAGTCAGGTCGGTCAAATCAGTGCCGTAAGCGTTACAGGCTTCGCCGGCTAGGGAAAGTTCTGCGGTCAGGCCGGTAGAGGAGGTCTGGACGTTGGAAGCTCGGTAGCCCGGGCATGTTGAGAGGGCGTCTTCACTGAGGTAGTCTCTGCGGATAACTGCAGCCGAAGCCACCGCTGTGAGCAGCCCGAGGACAGAAAGGGTTCTCGCCATAGTTGATGGCAAGGCTTTCGTTTCTGACCAGTGTTGGCAAGGGTACTCGAATTGGTGAGAGACGACAAAGGTTCCACGACAGGATCAGAGCATGGCTCCGTGGCGAGCTTTATACTCGGTAGTGTGACTGTGCGATCTTTGGATCTGCAAAAAAGTACCCATGTCAATTGGAACCCCGCCGGGATTGAGAGGGAAGGGGAAGGAGTTGGCAGCGATCGCCCTCCAATCGTTTATCCCAAGAGCCAGGACATCATTATGCATGTGGTGAATTTTGCTTCTCGTATGACTGGCGCTTGTTGTGCAGTAGACAACGGTAGCGAATGAGCTAATGGTCGATTGGGTAGCAGGGCCACGGCGCGAACGTCATCCGGTCTTTCATCTGCGCGGGTCCGGGTCTCCCAGGCGGCTTCGTGGTGTGCTGTGGATGGTGCCCGTCGTATTCCCCTGGCGCCTAACTTGCCAAGAGCCCAGAGCTTAGCACTGGTCATTTTACTGTAGAAGTCTATTTGATTGAGTGGCTCGAGCGAGCAATGCAGCGAAACAAGGCCGCCAGTAGTTTACGTGATTATGGAAACAATGCCTCGACCTATTAGAGAGCGGCAAGCATGTTTCTTTCCCCTTTTGCTTCCCCGCACCCTCGCTTTCGAGGCTAAGGGAACTTCAGTAGCGTGATGACGATGATGATGTGCAGCTGTACAATTGGAGCTGGGAAAAAGGCCGAAATGGAGAAAAGTCCGCATGATGCTCAGGCGCAGCTAAGGGTAGCTGTGTCATAAGTGAGCCATCATTGGCAAAGGCAACGTCAAGGAGGGGGGAAAAAACATGGGAGCACCCGAAGACGTCCAATGTTGTTTTTTCATGTTTGGTTCTAGCCTCTCCATCCTCTGCGGTTGGGATGGATAAAGGACAGGGGCTGGCTCGGGTGTCGCCAACGGCCCGACTGGTGGCTTGACCGGATGGCGGGGGAAGCTTCTCAAAGCGGTACATCACCCCTAAGACCTCCTTGCCAGCCCCGCATGCCCCAATCACCCCGCACCCGCTAAACACCCGGTGTGCCCTGTAAGCCCCTCGGTAAAACTGACCCGACGGCGGAGTCTCCGCAAGCTTATTCCCTGCCATCTTGTCATCCCTCTTGTTGTCGCCGCTTCGAATGCTTCCCACTGCTTTTGTGTTACCCCATCGCGTAGCACGCTTAGCCTGCACCCCAGTCGATCCGGGGGAGCTTGGGGCTCGGAGCAGACAACCCCCGATGCTGTAATGGCCGAGGCATGCATGGCCTCGGCCAAACCGTCGGAAGGATCTCCTGCATCCAACGGGCATGTTTTCTCGGAAGGGTTAGGGTAGAAAGGCAAGACGAAAGGCAAGGTACTAATTGAATCGCCTGCCAATCATCACTCCATCCAAACATCCCGTGACGGTTTGGGGGACCGTGGTTGTTCAAGGCCATAGCATGGGGCCACGATTGCCTCCTTCTTTTACGTCACCTTAGCTGGTCATTCACGGCCACCTTGTGAAAGCATGCCGCTAAGTTCCCGAGACATTCGGCTGGCTTGGCCACAAGGCATCGATACCATCCAATAGTTATTTGGTTCCAGTGTCTCGGAATGCTTTGTTTCTGGGAGTCTCTCCCTTGGCTTTATTCAGGATTGCGCTCTGTTTTGTGAGACTGTGAAGTAAAAAGAGGTTCTAGACCTAGACGTCGTAGAGTTGAAGCATGGGAGGGGTTCAATTGAGCAGAACCATGGGGTGTGTTTCTGTGCTCCAACAAATCTCCTTCCCCTGGAAATCTTTCGGAATGTTATCCAAGTCTGGGCAGACTGGATGTAAGTGCAACTATGAGGCCATGAGATGGACGGGAAGATAATGTCCTCCTGAACATATCCTGCAGAATCGCTAGGTTGATAGTCCTCGCACGTTGCAACTGTTTGAAAGCTCCTTTGACTATGGCAGTATCTACTAATTTGGTAACTCTAGGCTGTAACCATGGCTCATTTGAGTAACTCATCAATATCATCTTCCTATCTGAAGGTCTTGCTGTGCAGGAGATATGTAAAACCATCACCTCACTGAGAATACACCTCGTAAGATAGCTTTCATTACTTAAATCACTCACTTCCTGGACCTAAACTATTGAATCCTAGGCAGCGAAGTAAACCCAGAATTTCACTGACATGCATCCGTCAACGCACGATGAGCTTGGACCGTCGAGCGCCCGATATCCATAATCTTTTGGCACCGCGATGAAGGCAGCTGCTTCACGTCAAGACGAGAAGAAACAAGCCTCTTCGTGTCTTGCCTTGGTCCATTCTTTCCTCTTCTTCCTCATCTCACCTCAAGGAGTTCAACACTGGCAAAACTCGAAATCCCACAAACGTCGCTTTCAACTAATGGAATACGCCCCCTTTTCTCAAGGGTTCCTATCCATTGACGGTCTTATTTCCTGCTCTTCTCGACTTGGAAGAAGCGAATACCTCTCATTTCGGGTTTTTGTTTGCCAGATTTCGGTCCTCGTTGACCTTTGCTAGCGGATCACCACTCTATCACACCAGGCTTCTGCTCCTGAAGGCAGCCACTTGGTCCTTTTTGAGCCTTTCCTTTCCGACCAACCTTTTTTTTACCTTTCTCACATTAGGCAAAAGACATCTTCAAAGAGGTGGGATTTGCTCTGCTAGACTCCTTTGCCCTCGCTGACCCTTTGCCCAGGCAGACGCAGAGACCAATCATAGCCCCTTTCCGCCAACTTCGCGAAGGAAACAATCAAGATGGCCTCTGAGGACAGCAACAAGAACAAGGACTTTAAGAGTGTCCGACGCAACCTTTGGCCAGCAGCCCATCCCATGATGAAAACTAGCGAGATGGAAAGCCAGCAGAAGAAGCTCGCCGATGACATCCAGCAGCAGCAGACCAACGCTTCGTCCCCTGTTGAAGACGAGCGCCATGATGCCTTCTCAACTAGCATCGAGAAGACCATCAGAGAGATGAAGCCTGCCGGTGGTTTTCCGAACGAGGACTCAACCGGCTCGAGCCTTACTGATGAGGAGCGCCGAGAAGCTTTTCTCGCTGATCTCTACGAGGGCCCATATGTCAACATTGGCCGACCCATTCTCGTGCCCGTCCCCCGCTTGGGTCGCACAAACTTTCGTGGCGCCAACGCTCTCATTGTTGACGGCTCGTCGAACGATATACAATCGCTCAGTCGCTTTCGCAATAACTCACCTGGCGTCGATGATGGCCCCGCAACTCCCGGCAGCACCCGTGCTCCGTTGACCCCTATTCACCTACGCTCCTTGTCTGTTGATGAAGCCCCCAGGTCTAACAAGGTTGTCCGTCTCGAAAAGAGGGAGAACACCGGCATGGACATCGACCATGCCATCTTCGACCCGAACCGAAAGGACTTCGTGGCTCTTGAAACGAAGGGCAAGGCCATTGACAGCGCCCAGATCGACTCAGCCATGGACATCGAGAAGAACGAGGCTAAGCCTGCCCCCTCCACACCGCCCCATCACCCTCCTGGCTTCAAATGGGTAGACAGTCCGTATGTCGCCACCCCTGAACGCCCTCGCACCGCCAAGACGGCCCCGGGCGTAATGTCCGTCTGCGATGACATGGAGGCGGACGAGTCGCCTTCCCTCCGCCGCCAGATGGAGCGTCTCCGTGTCACCTCGGCTGGCGCCTTGAACTCGTGCCCGACTGCCAGTTCCGGCTCCTTCAGCCGTCCTACCGGCCGCCCCCAGGGCCCTCGCCCATATTTCTTCGGCTTCCCGGTTCCGCGTACGCCAACAATGGGCAAGAGAGGTCGGGGTGAGTTTGAAAAGACAATCACCCTCTCGGGCAGAGACGTCGCGCGCGAGCGCGAGATTCTGGCTCGCTTCGCCGCTGCCGCCAAGGACGAGGAGTACGAGGAAGACGAGAAAGAGGAAGGCGAAGTGGAGGACGAGGACGACGAGGATACGCCCAAGGCGTCGGTTCTCAATCGCCGTATGGATGTCGACGAGGAGTAAGCGGCCACTTGGCCAAGACTAGAATCATGCTCTTTGTACAGGGCCTCTATCAATTCTCTCTCTTTGCCGTTTCTGAGGTGGTTTTCTCAGTGCTCTTTATCTTAGTGCCTCTGTCTAGTATTGTCATCATTTCGGTACTCCTAATGTCCCGTGTTGGTTTGTTCGTCTCCTGTGGCCTCTATTGACGTCCACGTTACTGCAGAGCCGCGAATCTTGATTTCAGGACATAATAGTCCAAGTCGATAAGACCAAAATCAAAACAACCAACGCTAACAATGCTCTAGATGTCACTGGGGTGAGTTGGGGGTTGGATCAAGGGTGGTTGGTTGTCGCTTCCTTTGTAGGCAGTTTGTGCATATGCTGCAAAACTGGATATTGCTAACACTCGCTAGCGCCTGACGATTACGCCGGATACAGTAATATCACATCCACAAAGTGTGTCTTGCAGCAATCACACCCCCTTCTGCCCCTTCCACCCTCCTCCACCACTCCAAACCCGAAACGGTACGGCCAGAGTAATTGAGGTACCTTCGACGAGGCCTTTCGCGCACCCAGATAAGCTCCACACCCAAGTGCCAGTCGCCAGTCGCCAGTCACTCAATCGCCTCTCTTTTCCGGCGGCGCCAAATTGTCCTGTCCCCGGTTCACCTTCGGGGAAAAGGTCCATCCATCTCACAGCTGCCTGCCAGTTGTTACAAGCCGGCCCACCCAAGAGCGGGTAGAACACCAAGGGCCATGAACTTTCCCACTTCATCCTCCAACGACTTCACCTTTAACCTCAACGCCAGCTCCAACGCCCAGTTGCAGCAGCAGTACCAACAGCAGCAAAACCACTACCCCCAGCCGCAGGTTCATTTCTCCGCCCGCCAGTTGCAGCTGCAGCAACAACAACAGCTCCATCAACAACAGCTGCTGCCGCCGCCGCCGTCTCCTCCACCCGCGTCATCTGCCACCGCGCAATCCCTCTCCGCTACCCAGCAAGCCCTTGCACACGCGCAGTATCAACAATTCATCCTCATGAACGGAATGAACGGCGGCAATGTGCCTAACGGCATGGGCGGCGTGCCCACTCCGGCCGGCCAGCAGGCCGAGCTCAACTACATCTATGGCATGGTCGAGGAGCTCAGTCGACAGCTTGCGGAGAATCGTCGAGTCACCGAGGACATTGTGTCTGGCCTTGGAAGAGTGCGCAGTCGTGCGAGGACGCAGGGGATGAGCAATGAGGACCTCATACACAACGCTGCCGATGACATTCATGGTACGCAGTGACATCCAATCCAATTCCTTCGCATCAATATGCTAACCTGGTCATAGCACAAGAACAGAACCTCGACACCCTCATCTCCATCCTCTCCGAATCCCTTGAGAAGGCGAAGTACAGCCGCGATGCTAACGCAACCCTTCTGACCCAATACGCGACAGTCCTCGCGGCCATGCTGAAGCAATTCCACGAGTACAAAGCAAAACACGTCACGGATGTCGCTGCATGGCACCGCTCCTACCGCTCTCAGCTCGCCGAAGCACGCGCCGAGAATAGCAGACTCCGAGAACAGATATGGGAGATGCAGGAGCGCGCCGGAAAGGCCAATGAGGCGCTGCGCAATTTCCGCCGAAAGTACGACGAGAACGAGACGAGGTGGGACCGGCGCGTTGAGGAGGTTGCCGCACGCCAGGAGCTGCGTTTCTGGAAGCGGATGGCCATGCCTGAAGTCAGCGACGAGGATCCCTGCTGGAGCGACGACGACGACCTCATCGACCCTGCGGAGAAAGAGCGGCTAAGGGAGCTGGAGAAGAGGGCCGCCCAGGAACAACTTGCCGGGAGCCAGCAGATGGGTGACGAGTACTCGCGTCCACAGTCACCGGAATCTAGCATGATGGGCGGCGTCCCCATGCAGCGAGATCTGGGTATTCCCATGGGCATGCCTGTACCTCCGCCACGGCCCTCGAGCGCGACGTCCAGCACCGGCTCTTCTGGCCAATGATCGAACACAGCGTTTGGAATTTTCTGAAGCATGCTATCGGGCATCATGGGCGCAAGGGACATCTCGGGTAAAAGAACTATTCGGCGTTGGGTATCGGGTCTGGGATGGGAGGAACGCTTGAAGACGAGCGATCGCATTATACCTCATGTTACACTTGCCAAGCAGCTTGCCTCTGGCCAGCATTGTCACGAATACCCTAATGGTTTTTTGGAATGGACGACTTTAATGATCCTGCCTCAAAAATATACTGCGGTCACCGCACCGCGGGCACATTGGTATATACTGCTCTTTTCTGACCGGAACGCCTCGTGTGACCCGGCATAACCTCTAGCCTTGTCCTTCGTTGCCCTTCTCCACCCTTCCCTGCGTGTACAAGTACAACAGTGACAGGGAGAATCACTTCTTATTGACGGTAACAAGAGTAGGTATTCCCATGTCCAAGCTGGAGCTGTACGTATGGATGCCCGTCCGCACGTCAACCTGGTCCAGAGGAATCAGGACAGGTTGCTTTAGCTTTTTGAACATGGATTGCCAGAACCGGTAGCCAAAGTACAGGACAAATGGAATCATGGTGCCAATGTTGTCGCGAATGACGGCCTGAGCATCATGGTCGCTGACGGGCCAGATCGCCGTCAGAATATTGGCGGACAGTCCTACGACGCAAATCACGACACCGACCCAGGCACCCCAAACACCAAAGGGGCTGTTCCAGAGAAGCGTTTGGAGGTCATGTCCCTGTGTAGCCCACGCCTTGCGGAAGCGAATGTGGCTCACGCAGATGGAGGCCCAGGTGTAGTAGTTGCTCGCTCCCGAGAGGCTCAACAACCAGTCAAAAATTGCACCGCCACCGGGCGCCAGGTTGACAAAAGCAACCAGACCAAAAACGAAGGTGACCATGAAGGCGTACACCGGCACACCCCACTTGACCGTAGCGCCCCAGCGGGGACCCATGCCCTTCTCACATAGAGCTTGGAACGCACGGCTAGCGGCGAAGATGCTGGTGTTGGCCATCGAGACGATGGCGAGGACGATCAGGGCGTTGAACAAGCTTGGCAGGTGCTGGATGTTGGCGAGCTGGGCGGCCAGCGTGAAGGGGCTGTACTTTGTGCCGTGGCCGGTCGAGGCCAGGCCCGGGTCGTCCGAGGGTACGACGAAGCCAAGAAGAAGGAGCGAGACGATGTAGAAGAAGAAGATACGGGCGAAGACGATCTTTGTCGCGAGGGGGAGGGCCTTTTGCGGATTCTTGCACTCGGCTGCCGTCATCCCGAGGAGCTCCGTGCCCCCGTACGACATCCCCGCGACACGGAAGACCACGAGGAAGCCTGAAAGGCCGTTCTTCACGGCGCCGGGGTCGTGCCAGAACTTGGCGCCCGTTCCGTGCCTGCAACGAGTTAGCTATTCTTGGCCGACGGATATGGAGGGGAAAACTTGGAGGTGTACCGAGGATCTGATGGCACGGCACCAGTGATGATGAAGATGGCCACGAAAATGAAGACGGTGATGGCGACGGCCTTGCCGACGCCAAAGGCGTGCTCGATCTCCCCGAACCACCTGGAGCCAAGGAAGGAAGTGGCCGTCAGAGTGACGAGGATGGGCGTGATGATGTAGGCCGGCTGCAGGTCCGGGACCCAATACTTCATCTGCGCAGCGATGACGGTGAGCTCGAAGGGGAAGACGATGAGCCAGTTGAAGACAAAGTTCCAGCCCATGGCGAAGCCCCAGGGCTCGGATATCATGCGTCTGGAATACTCGTAAAAGGCGCCAGCGACGGGAAATGCGGCTATGTCTACACCGTTAGCGATGCCACTGGCCATTGGTGTCCATTACTTTAAGCCTGCGAGAATATGTGTGGATATCCGTGGGAAACGCCAGGCGGTAAATACTAGCAGAGCGGGAAGATGGTTTACCTGCTAGCTCTCCCAGACAACCCATCGTGCAAGTCACACCAAGACCGACGACTGCAAAGTTGGTAACCAGCGACAACGGTCCGCCGGAACTTAGAGCGGCACCGGATCCAACGAATAGACCAGCGCCTATGGAGCCCCCTAGTGCCATGAAAACCATGTGTCGAATGCTGATATTTCGCTTCAGCTTGTCGCCCTCGGTGGTTGGGACTATTTCAACACTGCCAGCCCCGCTGGGCGTTCTCGAACCCACGGCCTTGGCTTCGACCATCGTTGTCGTTACCTTTCCAGACTTGTCATCGTCGGCTTGCGAGAACGACATACTGGCAGGACGAAGAGAGATATGTATGGGGCCAGAGTAGGGCAATGGACAAGGGAAGTTAAAAAAAAAGGAAAGACCGACGGGGGGAGACGGACGGGCTGAAGATGGCAATTGATGATACTGTGAATGAAGAACTAGCTTATGTATATGGAGAGAAATGCATAAAGTGGCTTTGGAGCGGGGGCAAGACGGCTCTAAGGTAGATATGGGGAGATGTCGATGTCGAGGAGGCGTAACGAGAGCCACACCACCCACGGTACGGCCATTTTTGGCTGTGCTCGAATCATTCACGATAGGGGGCGCGGGGCTGGATTGCCTCGTCACCAGGTTGGAGGCGTTTCCGAGGACATAAGGTTCTAGACGTGTGTCCTGGCTATCGCCGCCACGATATGACGGTGGCAACGATAGGCTCGTCTCTTCCCACTTCAGAACATCCTTATTCTGTTTGCTCCTCGTTTCCTCCAATTATGGTCAACGTTGTATTGCAGAGAAAAGGACAAAAGAGGAAAGCAGAGGGAGAGCAGTGCTTTCCCAGACAACTAAAGGAGAAAGAAAGGCAGATGCGAGAAAATTCATTGGTAAACGCAGTCAGGATTTGGTGACACTTCTCTACCCAATTTCCCTTTCTTGATTTTACTGCCCGCATTCCACCGTGATGATTTCGGAGCGTAGCTGAACTTCCAGGTCCCCGAGCCAGTCTAGCTACGGATATTATTTCGCACATGCCGGGCAAGGTAAAGGTAAGCGAGGGCCTCACCTGATGATGAGAGCAAAAGAACAGTGCTCGAGACGCTGTCCTTTGAAAGCAGCAACAGGTACGCACCCGACTTTCCAGAGGGATTTCGAAATCCGCGTCTTCACAACAACGCAGAGTCACGTTCAATAGTAAATCTGAACAACGGCTCCGTGTTACAGTGTATTTGTATTCGCGTTTCAATGCCCTTGCGAGGTATTCCAGTGAGGCCATTCGGACCTGCCATCACGTCAACGAAGTGTATCCAAAGTGCCAAATTCAGACCAGAGTCCCGACATCAAGGTTGCTGCGCATTGAATTTCATTGGTGCGGACTGATCCCTATGACCTCGAAGCAACTCTTTCAACAGGGTTATCTCCTCTTCAACCATGGGGTTGGCACCTGTTTGGTGATACTTCCAAGGCAACTGGATGGCTTAATTGTATTAAGGTTGCGGCATGACTAGAACCATGATGTCTAGCTGTGGCTGGCGCAGCTGTGGATGCTTCGGTGTTCCGTAGAACTGCCCGCTCTCGCCTCCCGAAGTGCTGCATGTGCCAGGTGGTACACAAAGCCGAGTTGATTCCGAGTGAGGAACTCGGCATCGGAGCGAACGTCAAGGTAACAGAAGAACAAATGTCAATTTCTAGAGCCAGAGGGACTCGCCACACCAGCAAGCCTGATCGAAGGCTTGCAATCCCAAAAACCTCATGGACCAAGCCTTTTCGGCAGGTCTTTTACCCAGTTGATATCAAACCCCGCCCCTGCTCACCAACCCAATAGTCATAATATTGTACAAGTGCAGACCTAGATCGACAGAGAATGCCTTCGTTTCTAGGGAAACAAGATTCGGGAAGCCTCAATATCCACTCTGTTCCCTACGCTGATCATCCCCCTCCTCGTCCTTGGAGCCATTGGCTGCTTCTCCAGCATCCTTGATGGCCTGCTCGTCGCCTCTGAGCTTGGCAAAGTAAGACTTGATGTCCTCTGCGCCAATGGCTTGGCCACTTTCCGCAAATTGCTGGAAGAATGGCTTCAGCTGCTCCTTGAGGTGGTTGTACGCCATGACACCCTCGATCGCACGAACGCGGTCAACGTTTCGTAGAGCACTTTCGCCACGCTCGAGGAGACTGCCGCTGCCGTTAGTTGATCCGCCGTGCTCTGAGTTTGCACCGTCTGAAAGCGGCGGCTCGTACGTCTCCTCCTCCTCCAGCAGCTGCGGGTGCGGATCAAGGTTGCGGTAGCATGACGAGCAACGGCAGAAGTGGTTACGGAAATCTTCCTTCATGAAGAGTGAGAACTCCCCCTCCGGCGGAGGTGGGAGTGCTGCCCACTTGCAAGTAGACCCGCCTTCATCCGGCTCTTCTTTTACTTCTGCGGCACTGTTGTCGGGCTGGTTCTGCGATGGCTCTGAATCACCTTTCAGTCGCTTAACCTCCGGTTCAGCACCATCATCTTCCGCCTTGCGTTTCTTGGCAATTTCCTCTGTGATTGAAGCCTCCTCTTTCTTCTGATTCGAGAAGACGGCGGGCAAGAATCCCTTGGCACCGGCGTATTTCTTGATCCATGGATTGGCGTTAACGCACTTGTAGCAGAGGAATGCCTCGAAGTCGTCTTCGCCTGGGAAGCCGGGCGGCATCGGCGGATCATCGTCGTCTTCCTCCTCTTCCTTGGTCTCAACAGCTGCCGCCCCGTCTGCTGGGCGCGCCTCTGAATCTTCCGAAATTGTCGGCAAAGCTGCTGCTTCTGTAGTCTCGTCCTTCGGTTTGGCCGCACTCTCCTTCTTCATACCCTCGAACCAGTTGGGGCCTAAACCGACCAAGCAGCCGGGGTGGTACCAATCTTCGCCACAGCCGCCAGTCTCGGCGGTCCCCAAGCCCAAGCACTGGAACATGGTGCCCTTCTGTTGGAATGGGTCGTAATCACACTCGCACGCACAGAACCTGTTCCTGAAGTTCTGGTTATACTTATTGTTCGCATCCGGTTCCTCCGAATGAACGCCGCCCTTGGTGTTGGTGGCGGGATTAATCCGCAGGCTGCAGGGGCTTGTAGGTGGATATCGCTTCGTACCGCAATCGCATGTGAAGTTTCTCTTGGTGAAGATCTCGACAAGGGTGTGTTCCCCGTGACACTGGACCGAGCAGGCATAGCAGACGCCTGCGCCTTTGTAGGGGTCCTTCGGGTTCGCGGGCGCCGGATTGCAAGTCAGACAGGCGAAGACGCTCTGACGAAGGGATCCGAGAATTTTCGTGCAGTTCTCGATGCTCTATATACAGTCAGATTGGTTATTCTTTTCATAGATGGGATGCGAAGGAACGGACGTAGGGAAGAGCTTCGCGCGCGTCGGCTTCTAATTGCATCTGATCGCGGATGAACCTAAAAGAAAGACAGGGTTAGCTTAGGACCACACATGATAATTTTGGGATGTTGGCGCACTCAGCAGCAGTTTGAGAGTCGTTGGATTTTTGTGACGAGAAGCTCTCGCTGCGCGCAGCCTTCGGCGCGCTGACAGCGACAGCGGCATCAGCGTCGCCAGACGCAGCTGGTGGCGGAGGTGGGTTCATCGACATTGTGACAATGGATCGCACTGTGATGAGCGTGAAATGGTGGAGATCCGATCACAGATTGTTTTCTTGGTCGCGAGAGAAAACTAGTAGAGTAGAAAGATAGGAAGTTGTTGGATAAACAGCAGGCGTTCCGGGTCTCCAAGAGCATCGAGAAGTCGCGTTCGGGGAAGTACGTCAGATACGTACCACAGCTTCCACTCTCACTTGCAGCTGCCCACAATTGCCCATTTACGCGTCGTCCGTATCAGGAAAAGTGCCACTTTACGCGCTCATCCCTGGCGCGATTCCCCCTGGCGACGCGGATGGGTCCTAGTTCTAATTTCGCACTTCTGCCCCCTCCACGTTCTCCCCATTTCTGCATCCCCTCTCCTTTACAATCACTCTTCGACGATTTCGTCGCAAACTTTCGCAATTCAAAAAGAGGACCAACCTGCTGCTGTACCGTGCCTCTTTTCAATCTGCAATCATGAGGTAAGACTTCCGAAACTTCTTATTTGATCTCGAATATGGAGTCGCTCCACTAGAGTGAGTGCGGAAAAGACTTTGGCGCTGACCGTCAACTCAGTTCTCCTCTCAGAAGCAACCCTAGCTCCGCCAACAGAGGGACGCCCGCTCGATCGAGTCGTAAGCGTGGTCGTGCGAATGGCGACGATGGGTCTTCGGTTGCTCCAGGATCAAGTCCTATGCCCTCGTCCCCCCGGCACCCTTCATGGCACACGGCGGTGACGATGATGAGGACATCGAGGACGAGGCCGAGATCCAGGACGACGACTTGGACGAAATTGATGAGATGGCTGAAGACGAAGTCGACCTTTTCAGAGAGGGTTTCGAACAAGATTACAGAGCCAAGGAAGATGATGGATACGAAGGCATTGATATCGATGACGAGGGCGAGTTCGGCGACATGGACCTCGCTGAGAGACGAAAGCTTGAAGCCCAGCTCAACCGCCGAGATAGAGAGGTTGCTCGTCGGCAAAGAATTCCTGCCGCTTTCCTTCCGGGCGAAGACGATGAAGGCGATATTGATCTCTCGGCTCAGCCTCGACGCCGTCGTCACCACTACGATGAAGACCCCGACGAAGACATGGATGCCGATATTATGGATGAGGAGCTTTCACTCGAGGCCCTCCAAGATGTCAAGGCTGCCAGTCTGACCGAATGGGTATCTCAACCCTTTGTGCAACGAACCATCAAGAGGGAGTTCAAAGCTTTCTTGACGGAGTACACCGACGAGCATGGCTCCTCGGTCTATGGCAACCGTATTCGGACCCTCGGTGAGATCAACGCTGAGTCTCTCGAGGTTTCCTACGAACATCTCTCCACATCCAAGGCCATCCTGGCTTACTTTCTGGCCAATGCACCGGCTGAGATGCTGAAGCTTTTCGATGAAGTTGCCATGGATGTTGTGCTCCTTCACTACCCCGACTACGAGCGTATCCACGCTGAAATCCATGTCCGCATTTTCGACCTCCCTGTCCACTACACCCTGAGACAGCTTCGTCAATCCCACCTGAACTGTTTGGTGCGTGTCAGTGGTGTTGTGACGAAAAGAACAGGTGTCTTCCCTCAGCTCAAGTATGTCAAGTTCGACTGCACGAAGTGCGGCATCACTCTTGGCCCTTTCCAACAGGAGTCCAACGTTGAAGTGAAGATTTCGTACTGCCAGGCCTGCCAGTCTCGGGGTCCTTTCACACTCAACTCGGAGAAGACCGTGTACCGCAACTACCAGAAGCTCACCCTTCAAGAGTCCCCCGGCACCGTTCCGGCAGGTCGCTTGCCTCGCCACAGAGATGTCATCCTCCTGTGGGATCTCATTGACAAGGCCAAGCCTGGTGAAGAGATTGAGGTTACTGGTGTTTACCGAAACAACTACGACGCTCAGCTGAACAACAGGAACGGCTTCCCTGTTTTCGCTACCATCCTGGAAGCAAACAATGTCATCAAGTCTCACGACCAGTTGGCAGGTTTCCGTATGACGGAGGAGGATGAAAATGAGATTCGAAAGCTTTCGAGAGAGCCCGGCATCATCGATAAGATCATCAATTCCATGGCACCAAGTATTTATGGTCACACGGATATCAAGACGGCCGTAGCGCTGTCTCTCTTTGGTGGAGTCGCCAAGGTGGGACGGGGTTCTCACCAAGTTCGAGGTGACATCAACGTTTTGCTTCTGGGTGACCCTGGTACCGCCAAATCTCAGGTCCTCAAGTATGTTGAAAAGACGGCACACAGGGCCGTCTTTGCAACAGGTCAAGGAGCCAGTGCCGTTGGTTTGACGGCCAGTGTCCGGCGAGACCCTCTGACTAGCGAGTGGACTCTGGAAGGCGGCGCCTTGGTGCTGGCGGACAAGGGCACGTGCTTGATCGATGAGTTCGACAAGATGAACGACCAGGACCGTACATCTATCCACGAGGCCATGGAACAACAGACTATCTCCATTTCCAAGGCCGGTATTGTGACGACCCTCCAGGCTCGTTGCGGTATCATCGCTGCTGCCAACCCAATTGGTGGACGATACAACTCGACCATCCCATTTTCCGCCAATGTCGAACTCACCGAGCCTATTCTTTCTCGTTTCGACATTCTGTGTGTAGTCCGAGATACCGTTGAGCCTGAAGAGGACGAACGCCTTGCTCGCTTCATTGTTGGCTCGCACAGCCGCAGTCACCCTTCGTCATCGCAGCCTGGGGAGGACTCGATGGAGGTGGAGCACGAGTCAGAGAACAGGGAAACACAAGCCGAATCGCAGAGAAAGGAGGGTGAGATTCCTCAGGAACTTCTCCGCAAGTATATCTTGTATGCGCGTGACCGCGTCAGTCCGAAGTTGTACAACATGGACGAGGACAAGGTCGCTCGTCTGTTTGCTGATATGAGACGAGAGTCTCTGGCCACTGGCGCATACCCCATCACAGTAAGTTCCCCTGTATGAAGCTCGAATCAGTTCAAAGGCACTAATTCAACTTCAGGTGCGTCATCTTGAGGCCATCATCCGCATTAGCGAAGCCTTTGCGAAGATGAGACTCTCAGAGTACTGCAAGGCGGAGGATATCGACAGAGCCATTGCTGTGACCGTTGAGAGTTTCGTCGGCAGCCAAAAGGTTAGCTGCAAGAAGGCGCTGGCACGGGCTTTCGCCAAGTACACGTTGAACAAGCCGAGCGGCAACTGGCAAAGGAGGGCTGGAGCCAGTCAGGCATCGAGACGCGCAGGTGTCATGCGAGCTTGATTTGGTTGTGCTGTTAGGATGATTGTGGTTCTTCGCGATTTTACGACTGGGGCGGAACTTTGATGTACCGGCAAAAAGGCTGGCGGCGATCGGCGCAGAGGCGAAGCGCATATGTCCAGGATGGATATTTGATGGATGATATCAGGGTAATGCGAACAATTTTTATTCCGGCGTTTTTGTTGCAATGCATGTTGGCTGAAAATATGCTTTTGGCAAACCTTACAAGTCGTCGCTGGCAGTGCGAGAGGCCATTCATTGAGTGAAGTACATTTTCTCGGATGCCAACCCACACGTAATCATGTACTCCCATCACCCCAACCCCCAACCGATTCATGAAAGTGAATGATTGGCAGGTGCATGGGCTTGCTGCAAAGGCCAATACGGAGATCTGTGATTCATAAAAGGGGCTTGTTGTAAAGGGCAATATGGCGGTCTGAGATTTATAAAAGGTATATCTAGATTTTGCTTTAATTAATTTTGAATGGCATCTAGAATCTTTACTTAGGAGCTTAAAATTATATATAATAACGTTACGAAGAATATTGCTAGAAGCTTGACTTACTCGTCAGTCCCATTTCCTTACTTCATCAGGCCTCCATTTTCAGCGAGGTAAACTAAGGGAGTCTTGTCTCACAGGATGTTCAACGAGTCGGTCAATGTCAAAGACCATGCATTCGCTACGGAAACCCATGTGTTAGTACGATGGGCATGGCTCATCCCTATTCTGTGTCAAATCGCTCTCTCAGCTGCTTTACTGGCCATGGCTATCATCCAGACAAGGGCAGCAGGGCTTGGTGTGGTTAAGACCTCGAAACTTCCTGCTTCATTTGCGATCAGTTTCCTCTGACATGAAGTTATTAGTGAAGAAGCGCGCCGCCCATCATCAGCAGGAAGAGTTCAGCAATGTAACGAAAGATGGACCGGGGGTTGACTGGGAACTCAAACTGACAGAAAGCGGCTGGGTCCTTTGTCGTTAATGGGTAGGGATAAACTGAAAGGTATGCTAAATGGTCGATTGTAGATATAAACGTGTATCTATATGGTGAATCAAGGATCCTTATGTGTCCTCAGTAAACAGTTTATCTCCTTCCATGGCTTGTGGTCTATTCAATTACGGCGCCTATCGAAACGACAAAGTATTTCTGTAGATCATCTCGGAGGGTTAACAGGCGATGATGCTAGGTGAAAAAACAGGTGTGTTGCTGCTCATCAGATAGCACATGGAGGAGGGGTCCAAAGCACTGCCGTCAAGGGAGTAGGAGGCTGCTGATAGAGTTCATTGACGCCTTTAGAGAGCAGCAGGGGCTACAAGATAATATGTGTCGCCCGTCTCTTGGCTATAAGAAAAGACGTGTGACGTGGTTGTCATCATCTGGTCTCTGACAAAGGGTATCAAATTGTAGGACCCGACATGGTGTTGGGCTGTAAGGGATTGATCTAATTTGGGTTTTTGCGGCGTTGTGGAGAGAAGAAGGGCCGACTGTACGAATATACATGGAAGAAGTTGTACAATGTCAACAGGGGACGGACGCCCTACTGTACAAAACGTAGAAAACAAAGCAACACACACAGGCAAAAGGGTAGAGTGAATAAAAACAAAACATACATCACCAGGTGTTCGCTGATCGTCACCGACTCAACTACTAAAAAGGCCCTCACTTGAATCATCTGAATGGAGCGGAGGCTGCGTTATTCGTGATGGCTTCGCCACCCCAAAGGGGTGGGCACCGTTCCGAAGAACGGGCGGCATGGCTATTGTCAGTTGCTTTGCTTACAGTGCATTATCCTACAGGTGGAATACCCAGTATATGCAAGAAGGCGATAGTATGCCCTTATCAAACGTATTCATTGGCTTTGCTTTTAACACGAGACATCCCCCCCCCCATCAAACAAGGTCATTTTCGCCTGGTCTTGACGGGGTTAAGACCATGTACTCAACACGCGAGGATATCAAAGCTGCTGTTGATGCGTATCGTGCACACATAGCTGAACGTAATCGCCGTGCCCTTGAAGTCTACGGTGAGTGGACATCCAGGACAATTTTCGTGAAGTGAGACTGATGCAGAATATCTAGTGCAACTTGTCACGCAGGTTGAGCTCGACCCGGAGGATTGGGGAGATGAAGCCGAAGACTTGAAAGTAGACTGTTTTGGGAGCGTCCTGGGTCGGAATGATGCCCAGACCTTGATATCGAGTCCAGAGGATATGCTCACGAAGTTCGATGAACTCGCACCGCTTTGCGATCTTGACGGTTGTGGGTGGTCTCTTTCGACCAGCGATGAGCGAGAGTTGTATTTCTCTCGTCTAGAAAGCGCTCTGAAGGCAAAATGCCTCGAAGAAGTTCGCGATAGCATCACCGCTCCTCCTGAGCTTCGCATTCTTGCGGAGTACGTGGGTGCATTGACTGGACCCGGCATGGGAGAGACCAAGTGGACGTACCAGGCCATGTTCTGGACCGGGACGAGCCCTCAGACGGATCTTATGATTGATGCTACGGTTAAGAAACCCCAAGAGCTTACAGTCGATGGTTGTTGGGATGTCGCTGTTGGATGGGAATCTGGGCATGGCGTTGAGAGTTTCTTTTACATAGTCTACTGCCGAAGGGACCAGCCCGACGGGGAAGTTGAGCCATGGGCCTGGCGGTACATGGCTTATGGTCCGGACGACTGCAGAACCTTTGATACTATCCCGGAGTTGCTCGAGTGGTATAGTCGATATCGGGAAAGAGAGGTGCCTAATATTGAGAGCTTGGACGCGGACGAGGTACTGGAAGGGCACATGTACTAGCCCACTGGAATACACACTCCATCGAAGATACCTGTATACATAGAAGCTCACCGCTCCTTATGCAAGGCAAAGGATGTTTTTGCCTCTATAAATAGATATAATTTATATCTAGCATCACGTTTCAGCGAGCCCATATATATCAGAGCCGCCCTCTGAGAGCTATCCAATCCGTACCTCGCGCTACCAGTTCTTCTGTAGCGTCCGTCTTTCACTGGCAAGTTAAGCATAAAGATCAGCTTGTTCAGTCAATTGTATGCTGTGTCTAATATATCAAATAATCCCATAGTTAATCCACATGCCGCTCAGAACATCGGCCTCGTCCAATTCAGACGCATCAGGAATTGGATGTTCGCGGTACTGACAGTACATCGCTAAGAAGTTGGGAATCGTGCCGAAGACAGTGGTTCGCTCATCCACGCTCGACACCACATATCTCCAAGCCCAAGCCTCAGGTTGACTCTTAACACTCACCGGCGTGGATGTCCGGCAAAGCACGACATAGAATAGACACTTAAGCCCACCGCCCGGCTATCATGCAACGGCACATTCCTATCCGTCGAGCGGCCTCATATCCTCTGATATAATAACGAGCTCGTCCACGCTGTTAGGATCGATTATATCTACCCAGAAGAGTGCCTGCTGCGACTTGCTACCCTCCGCAAGCCCCGGGCCCGTCAGCATCAGCACATGCTCAGCTAGGATACGGAACTTTTCTGGTACGGTGATTGTGTCACAAACATTGCACACTTTCAGCTACACTCGCGCAGTTTCTTTTCCCTCGTGCCAAGTTTAGCCCCCCCTGTGCAACTGTTTGCGCGTCCGGATTCGGAAAGGCGCCCCTTCGATCTACATTTGGCCTGCCGCAGGAAACGTAGCCGAACGAGAGCAAACGTCTCCAAACGTTGGCTCACAAGCTTGATCCGCGCTTTGTCTCCAGTCTCATGTAAAAGATGTGTCTGTTTTGTTTGCTCTCGTATCGCATTCGTGTTACGTTCCGTCAAAGTATGTCGCCATGCGCAACGCCATAACGGGTTCAACGATCACTAGCGTCCGCGTGCGTGCCTTCGAGAGGATATTCTTCATCCCTTAGTCTCAAGCGCATTCCTCGACTGACTGCCGGCGCCGCCGACTTACCATCGCTTTAGAACCAGCAGATCCTCTAGGCATTCATCCTTCATTCAGTATTCGTCCACCAATGTCAGACGATGCAGCCTTCCTTTCAAGTCCCTCGCCTTCAAACAGTGTCTTGTTAGATAATCAGTCCCCAATGCTCGTTCAGTAGTCACCACACCGTCCCCGGTCTTCCTCAATACCCGCACCATGGTTGATCCCATCAAGGCCACATCCCTTTCTCCCCTTAACCCAGTTGCCGAGGGGGTGGAAGAACCTCACCTTTCCAACCGACAAACAACAGGCTGCAGGCCTCCGCCTTCTCATATGCTTCTTTCGTCCTCCAACTCCCGACGACATGACTACGATCCAACGTCGTCCGGCGCCGGCATCGACCTTTCAACATTAAGCGGCGCTGCGCATAACCAAATTACACCCCCAGCTGAGACCTCAAACATTTATCAAAGAGACCGTCTCGGAATCTCGTTGAGAAGCGTCATGAACCGCATGTCCTTGATACGCGTCCCTGTCGGTGCTAAAAGCAGGTCTCCCGCCACGCCTCGTTCCAACCACAGCCTCTCCAGCCCAGGTCAGTTCGACAATACAATACCGCGAAAAGAGGAAGTTTCTGCGTGGTCGTCAGACCCAGATCACGATCTCGTATCACCGCTAGAGTCAACCCCGTCATCCCCCAGTGTGGTGAAGACAACAGCGCCAACACCCAAACACTCGATGGCTTGGGACGACCCCCCAAAGTCTTCCGCTCCATGGCACGATGCCAGGACTGAAGAGATTGGGGACCTGGGGTGCGCGGCACCAAGCAAAGACGACAACCGACACCAGTGCAGACCAATAGGAGCGGCTAGTACGCAAAGTCTACCGAGACGGGACGACAGTCTTGTCGAGGAGCCTGGCCAGAGGGATAACGATGACATGCTATACAAGAGATTCGGTAAGTTCACGATTCTACATACAAAGTTATTCAACCGCAGTCATCATCTTCTGACAGAACCCAGGCCGGCCGCCAACTTACTGTGACTCACGGAAGGACGTTCACAGAAAGAAGCACAATTGGCTCTCCCTGTCGATCCTAACGCTGTCGATCTATTCCACGGGCCTCAGCTGCCTCTGGTTCATCGTGGCCATCGTACAGCCGCGATGGGGTCCACAGATCTCGTCAAGCGGCGGCATCCTCCCGTCGACGGCGTCCCTGGTATGCGCCATGTTTGCCAAGACGATTGAAATATCCTTCGTAACTGTCTTTGTGACCTTTATCGGCCAGGTCCTGACACGCCGCGCGTTCGTGAGGAAGTCCAAGGGCATGACGCTGGCTGAGATGACGATGAGGAACTGGGTCATTGTGAGTTAGCCTGTGGCTCTTCTGGTGCAGACCTGGATTGACTCGAGAAAGCAACCTGGGTTCCTGATTACGCACTCGGAGACACTTCCGTACGCTGGAATGACGTTGCTTGGGATGGTTTCTCTCATTGCAACGATCGCTTCAACGTTCTACACGACCGCGTCTGATGCCATGGTCGCTCCCAAGCTCAAATACGGTGGTTGGGAGAGCAGGATGCTGAGTGGCTACATTTTGGCCTCCTACGCGAATCCCCCTTTTGCCCGTGAGAGCTGCCAGACGCCACTGCGAGACAACGACCCCGCGGGCGTTGACACTGCTGGACGTGCTTGTCTCGAAGTGCAGTATGCAGGACAGTGTAAGTCGCCCCACGGAATGCGTCGTGTGAAAGAGCAAACACTGATCGTCTTTCCAGCTTACCGAAACTTGATGTCCTTCTTGGGTGACTGGGATGCCATCAACAGGAACGGCACAAGCGCCACCGTCGATATCTCACATCGTCCCGTGGGCACAGCCCTTTTGTATGACAACACGACGCTGACATCGGCGTGGATCGAGGTCGAGTTCAGCAACATGACCAAGAGCTTCGAGGACCACGGCAGGATCATCAACAACGTCACTCTCGCGATGCCTCACCCAAGCGTCTATGACGCGGCCACGAACCCGGTGAACAAGATCCTCCAGCCGAACGACTTGTCGGGTGTAGGAGAGTACGCCATCAAGGCAAGCGTCGTATCTCCTGCGCTCAACGTCATGTGTGTCAACATGTCGCCGGACGAACTTGCGCCGTTGGTCTATACGGAGTGGCCTTTGGGCAAAATCAACTCCAATGACACGCTGGTTCCGGGTCAGAGGATCGGCCCGCTGGACTGGGAGCAATATGTGCCTGGGCCGTCGGAGACGGAGTGGTTGAACCGGACGTCAGTGGATAATGTCTTCCGCTGGGGAGAGCAGTATAATCGACGACCGCCCGTGTTCCAACTTGTAAGTGCTTCAGGCAGACAAGTAGGCGATGCGAATGCTGACAGTCACCTCCCAGTACCCCGCCGACTTCAACATGGTGACCAACACCACAGCGATGAATGATGCCGTCTACATCTTGAGCAAATCGACATCCGTCACGAACTACACCCTCTGCGAAATGCGGTCGTGGGTATCACCGTCCTGCTCGACGCACTTCAACATCTCCGGCACGGCGGGAGCGCACATGCAAGCCCACTGCGAGGACCCCGCGGACAAGGACAGATACAATCATGTCCACCCAGAGGTCACATTTTCCGTACCTGTGACTGACTGGAAGGTAAGAGCCACGCTGACTCGACAGAAACATGTGAACGCTCGCTCACCTCCGCCCTAGAACATTGCAGACCAATGGCGCCTATCAATGGACATCAACGGCGGCGTCCAGAACAACAACGCCTCCAACGCCCGCATCCTCACGCAACTCGTCCTCCAAGAGCCGCAACTCGATCCCCTCCTCCCCTCCATGGCCGAAGCCCTCGCTGTCTACGCCTCCTCGACACTCGTCATCGGCGGCCACGGCACGCCCTTCGAGCACTACTGGCGGCACGAAAAGATGCAGCTCGGCGCTCCAGGCAGCCTGGACCCGTTCCAAGCCTCGATCCGCACGCAGGAGTACACCTCGGGCCACGTAGCGGAGTGGCAAAAGGTGTTCTACCTCGTCCTCGTCCTCGTCGTGGTCATCAACGTCGTCTGCCTCGCCTACTTCCTCGCGCGGTCCGGGCTGGTCACCGACTTCACCGAGCCGCAGAACCTCTTCGCCTTGGCCGTCAACTCGCCGCCCAGCGAGCAGCTCAAAGGCAGCTGCGGCGGCGGGCCGGTAAAGCGCGACCTTGTGGTGCCGTGGCGCGTGGCCTACGCGAGCGGCTCGAACCACTACTTTTTCGAGGAGGCGAGCGACCGGCCGTGGCGGGGCAAGTATGCCGGGCAGGACCTGTTGGCAGCGGACACGGCATACCGCGGGCGGCAGCGGAGCAGCTACAACAGGCTGAGCACAAGCAATTCGTGGCTGTGAGGTTGTCCTGTCTGGATGGTGGTGGGTTCCGGTGTTAGGTTTCTTGGCCTAGGTCATCGAGGGTTGGGCTGAATTGCCAACGACGTGTAAGCCGGCGGGGAAAGCCGTGTTGTTCCATGATATAAACATGGACAGAAGGCGGTCCGGACGCTCACTTTGTTTGGAGTTTCAAATGATTCCAATGAGTTCAGGTGATTGCGCCACACCACACACATACTACGTATAGACTCGCACAAACAAACTATCAAGGCCTTGCTTGGATCAGCATCTTTGCTCAAAGGCAGGCAAAATGTGTATTTTGGCATTTCAATCCAAGCAACCATCGTCGCATCTTCTTTCTGCTGTCTTGGCAGATAGCATTGTAACCCGAAGTCGGTCTCTTTCAGGCCTGTGCCAACCCTCCTCTCTCGCCTGCCCTTGCATGAAGAAAAGTCACAGAACTGCAGGAGAAGGGTTTAAAAAGAGAAGACAGGAAAAAAATGGCGGCATTAATCGCACGCTCACACCAGCCTGGACAAGGTGGTTCCCAGCAACCAACGTGTTCGAGAAAAGGAGGCTGTGCAAAGTGGTCCCTCGAACTCTATACCGCCCGTGCCCATGGTGAGATGGATGTCTTCTTTGCGCAACCCGGCAGAATGAGCCATGTGGCCAACTGGCACGATTCCACCGTCCAAAGATTGATCTGCTGCCTTGACTTGTCTGGTGTCGGAATGCCCTACCCGTCCACCCTCCCACCCCCCATTCGCTCGGTGGCACCAACTCGGCTCCCTAGTCTTTTCTTAGCTTATACCATCGCCGCCAGCCTCACCCATTCGCCTGCCTGTCTCACGCGGGTCAGCTGTGGCTTATATCCCACCAAGGTCATTAAACGACTGGAGCACTAAGACAATTCAATCCTTGAGGGGTCCCTTTGGCGTCCAAACTCAAAAGGCCTAGGCTCCTCACGGCAACCAGCCGACCACGACCACGACCGCCAAAGAACGCCGTGTCCGCCGAGCTTCCCTGACGCTTGCAGCGGCATCTGTGCGGATCGGCCCCAGCTGCGTTCCTCTCTGTTTTGATTTCTTGGCATCAAACCAACCAGTCTCTCACTTCTCTCTCTCTATTTTCCTCTCGTCAACCTCGCTTCGCATCCCAACCCGCAATAACGATCCATCGCATCTTTTTTGTAGATCTGCTGCATCGTCTCCCTCATCTGGTCCCGTCCTGCGCGTGGAGCGTTGCGCCCTGCGTCCTGCATCCGCACCCCCCATCTGCACCGCCCATTACCACCACACTCTACTCCGTCGCTCTCCCTCCCCCATCGGCCCAACACCCAGACCTTCAACGTCAGTCTTGGCGTTCTCAGCACCAAACATTGGCATCCCATCCCGCTCCATTCAGCCCGCTCGCCTTCCATCACGAGGGTGTGGGCGGTCTTGGAGGTCCTCCCAATCGACTTCAGATCCGACTCGAGAGGAAAGGTCCAAGCCTTGCTGGCTCAATCCACCGGCTGCCCCAGCCGCCGCCGACTGTGACGCTTTCTTGCAAGCTGTCTCTCTCTAGATAAAACAGAAGACGAAAGAGGGGCGAAGGGCGAAGGGCTTGCACCACAGCCTACGAGACTCGAGAATCGACCCAATCTTACATTCCGCCTCTCCCCGCTTAACCCTTTTTCTTCCCCCCTTTATCGAGGAATGCAAACCCTTCAATTCTGGACTTGACATTCACGGCCCGGCCCTCGCGACTGAAGCTTCCCCAAGCAGACCGGGACGATACCAGTAACAGCTCAAAAGTCGGTCCGAAACTGCGGAACACAGGCACGACGTTTTGAAGCGTGTGAGAGACCAACAGGAGTGAGAGTGAGAAATCACAAAGAAAGCAATAATGCGTATGTCCCCTTGACCCCCACCGCATCCGAATAGCAATTCCTCCTTTTTTTTTCTTCTTTTTTTTCTTTTTACACCGGAACTCGGCTGTCCGGCAATCACAAAAAAAAAATCCCCCAAGAAAAACATATGCTTACACGACGAACAGCCTACTATGCCAGAACCAAGGGCCGGACGCAGGAAATCCCCCCCGACGGCAGCCGGACTCCCCTCTCGGCCTCCGGCGCCCGGTCGCCGCTGCCGCCCCGGGCACCCCTCGGTGAGTCTCCGGTGCCGACCTCTACCCACTACCCACCTTCCTAATTCTCTCACCCATATCGCATTGTCCCCGTTCCGATCATCCACCTGCTCCGTCCGTCCTTACCCGCGCAACTCCCTCCAAGTCTCCACCATCTCACACCCAGCCCGCCCATCAGCTCGCCGTCTTTCCCCCCTCGTCTCTACCCTTACTTAATTTCCCACCTCGACAGCTCCTCTCCCAGACATCGCTAACATCCACAAGCCCAACAAGTCTCATCACGCTCCCTGCCCGACCTGAGCGCCGACGTCCGCGCCGCCCTCTCGGCGCCCAAGCACGACGACGTCACATACCGCCACAGCATCTGGACCCGCTGCCGGTGCTGCGGCCCCGGGCGCGGCCCCTTGGCGCTGCTGCGCCGCGTCGTCCTTGTCCCGCTCGCCGACGCCCTGCAGTTTCTCGAGGAGGCCTCCGTGTCCGTGCCGCCCATTATCCCCGCGCTGCTGGCCGCGCTGTTCCTGATGGTGGCGCTGCCGCTGCTGATTGCGTGGGACTATTTGTGAGCCGGCGCCGGGTACCCGGGCGGGAGCGTTTCGGAGGGGGGCGGGAAGCGGGCGAGGTCAATTTCGCGAGGGGTTTGCTGCGTTGGCGTTTGTCGGCCCCGACGGAGGGCTCTGAGGGCAGGCCGAGGGGGCGTTTCGAGGTCGACTCAGACGGCCGCGGTACGCGGTGCCACGATAGGTTGTACGCGACTTACCTTTTTCCTTTTCTTTCTGCCACGGCGCATCAAACAAGCGAACGCATCGGTTCTGGGACACCAGCAGCCTTGCTGTTTTTCTTTTCTGGCGTATATAGATATTACCGGCACGATGAATCGACAGACCGTGTTCCAATATGAATCGTTCTTCTTCCGGCCTGAGACCCATCGACGGGCTGGATGCTGTCGCGGCTAACACCATTCGCATCCGACTGCCCCCGAGAACAAACCCCGCCGGCATGCTCCTGTCCATCCTTGGTGGTCCGTCGTGATAGCCTCACCGTCCCCAACAACTCGATGCCCCTCCTCGTTGTGTATTCAGCACAATCTTCGACCTCGATGATGGGCAACTTGGTCGTAGAGGTGACGACGGTCTGTGCCTGTGCCAATGGTCGCTGGGGTTACGCGAAGAGACGTTGTGAGAGAGGGCGAGTGCGATGTTGAAGTGGACTTGGGCTGCCGAGAGTGCTGGCTGGGAATGCTGGAACGCTTGGTTACTGAGTCGTTTGGTTGTCCTAGGAAAGCGGCATGTTGCAGACGGAGGAGGTACTTTTACCTCGCAGCAGCCTTCTGATAACATCTTTCTCAATGTTATGAAGCACGCGGTGGGACGACACCAGAAGAAGGCTGCCCCTTCGCCGAAAGGCGGACTACACGGGTCAATACCTCTCCCAGCCCAGTCGTAATCTCACAATGCCTGCCAACATGCCCCAGCCTGCCACTGAGGCCACACCGATGAGAACATCAGGCAAGCTGTAAGACAGTTGCTGTCACCGCTTCGAGGCACCCAGTCGCGCGGTCCGTTCCACCGTGTGTGATGTTGTGTCCTGGTGAGAGACGGCTGCGGCAAAGCAGTCATCAGTGCCTCGTGGTAGACAACGGGATTGGTATTGCGCAACCGAGAGCAGCATTTTGGCCATCCCGGACTATAGATACAATCTTGCACGCCAGTCGTATGGCCTGCTCTGGTAAAGTGCTTGAAAGCCGCCCTGCATCACCCATCAGGACCATTCTACCTCGCACAGTAACCCAACAACACTCGCCACAGGCAGCAGCGAAGACCAACTGGACGTGTCACGTCCAGCATCCCTTCCTCCTCGGTCACAGTTTTCTCCCAAGATGCCGCCATCAACCCTACCGGAACGTGCTCGGAATAAATGGGCGTGGGACCTGCTGCGCCAGCGTAAACACATGGCTACGGCTAACCTTTAATCATCTTCCGTGGAACAAGGCACGCGCCGCCAACGGCCAAACGGCCCAGGTCTCTCCAAGTCAGTTACAATCGACCCTCGGGCCGTCCACACTACTCCCCGACGTCAGCCTTCTGCCTCTTAAAGCAATCCATATCCGAACACAAGCCTCGACTGAAACCTTCGATATAGGTACACAAAAGGACCACGGAGATGCCACCCTGCATTCTCCTCGTAGGGTTGAGCAAAAGCCAGGCCCGCATGCGCTACGCGGCGCGGCGGGGTGGACTGCCGGGCCCCATCGAGGGGGCCAGGGGTGACCCATGGAGCAGCCCAACCTAAATCCATCGCCTTCCTTGACACTCCGTTTCGTTTGACGGGCTCAGTAAGAAATATGGAAACTGTGGTCCCTCCCCTTTGGCGTCGTTGTGAGATGAGGAGGGGGAGGTTCCTGGGCGTTCTATCTCGAACGGGTGCAGGGACGGCGTGGTTAGGGCGGTTCCATCACAAGATAGGGTTGCGAGGTCGTTCGTCACTGCTGACGAAATTTGACTTTGATAGGCCGCCCTGGACTAGGAGTCTTTGTGTTTCGGGATTCTACACACGTGAACGAGAAGCATGCTACGAAAGAAAGTTCTCACCGCCGTCCAATAAACAAATCCAGTGCATTTTGGCTGATCAAGTGATACTGGGACGACACAAGGGAGCCATGTAAGCGCGGCGTGGAAGGGAAAAAAAGGTAAGAACCACTTGTGCGCCGCCACCCGCCAAGGTCCCGCGCGGCGGACGAAAAGACGTGCTGCGACAATGCCAAGCCGTCAGTATGAATTCCTTGTGAGGGGTGGTTTGGTCCCTAGGCACTCGTGTGACAAAAATCAGCACCGGGATTTGTATGGTAAAGGTATAGAACAGCGGCGCTGGCTTTTGTCACCCAAGTGCTAGGCCCAAAGAAGGTTGCCGGCAGGCATGCCGTCCGATGTGTGAGTTTGATTGCAGCTGGCGAGCAAAACAAACAAAAAAGGACCACTTTTCTTTGGAATAAGAAACAAAAGTCCATTTTTTTCAGTGTTGTTGTTACACAGACTAGGCCCAAGAATGCCGGTGTTGCTAGAGGAGGAAAGGCTGAGGGAAAAAACAATGCTAACATCACGGAATTATACTGCGAGGGGGATGCGGCAAGGAAGGCCGAGGATTGCTTGCGCAACGTGAAATAGGTATCATTAAGAAATTGGTGTAGGATGTGTTTGCGGCGTCGCGATTGACATATGGCCGCTCCCACGCATTATCCGGCTAGTCGTGATGCCGGTATGTACAGCCCGGACGTCTCCTTCATATCCACGTCTCTCGCGAGACTCCAATCCTGCAGACGGTGACTTGGGTCGAGAATCGAAATCGTAGGTCGGTTGATGGTGGTGGTGGTGTTGATCCGTGATAGTGTAAACATGGACGATGTCGTCACACTGAGGCTGGCCTCTTCCGCATGCGCCAGCCACGACCCTCTCACGTGTGAGTGAGTGAGTGGAGGGTCGTCTATCCCGACTTCAAAGCGCGCCCAGTTTGAAGCCATTCATTACTTTCGTCTCTCTTCTTCTCATGCTTCCGCGAGGTTGTCGGGCTTAGACATGGGACGCAGAAGCCTGGCGGTTGGCCTTGCGGCGCGAGAGGGCGCGGGAAACGCAGAGGCCAATGACGCCGACGGCGACAATGAAGACGATGCAGAAGACGACAATGACACCGGCCTCTTGGGAAGCCCAGTTCTGGCGCTTGGCGAGCTGGTGAACAGCGTCGCGGGCGACAATGGCGTTGATGGCGGGCATTTTGACGGGAGGGTGAGTGGAAAGTCGGCTGGGCAGGAGAGAAGACTTGTCAGCGGATGAGTGAAGAGGATAGGAAAAAAGCGGCCGAACGGAGAGGTGATGACGGGTAAGTGAGTTATGTATGAGAGAATGGTCGTGGCGACTGCGCGCGATGAGCGAGCGAGCGTAGCGTCCCCAAAGCGGCCAGGGTCAAGGAAAACATGCCCATGGACTGGGGCGTGTAAGCTTGTCCATTTGAGGCATTTTATGGAGCCGCCGGTCCGTCGCCTTTGGGACGCTGACCCATGGGTGCCCGGGTGCCCATCGTCATCACCGGGGTATCCGGCGTTGGCACAGGGGGAAAATCTCCGCTGCTCTCCTTCACGATTCCATCTTGCCGGCGTGGGCGTTTTCTTGGGCGCGAAGCTCGGGGTCACGACGAGACGAAGGCCAATTGAGAGGCCAGGGCAATTGGCGTATAGGATCAAGACGTTGAGAGGGGAGCAAATTACCTTTGAATTAGGCGGCGAGTATAGCGTCGAACGATGGAGTAAGGTGGGGAAAGAAACCTGGTGGTTCGATCTCAGTCACTGGGCGGGGGGAAGGATGGCTACAGTCGCAGGGCGCCGTTTGTCAGCGTGATTGAAACAAAAACTGGGGGGGCCAGCTTGGCATCCGGAGCTCACGTTGTAATGGCAAACAAGACAGGGCGAGAGGAAGACGACGGAATAGATGGCCGTCGAGGAGGGAGCAGGTCGGCGTGAAACAGGTGCGAGGAATTGAGGAATTGATTGATGGATCGTCGGGCGAGTTGGAGGAGGGAGGAAGAGAAATAAAAAGAAGAAGAGGGCAGCAAGTCGAACGGTGGAATGACGAGAGCGGGCGGAGGTGGTAAATAGCTGATGGAATAGTCGACCGATTGGCAGCCGCGAGTGTCACTCGTGCTCTCCTCCTGGTTCCTTTGCTCCATTGCGACCTTGGCGACCGTCCACCGCAATCACCCAGGACAGACAAGAAGCCAGAGCCAGGCCAGGCTAGGTCAGGACAGGTACAGATAGGTACAACGGGCGGTACCTTGGTGCCAGGCTCTCTCGTCTTGCCCACGGCGGGCTAGAGTTCAGGCTATTGACAAGTCGCGATCCGTACCCGTGAGGTGGGATCGGAGGTCGCGTTATGTCAGAGGGACGGCGCCAAGCGAGCAGGATAAAAAAGCTTGTCTCCATGGATGCCGGGAACACGGCAGGGCCACCAAAGGGCCTACCGCTGTGGGCTGTGGACTGTGGACTGTGGGGAACTCGACTTGACTTGCTGCTACTTACCCAAGGCCCTTGCAAGCTCCTTCCTTCTACAACATACACTAAGAGGAGAGGGTTGGAGAGGGAGAGTCGCACCTACTAGCCAGTAGCGCGGCACTTGCAAGCCGGCCTGCACTACCTACAAGTCTTTATCTGCGGGTGCTACTGAGGGCGTGGGAAGTCTGTCTTCTCCTCTCTCTCTCTCTCTCTCTCTCTCTCTCTCTCTCTCTCTCTCTCTCTCTCTCTCCCTCCCTTTCCCTCTTCCTCTCTCTGCGCGAATTTTGAACCCGCCTCGCAGCACACCTTATGGCTTTTTTCTACCTCAACCGTGATTCATAGGGGGGTGTGTGTGTGAGTGTGTGTCTGATCAGTGGGAATTCCCTTCCGCCCAGAGCCCAATGCGCAGAGACGGGACGGGGGGGACCATTGGATGACATGGGTGGTCTGATGGGGCCGGAGCCGGGATGCGCACCGGGCCCCAGCACACCTTCCTGGTGGGTTCGCAGGGCCACTGGTTCGTCCAGGTCCGCTCTACCTCGTGGCAGTAGGGAATCTCGGTGTCGTTGTCATGTACCAACAACAACTAGAAAGATTTGCAGCCTGGTCTGTCATCAAGCACTGCGCGCCCCGTCCATGGTGTTAGGTAGTCTGACGGAAACGATGATGGGGTCTTTGCGTAGTAATTCCATCGGCAACTACCACCGGGCAACGCACCTTGTACTGGCCTCGATTGGACTGCTGCTCTTGTTTATCTGGGTCCGTCCTTGCCCGTCGCCTTCACCGATACCTGATAGTACGTCTGGTCCATTGGGGCCATTGGGGGGGGGATTTCTCGGCAATACCATGAGGACAAGCCGCCTTTGCTGCCTTCTTTTTTTATCGTTATTATTATTATCATTATTATCATTATTATCATTGTTTCGGTTTTGTTTTCTTTTTTCGGTTTTCTCTGGAGCATAGACTAGCTCCCGTATGTACATGCTCCAGGATCAAAGTCTTCCTCTTGTTCTCGCTTGTGCGCGACCCTCTGTCAGCGACTGGTTCCGATGACAATGCCTCTCCTCTACCTGTTCCCTGCCTTGGGACTCGCTTCAACTCGCCTTGCTCCCGTCGACCGCGCATCCACTTAGTAATACCATGGCCCTGTCCCGTCTCTTTTTCTTGCCATCCGCAACTCGCCTCGTTGCTTCCGGGCCTCCCTGCTACTCACTGCCTCCAAGTTCGCCCTCCTTGGCGAACTGCATCGCCTACAACAGCACAAGCCTTGGCAGGCCGACCACAGCATTGGCTTCATCTCCGCGAGGGCGAGGCATATCACAGAAGCTCTGCTAGAGCTCTTTGCAAATTATCCCGCAACACCTCGATCCTGGTTGGCTGGTCATGGGCTCGTCCCAGGCTGCGCCCAGCCAAGCCGCTGCGGAAAGGTTGGCAAAGCATTGGCGACCTCTCCAAAAGAGACCCAAAGCTGGCCAAAGGAGGATATGCTTGAATCAGTCCAGTCATCTGACTGAGCCTCGGCCAAGCATAGGCGAAAATCATGGCGCTGAGAAACGCGGGGTCGGTCAATCCAGGCAATGCTCGGTGCAAATCACTGTAAAAACCCAAACAAACTACCACCCCATCCTCCAAAAGACCTCACGTCGCAGCACATCACAAACCCCATCGCCATCAGATCGGTCGTCGCGCCTAGCCAGGGCCGATGCGCGCCGTACCTGGTCCTCGCAACTGCTCCCCACCGTCCCGTCAACCTCTTGGCTGATCAGTCATCCGGCGCCAGGTTCCGCCCTGCCCTTCCCTCAAAACGGCGTGCCGTTCCCTGATAGCGTCACAGTGGCAGCCATCTCTCGTGCCCACCGCCAACGCTTTGATTTGGTAAGGAAAACCTCATGACCGGTCTCCAGTCTGAGGTACTCTGTATCATCATTGTACCTACTGCAGTAAAAAACCTCGGAGGCTCCACACACGGTGCAAGTGAGACCATGGCCCATTGGGTACCTATCCGTACAGTCCGAATCCCGCCGCCCGCCCGTTCCGCCGCCCCAGTTCGATTTCTTCTCTTCTTTTTTCTCTTTCGAGTTTGTTCTAGTGCGGGTTCCAGTCCGGCGCTTGTTTCTCGGGCAAAGGAACCGGGCTTGCAAACTAGCATTGATGCGCCCGGCCCTCGCCCGCCATTGGTCATTGGATGGCACCGCTTCGAGCTCGCCGTTTGGGCGCTGCCAGCCACATCTCATCACCTGGGCCTCACGCTCACTTCCCACTGCTAGCTTCGCCTTACCTTGTGTTATGTTACCAACGGCCGGAGACGCTGGATGAGTGATCAGGTCATACACGGCGTTTGTCTGGATTGAGACCCGCTTGTTCCATCCTATGACGACATGTATACTCAGCCCGTAGCGTCTTATCTTCTTATCCCAGCAACGGACCGCCAAACGGCGGGGGCGCCTACCGTCGGTGGTCGAGTGACCAATCACCGCCGTTCTCGTTCCGGCCGAGGAGTTCCTTCCTCCGGTACCCAGTAGCTGCTCGGACGCGGCCGCCTTACTGAGGTGCACGTTAGTCGGGCGCTTGGCCGCAACAGCAGTCTGACATGCTAACTGTGGCATCACGAGGGCGTCGTCATCCACCACCAGACAATTCAAAAGACCCATTTGGGTTTGTCTGCTTTCCAGCCTTGGTCAAATTGGATTTTGGCCCATTTGCATCTGTGAGAGCGGGTCATTCCCTATCCGTTTTTTTCCCCTTCGCAACCAGAAATAAAAAAACATCACTTGTACGTTGCCCGTACCACCGCCTTCCCCGCATCATGACGGTTCTAAGTCATCTGAAACGAGTCCAACAACACAATGTCGCGACTCTGCGCCGGTCTCCCATCGCCGAGATCTCTGGCGCTCTGGGCGACCTGGGCACTCTCCTGCCCTTGATGATCGCGCTGGCGGTCCAACGCTCCATCTACCTTGACAGCACTCTTGTGTTTTCCGGAATCTTTAATGTCGTGACCGGCGCCGTCTTCGGCATCCCGCTCCCGGTGCAGCCGATGAAGGTAAGCAGCCGTGTGGACCACCGCGCTCTTTGGACATGCCCGCTCAACAACCCTAGGCCATCGCCGCCGCCGCCATCTCGCGGCCCGAGTACGGCAGCATCCGAACCGTCATGGCCGCCGGCCAATGGGTCAGTCTTGCCGTTCTCGTCATGAGCCTCACGGGCCTGATCCGCTGGGTCACCAAGAACGTCCCCGTCCCCGTCGTCAAGGGCATCCAGCTCGGCGCCGGCCTCTCCCTCGTCATGGCCGCCGGCTCCAGCCTGCTCCGGGACCTGCACTGGACGCACCCCGTCGTCGACAACAGGCTCTGGGCCCTGGCCGCCTTCCTCGTGCTCATCTTCACCCAGAGGCTGCCGCGCTTCCCGTACGCGCTGTGCGTCTTCGCCTTGTCCCTCGTCTTCGCCTTCATCGCCATCCTCACCGAGCACGGCGGCTCGCACGGCCTCGGCGTGTCCGGCGTCTGGGAGCCTCGCTGGTTCCGGTGGGACCTCGACTGGTTCAAGTACAAGCCGCTGTCCATGGCCATCGGCCAGCTGCCACTCACCACCCTCAACTCCGTCATCGCCGTCAGCGCCCTCGCCGCAGACCTGCTGCCGGATATGCCCACGCCGTCGGTGACGGCCATGGGCATCAGCGTCGGCCTCATGAACCTGGTCGGCACCTGGTGGGGCGCCATGCCCGTGTGCCACGGCGCGGGCGGGCTCGCGGCGCAGTACCGCTTCGGCGCGCGCAGCGGCGCGAGCGTCATCATGCTGGGCCTGTTCAAGATCGTCCTCGGCGTCGTCTTTGGCAACTCCCTTATCGACCTGCTCAAGCACTACCCCAAGAGCCTGCTGGGCGTCATGGTCATCGCCGCGGGCCTCGAGCTGGCCAAGGTCGGACACAGCCTGAACCACGGCGCCTCGGACCTCTGGGAGAGCTCCGTCGGCAGCGGGGGCGGCGGCATCATGAGGCAGCACCGCACGCTCTCGGACGACGAGAGGGCCGAGAGGTGGACGGTCATGCTGATGACCACGGCGGGCATCCTCGCGTTCCGGAACGATGCCATTGGCTTTGTGGCGGGCATGTTGTGCTATTCGGCGTACCGCCTCTCGGACAGGACGCAGAAGTGGTGGGAGAGCAGGAGATCTCTAACCCGCGGCGAGAGGGCGCCGCTTCTGAGCTAATTGCTACTTGGGGATGCTTTATGATTGCTTTCGTCGAGCTGGACATGTGTTTTCTTCATCGGATGCTTGTGCGTAAAGTAGCAATGATTACACAAAGTGTTGTCCACGAACATATGCCAGAATCTACTTCAATACAGGTGTTCGATAATTAGTGTTCTTGATCATTCTGTGATTAAAAGTCGGCGTTAAAGCTTGCCCAACACTTTATGAGGATAGCAGATACACAGACCAGCGATAGTATTCGTGTTGCTTAAACCAGACGGACGCATTCGGTGTTCTCAAACACCCTTACCTGATTCCTATCAAACTTGCCGAATGCACCAACAAGATCCTCGGACTTTCATGTAGAGCACCCTGTAATGCCCTCAATTCTACAAGACATCTGTTCATCTCCAGCACCTACTCGAGAGACCTTATGGATACCTTTTTACAGGAAGAGACCCTAGTATCAGTACGCATGTTCACACGAGCCCCTTTTTTCAAGTGACTGTTGTGACATGTCATTTCATTGAGCTCAACTTGCATTCGGAACCCATATCTGGTCGCTTGGCTGGTATAAACTGCGGTAGCCCGGCAGGCTTCCTGGATGCATCACTGCAAAAATGACGCATCAGACGGGCATGCAGATTGGAACAAGGAATACTCAAAGCACCTGATCGGTAATCTTAGTCTCATACGAACAGTACTCTTGGTACGTCAGGTTCTGTACTGTCAGTAGCCGACGAGAAGGCACCGCAGCCACTGAGTTGTCGGACAGAGAACAGTAAGTGTGAGGACGGCATAGACATCTTCTTCACCGACGGACCACCGGCTATTGGGCCTTGACCGAGAGAAGTGGGAACCGAGGTCGGAAAGTTTGAGCGATCTACGCAGGGTGGTGTGCGCGACATTCGCCCATCCCTCTCTCCGAGTCGACTGGAGGTGTTTCGGACCTTGACCGAGACGCATCGCGAGCAGCCAGCTGCTCACCGCAAGACACCTGAGCGAACCAGAGCGCTGGGTCCAAGGCTGAGCCGTTGGGAATGGATGCGGAGGTGCATGAGGGCTCCATAGCCGATGAGTCATTAATCGAATCAAAGTGAGGAGGTGGCAGTGGTGATGGGAACTACGGGAAGCTGCATTGGTGAATGGGACGTTTGTTGGTCAATGGGAAAGAGCGAGTGTGTCGTTGTTGCTGCTTCCTGTGGTCAGTCGTCGCTTCCCCAATTGAAATGGCAGGCACCCGGAAGGAAAAAAGGAGGCAGGGACGCTGAGAAGGGGGAAAGGGGGGGACGGGCAAGAGTCAAGGGACTGACTGGCTGGGCTGGGCTGGGCTGGCCGGCCGCTCCTCCTACCTACAGAGGGAAGGGACAGAAAAAGGTACCCGGGTACTTGCGCAGCGCGGGGAAAGGCTGGTCCATAATCCAGGTGAATCCCACCGAGCGGCCAATCAGCGTCGCGACTTCCTCCACCGACCTTGCAATCGCGGCAAGAATGACTTGTAATTTTTTTGGCATCTCTCGCATTGTTCGCAGCCTCATCAGGTCCAACCCTGTCGCGACTGACCAAAACGCCTCTCTTGGCTTGCCGACGGCGAAGGAGCTGATCTGTCCGACTACAGAGCAGCGATGACTTCGTCCAACGCCGGCCAAAATGGCCTGGCGCCTGTGCCGACTACGCCGCCGCCCAAGAACAAGACGACGCCAACACCCGGCCGACCTGACCCCGACGACCACAACACGACCACGAACACGACCGCGACCGCCGCCGCCACCGCTGCCGATCAGCAGCAGCCGCGCGCCGACGCATCCAATACCGCCCAGCAATCCAACGACGACACGTCGAACAACCGCCAATCAACACCGGGAGCAGCCGACGCCGTGATGACCGACGCCGACGCCAATAGCGCTCCGCCTGCGACAATGTCGCACCCGGCTTCAGCCGCTCAGATGGACGCCGACCCTTTCACCTCGTCCTTCCCACACACCCCAATGCCGAACATGGACCACGCCTACATGATGATGGCTCTCGCGCACATGGCCGGCAATCAGATGTCCAACCAGATGTCACCGCCCCCGACCGTCACGCCAGCCCAGGTCACCCTCCCCAGCACCATGGGCAACGGCAACGACCCCCTCGTCGCAAGCACACACAATCTCGCTGCCGCGACACAAGGCCTCGAATCCTTCGCGCGGATAGAGTTCGCCGACAGTGTCTTCCAGATGACCACCTACGCCGTTATCATCGGCCGTGATCAAAAGGCTCTGATGCAGGCCAAGAGAGACGAGAAGTATCGGAAGAAGGCCGAAGAATACGAACGCGACGGGCTGCCGCCTCCAGAACCCTTTAACCAGAGGAAGTTCAGCAAGTCGTACGTCAGTGAGGAGGGAGGCATGCTGGGACCCGAGTCCGACAGCGAGGGCGACGGCCGCCCGGCCAAGCGCCGCAAGACCACCAGCACCGGGTCTTCGCAGAGGCCGGAAGAAGACGAGGCGGACGAGAATTTCATTTCCAATCGTCAGTATGTCTCGCACACACCCGGCGCAGCAGCCGTGGACCTGGCTTCGTTGCGACCCTCTCCTCATCACGTTCCGTTCATCGGCATCCACTCGCCAGGACCCGACATAGCGAAAAAGACAAAGGCCATCTCAAGGGAACACTTGAAGATCCAGTTCAACAAGGAACAAGGGGTCTTCGAGGCCATTCCGCTTCACAAGAACGGTTTCTTCATCGACGACGTACACCACAAGGAGGGCGTCGCCGTATTGCGCAGTGGCGACCAATTACAGATCAAAGACGTCGACTTCCGCTTCGTGATCAATGGCGTCCCAGAAGGCCGGACGGGCGCCGAAGAATATCTGGAGGAGGACAAACTCAAGAAGAAGAAGCAGACAGGTGGAAAGGAGATGAGCTTCGAGTTTGAGGCGTCGCACGGCAACGGTCTGGATGATACAAGCGATTCATCTCTCAGCTCGCCAGCGCCCTCCGATGCAGGCCTGTCTGACATCGAAATGGAAGGTGATGAAGCTGAAGCAGATGCTGAAGCCGAGGCCGAGGCTGAGGCTGAACGGGCAGAAGCCGAAGCGGAAGAGGCAGAAGAGGCAGCCGAGGCTGAAGCTGAAGCTGCAGAGGCGGCGGCCGAGGCGGCTGAAGCAGCGGAAGCAGCGGAAGCAGAGGCCGATGCCGATGCAGACGCAGATGCCGACGATGACGCCGATGCTGAGGGAGAAGTACACCAAGAATATGGCGAGGAAGTGGAGGACATCCAACCTACCACAGAAGTCAAATCAGAGGAACAGGAGATGGCGCATCTTCTGATGGGGCAGGGGCACCACTGGGCTACCCGAACAAGAAGCGGGGGCCTGGCAGACCACCGAAGAATGGCTTCATGTCCAAGCGAGAGCAACGGCTGCTCAAAAAGGCACAGCAGGAGATGGCGAAGAAGACGTTACCACAGCCACCTCCCGGAGAGCCGCCCATCAAGAGGAAGGTCGGGCGCCCGCGCAAGCATCCCTTACCAGAAGAAGGGGGCGATCGGCCCGAGAAGCGCAAGTACAAGCCCCGGAAGCCCAAGGGCGAAGATGGCGCAGAAGGGTCAGACGCCGAAAGACGGGCCAAAGAGAAAAAGGAGAAGAAGGTCCGGCCCAAGTCGCCGCCCCTGGAACTCAAGATCGAGGATTACACCGAGGAACAGCTCCAGAAGCCGAACAAGAACTACGGAGTGCTCATCGACGAGACCCTCACTGCAGCAGGGCCCGACGGCCTCACGCTCAAACAGATTTACAAACGGATTACTCAGAGATACCCCTGGTTCTACTTCCACACAGAGACGAAGGGCTGGGAATCCAGTGTACGGCACAACCTCATTGGGAACGAGGCTTTCAAAAAGGACGACACGACAGGCTTGTGGTCGAGAGTGCCCGGTGTCGAGCTCGACGCCGGCAAGAAACGCAAGGCCTCCTCGCCAGATCGGTCCGTGAGTGCGGGCTACGGCCACTACAATCACCCGATGTACACTCAGTACGCCCAGCAGCAAGGCCATATGCCTCCTGGCTACCAACACCTGCCGCACAATTACCACGCGCAAGCCTACGCCGGACAACAAGCTCAAGCAGCAGCAAGAACACCTCAGTACTCGCCTCCAGGCGCTACGCCGACCCCTGGTCAGCCCGCGCCACCAGTGGCCTCCCAGCCAGTTGCACCAGCAACACTCCCTGGCTACGGGGCCGCTGCTGCCATTGCCCGGCCTCAAGGCGTGGCAGGGCAGCCGTCTACGTACAGTTCACCATATGCGTCAAGGCCGCCTCCTACCCACCCGGCTGTCAAGACCGAAGACAGCGCCGCCTCAACATCAGCACCGCTCACAACACAACCTGCTCCGGCCGCCATCCCTGGAGCGCAACCACCACAGATACCCACTGCTGCACCACAGCAAGCTCGACCCGCTCCCACACCACCAGCGCAAGCCGAACCCCGCCCCGTCATTCAGCCTAGACTGCTGTCTGCTGTCAATGGCTTAAAGAACGGCCTCATTGAAAACCTAAAGAAGGCGAAGAACCCCAAGGCCGAAGCCATCGTCATGTCCGCCCTCAACCGCTGTCTGGGGCTCAAGAACGCGGCCACCGAAAACCAGACCATGGAGGATATCTGCATGAAGGGCATACAGAAACTCCTGGACGGCTTCTCCACGCGGAGCAACACGCCCGGATCAGGAGGCACGCCAACCCCGACCGGACCTAGTAACGTCTTCGACCCCAAGGTCTTCAACGCGCTGGTCGGTTTCAAGAACGTCTCGTCAAACGCCCTCAAGGTGAGAATTGGCGAGGGCAAGGCCGAAGCCGTTACTTTGTCTGCCATTGACCGGGTACTGGGCCTGGCAGACGCGAGCATCGTACCGCCGCCTGCGGAGGCCAGCACCTCGGGATCGCCAGCGGCGGGTTTTGACGGGATCGAGTCGCACTTGATGAACTCGGTGAAGCAACTCTTGTTGGGTCTCAACCAGAAGCTGCACGGAACATAGATTACTAAAGGCACATAACATTACGTATGGGCAAAGAAGGTGCGAGGAGGACCAGGAAGCGTTACATGTCAGCGTCTGCTCTGTCGGCGCTCGGCCCTCCAACGAGGAAAGGGACTGGTTGATTTCGGAAGGATATGATCATGAATCAGCGAAAAAGTGCGTCTAATCATAGCACAGCTACGTGTCGTCGTTTGGCACCTAAGAATACAAAAATTCGTTTTCAGACATGCTGGGTGATGAGGATTGAACCTCCAATTGGTGTTTTTGTGGTCAGCACGATGGGGAGATTGAGCATGACATCTGTGGTGGTGAGAGTGCCTTTGGGTTCTTGCCTTGCCATCCCAAGTGGTCCATGGTACAGTCTTTGCAAGCACCAGGCCATCGGAACTGATCCGGGTATCCCGCCCTCCGCTGAAACATGCTATCGAGAGTATCAAAGTCGCGTTCGGGTATACCTACTGTCGAGCGCAACCAATCAACCTAGTCGCTTCGTCTTGTTCGTGAAAACAAACGGACTCTACGAGGTAGTATGTCACGAAAACACAGAAGAGCCGAATCGGTAAACTTGGACTTGTGTGGTTACCTCGGTTGTCTAGCCCAGAAAGATTTCAAGACGGGGATGGCAGACCTGATGCCATGTCGAGTCCCACTCCCTCCAAGCACACCTAGTCTGACGGGATGGGTGACCCAACTGCCAGCATTGCAGCAATGCCATTCAATAGGCAAAGTTGTGGTGTGGAAAGCAACCAGCTATCACTGGATGCAAACATCCACACATCCCCGATAGTCTAGTGGTGAGGATATCTGCTTGTCATGGAAACACGATTCGCAGGGGACCGGGGTTCAATTCCCCGTCGAGGAGATTCTTTTTTCCCCTAGTTGGGACCCATTACTTTTTGCCCACATGGCGTTTAGTACCTAATCAGTGCAGAATGGCCCTCTAAGGGATCCATGGAACCTATAGCTTTGGTGGTAGCTTGTCCAACAGGCGTCTGGATACTATGTATGATCTTACAATTGACATCCTGGGACAAGTCGCTAGGAGCTCATGAACATTATGTAGTCAGTGTAGATAGGGACTTTGGCTGGTGTCTAGGCGTTCGGGTGCCCTTCAACATCTCAGAGAGATAGCCCTGGCGTAGAATAGAACAAGCAAACAAACATATGCGCAGAAGCCTTAAGACACTTTGCACAGTCTGAGGACAAAAACGCCGGATAAGAACAGTTTTCAACACTGGGTATTAGATCGACGTGCTACTCTAGCCCCTGATTCCAGGGCTCCCACGTCTGCTTATCGTAACTGGCCATGCACTTGACCTTCTCGGGCGGGTCGGCCTTCCAGTCGACCTTGAAATCCTCGACCTTGTCCTCGTCGCCGGCCCACTGGCTGGTGTACCCCTTGGCCGCCTTGATCTTCCTCCCGGCCTCGTCACTGTATTCCAAGTTGACGCTCGGCACCACGGCGATCTTGCCGAACCCGGCGTTCCACAGGTCCTTGCAGAACAGCTGCGGCTCCCCCTGAAAGCACTCCCCCGGGCCGGGGGCCCGGAACCGCACGAGGCGGTCCAGCAGCGGTCGCGCCGTCATGGCCACGGCGCCGTTCCAGCACGAAAAGACCTGCAGCGGCTTGTGCTCGGCGAAGCGGCGGCGCGACGTCTGCTCGTTCCAGAAGAGGTTCCAGGCGGAGTTCCAGTTGCCGTCGGGTGGGATCTCGAAAAAGGAGTCGCCGGCGATGGTGCGGCTGATCCAGACGTCGTAAAAGGTGGGGTCCGGGCCGACGTAGGTCCAGTCGACGGCGCACGTCATGTCGGCGCCGAGGTACAGGCGCTGGTGGGCGAGCTCGAGGATGTCCTCGAGGCAGATGGCGACGTCGTTGAGGAAGAGGACGGCGGCGTCGGCGGCGTAGCGCGCGGGGTCCGAGACGAGCGGCGCGAGGGCCATGTTGCGCAGCTCGGCGAGCTTCCCGATGCGGTCGCCCGCGCCGGGGTCGAGGTCGCTACGGGCAAAGTGGTACTCGACGCCGAGCTTCTCGAGCTCCGGCCGCAGGAGGTGGAGGATCTCGTAGGTGCCGTCGCGGGAGTTGCCCTCGACGACGGAGAGCACGCAGTTCTCCGGGCCGAGGAAGCGGAGGGCCTCGACGACGGAGCCCATGAGCCGCGGAAGGAGGTCGGCCTTTTGGCGGATGTTGAGGGCGATGAAGAACTTGGGCTTCCCCAGCGAGGAGGAGGAGGGCTTGAGGTATTGGTACCGGGCGATGTCTGGGCGAGGGCAGTCGAGGCGGGGCATCGACTTGTCGTCCGGGTCGAGAATCGCCGTGATGTACTTGGGTGCGTTCTTGAGGTGTTCCGGGTCGCCGTCCGGTAATGTGGAAGTGGCGCTATCGGCGTCGCCGGCTGACGGTGGTACCGGTGTCGGCGTCGGCGTCGGTGTCCGGGCTGAAGTCGGTAGCTGCGTCTGAGACGGTGTGAGCACCGGCGATGCTACGCTGGCGTCCGTCCGATCCGCTCCATTATGTGGGGATCCACCGTGTGTTTCTTCGGTCGTTTTGGGGTTTTCTGAGTGAAGCGTCAGTTGATTGAAGGTTTTCCATCGTCACTCAGCCGTAGAGGTTGAGATTTGAGAATAGTGTCGACGTACTGAATGGTTTGTACGCGGCGTCAAAGTACTCGCGTCCCGAGAATAGGTCGTATGCGACCAACAGACTAATGAGCAGCAGGCAAACTGCGCTCGCCTGGGCGACGACGATGAGTTTTCGTCTCGCCATTGGTATCTTATGAGGGCCCGATAATCACCATCGTGCACGAGCAAAGGGCAAGGACGACGGATGGTGAGAGGAGTAGGGGAAGAAAAGGAAGAAATGAAATCAGAACCGAGCATGATGGGGGGACACCGAGCGGAAGTGCGCCTCTCCCCCCGATCTGCAGAAGATGACCGGGGTTCGACAACTCTTGGGTGGCGGCCAACACAGCACAGTTGGACGGTGGAAGCGAAGGACACTCTGAAGCACCCCTTGTTCGCAGTTGGCACCAATGCATCGCGGACCACACAATTCACCTAGGCACGCCCCGTTGGTGGCCGAACCCCGTGGGCCCCCGGTGACCGGGGTTAGGAGAGGTCAACCAGCAAAACTGGCAACCTCGCCTACTGTCATCATCAATCAGGAACCACGGCGCTTAACCGCGCGACTAAATCTGGCGGCGTGGTTGGCTCACGACGCCAAGATGGGCCCGCAAACAAGGCCTCTTTTGCTCTGTTGGTCTGGTCATAATGTTGGTTCAAGCTGTTCGTCTACACACCTCTCCACTCGTATTTGCCCCAGAACACAGGTACCCCGTGGTACTGATTGTTTGCTCACCGGTATTGTGAGCTCAGAAGTTCGCCTCCTTTCAGCGGCATGGATGGAACACCTAAAGACGCCCGAGACTCGAACATCTCACGACATGATTCGCCGAGGGAAATGAGTTGCCGGGGGGTCAACCAGACTGTCGGGACAGAGCACATATAACCCCAACCGCCGCGTTCCGAATCCAACACGAGTTGCAGCGTTGCTCTCACATAGATTCCATGACAACGCAGAATCAGGCTGGGAAGATGCCGCCGACAAGGCTCTCATTAGGTTATCCAAAGTTGGGCCTGCATCGTTGCGACCTGCTGCCCAGAAGTCCGGGTTTCCTCGGGTCGACGGGATGCTACATACATAGTTGTGTTGTTCTCCCATCGCTGCCGTCTTCCGGTTCCAGTGTCTGCCGTTTCTTTCTCATTTGCGGGTCTTTCGTCTTTTTCATTGCTTTTCGTTGTGGAACTCCACGATATCTTTCGTTTTTGTTCAGGGTGCTAGGACACTCTTATCTATTCTATAATCTTCATCGCTGAAGCTTGTCCTGTCGGCCGGTTTCATCATATCACGGTGCACTCAAGAGCTTTATCCTTTCGTTTGTTTTGACGGGAAAGGACCTGAACCTCTTAGCGAACAACCACGACGCCCCCTCTGCCAACACTTCGGTTTCCGGGTGCCTCAGATTGCGTGAGGACTCGTATTCCATAATGGCCCGGGCTCTCCTCCTCTTTCTTTTCCTTTTTGCCTTGGAGAAACACGTTGCACAAGCCTCGCCACGGGCGACGAACCTCAGATATGCCCCTGCATCACCCCCGAAGCCCACGAGTGCCCCCTCGAGAAACAGTACCAACGGCTTGAACGAGGACCTCAGACGACGCCAAGTCACATCGAGAGCCTCATCAGTCTGTGGATACTACGACGGTGACCCGGCCAAGTCACGAACAGCCGACGCGGGATACGGCTGTCGCGAAGACATCGATCATGGGCTGTGGGGGTTCTGTCCCACAACCGTGCTAGCTGCGACTGATTGTGGGCTGGCTGGTAACTGTGTTGATTCCCACAACTGCAAGTTTGGTTGCGGGAAGACGGGAATCAAGGGTCTTACGACCTTTACTTGGTAAGGCTCCTCACAGATTTGAGGCGGGAACATCATGATAACAAGCTTGTCATAGTGCCGAGACACAGTTCTGCTCTACTGTGATTCTCGCCGGGAGTTTTGAAGGGGGCTTCTCGTACATCGCCTGCGGTGCAAAAGCCACTGTGGAAACGCTGCTGAAGGAACCTACAATCGTAGCCGTTCCTAGCGTCACAGTTACCCCTGAGCCGTCTACTTCGTCCAAAACGTCATCTTCCGAACCTACATCAGAGACCGTGGCCTCGACATCCTCGATAGTTTCTTCTCCTATTTCGAGCCCCACGTCGGAAGCATCCTCGGCATCAACGCGGTCACCAACCCAGTCTGCCCCACCGGCAAGTGAGGCAACCTCGCCCGCGAGCGAAAAAAATGGACACAATTCGTCTGACGATGCACCAAGCAACACAGGCGCCATTATCGGGGGCGTCGTCGGCGGCGTAGCCATGATCTGCATCACAGTCGTGGCCGCTGTCTACCTTCTCCGACGTAACAAGAATAACAAAGAGCCTCAGCAGAAGCGAACGAGCCGCTTCCGTTCATGGGGCAGATCATCGTCGAAGCCTCCCGCCTATGACCAGAGCGAGGCCCCCCAGGCGGACACGCAGGTACAGGACACCATGGAGCATAACAAGACTTACGCCGGGTGGGGGCCATCCGAGGTCTACGGTTCGGAGCCATGGAGGAACCCGGCCATGCCTGTTGAGTTACCAGGGCCGCCTCCTGCAGAGCTTCCAGGTCGACAGTATTGATAGATGTGCACGAATGAGGTTATATCACGAAATGATATAGGCAAGTATGAGATAGGGACGGAGTTCAAATAGCGACGCATCATAGTCTAAAGGATCTCTTCTTCAAACATAGCTAAATCATCGTCTTTTCATGCAACAGTCACCAATACCCTGTATCATCTAGTTTTGTTTCAGTACCTCCTCCTGTGCCCTTGAATCAGGAGAGCCCTACCTGTATCGTCATGTCATTGAAACACTCGCCACTTCAATTAGTTGCCATGTTATCTCACTACCGTTGTGGCCCAGTTAGTTAAAAAAAACAAGTATTCCATAGAAATAGAAATACTGAATGTTACAATATGCGCTGGTCAGACTCGGGGCGGGGAGCTTAGGTTCAGTGTAGCGTAGCACTCCTTATATATTGTTGAAACCCTTAGTGTCTTTCTATCACCCCTTGTTCGATCTTTGATACCGCTTTCAACCAAAGTCCCTTGCTTCGTTTTACTTCGTTGTGGTAACACACACCAAATAAAGTAGATCGGGCTGAATGCGATCTTGGTTCCTCAAGTCGTGTGAGAAGCTTAGAAAGATCGGAGGCCGAGGCCTACTTACCAGTGACTACAATGTTAGAAACACACAGAGCACCACTTTGAAGCTTGGCTAACTCAAAGAAACCAAGCAATGCTTGTCTATCTCCCAGCATCACCATCCAAATCGAGGTCATCGGTCTACAGCTTATGGGTGCAAACAGTCTCTTGTATCGATCTAGTGGCTACCTAGCTAGCTAGCCTCCTATCCGAAGAGACGAACACATATTCGTTCTGCTCTTTCCCATTTGTCCATTCTGTGCTTGTCCTATGTATCCGAAGTCCATTCCTCGCCCTCAATTAGGTATATCATACATGAGAAGAGCCACGCCAGTGAAGACGACTGGGGCTATGATGATGACCAGTTCTCTCCAAAGTGGAAAGATCCAAGTCGTACTCTGAACAAGAAAGTTGAGATTTGCAGAAAGAACGGAGGCATCGCCTTTGTCAGGCTAGAAGACGCTTCCATCTCTCCGTACTCCGAACAGGAAAATCAAGTAAGGAAAACAGAAGCCAAAGGTTTCCCGTTTCCCAAATCCAACAAACTTATTGGAGGCGTATCTTTTGCAAACCTCTTCAAGGCCCGAAGTCAAGACGTCGCATACTGTTCTGAAAAAAGGGCAAGCTCACATCCAAGAGCTAGAAGCAAAAGGAGAGTAGAATTCATGCTACTTTTCTTCGGTGAGTATGCTTCAAAGATCACAAGAGTGTTCGGTTTTTTCTTTCTTTTTTTTGTATCTGTCGTGGAGGAAAAGCCGTAGCCAGCGAGCGTGGGGCAACAAGAAAAGACGGCGTTTCGGTTCATAATTGTTCGTCAGTCGTCAGTTGTCAGAACCAGTCAGCGTCGTAGCCAGGCTCAGGCGCAGGGGGGGCCGTAGCAGCGCGCTGGAAGCGACGATGCTTGCGCAGACTCTTGGTGAGAGCTCCGCCATCAGCGCTGGATTGACCACCGCCATTGCCGGGTTCGTTGCCACCGCTTTCGGCACTGGCAGTAGTGGGAACAACAGGAGCAGGACGGGTAGGGCAGGGAGGCACGTTGGATCCATCTACCGGGCCGGGAGGGCTGGGATACCCGTTCGGAGGAGCGGGGTACTCGGCCTCAGACATACCATAACTCTCAAGGAGCTGGCGGCGTTGGTCATCAGTAAGAGGGATGAGATTCATGGAGTCTGCCAGAGTAGTGTAGTTTGTCTGCTTGTAGGCGTAGCCGTACGAGAGAGCGCCTTCGTGGTAGCTAGAGTCGTTCCAAGGCTGATCCTGGACCTGGCCTTGGATGCCAGTTTCTGCTCCATTGCCACATTTCGAGCCACTGTCGGTGCAAGTAGTCGTGTACAAGTGGTCGTTCTCCTCTGAGAAAAAGTCGTCCAGCTCTGCCATTTTCTCGCCAGTGGTCATGAGGATTTGAGAGGTGGCTGGGGTGGGCGGCAGGGCTGTAGTGCCGGGCAGGCGAACGGTAGGCCGCTTCTGGTGAGCGGGAACGACTATGGTCTGGTGAGTGATATTCGAAGTGGCACCAGTGCTCCTCATTGTAGATCCATTGTTTAGAATGGAAACTGCCTCTTCAAGCAGCTTCTGCTTCTTCTCAGGCGACGCCTTGGTGAAGGCATCGTAGTCATCTTGAATGAGTCTCTGATACTCATCTGCAGTGAAGCTGCGACGTTGAGTTTCCTGGCTACTATCATCGGCAGGGGTGTTCGGCTGAATAGACTTGTTGCCGAAGTTGTTGAAATTCTTGTGAGTCTCATGGGCGTAGCTAGTACCGCTTGCAGTGCGGGCATGGGCTGAAGCAGGATCCGACTGACGAACACCGGCGCCTAGCTGAGCAGGATGAGCGTTGGAATTCTTCTTGTCGAGCTCGTAATCCGATTCGTCCTCATCGTTGAACTCGTACTTGTTTTTGGCACCGGCACGCTGGGCCTTGGGCCAGCTGAAGTTGACGGCGCTACGACCGCTGTGAGTGGAAGAACCGCTGGCGGTCCTGTTGCTGCCTTTGCCGAAGTCGACACCGAGAGCCGTAAATTCGCCAGTGACCATGCGATACTTGTTGGTGTTGATCTTAAGAGCATCAGGCAGCTGAGGGCTCTCAGCCTGGTTCGGAGTAGTTCTGTCGACGTCGGTATTCTTGTCTCTGCCAATGGTGGGCTGCTTCATGCGGGAGGGAATTCGAAGCGGAGCAGGCTTCATGGTGTGGGAAGCGATTGAGCGCGCGGCGTAAGCCTGCTCATCAAATTCGAGAGCGGGTTGCTTCTTCTTCTTCTGGCCGAAGCCTGGGACGATGTCCTCTTTCTTGATCTTTGTCTTGACGGCGTCACGAAGAGGCTTAGAATTCTCGAGATGGATGATTTTGCCCTCGGCGTGAGCAGCGTTGACAAGCTCATGGGCGCGCTTGTTTGAGTCGATACTACCCTTCTGAGCCTCGATAGCCTTGGCCTTCTTGATTTCCTCGGAATCGGAAAGCTCTTCATCGGAGACATGAAGGGAGGCTCGTACGCCTTTCTAGAACGTGTCGACCTCTTTCGGGTCTCTCTGAATGAAGGTGAATGATTCTTCGCCGTCTGTGACCTCAGATACGGCCGGCTGAACCGTCAACTTGGCAACTGACTGATTGACGGGCTGCAAGGTAGTAGGCTGAGTGGGATTCTTTCGATCGAAATCCTCTAGGAAGACTTTGGCAGCAGCCTGGTAAGACGGGGTGAGGTATTTGTTCAGATAGAACGGGTCGCCATCTGATGAACCGGTGCTCCAGTTATCGCTCTCAGAAGAATCATCGGCAAGTGTCTTGTTGTTTCCAACCCTGGCTGCCAAATTGCCGTGATCCTGGCCTGAAGTTGACTGGGTCTGCTGAACAGCAGGCTGAGAAATGGGTTGAGCAGTGGACTGAACTATCGGCTGAGTAGTTAACTGAGATGACTCGATGTTAGTTCCTGGAACATAATCGTCATCCGCAGCAGCCGGCGCGTCGGGGTCTGGAAGAGATCTCCAGTAGTCGATCTTGGAGAAGATGTCCGGATACTTCTCTCGAAGAGATAGCTCATTCCGAGGGCCCTGTTGAGTCTTGGACGACGTGACAGCTGGGGGAGAGTTAGAAATGGGGTTCTCGCGCTTGGTAGCCTTTTGAGCCTTCTTGTCGGCTTTCTTCTGCGCTTTCTTCTCGGCTCTTCGGGAGGCCTTGGTACTGGTCTGCGTTGTATCTCTTTTGGCACCCTGATTAGATGACTCTCCGGGAGCCTCGTCGAGGTGAGCAGCAATGACAGCCTCCTTGGCCTCGCGTTCCTCCTTGACAGATGGGTATCGCTCCTCGAGCGCGTCGGTAAGGGAAGCCAATTTGTTCCAGAGCTCAATCTTGGCGGCCTTCACCATGGACTCGCCTCCGTCCTTCTCGAGAGGAAGAATCTTCACCTCCTTGTCGATATGGGTGGGTGGAATGTATTCGTCGAGACAATGAGCAAGAGGCTCGCCCTTGAAGAACTCCTGCATTTTGAGGAGCTCGAGATCTATGTCGTCCTTGGCAGGTCTTTTGTCGTCGAGCTGAGAGGCTTGACCAGTCGGAAGCGAGGTAGCGGTAGCATCAATAGACTCGGCGAAGGAATCTTTGCCCTTGCCCTTGTCGACAACGGGCGAAGTGGGAGTGAGTTCATGATCCTTGGGATTCGCCATCTTTTCAGACTCTTCCAGAGTATCTCCAACGCCCTCAAATTTAGCCACCATGGCCTTGACTGAAGAAGCCGCTGATAACTGACGATTGCGAGGTAGAGGATGAGAAGGTAAGCCAGGAATGACGTCTCGATTGCGATGAATAACGCTCTTGCTCTCAGAAAGGTGAGAAGGAGAGTGGAGATTCTTGTCAGCCCGAGGAGCAGATTCTTCTTGGCGGAAGAAGGAAGAAGCTTTGCGACCGAGGTTTGCAGAAAACGAATCAGGGAAGCGGGCAATAGGCCTCTTTCGATTAAGAACACAAGGCTCTGGGTCGTCTCCGAGGTTGTCGAAGCCTCCTTCACGCAGCTCAAGCGGATCCATATCGTCGAATCTTCGTGGCAACTGGTCGAGCGGGTAAGATAAGTTGCCCGATACTTCACTTGCGACAAAATTGAAGAGCGCGTTGAGGGCGGTCTTCACGAAAGAGGCATGCCAGAAGACCTAGAACGAGCTGGCGGGAGATAGCAATGAACAGGATGAAATGCACCCACACCAAAAGAGGGATCCTCATGGGGAAGATCGATGAGTTAATTAATCCGTTCACTTGCGATAAAGAGTGAAGAGAGAAAGGTTGGGAATGTGAGAAAGTAACGAGAAGGTAACTGCGAATATGAGAGGTCAAAGGGGAGTGAAGCCAGATCGATTCGAGAGAGTTGTCTTTCTTGTAAAGACGGGGCGGAAGGCGTGCCTACTTTGATGGAAGGAGCAAGGTATCACAGTTTTGACTTCCCTCTTAGTTTTCACGGTATCCTATCTTCTATCTGAATAATATGTGTTGTCTGCTGAACAGAACAATCAGCTGCTAGGGCATGTTCAACCCCTGAATGCCATGGCCACTCTCATCGCGGTTGACTTCATCATCTGGAAAGTTCCGATAACCTGTTTATAGTTTCATGTGATAAAAACGAACCCGGATTTCTGTATGTTATGAGGACTTTTTTGCTGACCTGCTCATCCAGCTTGGAATTAGGAAGAAACCAACCTAGGGATGGTCCGACACTGGGCTGCATTCAGGCCGTTCAGCGACACCTCTCTATACCACGATCTACATGAGACCTAAAGTGTCTCTATGAATTGAAATAAAATTTAAAAATGTGTAGAAAATACTACCATTACACCGCTCGGCCATACCTGAATGCTGAGTACTATGCAAAGGATTCAGGAAGGAGCGGGATAGGGTAAAACAAATACAAGACTACCTGGTGCAAGTACGGCACAATGTAGACCCTGTATATAATGTTGAAGGTTTAAAAAATAAACAAATTGAATTGACACTCAGAAGATATTTCAAGCTTCATCCTGATGAAAGCCCATGTTGACGGGCTGTGTTCATGAGGTGCCTGCCGTCTGGATGGTGTTGTTGGTATGGCTGAACGTCAAAGCGCACAGACCACTCGCAGGGTCCACCTTCCCGGCCGGCATCCTCCGTGCCTTCTCAGGGTTCCACGTTGCTCAAAGTGCCCCCACACGAGTTAAGTGATCAAGGGGAACACATCGCAGCTGGCCATCGTTTGGCATCAACAATCAACGACGAAGCAACACCCTAACGAAACCGCCAAGATGGACCCCTACTCTGCCGAAGGCGAATTGATCAATATCCACAACCACTTTCACCAGGGACAGTACCAGGAGGTCATCGACTATGACACCTCTGCCCTGTCCCCCGAGAACGAGCTTCCCGCCCGCGTCCTGGTCCTCCGCGCCCGCATCGCCCTCGGCCAAGCTGAGGATGTCCTCGCCGACGTCCAGGGAGAGAAAGGGCCTGAGTTTGTAGCCCTCGGTGCCCTCGCTGAGAGCGCGCTCGGCAAGACGGATTCCGCCGTGAAGACGATCGAGAAGCTCGCCGCTTCCGAGGGAGAGAATGCCACAGTCCAAATTGTTGGAGGCACAGTTCTGCAGGCTGCGGGCAAGTCAGAGGAAGCGCTTGCGCTGCTGTCGCAGCACCAGGGAAGCCGTACGTTTGTCACCTACAGCTGATGGGATGACATGTGCTAATGTGTGGTATATAGTTGATGCTGTCGCCCTGATCGTTCAGATTCACCTCCAACAGAACCGCAACGACCTCGCCCTCAAGGAGGTTACCGCCGCCAGAAGATGGGCACAGGACAGCTTGCTGGTTAACTTGGCCGAGTCGTGGGTTGGTTTGCGACAGGTACGATAACTACACTCCGGGCCTACGGGCAATACTAAAGGATAACAGGGCGGAGACAAGTACCAACAGGCTTTCTACGTGTTTGAGGAGCTCGCGCAGGCGCCAGCGACATCCTCAATTGCGACTCTCGTTTCGCAGGCCGTTGCAGAGCTGCACCTCGGCCGGACAGAGGAGGCACAGGCTGCATTGGACCAGGCCCTTGCGAAGGATGCCAACTACGCCCAGGCCATCGCTAATCTGCTAGTGTTGACGGTTATCTCGGGCAAGGATCCCAAGGAGTTCACAGAGTAAGTTCCCATGCTTTCCTCAAAGAGGCGCTGAGACGACTGGCTGACCACGTGGGCACAGAAAACTGAAGGCGGCGGACCCCCAACACCAATTCCTTGTGGACCTGGAGGAGAAGAGCGCGCTTTTCGACAAGGCGGCGACCAAGTACAGCGCCAAGGTGTCGGCATAGGCTGTGGAGTTGATGTACTGCTGATGAGGCATAATGTTAGGCGTACGGTTTAGAGGAACTCAAATGGATACAACGGCTCGGAAAAGCGCAACGAGACCACCCGAATTACTACCCTTCCGCTTGAAGATACCCATCCCTTCGTCCTCGCTAGAAGCCGATTCTTTGCCATTTGCGCGCGACCCCACCCACGCCAACAGTGATCAGCATGGGCTCGAAGGGTCCATTGTTTCGCCGGCATTATCTGGCCAGCTGCTTCGTTCTGCGGCATGTATGATGAACCACGCGGAATGATAGGAGCCCGGGCTTGGAAAGGCCGGTTGATTGAAGCCGCCCAAGGTAACGGATCGGTGGCTTTGAACATCGGCAGATTGACATCATGGCCTCCTATTCCTCACTAGTACCAGACGCCAGCCGAACAGCAGCGCCTCTCCGCCTGAGTCAGGGCTCGCTTATAGCAAGTACACGTTCGTGGGAAGACATCGTTGACTAGGGCTTACCTGTTGGACTACCCAAACGAATGCATGGTCTAAGTTATTGCTGACGGAGCAAGTTACCCGCCAGGGACTAAGTCAGCACGATGGAGGACAGCCCAAATGTTGCCACCATCTTTCGGACCGCACAGCATCAAATTTTTGTCTTGTCGGTCTGGCATTATGGAGCCGAGACGAGGCGTCCAGGGTCATCTTGCGTCTGTTCGCGGGGCTCAAAGATTTCGAGATCCAAGACGGCATAATGCAGCCACACTAACACGATATGACGAACTTTTTGGGGAACGACTTCAATAGTCCCACAGGCACATGCAAATACTCTCCGAGGGGTTACGTAGATCCTCCATCGTCATGGGCTACGATATGTTGACAACGACAACAGCGGGCGAGGGATTCGATGTGGTTGAAATCGCTGATAAGAGCCCCTCATGTTGGAGTACGGGATCCTACTGGTCTGGTTCACCTTTACACAACGCATGCCTTTTGTGTTCACCGCCAAAAGGAGGCATGGGTGTCGAACGTCTAGGTAGTAGAGAGGGATGCCTCTCATGCAGTTGTTGGCAAGGTTTCTTGTGGTGGGTGCGAGGCCAGCGGGAGACCAGACGAAGACGAATAGAAAGCCCGGGCCGCTGCAGATGAGATGGATTCATTGGAGGTTTGTTTGCCTCCCACCCTCCCCAACATCCCCGGCCTGGACTGTTTCGATCTGGGTTTCCAAGCCCCTTTCGCAATGCATATGCGGTCTCCACGGGCCTTGGGCTAGGCGGGCTGGAGTGCAGCAACAGAGCAGCAAGACGAGTCGGACGAAACGACAAAGGCAGCTAAACATGGTGCCATGGTAGCCTGCAGCGCGTTGCTTTCGCGTTACGACAAAGTTACTCGGCTAGCGTACCTTGAAGGCTAAGTGCATGTACTGAAACCCCAGGTCGGACGTGAACATGGGCATTTCTCAGCAAAAAGATGGTAAAGAGCCCCACCGAGGACAGAATGACATCATCAGGTGTCGTAGCCTGGATCTGGCCGTTTTCTTCGATTCCTCGATTTTCCCCCCAGCTGCCAACCAAAATGCCACATGCCTTTCCCCCCTCGCCAAAGACGGTAGCCAAAGGACCTGGAATGACCGGGCCCCATTTTTTGCGCATCCTTGCATTCATCATGGAAGCGCCGCCAGTTCATCTACACTACACTACATGCAGTCAAGTTCCTGGCGTCCTCGACTTAGACTTTCTTTCAATCCGCTGCTTGCTCACCCAGCTTGGCGCACGCAGTGGAGTGGCTATCTAGATGGAGTATCCGCCCGCGGTGGCATGTCGTCAGGCCCCGATGGCCATATGTGCTCTCCCGTTCCCCTCTGTGTACCAATGCGGCCAGGCTTATGGAAATGTGGTCGTCCGGGGCTGGAATCTTCTGTTCGGTCGGCAACTTGGGACGGATGTATCATGTCGCCTCCCGATCCCCCGCTTGAGCGGATGGAGGTGCGCGCTGGCCCAAATATCGGATTCAGCAGCCATCTATCGGCCGGGACGGTGGGTGTCTGGAACAGTCGGAAACGGTTTGATTTGGCCACATTGTTTCTGATTGCTGATGGATGTTCACAGCCAGATCTGTCAGTCCATAAGGGCCCGTTCCGCGTCCGGGGTGTTTGGAGAAGTTTCTCCTGGCGATCAGCACAAGAGGCTCTGCAAGCCTATGGGACTTCGTTGTTGTAAGGCTCCGAGTGGCCAGTCCGCCGCATTGAACACATCCCATTGTCGAGACACTGCCGGCCGTCTTTCCGGAAGGTGTGGGAGTGTGGCGACCTACCAGCCTTCCTCTCTACCCACACGTGTAGCTCTTCTGAAAACCCAGAGCCGATAGCAGGCCGGAGAGAAGGCCACCCAATCATCCTGGTGAATCAGGTCCCGTCTCTTCGACGGCGCTAAATCCCCCAATTGGGCATGGTCCGGAAAAGACAGATGCCTACGAATCTGCGAGACGCCGTCATCGTATGTAGCCTCCGTCGGCGACTGGCAGTCTGCGGTGCGCGCGTTCGACGCCGTCCGAGTCGGCGTCTTTCAGCCGCTTGCTGTTGTACATTGAAGCGTCCCGGAAGCGGCTTTCCCATCCCCTCGAGAGCGGAGTCGTGTCGCGAACGCGCAGGCTGGCTGGCCTTGGCCTGGCTGCACACTTTTCCCATGGTTGATCTTGCTCATGCACATGCAGACTGGCGCGCACTGACGTCCGCTCCCGTATTTTGCAGAGAGGACGGGGGCAGGGGGGCAAGCAAAACGACCATTTTACCTTTCAGGGCGTCATCGTGAAAGGACCAGATGGCTGGCTGTGCGCCTTTTTCCTTCTTTTTGCCGCTACGGCTCCCGGGTCGACATTTTGGCGGCATCGTGTGCGTGTGTGTAGGCATTGACTTCTATTAAAGCTGAACACCTCCCGTCGAAACTGGTTCGTGACAACTCTAAATACCCAGCACTTTCAGACTACAATCACCAGACTACATATAGTATTTACATACTTCTATACAAACTTCATCGCCGTCCCACTCATACTACACTACTACCCAATTCACCACCAAAAAAGCCCTCACAATGCCTATCGCTATCTCCCCTGCCACGGTCAAGGCCGCCGCAGAGGCCGGCCTGCCCTCCGTCACCGAGAACAAGAAGCGCAAGATCATCTGCTTTTCAGGTACGATTGACAGCCGTCAACCCCACCACCTTTGCTCTTCACCATTCACTAATAAATCATCTCTCTAGACTTTGACGGCACTATCTTCATGCAGGACACTGGTCACATCCTCTTCGACAACCATGGCTGCGGCTCCAAGCAGCGCGAGGTCCTCGACGAGCAGATCAAGAGTGGCGAGCGTTCCTTCCGCGACGTCTCGGAAGAGATGTGGGGGTCCCTCAACGTTCCCTTTGACGACGGCTTCGAGGTCATGGAGAAGACGCTCGAGATCGACCCGGCCTTCCAGGAGTTCCACAAATTCTGCATCGACAATGAGATCCCCTTCAACGTCATCTCGGCCGGCCTGAAGCCCATCCTCCGCCGCGTGCTCGACACCTTCCTTGGTGAGGATGCCTCGTCGCACATTGAGATCGTCGCCAACGACGCCGAGATTACCGATGATGGCTCCGCGTGGAAGCCCGTCTGGCTCCACGACAACGAGCTCGGCCACGACAAGGCGCTTTCCATGGGCGAGGCCCGCGAGCAGGCCGAGATGGCTTGCGAGGACGGCACGATCCCGCTCATCGTCTTCATTGGCGACGGCGTCTCCGACCTTCCCGCGGCGCGCCAGGCCGACGTGCTCTTCGCCCGCAGGGGTCTGCGGCTCGAGGAGTACTGCGTCGAGAACGACATCAAGTACATCCCGTTCGACACCTTTGCCGACATCCAGAAGGAGATCCAGCGCATCCGGGCCGAGGACGACAAGAAGACGGGCGGCAAGGGCATGCCCGCGGCCTTCAACCCGCGCGCCAACATGTGGCGCCGCATGTCGAGCAAGAGCGCCATCCCCAGGATGGTGGCCATCACCCCCGCCGAGGAGAAGATGTTCCTCTGGCCCGACGTCTTCAGCGTCGCGTCGCCGAGCATCGAGAAGGCCAACGTCGCTCCCGTCTTTGCTTAGACGTGTCTTGTCTAGGACATTTCCTCTTGAATTTCTTTACCTTTTGTGGCTTCAAATGTATACGATGGAATGCATAGCGTGCGCGTGTCAATCTAGTGGGGTTTGGATTCAATGGTTCGGGGCGTCTTGGGTTCGGGGCAATCGGGGCAAACCAGAAGGGTTTACACAAGATTCGGAGAAGTCTATCAACGTTCTAAACATCTCTAGATAGAGGATAAAATCAGAACTATTTTGTCATTTCACAACGCGTCCCATCATCTTGTGTCGGCTCTTTCGCTATACTGAGAACTTAAAAATGTGTGCTGTTGACCCAGGTGGATCCAGTTCTCTAGCAGAACAAACTTTGGTGTTGACGACTCGACGCGTTCGGGCACTCTCTTCTTTCATTACGACGGTATTGACGGGCTAGGTCTTGGCCGACTCGGCATTCACTACTAGATAGACACAGTCACCAGTCTAAACAGCCACATCCGGTCAGAGACATCACCCGAACATTAGAGAAGCTTCCAATACCGAAAGTGAGGTACAAGCAAAACCCAATCGACAGCACACCGGTCCTCGAATTCGTGCCGTGGTAAAAAGCCTCTTGTCAAAACATTTCCATTCGTCTGAAGCCCTCGTCCAGAGAGGTTCTCTGTATCTGTGTCTCTGTCTCCCCTTGACCAGCCAAGCAAAACACTAGGGGTATAAACCGTACTACAGCATCCGTAACCGTCGCGCGTCACCCTTCATATATACCATGCCCGTACCTTTCCATCCCATATCATCCAGCGCCTTACCGTGTAACCAATCCGAGTGCCTGTCTTTATGCACGTAGTAGATACAGTCAGCTGTCCGAGTGGGCTTTGCCTGCCACGCTGATCCGTATCCGTCCCCCCACCCCTTATTGTCATCTAGGAAGGAAAAATAAACACCACAGAACACCAACCCCAACCCCGTATTAACACCATTACAATGCTCCCCAGATGCAAACTTTTGGATGCAGAGATATGTACAACTGAGTAGGAAAAGAAACAGAACAGGAACAAGAAACAAGAACATGGGCTGTGTGTGTGGAAGCCAGAAGCGCCCGATGAGCAGCAGCCAACGCAGTAGACGCCGCGGGCAAGGGACGCGGCCGGCGTCTAGGCGTACCCCTTGGCGGGATCCAGCACGCTCACAGCCTGGCTGGAAAACGTGGCGTGGCCGAAGGTGGTCTCGACATCCTGCTCGACGACGCCCCACGCGACTTTCCTGTACGCCGCACCCACGTCCCTCGCAGGGCGGTGGCACCGCGCGCTGATGACGGCCGAACAGCTCCCGCCCCGCAGCACAAGCGGGTTGCCCGCCTTCTCGCCGTCGACGCTCGTCGGCGAGGGGTCTGCGCGCCGGAGACCCACGCCGAGGACCAACGCCGCGATCAGGACCATCAGGACCAAAAAGACGAGCAGCCCGACGCCGCTAAAGCCAATGCCGTTGATCGGGGCGGGGTACTGCTTGTCCTTGACGGCGGGGAGGACGTCGATCGAGACCATGACAACGGCGTTGCTCAGCACAAAGCCCGCGGCGGCAAAGAGGCCCAGGAGGAGCCAGGAGTATGGGCGCGGGAGGGTGAGGTAGAGGGAGGTCGTCTGGGCGCCGTGGGGACGTCCGGAGCTGACACGGAGGGGGAGGGCGATGCCAGGCAACGCGTACTGGCTCATCTCGTGGGAGAGGAAGTAGGACGACAGCAGGGCGTTGGTAGAGAGGTAAAGGGCCGCAAGGAGGAGGTGGGGGAGGGCGGCGATGATGGCGACGCCCGCGCGTCCGCCACTGTTGGTGAGGGGATATATCTCGTGGGGGCCGGCGCTGCCGAAGGGGCTGAGAGACGATGCCGGGCCTCGGGCGAGGGTAATGCCGAGGGCTGCAGCGGCGAGACCCGTGGGCAAGATCCAGGTGATGAGCCAGGATGTCCAGGTGGTCAGGCTCGGGGTTTGGAGCCAGAAGTGGTCTCGAGAGGTCCAGTATTTCGCCTCGCGGTACCCCCACCGCCCTTGCTTGACGTCCGTCTTGTCGAGGAGGCAGATGCCGCGGGTGGTATGATCGGGCTGTGTGATAAAGGAGGCGAGGGCGTCGCCGAGGGTGACGATAGGCTCGAAGCCGGTGAAGAAGTAGACGGCGCCGATGGCGGACACGGAGACGAGGTTGAGGATGGCGACAACGCCGAGGAGCGAGCCGTTGAGAACAACGTCGCAGGACTGGGAGGACTCGGGGCGCGCGAGGCAGTAGTCCACCGAGGAGCTGTTGATCCTGATCCGCGAGGGATCGGACGGGTCGATGAACTGCGCGAGGGAGGAGCCGGACTTTTGCGTCTGCACGAGAGAGTTCGTGGGGCCACGACGTCGGTCACGAGGACGACGGCGCTGAAGTCAGACTGGAAAGTGCCACCAAACTGCGCCGCGCAGGCGGCGTTTGTGAGGTTTGTCAGGTCACCGCGCGAGGCCTGGTCTTGGAGGACGAGGATGTCGGACCGCAAGAGGCCGCCGGCGTTGGTCTCCGACATGTTGCTGAACTGGCCGGCCGTGAGGAAGTCTCGGGTGACGAAGACAACCTGCTGGTCGAAGGCGGGTTGCGTCGAGAAGATTACGGCATTATAGCTGATGAAGGTCAGTGGTGAGGCCCATCAAAGGAAAAGATTCGACGACGACGGGGCGCAATGTACATTACTTGGGTGCTGACGGCCGCCAGCATAATGATGACCGTCATGATGACCCGCGGTTTCGAGACGAAACGCAGGTTCCTGAAAGAAGGGACCCCGATGTCGAGCCACCGCCTCCCATCGTGTGCCATATCGACCTCGATGCGCGTGGGACTGCTCAACACCTGAAACACGTAGTTGGCCGCCGACAGCAGCACGACGGTGACAACGTTAATGGCGACGAAGACACCAATCTTGATGTTGCTCGCGGCCGCGCAGTCGCCCTCGAAGATGCGGCTCTCGCCCCTGATCATGCCGACGACCACGAGGGCGAGCACCAGGCACACGATGGCGACGATAAGGATGAAGAAGCCAATGACGATGTTCAACGCGATGCCGGCCCTCCATCCCGACTTCATCCGGTCGAACGTGCTTCCCGACCTCCTCTTCTCGTCCGGTGGCAGCATCCGCTCCAGGTCGTCGTTGGCGGCGACCGTCGAGAGGGTGTTTGTCGTGGCCTCCTCGTAAAAACCCTGTGCGCCACTTTCGTGTATGGCGCCGCGTACATTCGCCTCGAGCGTTTCGGGGCTCTGCGTCTGTCTCCGGCGCTCTTCTCTCCTGCGCGCCATGGTTTCGGGCGTCTCTCCTCTGATGTAGTTGATGATGTAGTCTGGGACGATGTTCTCAAGAAGCGTGGCCGTCGAATTACGTTTTCCGGGCGCCCAGGTCGCTCGTCTCGGGGGGTCCTTTGGCGGAAAACTCTGCGGGTCCGGGAAACTCCCGGTGAAGCCAGTGAAGGGTCGCGACGACGCAACATCGGAAGCGGAGCCCTGGTGTCGCAGAAAGGGCCATTGCACCGTCTGTCTGCTTACCGTGCTCTCCCTCTGGTGTGATGCTTGCTGCTCGGGAACTCTGTCTGCTGTTAGTTGTCGGCGAAAACTCAAAGGCGGAACACGAGAGAGCGCGGAGTCGGACGAACCTCTCTATCCTTTCGACGGCGCCGTTGTCGTCCCAAACATATCTGTAGGACGGCCCATGATCTCTGGGTGGGATTACAACCTCCATGACCTCACGGAGGACAGCAGCGCAGGGTCGTTCGCGCGGCACATAGACATGAAGAGATTAAAAAGAAGAAGAAGAAAGAAGGAGTAGACGAGGGCGATGCCGGTATTGTCGTAATATGAATAACGGGTGGTGTGGTATAGTTCCGTAAGCCGATCAATGCAGGACGGGCGGGCAGCAACGGGAGCCGAAAGAGTGTAGGCCACGAAGTGCGTATGTCTGCAACAAACTTCTTTTTTTGTTCCGTCTCGTCTAGAACAGCCAAAAAATACAAAACAGAACAGAGTTTTAGAGTGACGTGCAACTGACACGTTTGGTGAAGGAGGAGGAAGGGAAAGGGAAAAGGCCATCCCATGGCCGAGCGCAAGGGTTTGCGATCGTCTTGTATATGTCAGAGGGCTTCGTCCGACCTCTCAGACGGCTGGTCTGGGCGCGGGAGAGGCGGCCGTGACAGGGGCATAAGAGACCGATTGTTGGACTAAGGGCATGGGCAGATCATAAGCAGGGGAGGGGCCATGTTTGTTTGGAAGCGGAGGGGGGAGGGCCTTGTTTCGTGGTAGTGAAGGATTCGAGACTACACTACCTAATATGAGGGCTCTCTTGATGCGGATGGGATGGGATGGGGTGAGCCGTGGTGCAGACCAAGGATGACGAGATGGTAGGGAGGGCAGAATGCGACCTAGGGCCTCTGGATAATGCCCGATGGTGGAGGAGGGAGGGGTGACGACGTCGGGAAGGGACCAGGGATGTTGGCGGCATGTGCTTTGAGATGCAAGATGAGATGGCAGCCCTTTCGGCGCTTGGAAAGCGACTCAGCCCGGTCCGCTTTCTCGCTTCCGGGCACTACGATGGATTGGACGAGATGAACACAAGGGATGGAGGATGGATCGTCTCGGTGCCAGAACCAAGACGGTGACCGTGCTGCCTGAAAGTGGTGCGAGAAGGGTGGCTGAGCCGTGGATGAGACGATGAGATGAGCTTTTGGGATCGGGTCTACTACGTCTGAGTCGAGGGTCAAGCCATGACCGATTCGATAGTCGGCGGATTCGAGACGATAGAACGGGTGGAGGGAAAGGCCAAGGCATTGATCTCTTTGACGTGCGTGCTATCTGTCCTGTCTGTCCGACATTGTCTAACAATGACATTGTTTTCTTTTCGACGTTTGAGAAGAAGAGAATCCGAAAATCGGTTAATGCATGCATGCATGGCTGGCAGCATGGCGGCGGCGAGTCACTGACGGTACGTTTTGACAAGGCTCGAGCGTTTTTCCTTCTCTTTCCTTTTCTTCTTCCTCTTTCGGGATGAGGAGCGAGACCAAGCGGCCAGACTGCCACCGCCGCCGCCGCCGCCGCCCAAAGCGTCTAGACATGGGAGATGGCCGATCCGGGAACTACGGCGGCGGGTTGGCTGAAGAGAGGGCCCGTTGTGTGGGAATCCGACTCGGGCTCGACCACGTTGGGACGCAACGAGTGGACCACGGCGAGCATGGAAGTCATCCGTTGCCGTTTCAGACCAACAAGCTCAAATTACGTCCCCATAAGATTGCTCGCTACTCGTGTCCCGAAAGGAATGGATGCAGGCTCCAACTACCGGCATGTCCTGGGAAGAAACGGCGAAACGATGAACGATGGGGACCGGGGTGATGACATGTCTGCGCATGCGTCCCTCGAGGGCTTCCTTCTTGCAGGGGGTTAGAGTAGTTTAGGTAACCAACATCCACAACTGGAGCAAGTGCGAGGGACGGTGGTGCCGGTGCATAGCTCGCTCTGTTACAGATGCGACCAATCAGCTGTCGCTCTGCCGCTGTGCATCTGCCGTCTTTAGAAATCGGGCCTGTTCCTCTCTTGTTGAGGGTCCGGAATGTCTCTGAGATGTTTCTTGATCTGGCGGCCAAAGAGCCATCTATCAAACAAACCACGATTTCTTGGTTCTGCCTGACTATTGGTGAATCACTCGAGATCAGGAGCAAAATATCACACAACTGATCCAAAGCCACACCCGTAAAAGGGGGCACTGTCTCCCTCCACAGCAAGCCTCGCTGTTCCACCCTTGGAAGGCATGATCGAGTCCATCTTGGCAACACCCAGCAAGAAAACCTCGATCGTTCATGCAAACCCGCAAGACACCGCAGAGACCATAAAAGCCTGGAACCTGGCTTCCCCATTACCCTTGCCACTCAAGTCCGATCATCCCTACCGCATATCCCCCTCATCCCTCCATCTTAACCCCCTTTCAAGACCTCAAGCCCCCTCGTCAAGAGTCCCTAAAGACCATGATTCGGCCGGGCGTGCGAGGGCCAGTGGAAAGAGAGAATAGCACCACACACACTTTCATGCGTTGAACCCACCACCACATCCAGGGTTTTGCTTGGTTCACCGGGTCTCGAGAGGCCCGGTCTCGCTGGTTGAAGAAATGGAAAATTGAGAAAAATTGTCCGTCGAACCATATGTCGCGACGCTATAGAGCCAAAGCAACAGGCCATGCTTCCCTCCATCCCGGCCCAAGGCCTTGCGTCGTTCTAGAAAAGGCAAAACTTTCTCACAGCCTCACCCTGCGCGCATTGAGTTCTTGACCAGAGGGTCATTAAAAGGTCGTCAAGAGACGAACCCTTCCCTTCCGTCCCTCACCCACAGGGCCGGGAAACCTTGGGGGACCCGTCCGAACGTCGACGGCCCCGAATTCAATTAAACGACCAGCAAGTCGCGCGAACCCAACTAGCAGAGAGGCGCGCACGTTCGCGGCGCCAGTGTCGTAATGGCATAGAATCCGCCCGCTGCTATCTCAATCCTCAAATCTCCTCCTGTCTCCACCCGTTGCGACCGCCATCACCATCCTCGACTTTGCCCACCCAAGTGGAAAGGTTCACTGGTGGGATGCATGGTCAAAGGTCTCGGGTAAGACATGGACGTCCGCTGCCTTGACCTGTTTGGAAGGTTCGCGACCGAGGACCGCCTATAATGGACGATGCTACCATCTCACCAACAGGATTGGCTTTGTCGACCAGCTACTCATCGCAACGGTGAGCCGTAAGCTCTGCCCTCCCCTCATCGATGACGCCTCACCGACGCAATCTCTCGATAACACGGCCGCGGTATACCGTCGCCAAGGTGTGGATTGTTTCCTCTGCGCTGACTGTCACCTCCGTCAGCTCTGGGGTAGGAGGGCTAGCGGCTCATTATGAAACGACGGCAACCGTCAAGTGCGTCCTGCTGGTCCTGTTAAGCTATGGGCATCTTATATCACTCGCACGACATCTTACCTGCCAACCCGTCAGCCTGAGGATCGGCGGCGCCATCGGCCTACCTGAATTATGCGGTGACACATGGGCCGACAAGTTGACGGACTGTAATTGATGACGGGCGGCCTGTGCACTTTGACGTATGGGTGCTAGCATCGATTGCCATGCGCAGATTGCTTCTTCTTGGTTGGCTTGGAAGCCTGACTGGTCTGTTCTCGGACACGGACGTGCCACGACGATGACAAAAGTGACTTGAAGAGCTCCGTGTCGAACTGCAAGAGTGACTTTGTTTGGATGGAACTGCCGGACGTCCAGACCTGCTGGGTACGTCCAACTGGAAGAGAAACACCAAACCAGAAGAAATAGGATGCAAAAAAGGATTGATCAATCAGTCAGTCAAAGAAATAGAGTCCAGCTTTGAAGACTGCATGGGAAATCAGTCCAGAAACTTAAAAAAAACTGATGTTCCGAAACCGAGAATCGAACTCGGGGCTATGCCTAACCTCTCATGGAGATGAGAGGGCATCATGTTGGCCACTACACCATATCGGATGTTCATGGAATATTTGGCGACGTATGGTGATAAGTACCAAACACCAATCATTCCAGTCCCCGTCGATAAAAGAGCACTGCATTCAACTGCCAATACTCACCCTTCCAATACCAATCGCTCACATTTTCTCGTCCGAAATCTTTCCCAATAACTACACTGCTTCAGTAGGAGACAAATAACGTAGTTGGGTCATCGAGCCGGCAGATTCGGTCAAGCGCCGATCAAACAATGGTTGATGGATCCCACGGTCAGGCTATCCTGCTGCACGTTACAAACACCAACACTGACAATTCGGCGCACGCCCATTGCATCAGAAACCTGAGCGAAATGTCAGCATTTCCCAGCCGCTTGGGAGACAAGCATTGCAGTTCTGGAACGCTTGGAAAGCCGATCCGCCTCTTGTCCCCGTCCTTGCGAAAGAGCAGCCTGCTTTGCCTTGCTTGACACGGCCAAAAGCCCTGACTGCAGTTTCGTCGTTAGCCGATAGCGACAGTGAATCAGGACAACTGCTCAAAGACCTGTGGGCCTACGATTTTCTTAGCATGCAGCCTCTATGTATCCAGCCTCAGGACACAGCATGGATGCGACCGCCGGCCCCAATCGGTATCTTGGAACTGGTCCTGGGTACTGTGAGTACCGTGGGAGTGGTACAGTTGGGAGTGAGTGAGAGAAGGTTCGCCAGGTCGCACATCGTCGCAGCAGCAGCATTCGCAGAGCTTCGGCCTCCACGGCTCGGAACGTGGAGCTCCACGGCAGCCTCACTCGGCTCTTGGACAAGGTCTACGAATGACGACGGACCTGCACGCAGAAAGAGTCGTCGGAGCTCCAGTGCTGCAGCCCCCACGACCCTTGTTGTGCCTGGATAAGAAGAGTAAAGTCCTATGTCCCCGGATTTGGCAGGTCGTCCGTCCCTCTAGGTTTCCTGAGGATTCCGTCGGGAATGAAAGTCGGGACAGGCTCGGGCGGAGCTCCGATCCGAAGCGGCCCCTCCACTCCATGTCTGCCTGCCCTTCTCAGACACCCTCAGCTCGGGTCCTCCTGCCTCTCTGCCTGGTGACTGCAATGCAGTGTGTCGTCCTACTATGTACGCGTGTGGTGCAACTACTATACACGTGCAACTGCCTTGGCCCCGACCCTGGCCATCCATCCCATCCGAGAGACTGGCCCTGGCGATCGCCCACTTGTGGCTGGTGTCGACGCCCCTCATCCCTCCGCTGGGGCCTGTACATCAACAGCCCAGTTTGGTTGCTCATTCTCCATCGCCAGCACGCAAGCAGTGACGTATCGCCATCAGTGTCAAACGAGCCCGCCGCCCCTCTCTACTGTACGTCGTCACTACCGTCGACGACCCCGGCGCAGTTACGTCGATGTTGGCACATGCAGGCTGTGTGTACTTTGACAGAAACAAACGCACTCAAAGTGAGCAGTTTGATGCCGGAAAGGAATTCAACATGGGGGGATTCAACGGACGGCAACTTCGCCAACAGCTAACAAACGTCCCACTACCACCCTCTCAACGAGGAATCCCCAATCCCCCGCCAAACAGATGAGCAACCAACCACAACTAGGCAGCATGTACTAGGCAGCCTGTGCTAGGCAAGCTCTTAATCTAGATTGGGGACATTCGGTGCCTACAGAGGTCCAGATGATCAGCCAGGTCAGCCCAGCCGTGGGACCCCTTTCGCCTTTTGCAGGTTCCGGACCACCAACGCCCACCCGTCCGTGGTGCCATTCAGCACAGCCACAGGCCTCGAATCGCACGTTTTCCCTACCACCATCTGCCCGTCAGATTGCACCAGATTCACCCAGTTGCTTACTTTGTCTCGTCTGCCATTGGCTACAAACCATGAACTGCTGGTCTCCGAGCTTCCCATTGGATAGTCTTGGCTGTGGCGGCTCTCCTCTTCGACGGTGGATAAGGGTGGACGTATGCCAGCCGGGCTGCTCATTGCTCACTGCTCACTGCCCAAGGGCCCAAAGGGGGGCAGAGTTGGGACTCGCCGGGCCAGTCAACGGGCGGTTTCTTTGCGCTGCAAATGCAGCGAGTCACACACAATCTCCCCCCATGTCGGCCCTCGTCCGTTTTCTGCCCTTTGTGACGCCAAATCGCATGTTTCGCGCCCCCCCCCCCCCCCCGGACGTCGATTTGGGCCCAGCTTGATAGGTGTCAACGCTGGATACTTTGTGATTGTACCGGTGGGCTCCGTACAGATCGACCTACAAGTCGAGAGAGGGAGCAGGGAGACACAACAGGAAAAAGGGACCCCTGGTACCTGGTGTTAGTTGGTCTTTTCCCACGACTTTTCCCAGCCCAAATATAATGCAGCCCGTCTGCCACCCCTCTTGACCTTTCGTCTCCCATTTCCTGTTTCCCATTCTCCCATTCAAGGATTCTAATAATAAACCAACAAGACCATTAACACGTCCACGCCCTTACCGTCTCTGCCACCCAAGGACGCGTGTCGAGAACCCCACAACCAACTTGAACCCGGCTCGCCTCAGCCTCACTCGGCTCTTATACAAGACACACACGACCACCTTCCGTCGTCAACTATACCAGAGAAGCTCCCGTCTCATACAGCCAGCAACCAAACATTCACACTTCAAACCACACGCATCCAAAATGTCGCCCACATACACCATGTCCGCACACCTGTGCAAGTCCATCTACGCCTCGTGGCGCGAAACCCGCCGCTCGCCGTCCGACCTGCCGTCACCCGGCGTCCAGGCCCCCAACATGACATCCTACTTCCCTCGCAGCCCTTCCCCCGAGAAGCGCTCCATGGACAGCGACCGCAGCGACACCACGGTGCCCATGACGAGGTCCTCCTCGAGCTCCTCCTGGCGATCCGGACCCAAATAGATGAGATGCCTAGGCTTTGGGCAAGCTCTGCTTCCTCCTAGACCAAGCCTTGTGCGCTTCGGCTAGGGTGCTTGGAGCTATCTGACGACCGTCCTCAGCAACGTCGCATCTTACACGCAAACGTACCATTTGGACCGGGCAACAACACAGGAACTCGGGTCGTTGGGGAGTCTGCGAAACCATTTACACGCATTTCACGAATTCACGGAACGGACGGCGTCGAGGACATGGCAACCCCCCGACTTGTGAAGCTCAACTTGCACGCGACCTCCCCCCTGCCGCAGATAACCGTCAAGCGCCGCACCGGCAAACAGGTCCCCGGTCGCGAGAGCCAATGCACAGTCGATCCCCTTCATTTTTAGGGTTCCGGGTTTAACAAGCAACGGGGAGTTTACGGCGCAAAAACGAAACGCACACACACACATCATTGCCTTCATCTCGGGATTCCATTAGGTTCGGGCTGGCAGCGAAGGCGAGACTTCGAGAACTCGCCATCACGCCATCAGGGTCGGGCATCACATCAGGCCCACCTTTTTTCCTTTTCATGTACATCGGCAGCGGGGGCCCTCCGACCCGACTTGCCCCCTCCATCAATTGTATCATTGGCGGGGAGGACCGGTTTTTGGGAAGTGGGATGGGGAGAGAGAGAGGTGGAAATGGTCAGAGGGGCATGCAAAGCTACGACATTGCGTCTCCAGTCTGCTCTCAGTTGCCATATCCCTTCATTGTCCCATCCGCGCGTGCCTTGTTCTTCTTTAGCAGAGAGCCTCTACAAGGCAACCACGTACAGTACAGACTAGATACCCAAAACAAATTTGTTCAGAAATCACCCATGCGCTTCAACCTCTGTGACTCGGCGACGATGAAACGTTCCTCGCTCACGGCAACAGAAGATAAAAAAGCCTCCGTCTATACATTGAGGCGGACCAAACTCTATCTACAACCCTGAAAGTGTTCCCACCCCACCGACACCGACTCTTCTCAACCCAGCCCCGGGCATTCGACTCTGTTATCAATCAGCGATCGGCGCCCCCCTACTGCGTACATTATTATCGCGTACCATCAGCAACAACACAGGGGACGGAAGGGGCTCGAGATCCCCACACGCAAACAGGAACGAGAAACGGCGCCTGGGGGGCGCAACTGCGTAGCTGCTCCATCTAGTTTCCATCGTAAACGACTGCCCCCCTCCAAAACAGCCCAGAGCTCCACCATGACGCACGATCGTCGGGTTCTCGAGAAAAAGGACTCGCAGGAGGCTTCACCGTCACCCTGAGCTCAGGCGCGCAGAACAGGGCTCGGTGAGGAGAAGGGGCGACGGGGGGCGAGGGAGAGAGAGAGGGGAGCCGGCCGCACAAGGGCCTCGGGACCGCGACTGAACATCACACAGTCGCGCGTCCAACCCCCCCCCCCCCCCGAAACTTCGCGGCCCCCTTCCACATGACCACATTTAAACCCTCAAGGGCAGGATGGGGCTCTGATCGACCGTCCACTCGCTCCAGCCACACGTCCCCCCGGGGCGCCTTAGCCCGCGATGCACAACCCGCGGTCCACAGTCCACCCAGCTCGTGTGACGTCCTTGCGAGAACAGCAGGAGACGGGGGGGATGAATGACTGTTCGGCCGTTCTTTGCGGGGGGGTTTCCCAAGCCGGCCGGCAGCACCACCTGCTCACACCCCTCCGTCCGTCACCGTTGCAGCTCCCGCCTCGACCGGACGACCGGCGTGACGGGGGCGGCGCATCCACACATGGGCTCCGTCGCCGGCGGTGTCCGGAGCGGCGCCCCGGGAGCGCAGGCCGAGGCGGAGGGATCATCCCAGCTGTCCCGCTGATGCCTCAACCCACCCGGCTCTTTCGACGGCCAAGCATCATCTTCTTAGCCCCTGAGCTAAAAGGGGTTGCAGACAGACAACTGGATCCGATCTCATGATGAACGCGCCGGCTAATGTTCCCCAGGGACGGGTGCGCAATCGATGCCGCCTACGGTCTCAATAGTGATTCCCGAGAAGAGAGGCTTCTCTCGTCTGGAAAAGCACCCAGCAGGCGTGTTGCTCCCCTCCTCGCGTCCACCGAAGCACAAAACTCCCGTCCTCCCTCCACCTGCACCACCTCCACCGAAACCCCCACCCCTCACCTTGACTCGCTCCATCATCCTACCCCCTTTCACCTGACCTCACCTCACCCGCCGCCAAAAACCCAGCATCCCCACGCCAGCAAAACGGCAGCATGACGCAAGCGCCCCCAAACCCCTAGCATCCTCCCTGAGGGAAGTGCGCTTTCCAGGACCCAAAGAAGCAAAGGGGGGGATGGGAAATCAATTAAACCCCCTGTCCACATCGCCCAATCCTCTCCAACGACAAGAATAGGTACTCTCCCCTTTTGGCAACCACTTCATGCCATAATCTTAACCCTTACCCCCTTTCGACTCGTTCGTCCCCGTCCCGATTTCGAGAAGAGTCATGGAAGAAGAAGAAGAAGAACGAAAGAGGTAGTCGTGTTCGTTTTCGCGCTCCTAACGTCGCATCTCAACCACGCCTTGCTGTTGACTTGCCGTTTGAGGATTTGACAACCTCCAACCCGCGACGTCGCCGTGGGATTCTCCTCCCTAACCATGCCGGGGAGAGGGGCCCAAGCGCAATCACAACCTCGCTGCAGATGCTCTTTCCCCTTTCAACCACGACGCACCTGTTCATTGGGCGGCATACATACATCACTTGTTTTTGACATCGCAGGGCTCAACACACATACCATGTTACCAGAAAACTGACATGTTGCTGCCATTTATTCAAAGCGAGCGAGCGACATTGCTAATCCCCCACCTCGCTAAGCAAGGTCCTCCACACACCGTATCCCTTTCCCGTTTTCTGTACTTCTTTTACGTATTGCCCTTGTATGTTCCGACGGTGCAGACTCTCACATGCCGTTCCTCTGTGCTCGCTATGCCGCTGTTGCGTCCGCCGAATCCATGTGCCTGTTGAGAGCCACCATCGTTGTGTGATCGGGAAAAAAAAAAGAGAACCCCTCGCGGCTGATACGAAGGGCGAAAAACTGCCCAAACTCCCTAACACCGGATTTGTTGTCTACCTGTAAATCGTCCCTCTATCCTTGTCGTTTCCGAAGAGTATGCAAATTCAGGAAGGGTACTGAGGCGCGCGCGACGCCTGAAACGCTCACGCGCGACGCCAAGAAGCCGGCTCTACATGGCCGATGCCGCGTGCGTGCCGAGGTCCGCGCTGGCGCCGGGGGTCTCCTCGCCGCTCGACGATTCCTCTCCCCCGATGCTGCCGCCGATGCGACGCTTGGCATCCTTCTTCTCGGCGTCCGTCACATCCTTTGCGTCCTTGCGCATGTCGGGGGCCCACTGTGGCAGGTCGGGTGCGTGTCCAACAGACATGCCGGCGCGGACCTACTAATGTTAGCAGAGAAACATTTCAGCCTCGGACTTGCAAAACTTACCAGAGTCTCGAGAGCTCCGTTCGAGTTGTCGACCAGGTCGTCGTCGAACTTCATCTTGCCCGGCTCGAACAACAGTACAATAGTGCTGCCGCCGAACTTAAAGTATCCGAGTTCTTCGGCACGATTGACCTGGGCGCCTTCCTTGGCAGTGATGACCGTGCTGCCGACCATCATGGCACCGACACAAATGACCATGACACGGCCATGCACCGGACTGTCGATGGGGCACAGGACCCTGACGTTCTCGCCGTAGACGTCGAGCGCCGAACGGATGGCCATGGGGTTGACTGTGTAGTACTCTCCCGCAATCGTCTTCGGCTTGTCCAAGATACCGTCGACAGGAATGTGGAAGCGGTGGTAGTCTTGCGGCGCCAGACGGAAGATGCCAAGAGCACCGTTCTCGAAGCGCTTCACATCCTCGGGGTAGGCGTCCCCGAGCAGGCGTTTGATGGAGAACTCGCGGCCCTTGATCCAGACCTTGGTCGCCTGGCTGACGCTGTTGAACACAACGCTGCGGCAGTCGGCCGGGGAGACGACGACATCGGGACGGTCGGGGGCGGAGCATGGTCGTGCCTCGGGCTTCAGAGCTCGGTAAAAGAACTCGTTGAAGTTCCTGAACTCCTCCACCGGCAAGAGCACCTCAGACATGTCGAGGCGGTGGAACTCAATGAACTTGGGGATCTCGGCCTTGGAAGCCGGGTCGTCGAACTTCTTGCCCTGCTTGACACTCATGCTCTTGAGCATCTTACGGACTTAAAGGGCGCGTTAGTCATCTGGAAGCAGCTACGAGACGGTGATGCAGCACTTACTCCTCTTGGTCTCCATGTTGCTCGACTTCAGTCCCTTGTACAGGAGACGGATGCCGAGTCTCACGTAGACGCTCATCTTCTCCTCGTTGATCTGGCCAGTGATTCGGTCCTGGACGAGGATGTTGGCCGAGTTGGCGCCAAGCTTGTATCCACCGTACGAGATCTTGGTAATGACCTTGGAGTACCACTTGCGCTGGGCCTGGCTGGCGGTGACGAAACCGCCCATGACGAGGTTATTGACTTGCCGCCAGTCCTGGCTGGCACATGTAGCAATGTGAGTGATGATGTCGGTGTCCTTGCGCTTGTTCAGGCGAGGCTGGTGGCAAATGGGGCATTCTCTGATCTCAACCACATGTTCCTCGCCAGAGCGGTCTTCCGCTAAATCGTCCCGGTCGAGCAGGTCACCCTCTTCTCCGGGCGTGCTGAGCTCCGGCACATTGAGAGTGCCGTCGGAGGAGCTCGAGGCCTCCGTCGACAGCCCAGTCGTCCCGTAGTTGTCGCCCTGGCCCTGGCCAGAGAGGAAGTTCTTCACCTTTTCAGCGTCCGGCAACATGCCCTTCACCTTCTCCCCGACGCTAAGCTGCGGCCGGCTCTTGGCTTCCAGCTGGTCCTCCAGGCAAATCACGGCCTCGTCAAAGGTCAGGTCTGATATGTCCTCGCCCTGCACTCTGTGAGGGAACCGCTGGAAGAAGCTATCAATGGTCGACTCATGCAGCGTCGATCCCAACGTGTCCAGCATTGTGGTCAACTCGATCTTGCTGATGCGGCCGCTCTCATCGGTGTCGTACTGCTTGAGCATGGACCTCCAGAACTGTTGGCGAAGCGCCGGGTAAGGCACGTATTTGGCGCGGATGTAAAGCACCGGGTTGTGCTTGGCCTCCCACTTCTTGGCGTCCTTCATCTTCAAAGCAACGCTGTATTCATGGAAGTCGTTATCCTCGGCTTCCAGCTCGGCGGTCTGGGCACCAGCCCCAGCCAGGGCTTGCTCAGGGGACAAGAACTCCGGGTTCAGAGTCGATCCCTGGACGGCAGGCGTCGGGGTCGCCGTCCCACTCTGCGAGGCCGTTGTCGTAGAAGCGCTGCTGGTGTTCTTGGACAAGGCGGGACGGACCTTGCTGAGGCTTTGGGAAGAAGACGTGCGAGACATGGCGAGCTTCTTGAAGCGGCGCTGCTGCGGGGGCACGTACTCGTGAGGTTCGGGAACGTCGTACAGACCGGTTTCGGGATCTGCCTTGGGGGCCTTCTCGATGAGCTCCCTGATGGGCAGGGTGCAGTCGGCAATGAAGTCGTTCCCGGAGTATTTGTCGTGATCCATGACGGTAAAAGAGAATGAGTACGTTTGCTCGTGTCCTTGTACCTGGAAGATCATCTTCTCATTGAAGACGGGGTTCAGGTTGTGCCGCACTCGTTTCGTTCGGTACGTCTTCTTGCCGAGGGATGCGACGACAAACGGGTCCATGTCGAACGTCAATCGGGTCGAGTTGGGCTCGGGAGGGAGGTCTGTGATGTTCAAGACCTCGAGATAGATGATTCCCACAACATCGCTTCCGCTGTTATTGAATTCGTATGCGCGGTCTCTCTTCTTCTTCTTCAAGCCCTTGATCCTCAGACGGCGCTTGCGCTTTTCGGCGACTTCGGGCTTGCTGGGGTCCTCGTCTTCGGGGGTATCGTCTTCGATATCAAGATCGTCGTCGTCGTCCTCATCCTGGTCGGCGTCGGTTTGGTTGCTGGATGACGATGGCGAGGAGGAGGTGGCCCCGCTGCGCACGCTCATGTTCTGAACGGGCTGGATAAGGGGCGTCATGGTGGGCGTGATCTGTCTGGAGCCTGCAGGAAGCTGGCTGACGAGGGCGTAGAACTTCTCAAAGATCTGCTCGCGAGTGGCGGCGGTGTTTGACTGGTCAAAGAGAGTGAATTGCAGCATGACCTCGCCCGAGACGACACTCGTCTTCTTGCCAGGTCTCTTGCTCTTGAGGGGGTACCACTTCGGAGGTTGCTCGTTCTTCTCGTCGGCGAAGATCTCCTCGAGAGCGAGATCAAACTCGCCGAGATAGTCTTTGCCAAAGCGGTCCTTGTCCCAGCATATTACGTCGAGGAGGAGGCATTGGGTGGTGTTGACGGGGAGTTCTTCAATAACGTTCCACTCTGGATTGAGAGACTTTGGCACCTCGTGGGTGGTGACTTTGGAGTCGCCGAGGGTCAGAACAATATACTGCAGATGCTCACGTTAGACAATCGATACCGAACGGGCGCGAAGGGGGTTTGTTGGATCATCGTACCGGATCGGATGTGCCGCTTCTGTCTTTGGCTGCAAGGTTTCGAGCCTGAAATGCACTCGACCGTCAGTAATCGCACACTGGTAAAGTGTCCCGTGGACTGGCGCGCAAGGGAGCGGCCGTTGTAGAGGCGGCGGAGACAAGTTGAACATACCTTCATAATGACGACCTTCAAGGCCAAGCCATTTTCCTTGGGACTCAGGTCTCCCATCTTGCTGGTAGTGCTGCTGCCGTTGCTGCTGTTTCTTGTCGGGCTACTGCTGCGGCTGTTGCGGAGGGAAGAGCTCGACTTAAGTCGCCCAGGGATGATGCGGACCATGGTGGACGGCGGGTCGGGGAGTGGCCCCTAAAAAGAGTTGCGGCAAGCCAAGAGGGTTTGGGACGCAGCAACCGACGTATCGAAGGGCGACAGGCCAGACACCAAGCTGACGAGCAGGCCGGGCAGAATGGGGGGGCGGAGTGACGTATCGATTGAGATGCGGAGCGCTGGGGGGGTGGGATCCCTTGGTCGCGTTGGGTAACTCGCGGGTACCTTAGGTATCTGGCTTCAGCGGATATCCAATTGTCATGACCCGCCTGGCGATAGTTCCGACTTGGCTTTGGGGTGGGTTACGCAGCAAGGACACCTTCACCTCTCACACCTCGGATCGTTGGACGAATAGTCGTGTTGCAGGAATTCGCTGGAGCTGCCCTGTTGACGGCGGCGGTGCCCCTGAATGTGTGGTTGTGGTGGTGGTGGAGTGCGGCAAACAAACAGGCGCGCGCTCCGAGCTGAAGGTAGCGCAGCTGCAAGATGCGACAGGGTCTGGGCAGGTAGCACCCTTTGGTTGCTGCCTCTGCTGCCGATCCGGGCTTTTCAGCGATCGTGACGCTTCCGCTCCGTCTGCCACGATTTGACCTTGCTTGGCGAAGTGCGATGGATGGGTCCGAAAGACGGAGGAACGCGGAGGAGGCGTGTTCGTTTGTAGGATTTCTGAACAAATTGGACGCTCTTCGACAAACTGGACAGAAACACTCGTAACAATGGCTGTCGGATGTCGTTGGGGCGGCCCAAGATGGGGTGGCGAGCAGGGGCCTCTCTAGTTGCGTCGACTCGTCGTGGGTGGGAGACGTATTCGGAGCGAGGATGATGTCGGTGAACTCTGCAATGTCAAGGAAGCTGAGAAATCGATGTGTCAATGTCGGGCTTCCAAGCTGTCACGTAAGAAGAGAATTGAGGCGGAAAAGAAGAAAAAAAAGGGGGGGAGAATTGAAACGGAAGCAGGCAGAGAGGCAGAGGTAGAGAGAGATGAGGTAGGAGCTCGGGGCCCCTTGGAGCTGCTTGTCTGAATAATAAAAAGAGGCCCAGGGTCGACAACGGGACATGAAGTGAAGAAATGTACGGATTAATTATGTGGCTTTTGGTGCACATCAGCTTGGCGCCACCGCCATGTGCAACTGGCACGAAGGAGCAAGCTAAGGAGAATCAGGCCAGGCAGGTAAGAATCCAGAGTAGGGATCGATGGCTAAGACACTTCCGAGCAGCAGATGGAAGCAAAGAGGAGAGGAAGAGAGAGAGGGAGAGAGAAAGCAGAAAGCGAGAGACAGAGGCGGTAGGCCGCGTTGTGTTGTTGGTGTTGCAGGCCGCCTCAGAGCGCCCCCCTAATGCAGATGCAGGCAGGTGGAAGACCAGATAGGTGACAAGCAATAAGGCAGGGAAGGGCAAAGGCACGGTACCTCTGATTGCAATGGGAGGGCCGCGGTATTCGGTGTATTTGTTTCTGATGTTCTCCGAGTTGAAGCAAAACCGTCTGGCGAGGATATTCGGGTCGCAAAGGTACCTTGTGGCTTGGTGTGGTTTTGGCGGTGCAGCAAAGTATCGTCTCGTCTCGTCGTATGTTCCAGCGTATTCGTCCCAGATACCGACTGGTGGCCGTTGGCTACGGTACCCAAGACTTGGGCGGGTGCTTCGGCTCGTCGATGCCCCCCCGCCAGCGAATGGATGAAAGTAGTGGCCACTGTTTGGGAGTGGTGCGGTGGGTTCACTTGGGATGTTTGGCCTGGTTTGGGGTGAAGAGGGCGGGAACCGGACAGGGAACAGAGCTGGAACTGAAGCTGAGGTGAAGCTGGAGCCCGAACCGAAGCTGGAAACGTCCAGAAGCAGAGGCAGCAGCGTACCTGTACGCCTGGGAAGCGGTGACCTTCTTTCTCCCGCTCTATCTCTGCAGAGCAAGTCCCTCAAAGTCGAATAGCCAACCGAGAGTTTGAGGAAGAGAACAGACGACATCCAAGGGGGGAGGCCCGGGCAACTCGACGCTGGCGAGGCTTACATCTTTTATCTGCGTTTCTTACCGTCTCCTTTATTCCCCTCACCGTATCGTTGTTTTACATGCTCGAACTGTTGACATCTCGCATCTTGTTGGCGAGAGCTGGTATCCTTTCCTAGCGTCAGATGCCGCCGCTCCCAAGTACCTCATCGGCGATCATTGTACCTACTCTCGCTCGCACAAAGTTGAGCAGCCGCAGTTTGGCTGCAGTTTGGCATTGGCGATGCGCAGGCATGTGAGGGATCCCGGAGTGCCTGGGATGTGTACTGTGTATCATGCAGGTGTTCAAAGGGCCCAGATCCATGTACCTCTCCATATCCAGAAAGCGGGCAGGTACTCGATTCGACACCGCCCTGGAATAATGGAACACATGCCTTTCTGTCCCGTCCATCCCCACGGATGAAATACGCATTCGTTACGTGCTCCTTCTCGATGGCAGGCGCATCCCAAAAAAAAAAAAGCACTTGTGGCAGGGCAAGGCAGGGTAGGTACCTACCCAAGATAGGTACAGGTAGGCCAGGTCAGGCCAGGCAGGACTCAGGAGTAAGGTACCTGGGTACTAGCACTGACACCGGTGACTGCCTCCCTCCTTCCTGTGTGCTGCCCTGTGCTGCACCAACAACTGCTCGGCCCCCACGTTGCAGGAAGCCACGAAGACCACTTGCACAGGTAGCCATCTCAACTCAACATAGCAAACTACGTTGGAAGGGGCGAGACCGAGGAAGAGAAGGCGCAAGCGGGTTTTGCTTTTTTTTTTTTTACTTTTGTTGTGCGTCTTGTTTCTCAGATGCATTGCATCTCCCACCGCCTCTTTCAAAGTCCTCCCTATCTCTCCTCTAGTGTACGTAGTGTACATGGCATCCATCTCCATCTACCGTCGCATAGTAGGTAGGCATTGTATTGTTCCAAGCAAATGTTCTCCATCGGTCGTCTCTGTGCCATACATACAGCACACACACACACACACACACACACACACACACACACACATCGCTCGCCATTGTGCCTCGGACTCGTACAGCACCCCGTCACGACATGCCTGGGCTCCTTAGCTTGCGTCCCTGACCATCACCGCGCATCTTATTTGTTCCATCCTATCAGACCGTCTCCATCTCCTCATCTCTTTCCCCCCATCAGATGCTGCTCCCTGTCGTTGTCCGGGCCCCCATAATTAGGCCCATCCCAAACCTTCGCGCATTTGCCTGTCCCTTGACAGAGTCTACGGGACAGACGTGACCTTTGCCAACTATGCTCTGGTCCGCTCGTTGCCCCTCTCTGCTTGTCTATTCCGCCCCGTTGGTCTCGTGCCCATCTCTTCGGCTGCTTCCATGCTGCTTCCGTGTGGGTTGCTCGCCTATCGCCTTGACGAATTATGGCGCATCACGAAAAGAGACGTCCTTAGTCGAGTTAGTCGGCCCGTATCAGCCAACCTTTACAACGAGACAGCCACCCAGTAGCCGGCCTAATAAATGCTCTTGCCCGGCCCAGCACTTTCATCATTGTGTCCAAAATCCCGCGTCAATGTTGTCCGAATCCCTGCCGGACGCTGCGATCCACATGTCTTCAGCCGGCACTGAGACTTAGACATGCCCATGCCAATGCCCAGTCTTCTTACCCTCACCTGAGCTGAGATTCCTTCTTGAGCAGGCCGGCCGGCTTGACGTTGCCCATCCGATACTCGATGCTGTCCCATCCCCTGGAATTCCCTCCATGCAACGGCTGTCATTAGTTTCTCCCTTGCCTCCACCCAGCCTGACCGGACGATCGTGATTCGGAAGAGTCACATATAAATCAAGTCATTTGACTGGCACGAAGACCGTCTTTTTCAGTCCAGCCCCTTCCCTTGGACCGGTTGCGCGACGGGTCTGGATGCTTCGCTCTCTACACGTCTTCCCCCCCATCAGCATCTACACCATCCATCGCGTCCGTCTCCTGCGACGGAAACCCCTCTCAAAAGGGCCCGGCAGCTCCGTCCTTCCATACAGATGCCCATATCGTCTCTCGTTCCGGCGTAGTTTGTCCATGGAGGGCGAGGATTCTACACCAAGTATCCCCTCTCCCCGCGCCCTTGTCTCCCCTGCATCTCCACGAATCCAGTCGGTCGGCGTGCCCCTCGTCGACTGCAACTTCACCTGCAGCGCCGCACAACATGGTGCGATCCATATAATGCCACAGACGATTTCCCCGTCCTGTCCTCTTGCTTGCCGCGCTTCCGTCCCCTTGTGCCCTCTCCGTACGAAAGCGGACAAGGATGCCGAACTGCGGTCTGTAGACATGGGAAGGCATTGGCACGAGGGGGGCCAAACTGGTGGCTGGCGGCAGTCTCCCTCCTTCACCCATACTCCTGGATGCAATGCATCGGAGGCTCTCTCTGCCAAGGCCTCGTCCTGCTCAAGTAGGTGCTCCCAAGCCTGCGTCCAAGAGTCTTGGTCGATCTCTGTCTGGGCAAATACAGCGAGGGCCGAGGGAAGCGGCTCGTGCCATCTGAACCTCACCTCAACCCAAGGCTCAAGGCTCATCGGGGACCAATGAGCGCTAGACCGCCAACTGTATCCATCTTGGCGTAGGCGGGCGGGCCTCGTCATCAAACCACCCTTCATCCTTGCCCGGCTCTGGTTTACCGTCTGCCAGGTCGCCATTCGGGCTATTCTTCAAAGAATGGCCTTCCAGTTGCCTCCCGAGGCTCCTCTACACTCTAATGCGCATGGTTTGCGCGAGCAAACGCGGCCCACGAACGGCACCTAACGGGGGTGTTTTCAATTGCTGTGGTGACCAGCCCGAGAGAGGGTTACGGTCAGCTGGAATTCAAGGTTGTCGACCACTCGAGGAAGCTGAGGTAATCACAAGCGTTCCATCCGTACAGTACATCTGGTTACCTTTGCTGGCTGGCTGGCTCGCCTCCTGAGCCCGTACCGTAGTACTAAGCACATTCCGGGGCGACCCAGCAGTCTACTTACAGACTATTGGGAATGAGCTAAAAATTGCAGCGCGCTAGAACTTCACTGGCAAACGAGGCGGGGCACGGGCCGTCATTGACGCCCCGGCGATCTAAGCTTCGCATCGCCAGCTCCTACCGCAATTATGCAGTAAGAATGCGGATAGACCTGCCATCACGCTCTCTCGCGTGCGCACTTCCTCGAGGTCACTCAGGTCCCCCCGGCCATCGCCAGTCAATCCAATTCAGTCGAATTCATCCAATCGAAGAGTTCACAGCCCAAAAACGGCACAGCCAGGACAGGCTGACGCTGGTACCGAAATTGACCAACGGCAGCCAAAATGAAACAGGCCAACTAACTGATCGTCCATCGGCACCGCGAAGGATCGTCTGTTTCTGCATTGCCACTTGCCCGGCCTGCCCCCAAACCGTCAGAATGACCTCGAGCCGCGGGCCTCAATTCGTCCAATTTGCTGTTTACCAACGAGCAGGGCAACCGGAATTGGTTGATAATTACGTATCCACTCGCTCCTCGGCTCCAGACCCGGGCAATCAAGCCAAGCATTCCTCGAGGCCTCCAGCAGAGACCAGAGACAGGACGACGCACCTTCGAGCCCATTCCGCCCGTCGCCAATCCAAGACTCTCAGCCATACCGTCAAACGTAACCACCCACCCACATTTGTTCGAACCCGTCTTGGCCTCGGTGGCTGGCCCTGACTAGGTCCGGGCTCCAGCCATGACGCAGGCTCACCACGTCGCGCCAGTGGAACACGGCGCTTTGCTATGCGCTCGCGGCGTCCAACTGCAACGGGGCCAAGCCTTAAGCTTCGGCCGGGTAACTGCCGCCTGGAGCTACTGGTGTCTCCCGAGCACCCCGACGCTGACTATGTTGGACTGATGCTGTCGTAGACCAAGGTAGCGCGCCGTCGCGCATTGGCTCGTTTGCATCCCATCCCATCCAACGTATCCTGACGTTGCTGCGGAGCGCCTGGCATGGGTCTACACTAAAGCAACGATTGATGTCCGTCTAGCCATCCGTGGTGTCGCTCTCTTGCCTCGGCGACTGGCAAGACACGGATGGGGCCAATTCGCTGTGGTCTTCTGCTGTGACTTGAGATGGTGCGCCTCGGCATCCGTTTGAGTGAGGCCGTTCGGCCACTTTGGACGAACCATGACGTATGAAACGTCAGTCCGTGGTCGTATGTTCTCGGCACCAAAAAACCTTCCTTTGCTGACCCGTGGTCCTTATCTTGGCATCCCCAACCTGTGCCGCAACCCTCGATGGGCCCCATTTTCGTCCCAGATGTGTGCAATAGCAGTGGAGGCGTGTTCCGGCAGGTTCTTTGGCAACGTCGTGTGAGTTTGAAGTAGACGCTGTAACCCATCCTGCGCGTCCACAACCCGGGACTTGGGGACAGTAAATTGAGTTGATATGACCGTAGCACGGGCTCTCGGATCAACACGACAAGCTTCAGACGACCGTATGGGACCTATGGCTGTCGGCGCGCTGGAGACATGCCTAACCGCGAACCCTTTCGCGGCATGGTAACGGCGAATTTGCAGTGGTGGAAGAGGCTCGCTCGGCTTCGTACTGTGATGCCCGATAGACCAGACGCGGAACTCACGAATGACTTTGGCTGCGACCCGGGTAGGGCAGACCGCTTGATGCCATTTGGACGGCTTGAGATGCGCTTGTCCATCGGAGATGAATGGGTCCGCCCCGTCGCGGTAGATTTCCATATGTTTCAAGCTCCGTTCATCTCTGCCTCGGCAGCGTATCCGCTACGGTACGTTTGCACGTATAGTCATTGGGAAGGCTGGAAATCCTCCTTCTATCCCAATGACTTCAGGACGCTGACGGCCACGCGTTGATCCAAGTCACACACTCGTCTCCTCGCCGGCGTGGGTCGGCAGGGTTGCTTTTACCGTCAATGAGCATGCCTTGGCTCTTGAGATTGCCCTCGCCCGCGCTCATCTCGGCATCGAACCCACTCCGTCCCTCCATATCCGGCTGGGGATGGGCTTTTGCATGGTGTGCGTCGTGTTCGAGGATTGCCCACAACGGCCATGCTTACACACCATGCTAAATTGGATCACGAAGCAGTCGTCTTCAACTTATGATGGGCCTTTCCCGCAGGTAACGGTCCGGGGACGACGGGACAAGTGTCGAGCAGTTCTCCAGAACCGTTCTGGCAGATTGTCGATATCACAATGTCAATGTTACCACGTCCTCATCCCGCCGTCAACCACAGTCCCCGTGCCAGGCTCTGAAGAGAGTCCGTGATGAAACTCGGATGATGTATGTGAACCCTCGAGACGTAGAAGCTATACGTCTCTCTTGCCGGCAAACACCCTCCAACTGGCCACAACTTTAAATCATCATCCTCAACAACCCCTGATGCCTACTTACCCCTATCGTCCTAGCGATTCCCCGATTTCTTACTTCTGCCTGTGTCTTGTCTCCCACCGTTCATAACCCCTTCGGCCCTCGGCTTGCCCCCTTGACCCCGTATCATTGCCTACTACTCTCTTCGTGCCCGCGAAAACCTCTGCCAGCTTTCGGAGAACCAAACTCGTCCGTCTCATATGCACGAACGGCGTTCGTCGTGCCGTGTCAAATACGAACCCGAATCACACGGCGCTCCGTTCTTTTTGTGTGGTCACCTTAGTCGAGTCGCCTAGAAGAGCGTCACTTCGCCCAACGCAATGCGAGAAAAGTAGAGAAACATTGGGACCGTCGACGACGTGCACTGCAGAGAAATGAGCGGGTGGCAAGTCCCACTGTTGTCATAGGCATGATCATGGCGGAGACCTGCCACATCAAGGGTGGGAAGGACAGTCCTCATGAAGCTTGACGGGTTGATCAGAGTGCGAGTGATCTTTGGACGTGGCAGAGCGGAGTGGATGTGTATAACACAACGACGAGGCTCCTCGTCTCCTCGAAGTAGAAGCCGCGGAACACACAGACGGGACAGAACGAGTAGCATGACAGAATATATCGACTGAACAAGCAGGAGACGCTCTTCTTCGTACAAATCAGCTTTCTCGTATCTTGGCCACTGTCTTTATGTTGTATCAAGTCGGAAAGAAAAAGCTACGCAATCTCATCGACCATGTCTCGCATACTGTACGCCTTACCTGACAGCGGCAAGTTCAAACAAGCTAGGCCATGGACTGAACAGCATACAAAGCCTGCCCTGACGCTGTGTAAAGGATACCATCCTCCTCCTGTACGCATCTGCCTACTGCTTTTACCTTAAAGAATTGTATACGAGAGTTTCGGTATAGCTACGTCCGTGTACCCCGCCGTAGTCTTTCATACCTCGGCAGTAAGAATTCGCTAAAACCCGTTTGTCTCTGTAACAGCAGCATATTGAAGAGTGAAAGCAGAGAATCCCAGGGACCTCTCATGATGGATGGGCCTCTCAGCAAGTCATCATTTGCGACTCTCATTCGAAGCATCCATTACTAGACCCTCTCGAGCTGATGAGTCTGAACCAACCACGCCTCCCCTTGACAAAGCTTCGGGTGGAGCAAATGTGAAGGGAGTGGGATGATGCCGCGGAGGGCACGTCTACTCCCCCAATTGACCTCTTCCATAAAGACCAAGACTTACCGATAAGAATGGACTTCACTTGGCTTGTCTCGAAAATCAATCACAAGTTTCATAGAGTTCCCAAGTCCTCGTCGCCCGCAGACGACCCAGAACTTGAGACTACCGTATCACCGAAAAACGACAACGCTTCGGCACGTCAAACCCGGCGGCCTCCTCGCCCCAAAGAGGGCGAGAACATGGGATGATTTCTTAGGGTAGTGTTGTACAATAGTACAGGAAATGCCAGTAGCGACTGTATCCCGTCTCGATGCCATCCCCTTAACCCCCCTGACGCGGTCTCAGTTGATGGAGCCATCCACCTCTCATTCAAAGTAGTACCAAAAGTCGAACCTGGGTGCTCCGAGTGCCCCCTAAAGCACAAAGTTGAAGGAAATAATAAACGATGGACTCCGTTCTCGCGACGCCTGTGCTTGCTTCTTGCTGTTTCAAAGATTCCGAATTCAACATTGGCTGTTGAACAAATTATGTGTACAAAAGGCGGTGGTTGTGCCGCCGGATTATGAAAACACGGCGAGTTGTGCCGAGTGCCACACTCAGTCCTCAATGGCATTCTCGTCAGCTGGCTTGGCACCGTTGCTCATGCCAGCCTTGACGTTGCCTCGGGCCTTCTCCTGACTCTCAACGAATCGGTCCCAGTGGCTGGGGTCGAGCGCCCGGAGCCCTTCACGAACTTGATCCCGGTCCTCGTTAAAGACACGCATTATACCCTTCTCCTCAACCTTCTGGGTCAGTTCAGGGTCGTCGATCTCTTCAATCATTTGGTGGAGCATAGCCGTGTGCTTCGGGTCCAGGCCAACCTCGAGCACGCCGCTAAGCAATCCGTAGTACTCGGGCTTAATGATACCCGAGCGGATCTTGTGGCCAGCTCTGTGTATTCTGCCCTCTTCCTCTGCAAGTGCCTTTGAAGTGTGCGACAATGTCGAGTTGGTGCGTTGCAGGCCAGGACGAACCGAAAGGCCTGTCTCATCTTCGGCATCGGATGGGATGCTGTGTTGATCAGGATCCTCGGTCGATGACAATGAGGTTCCAAGCTGATCGCTCTGACTGGGAAGCGTGGTTTCAGATGCCTCGTCGTTAGACACACGAGTGTCAGGGAACTCATCCTCGAAGCGCTTGATAATGTTGGCCAGTGTCGCATCGAGGAATATCAACTTGCGCAGGTTGTGCTCATCCTCCTCTGGGTTGACTCTGGCCTTGGACAGCGCAGGTTGCAACCGCAGGCGGATCTTGCGCGCACTGGCAAGCAGATGCTTCGACATGTCCTTGGCCTTTCCTGGAGGAAGCTTCGGCCTCGGGCCTGCAGGCACCGAGACGTCGTCTTCATAGTCTCTGATGAACTCGCCAGATTGTCTTCTGGATTCGTCGCCTCTGTTCTTGAGACAGCACGTTAGAGCCTTCACCACACCAGTGCCACCAATAACGTAGTCGTCATCGGGAGCGGATTCGTTGTCCGAGTCGTCCCTGAGGACGTCGTGGCCGACAAGATGGGCGAGGACATCGGGGTAAGGTGGTATAGGGCCGCCCGGTAATGAATCCTGGGACTCTGCCAAAACCGTCGAAATGACTGAGCTGATATCGCCGATTGGGAAGCGTTCCATGTTCCTCAAGCAGTATGCCACCACCTGTTTGGCCAGAGCTTTGACGATCTCACCAGAGTTGTCGCTGGGGACGTCGATGTCGACACATACAATGGTCTTGGACACACGCGTGGCAGCCAGGAAAGATGCGTATAAGGCGCAAGCCTCTTCCTGAGCTTCCTCCGTCTTAGCGTCCGCAAGCTTGGCAAGCTCTGGGTTCTCGAGGAAACTGATGTGTGCGAGCATCTTCGCTTCGGGAAGGATCTCGGCCAGTGCAATCGCTTGTTCCGAGGTCATGGCGACATCGGCCAGATGGACGCGCCGCAAGCCTTCCAGCTTTGGCAAATACCTTGAGATTGTTAGCTTTGGAACATTACTCAACGGATTGGTGCTACTAACTTGCGCAAAAGACCAATGGCGCTGGGGTCTGACTTGCACAGATCCTGGTTGTGGGAAAGGTCAATGAAGCGGAAGTCTTTGAGTTGCGCAAGTGCAGGGAAGATCTTGCAGAGGGAGCCTGGCTTCAAGTTACACTCGGCCAGGCTGAGCGCCCACAAAGAGTCCTTTGCCGAGATTGCATTGGCAATGATGTCCGTATGATCCCGAATATCATTACCGCCCAAGTCGAGACCTTCACATCCACTCTGGGAAAGATATCTTGCAACGTGCTGGAGGCCCTTCTCGTTAATGTTGTTGTGGGCAAGGCCCAGTCGCTTGACACCACACTGAATGATGCCGTCAATTATTACGCCGAGGTCATCCGAGTTGAGGTTGGTTTCGCCAAGGTTGAGCAATTCCAGTGTTGAGCCGCCCAGTCGCTCGCCAATGGCCTTGGAGAACAACGTGGCGTTGGCGTTTTGGGGTCGGTCCTCGTTCGAAGAATGTCGTAGCAAGTGGTGGCTGTGTCCATTCGGTGCCGGCTGGGAAGGGCGAGGGAAAGAAATGGTAGAAATGTCGAGAAATTTGAGGGTGCGGCAGAGGTAGACAAAGAGACAAATGTGCCTCCAGCCCTCGGGTCCAATCTTGTTGTTCTTGAGAACGAGTCGTTCGACAAACCCACCCTGCATAATAATACCATCAGGTTGCGTGTGTTTCCGTCTTTTTGAATCGGGCTTCTTGGCAGCGAGAAGACCGGCGAGTATCACCCTCAAGCCCTCGTCCGTAAGACCACAGTTCTCCAGAATAACCTCTTTGACGGGTACGACCGCCAGATAGTCGCCTAGGGTCACCAGATCGGCCAGTTGCATCCAGTAGCCTGTCAAATCTAGTTTCTGGACCATGCCAATGTCGGAGGAGCAGTTGGACGGGCTGTTCAGTTGCTCGGTGATCTTTTTGAGTATGGGTGTTTCTCTCAGCTGACAACACCGGCGGTATATCCGCACTGGGTTTGTGGTGGGGGATGCAGTTGTCTTTGGTGTCGCGGCCGGGATGCCTTCGCTGGAAGAGTCGCTGTCGTCCATGTGGATTTCCATGGGGATCGTGCCGTTGGCCTCGGCTTGCTTCCTCTTCTTCTCCTTCCTAGCTTTCCTCTCTTCTTCGCTCTTCTTCTTCTTTTCCTTCTTCTTAGTGTCCTTCTCCTTGTCGACGCAGGTGCTTGCCTCTTTCGTGTCGCCCTCCTTCGCTGTCTTGCTGGGGTCGGTGCCTTCGCTCTCGGGCTCTTTTTGCACAGACTCCCCGGTCGAGTGGATGACACCATCGCGCTCCTTTTGTTCTTCGAGACACTTGGGGTTCTTGAGCGCCTCGCCCTCTCCCTTTTCCGTCATTTTTCTTGTTCTTGACTTCTCGAGCGGCTTCTTGGCGGGCACGTCTGTGTCGGCGTATTTGGGCATTGGCGCGATTTCGACGTCGACGCTGAATGCGACCCTCCGGAGTTTGGCCTGGTGCAAGTCCGAGATTTGACACCGCTCGCGGTTGCGGTCAACGTTCAAGACCTTTCTCTCTACCAAGCCATGGGTTCCTCTCATGCCTTGTCCCAGAACTCCGCCCGACGAAGACAGTCGGCGGAAGACTCCGAGGAAGCCGGCCTGGCCGCGTCCGGGAGGCGCTGGCGTGTAGGGGTGATCGCCATCGTTTTTGGCGGCGTGGGGAAGTACGGCATTTTTCGCAGGAGTGACCTTCGGAGGGACCGGACCCAAGTCTTTTGGCGGCGTGCCCTGGGGCTGCTGATTTATCTGTGCGTTGTTGCCGTTGTTGGGCGAAGACGAGAACTTTGACGAGATGTTAGAGAACCATGAGTTGCGGCGTGACGGCGGAGTGCCGTTGGGGCCCGGTTTCTCGTTGGAAGGACTCCTCCCCAACTGCGGCCGTGATACAGGAATAGGTTTTGTTCCTTCTGTGGTTGGCTTTCCAGTTTCCGTCGCGCCATTGGCGTTGCCATTTACATTGCCGTTAACGGCAGGCTGGCCGGCGGTCGGAGTGGGCGGCGGTGACTCTTTCGGGGCAGACGTCGACAATCGTCGTACGGAGGATGCTTTCGGCGGCCTGTCTGTTGTGCGCATTTTGTATTAGTGGGGAGGAGGACGCCTGGATGCTGAGATAGAGGCAAGATGGGCGAGAAAGAGAAAGGAGGAAAAGCAGAAGGGAGATGATGGCTTCTCGAATATATCCACACAGCAGGGAGGCCCAGAGACCCGGTCTCCCAGTGGCAAGCGCTCGTCGTTCGATCTGCCAGTTGCTTATCTGGGTCGACTTGGCTTGGGGTGCGGGTGCAGTGCGACTGGCGACTGGGCAATTGGGCGACTGGGGGCCCGGAGCAGCCAACTAGCTGCCCTGGAAAATGAGGTCAGATGGGGGGTTTTTGCGCACCTTTGGGAGAGCCGCCGTGGGTCATCCAGCTAACATCTACTCCATGAACCTGCTCCATAATGAATGTCGCAGAGACGATGAGAGGGAGCAGAACGACGGACGCCAAGAGCGATGGGGCCGCGACGGGCCAAAAACTCCAAGAGTCGTCCTGATGGGTGAGGAGGAGCAGAGGCGAACAAGAAAAAAGTGAAAATAAAATAAAATAAAAGGGTTGCTTGGCAAAGGAGGAGAAGTGGTGGTGGTCGACCCTGTTTTGGCGCAAAGGGAAGGGAATGGAAATGTTGCGCGCGCAGACACGGCAGAAGGGTGACTTTTGGCTTGATTTCTAAAGAGGGCGACGGGAGGTGGAGGGTACTTTGCTATTTCGTCGTCCCGGTCTCTCTCTGCCCTTGGGACACCACCCTCTGGTTCCGTCCGGAACGTTGACTGGACTGCGAACAAAAAGCCGGCAGCTTATTCGATCCGTTGGTCAGGTAGGCGTGGGAGGAGGAGGAGGAGGAGGTGGTGGTGGTGGTGGTGGTGGTGGTGGCGGCGGCGGCGGCAGGGTGGTAGTACGGACCAAGTAGAAACGAGGGTAGGAATACCTCAGGGTCCGGTCCGGATGGGCGAGGAGGGGAAGGGGGAGGGAAGGGCAGGTATTCGTAGTTTAGGTAGGCAAGACTGCAGCAGCAAGCAGAGCGGGCAATAGACAGCGGCGTCCGTACCTTACCGTAAGGAAAGGCCGGACGTGGCAGCTCTAGCGGGGGTTCATTAACCTTTTTAGAGGAGAAGCATCTCGTCATTGGCAGGAGATGAGCGACGCCATGGCCCGAATTGGAGACAGACTGGAGGAGCTGGCCTTGGCTGAATGGGTTAATCGCGCCTGCACAAGAGGAAACCGGGGGGGATCCCACACGAGGAGTAGCTGATGCCATGCTCTCTGTTCTGTCATCAATCCTGTCCACAAGTGACTCCAATTGCCTGGGGACGGACGGGTATGATATGTCTAATGCCTCACGCCTCACACAGTCAGCCCTGCTCTTTTTCTTCCTCTTTCTTATCCCCATTGTCGGTCAATTACCCCCCCCCCCCCCCCCCCCCCCCCCCCCCCCCCCCCCCCCAAAAAAAAAAACACAACAACAAAAAAACGCGCCGAATGACAGCCCCCCCATCCATCATCAACCTAGACACCGAACCTTACCCGGCCACAATTGCGTTTACTTTTACGTACCTAGTCCAGACATCCTGGGCTGTTGGGAAGTCCCGTGTCGACTACCATATCAGACGGACGGACGGACGTCCCACGTCGCCATAATCCCCGGGCCGGATTTCGTGCAGCAGCAGCAGTATAACCGGCCGCACTTTCCTTCTTGATCGACCTTAATTCTTCCATGTTTGTTGGCTCCCAGCTTCCACGCCAACTACCGAGGGCTCAACCGAGCAACAAGCTTCTCAGAGACGGGGATTTTGTCGAACCATGACCTCGGCCCGCACCTTGAGACGAGCACCGGTGCGCTGAGAAAGCAATCTGTCGTCGACACTACGTACATGGTACTGCGCATGTCCGTGCCGCCTCACCGCACGCAGTAGAACCTGACACTCGTCCGGCGCAAGGTTCGAAGCACCGGCATTGCGGTGGACTTGCTGAAGTACCGATGTACAAGAAGGGGACCTCCGCTGCCCTACAGGCTACACCGTCAGCAGGTGGCCAGTGGATTGCTTCAGCTCTTGTCTGGTTGGTTGGCACTACCCCTAGTTCCCACTCATTGGCGGGGGGGTCATCAACGTCCGTCAGGAAAGGAAGAAAAGGGAGACGAGGCGCGCGAGAGAGAGGCACGCTCCCATCGCTGTGCCCCCTGAACTCCCAGGTGCTGGCTTCTCTGGTGTTCCCATGCTCCTACGAACGAGCCTGACACCCTCGAAAGACCACGAGGGCGACGCCGCTGTCGATTCCCTTCGCTAGAGGAGGATGAGATCCCCAGCAATGAAATGGTTCAACTTGCCCCCGTCGCTTATCGACTCGCCCGCATCAGTCCTCTTGTCCGGTCCTGCATTCTGCAACATTCCACTAGAACCGCACACTACTGCACGGTCACGCGAAGCCACGGGCTGCTCTTATTAATCGCGCGCCTGTACAGCAGCAAACTGACCTTACAGCTCGCCATCGGGGCCTGCCAAGTCACCCGCAGACTGGACTCGTCCTACTGAGCAGTGACAGGCGCGTGGATACACATGAGAGCGCAAAGTTCACGCTTACCTATTGCAGCCGCAGTCGTAGGAACTCCCCCTTGCCCGCGGGCGGCCGTGAGGGCGGTCCAGGGCCCAGATGCTCTCGACAGTTGCATTGGCTAGAGAATTCGTTCCAGGAACATAAAATGTTTACTTATACGCATAAAGCCCAGGACTGCCCAACTGACCGCCCCCTGAGCATCACAAGATCACGGGGCTGGACCTGTCTTTGGGGGTCTTCCCTGCTCAAATTACAACGGTGACAGGCACCGCTACGAGACCAGTCATCCACCGGCGCGACTGGCACAACGTGGGTGGAACTTTTTTTTATTGTTTTTATTTTTCTTACAAAGTGTTTTCTCGCTCGCTTCGCAGCAATGCTCGCCCCAGCGCGCCATTTCCCTATCCTGCTGAGCGAGATGATGTACTTCGGAGCGTGGTGGAAGGCCGCCATCGGGGACCCTCCACCCCGCCGCTGTACCCTCCCTCCTCCGTCCATCCCGTAATTCCCGCGCGCAACATGACAAAATGCGACTCTGGCCATAGGGCACTCGACAAAGAGGGTTGCGGAACCGCCCTGGATTCCTCCGAATTGAGGCAGACATATTAGAGCCCCTCTGTTTTACCTATGTCGCCATCCAAAGCTTTCGGACGCTTTGTGGGACTAGGCCCATGGGAACTCCTCTGCCGTGCAGTAGTAGCGGTACCGGTGAAGGGGAAGGGGAAGGGAAGAGAAGGCTAGTACAAGATTGATTTGCAAGAAAGAAAATACATGATGAATGGAAACAAAAGCCATCTCTCATTCAACCACTCCCCCCCCTTGGACTGCTCATGTCGACATCATCGTCAGATCCGTGAGGCTACTGTCGCGTTTTGCCCCTTGCGCCGTCCCGGCAACCTCCGCGCCTCCCAGCAGGACCACCACCGCAGACGCCGTCTCTTGATTCTCGTACGGGATCGTCGCCTGCTACTACACATCGGGGGGGGGCTGCCTGGCGTGATCTGATATCATTGGTGCCGCCTCCCCGATGCGGGGGTCTCGTGCCCTCCTCGCCTCACCACCACAACATTCCCGAGCAGGGTGTTGCACATCACACCAGCAAAAGCCGAACCTGCTGCCCACGGCTGGCGGTGGTGCGATTTAGTACGCAATCAAGCATTTTCCAGCTGGCACCCGGTACCGTCTCGACGAGCACGGCGCACAGTAGCGCCGCAGCGCACGATCGACTAGATTGACAGGCTGGCCACCACATCCGGCTACTCACGCTTGCTACCGGTGGTTGCTGCAGCTTTCATGTCTTAGTCGAGGGGGGGGGGGGGGGGCATTCCAATCAGTAGTATCTTGTGGTGTGTTCAACAACTTTTGACGTCTGGCATTTGGGATATCTCATTGAATTGTTAAAAGAGGTTCCTTTCCCATGGACCCATCATAATCCCCATGCCGGATTTTTGTTTGCCTGATAAAACTCCCGGACTTTTTTGCGAGAAAGAAAAAAAGTCATGCCAAAACGTCAAATGCCTAGCCCGAAGTGCCAAAACCCGCCCCCAAATTTGAACCCGCTTCTCTACATAACAGGAAACAAGCTTTGTTTACTCGGCGCGGAGCTCGGCAATGCGGTCCTTGACGCGCTGCTCCTTCTGCTCCTTGGTGAGGCGCTGGGTCTTGTACTTCTTGGACTCGGCCTTCCACTCCTCCTTGCTCTTGGTGTTGGAGCGCTCGGGCTTCTTCCAGGGGTCCTCACGGATGGCGGCGTGGGCCTCGGAGTAGAGCTCCTCAAGGCCGTCAGCCTCGACGTCGTCGTCAATGTACTGCTGGAACTGGGACTTGTAGCGCTCCTCGTCGTCGTCGGCGAGGGTCTCCATGTACTCGGCGACGTGCTGGCCGAAGATGTAGTTCTTGAGGGTCTCGGCGTCGAGCTCCTTGGACTCGATGTCATAACCGGGGAAACGCTTCTCGGAGTGGGGGACGAGAATGCCACCGTCGGAGGCACCCTTCATGGCACCGAAGACACGGGCACCAGTGGAGGTGCGGTGCAGACCGACGTCGAGGTTGGCCTTGAAGGGGCGACGCTCGCCGTCGTCGGTCTCGGCGGCCTCGGTGAGGGTGTACTCACCGTCGGCCTCCTCAACACCGGTGAAGGTCTTGTCAAGGCCGAGCTTGGAGAGGGTGCGGCGGGCGATCAGGAGACCGGTGGCGTAGGCGGCAGCCCAGTTGGTCAGGCCGTGGGTGATGCCGTAGGCGGGCAGCTCGTGGGAGTAGGCGGCGGCGAAGACCTTGTCACCGGTGATCTCAGAGGTGACGATTTGCATGATGATGTCCCGGTTGGTGAAGCGGACCACAAGACGGTACTTGGGGGCACCGTACTTGTTCTTGGCCTGGGTGATCAGGCGCTTGCGGGCATAGTAGTCGGTCTTGCCGGAGCGTCTGCGCTTGTACTTGGTCTGGAAGCGACTGCGAGGTAGTTAGCGAGGACCGTTCCCACAAGGATCTCGACGCTCTTTGGAGCGGAGGTGTGTTTGTGTGCGAGCGGAAGACTAACCTGTAGTACGCGCTGTTCTTCACCAACTTGTGGAAGGCCTGTCACGTTTGAAAATCCCGAGTCAGCAATTTGCGCTTCAGATTTGGCCCATCGATCCGAAGCATCTTGCTTTGACTCCTACACCCAAGAGACATTTCTGCCTGCTGCTGGGGGCCAATTGCCATTGCTGGCAGAGGAAGTTTTGGTGTCGCAATTGTCGCATTCGGCCATCGAGGCAGTTGGGACAGTTGACGGTGATCTTTCAACTTACCATCTTGACGGTATTGGCTGGCGGGCGGTTGGCTCAGCAAATTTGTCGATGTCGAAGGGGTTGTCGAAGAGAAAAAATAACCCAACTACGAGTCTCGCGATAATATTCCTGTGGGTAAACTACAGCCCTAGAAAGTGGGGACCCGTCTTTCCCCTGCGGGAACTGTCACTCCAAGCAGGTCGGTGACGAGTCACGTGGGTCGTTGTAGTTCGGCCGGGGACGAGCTGACTGATCAAGGACGCCAAGCCTTGTACCCAGACCACCAGTGTGTCCTTGTCCCCCTCCATTCAGATTTGGGCCGAGGTCCATGGTTTGATTCGCCGCCGAGGTGGGGGTCAGCCGTCGCCTTCCCCAGGTTTCGGCTCCCCGACCACCGCAGCTTCTCCGCCTGCCTGCGACGGCGACGCGCTTGAGTCGTGGGGTTTCCTGCAAGTAGATGATGTAGATCTCTCAAGCCAGCCATGCAGTCGTTGGAAGAATCAGACAACTTCTTGGTTGACCATGTTCTGGAAGCTGTAGACGACATGACCGATTCCAAGCAGCCCAAGGTGCTTTTGTTCGACATTGGCGGCGTGTGTGTAAGTGCCTCCCTTGACTTTCATGGCTGTCTTTTGTTTTTTCATGTCTAATCCATGATCCCGACCATGAACTGCCATTATATTCCATGATAAGTTGTCAATTATCCTCTGACTTTCCCAGGTCGTCTCGCCTTTTCAATCCATACTCGACTACGAGCTCAGTCTCGGCATTCCGCCGGGATGGGTCAACTACTCCATCTCCAAGACCAGTCCCACGGGCTTCTGGCACCGCCTCGAGACGGGCTCGATCCCTATGGACAAGGCCTTCTTTGCGGGCTTCAACGCGGACCTCCACGACCAGGGACGGTGGGAGGCCTTCTACGCCGCCCAGCGGGCCAAGAACCCGTCCCTGCCTGAGCAGGTCCCGCCCCTCCCCGCCATCGACGGGGAGTACCTCTTCAACGCCATGATGACCAACTCCATCCCGCCGGACCCGTGGATGTTCCCCGCGCTGAAGAAGCTCAAGCAAAGCGGCAAGTATATCCTCGCGGCGCTGAGTAACACCGTCGTCTTCCCCGAGGGCCACCGGCTGTGGAAGAGGGATTTCTTGGACGACCCCGTGCGCGGCCTGTTTGACGTCTTCATCTCGTCGGCGCACGTCGGGCTGAGGAAGCCGGACCCGAGGATGTACCAGCTCGCTCTCAAGATGCTCAACGAGTACGCCGCCAAGAACGCGAGCTCCGAAAGGGGCCAGGCGTTGGGGTGGGTCGAGGGCATCAAGGCGAGCGACGTTGTGTTCCTCGACGACATTGGTGAGAACCTGAAGGAAGCAAGGAAGCAGGGTTTCGGGACGATCAAGGTCCATCTGGGGCGGGCGTACGAGGCCGTCGAGGAGCTGGAGAAGATCACCGGGCTGCCCTTGGAGGGCGACCATCCCAAGATCCCGGTGAAGCCCCAGCTGAAGGGCAGCGGCAAGGCGAGGCTATAGGGGCAATGGCATAGACTGTATTTCCACTAGACAGGGTGGTCTAAGACCTCCGAGCCACATAGATATATACGGCATCCACGTTGACAATCTCGCCGTCGACCGCGTCCTTCTCCCACTCCTCGCGGAACAGGGCCCTCGTCTTCCTCTTGAACTCCTCCGTCGCGAGCTTGATGGTCAACGAGGTGCCCGTGATCCAGTCGAACTGCTCGTCGACCTGGTCCATGCCATACGTCGTGTCGCCCTGGCCGGACAGCTTGTCCATCAGCTCGATCCTCTCCACGGCGTACCCCGCCCCCTCCAGGATCTTTGTGAACGAGTTCCGGTCCGTGATCCAGGACCTGTTGCTCGGGAACCGCGTGCCCAGCCGCCTCGCCGCGCGCTCCAGCAGCAGCCCGATTTTGAGGTTGTTCTCGTGCGTGATGTCGACAACCAGTCTGCCCTCCGGCTTGAGGTACTTGCGCCACGACTTGACAACCTCGTCCGGATCGTCGAAGAGGACAAACGCGCTGGAGCAGAGGATCACGTCAAAGGCCTGCCCGTCGAGCTCCGGCAGCGTCTCCAGCTTCGTCACGTCGTGGTTGTACAGGCGGATGCTCGCGCGGGGCTTGAGGCGCTCCTGCTTCTCTCTCGCCTTGGCGAGCATGGCGTCGGTGATGTCGACGCCGACGATGTCGCCCCTGTCGCCCATTTGCTCGGCGGCGATCAAGACCTCCAGCCCGGTGCCGCAGGCCAGGATGAGAACGCGCTCGCCAGGCTGGACGTCAGCTACGGCCATGAAGCGCTTGGTGTAGTCCGGGTGGAACGAGTTCTCGTAGTTGTCGGCTCGCGCAGTGTACATACGCTGGGAGGATGCGGCTTGCGTCTCGTGGTCAAAATCCATGGCGCGTGGTTGTTTGATGGTGATGCGTGATGTGTGGTGGTTTTGGGCCGGGTGTAGTTCGTCTTGCGTTGTTTTCGAATTGTCGAGATCTCGAGATAACGCTGGTGGCCAACCATCTAAGCTTATATCCTGAGCGTCCGATCTGACTCACCCATCAGCACGCAATCCGATGATCTACAACGACCGCATGCACCTACGTTTCTAGGTCTTTGTCGAATGCCGACGATCCGAAGTGAGTCACTATGATAGGTGAACCTGAACTGCATTTTCAGAAACTCGTATCAGTAACTACGTGAGATGATATGCCTGCTGTTTGTCTTATCGTGGGTTTCCTGCCGACACTTTTCAAGCTCACGCGAATGAGTTGGAGTAATTTGGATTCAATCATCATCATAATCGTATACGCTGCCTATCGCATAATCTGCTACCAAATGAAAGTGATAAAATGACATGGTATCGTATAAACCTCAAACCCCCCAACTCCAGAACCACCCTCCTGCAGCCGCTCTATTCTAGCCAACGCCATCTCAAGCAACCCGTCATCGTCCATCATCCCGATCCGGCCTTCTTCTTGCCCTTCTCCAACACAAACGTGTCCCAACACTCGGCGTCGTCAACGTCCAGTGCCGCCAGCCTCGCCGCCCAGTACGGCATGAGCCTGCCCTCGTCGTCAAACGGCCGCAGGCTCGCCCACGCCGCCCACATGCCCACCACGGCCTGCGCCTTCTCGGCGTCGACCTCGAAGAACTCCTTGTGAGGTCCGCCGCAGCCGGGGCACGTCCGGTCCCACCGCCGCTCGTTGGCCAGGTGCAGGTGGACAATCTCCTCCATCTTGATGTAGTGCGGTGCCAGGCGCTTGAAGACGAGGTCGGGTGCGTAGTGGCACTTCGATTCCCATTGCCGCATGCGTCGTTGGGGGTTGTTCGTGTAGCCGATCTTGATCATGCGGCGGGCGTCGGTCCCCGAGGCTGTAACATGGCCTTTCGGGAGCCTGTAGCCGTAGATGTAGCCCGTGTCGGCTGCTTTTCGCTCCCCTGTCGTGAATGGGGCGATGAGTTTCTTGATGATGTCTTTATTGATCTTGCTGGTGGGTGCGGACGGGCTGTAAGGGGTGAAGGTATGGGCAGTCGGCTTATGCGGAGAGCATGGGGAGACGGCTGGTTTGTCGGGCAGGCGCTTGAAGGGGATGCTGTCGAGTTTGGGTTTGCACTCGTCTTCTTCCTTGACGAGCTCTTGCTTCACCACGCTGACGCGAGGCTTCTCGTCCACAGGCTCTGTCTTGACATCGTCGACAACGGGCGGTCGACCGGCATTCGACGGTCTAGCAACGCAGCTCCCCGTCTTTGTCGAACAGGCGGCCGGCCTCGATCTCCGTATCTCGGGTTTGGTCTCTCCCTTCTCACTGTCCTTTCCCTCGTCCCCCTTCAACCCGAGAAACTCCCGCATACGCCGCTCCCACTCCACAATCTTGTCGGCGACCTGCGCCTGATGCCATCTCCTACACAGCACCAGAGAAGCCAGCCGCTCAAGGTGCTTCGCGGCAGAGGACAGACTCCCGCTCTTGAGGATGTCGATAACCACGGATGAGATCCTCTGGCGCGATTTCTCGCTGATAGGGTTCCCGCAGGAAGGCTTGCTCTTTGCGCGGCCTTGGCATACTGTGCAGGAGCTGACGGGGGTCGAAAGGCAAGTCTGGAGGTCGGTGACGGTTTTTGGCCACATGGGCTGGATCAGGACGGTCATGTTTGATACTGAAGAGCGGCCTTGCTAGCTATACTGAGATGGATGGGAATTCTGTGCTGTAGAACTGGAGTATCACGGTCTACACGCTCACTACATATACCCCGAACGAGGCATTACGGAGGCCTCGACGAGGCATACAGCTTCGGACTGAAATGGCAGGCCACCCTCCATCACGAAGAAGGCTGTGACATGCATACAGCCACAGGGCCATGTATCACATACACGGCCAAGCAATCGGCGTTGGTCCGAATCTAGCCCAGCCGATCCAACCGTACAACGTGATTTGCATCTACCCACATTGGCTTTGCACCATTTTCTTCAACAACAACCTCGGAAATTCATAAAATAAGCTTCTCAGTCTTTGAAGGGTATGAAAACTTCCCAAATTCGATTCCAATCCGCTTCTAATCCTTCGCCGCGGCGGGGTCTCTGCGTACGGCGCCCGCCCTTGGGCACGATTGCACCAACAGCTCTAGGAACCAACAGCTCTGGGAACCAACAGCCCATGCACGCTCTTGCAGGAGAGCCTGGCTGTAACCCGCACACAGCCAACCTGCCCTGCGATAGCTAGCAGGCGCAGCGATCCCAAAGAGGCATTCTCCCCCGACGTTGAAACCATTCGGGCCGGCCCCTCGGGCTCGGGGGATGGCGCAGGACATGGGCCGTCCAACAGAGGGCCCTACCAACGGATGCACGAGAGAGAAAGCCCAGAGGCACCCAGCTCTGGACGTGGTCTGGGGACGTGTCAACCCTTCTCGAGAAGGAGAAGCCATGAAGAGAATGCTGCGCTGGAGATGGCGATGCATCACTGAGAACTGCGACTCGAGGTGAGCTCGTACAGCTTAACAAACTAAGTGGGAGAACGTAGGCTTTTCTGAGAGGGCAAGAAAGCCTCACGAGCAACGCCCTGCGTCTGGCCATGTAGTCGAGGGCGACTGCGCCCATGCATCCTACCCTCAGCGGCTACGAGACGAATCAGGGGTGGTGTGGGTATCAAGGGCCCGCCTCATCGCATCATGTCTGCCGGGGCGCTTCCCCCGGCTAGGAAGCATGTCGAAACTGAACGGAAAACGAGACCCGGAAGCGTGGTGTGGAGAGCTCGAGCCGACGAAGAATGGTAAGGGAGGGGGGGAGCAGGGTTGGGACCAACGGCTTTTTCCTACAGCCGCCTCACCCATCGTTCGAGAGACCGACCCTGTTGGCCTACTTCATAGCTTGACATGTCGCTGAGAACTCATTGTGCAATCAATGTTACCCTCTGTCTTGAGCAATCAGGAAACAATCCCCTGCCGTGTTGAGGATGACTTTGGGCTCTCGACATCAATCCGAGGTTGAACACGTCGAACATGGAAAATCCTGATGTTGGTGAATATGAAATCGACTCGACTGCAGAGTCACTGCCGCTTCTTATCCTCAACGAGTCATGAGAGACAGCGTTCATATTTCGGACTGCACCACACTGCGGAACATTTTTCGGGAAAAGTGTTTTGATTATCACCTCCTTCTTATCTTCAGCAAACCAGCCCCTGCGGGGGCAACAGAGGCTGTCGCGTGCCAACTCCATTCATCAACGACGTAGCCTCTAGTGCACGTAAAGGACTCCTCCAAGATTCCTGACCTCCTTCCTCCAACCGTCTCCCGCGTGCGGACAGCTGTATGCCGCGCTGCCTCCGTGCTACCCATAGAGCTCTTGGTCTCTACAAGGCTCCTCCGCAGCTGCAGGAGAAAAAGACAAAGAGAAGAAGAAGAAAAAACAAAAAAACAAAGGGAATCACTCTTGTGAAAATTATTCGCTCGTATGTCCAGGCCCAAAGCCCGTCTTCGCTGGATCGTCTGGCTCTCCTCAAGCAATCCCAAATACGCCGCCCCTATGCGGAATTCGTGTCCCTCATACATGACAAAGGTATATATAGAAAGGTCCAATGGTACAAGAAAGGAAGCAAGGAAAGGGGAACTGAATTAGGTGCCACGAGCACGCTTGCAGGGCCTGCTCCCCTAAGCACTCTGTGGTGCTCCGGCTGCGCCGTCATTCTCCGATTCAAAGGCCAACTTCCGGGGGTTCGCACTTTCGACCTTGGGTAAGTTCGGCTTCTCCATGCCCGAAACTCCGCTGTCGGTCTCGCCGAATGTGATGCCGAGGGAGTCTGCGTTCTTCTTCGCCTCCTCCGCCCTCCTCTTCTGGTCTTCTTGAGCCTCTTCTAGGTTCATCAGCGCAGGGGGGCGGTGCCGCATCTGTCTGGCCTTGGCGAGGGAAATGGTCTTTTGCTGATACGTCGTTGTTATCGCCTGGGTATCATCTCGGTCAATGGTGGCCTTCATGAGAGCCGCCATCCACAGTCGTCCCGACTTGAGGTTGGGAACTGCAAAGTAGTGGACGGTCGGCTTCGTGAAGTTGACGGCACGGGAAAGGCCTGCGCGCGGCGGAACAAGCTTGAAGATGAACATGGTGTCATCCCCCTTCTCCACCGAGGAGTCCGCGTCGCGGGCGGTGGCCGTTCCGGCACCAGTAAGCTTGGCGTGGAGACCAGTCAGCTGTTCGTTGTCGGCCGGCAGAACACGGTGGAAGGAGATGTCGATGAGTCCCTTCTCCTCTTGGTCGTTCTCTGAATAGTAGTATGATAGCCGGCGGCCCTTGAGCACGAACAGTCGGGGTTTCCAGGTCGTCATCAGGTTGGAGCTCTTCTTTCTCATCCATCCACTGTAGTCGGCATCCTTGACGGCCTCTACCGGACTGATCTTGAGCAGGCCACGCTGGTAGGCACTCGTCTCCTTCTTGCCCTTCTTTCTGCTGCCCTTGCTCGCCACGGTCGTCGCGGTGCTGGGGCTCTTTGCTGTGTCAGGCGAATCAAGTTCGAAGCTCGGTCCGGCGGAAGGTGTACTCGATCCGGTCCTAGCGGGCGAGGGCAGAGGTGAGTCCTTGAGGGACGGGTCGACTGGCGAGGCCATCTTGTTGCGGTCTCCCGATACTGAATCCGAGATGGCCCGCAGCCCGGTGACCTTGACCGACGGCTTCACGACAGCGGAGAGCCAATCGGCATGGATGCCTTGACGCGATGCTGGCGACTCTGGCACTGGAGAGGCGCGAGCCTTGGCTTCCAGCTTCGTGACGCTGGGTGCTCCGACGTCCTTGACGGGTGGCACCGGCCGCGCGGACTGCGTAGTGCTTGTCGATGCGGTCCTTCTGTGGGCGTTGGACTGAATGTTGTAGTATTTTTGCGCCGCCGGCGAAGCAACACTGTCGCGGTTCGAATCGACGCTTCCAAACCTCGAGTGCCTCGAGATAGCAGTGGCGCTGCGTACTCTTTGCTCGTCGGCGTAGCTGTTCTTGTGGGTGTGACTGGCGACGCTGTCGCGCTTTCTAAGCACGTTGCGGCGTCGGCCGTCGACTTCGGTGCCGCTGAAGTACCCTCGGTCGTTGTCAATGGCGGACTCCGGAGCGTGTAGGCCAGACTGCTGCATGATGTCTTGGAGTCCGGTAGAAGAAAGGGGTCTGGTTGAGGCGCTGCCGAGGGTCCAGTTTCTGTCGAACGAGGGTTGCTTTTTATGGACGCCATCTGTCTGAGGAAACGTTCCACTCGTGGCCAGCTTCGGTGTCACTGTGCTGTTCAGAGGTGCTCCCGTCAAACGGAAGTCGGTGGAGGACGAGTGCCTGCGGGAGTGGTGCAGATCCCTGACAGAAGCAGCCGAAGGCCGTTTCATATGGGTTGGTCGGGTCGGGCTGTCAGCAATCGGGGAGACTGGCGAGACGATGGACGTGGTGTCCAGCTTGGGCGTTTGCGAGAAGGAGAGGCGCTTGCTCGAGAATGACATGGCCCTGTCGTCCACGGGTGTCCTCCTGGTCAGGGTGTCGGCCCGGCTTCGTGACCGCCTAGCATCCTCCGAGCCGACATCGCTGCCGTACGTCTGGGTGGTCCTCCTAGTCATAGTACCCAGGTTGTTGCACTCATCCTGAAGAGACTTGATCTTCTGCCACGTCTTGAGCCGCCTGCCGACAGATCCCAACTCAAAAGCCTTGATGAAGAGGGAGCTCTGGTCCATGCCCAAGAGAACTTCGCCGGTGATCTCCTGGTCTCGGAAGACCTCGCAGTGCGACTTCTCAACGCCGACTGTGAAGAGGTATTCGGCAACCTGATCCGACGACCACGCCTCCACCTCGGAACGGCTGTGCATGGCCTCCTCCTCTTCGTCCGTCTCTTCGCCATGGATGTAGGACATTCGGTGATCGAGTTGAGCGCTGTACTCGCTGCCGGAATCGGTGGGAGGGGCTCGCATTGCGCCATTGCTGGGCGTAGAGCGCAGATCGGTGATGTGCTCTTCGATTACGTTGAGGGTCTCGCTCAGTACGTGGTCCTGGTTCGTGTTGAGACGGCCCAGGGCTGCCGAAGGCGGCGGGTTCGGCGTTGGCGGCGCATTTTCGATCGGGGCCGTCTCCTGCTTGATGTTGTTCAACGGCAGAGTGACGGGAGCGGGCGACTCGGCAGGCGGCGTCGAAGCGGGTGGAGTGGCGGGGGCAGCAATCTCCTCGTCGGGAACGGCGGCGTCCGTCGTGTTTGTTTGTTTAGGTTCGTTAACCACCTCGGGCAGTGTCGCCAGTGGTTTCGAGAAGTTGTTGGTCGGAGCGGTCTTGGGGGATGGCCTGGTGTAGACTGAGCCACGGAGAGTGAGCCTCTTGCCGCCTGTAAATGTTGGGTACCGTATAGACGTACCTTCGGGAAACAGGCCGCTGTTTCCGTTCACCATGTGCTTGCCCAAAAACCAGCCATCGCCAAATTCATCATCGCGCTCAATCAGCTCGACTCGGTCGCCTTTGGTCAGGCTCAATTCGTCGGAGCTGCGAGCGATAAAATCGTCTGCAGCAAGGGCAAGTCAGCTAAAGGGCTGTGGTGGTCAAGAGAGCAGGCAGTTGGTGTCGAGGGCGGGGGAGAGACGAGGTTGCATGACGCGGATACGACGAGGGGGACAAGGCCAACGGGTGGGCTCATCGGTCTAGTTAGCGGAGCGATGGATTGGACTTACGGATGACCAAGAGGATATCACCAACTTCTGGCTTTGGAGCAGCCATGTTGCCGACGATGCCTGGCGCCGCGACAGATGCGGGTGGCGTTTGCTAGAAAGTGAGAGTTGTGACGAGATCAATACATAGGAGACGAGTTCGCTGGCTGGGCAGCCTGGCCTGGGCTCGACTTTGACTTGGGTGCAGCGAGCAGGGGGGGGGGGGGGGGGGGGGCGAAGAAGTGCTGTCGAAGCGAAAATTGCAGCAGTGGCCAGGGATGGTCAGTTGTTCGGCAGCTGGGATCAGGTAGGTATTAGATGGTGGGCGGATATGGATAAGGTGAGGGCCGCGAGGGAGGAGTAGGTACTGTTGGTGGAGGAGAGGGCGAGAGACGAGGGTAGTGGAGGTGGAGGCGGCGGTGGTGGTGTGGTGAATGGGAGATGAATTGCGACCGGGGTAAGGAATGAAGGAGCAAAGCAAGATTCGGCTCTTCGACGATGGGCCTCCCCCAAAAGATTTTCTCCCCCTTCTTTTCTTGTGACCTTTTCTCTCTGATGTGACGAATACGAGAGTAAGAGAGAAAAAGAGAGAGAGAGAGTGAGAGCGAGAGAGAAAATTGTTGTGGTTGACGTTCCTTCCGCCGTAGGTTTTTTTTTCTGGGATTCCCTTTCCTTGTTTGTCTCTGCTCTCTGCCACTGGGGACGTGTTTTTTTGGTATGTCGAGCTGGCTGCCGGCAAATGTGGCGAGTGGTTGAATAAGGGTCGTTGCTGGTCTGCGGTCGGTGGTTCGCTCGGGTGGCAGCTGGCTGGAGGCTGGAGTTGCTCAGGACCGTGTTGTGGGATGTGATTGGGGGGTTGCTGGGTTTGGCGTGGAGGGCCGCTATTGGATCATTGCGACGTCGAGCCAGGAAGGTGAGGTGAGGCGCATAGACGACGCTGGGGACGCAATGGCAGTGGAGGAACGGACGAAGCCCACGTACATACGTGGATGAAAAGGTGGCCCAGGAGTCTGCTGTCGCCGAGCCGCTGCACCTAAGATGAGGCAAGGCAAGGTACGGACACCGTACAGATGCGCTTGCACATGCGCACCGCTCTGCTCTGCGAAAGGACCGGAATGGGCTGGGGGAGGAGGGGGGGGCTGCAGACCTCAAGGTCCGGTCGATGGGTGCGATCCAGCTAACCGTCGGCCCCAAGTTGATGGTGTGGGTGTGGGTGTGCGTATGTGTGTATGTTTGATGTGGTAGGTAAGGTGGTGAGTGCTATAGGAATGCGCGGAAGCCCGTACCGGAGAAATCTAAATTGCAATCGGCTTCAAGATCGCCGGCCAACAGAGGAGAGCGGGTGGCTGCAATACGAGGAGATGTCTTGTTGTTTTGTTTGTTCCTTGCCTCTTTCTCAGGTAACGCAGGGATGCATGTGTGGATGGGCGGATGGGCGGATGGATGCAGAAAGGGACCGCACGGAGCCCAAAGGTCAGAGGATGGATGCGGGTTTGCAAGCTCGGAGCTCCAAGTTGGGACGGAGGAGGGAGCAGACGATCAACCCGCTGACTCGATGGAGCTGTGGCCAAGACAACTCGGCCTAGGCATGTGGACGGGTGTGTGTTTGTGTCCTAGCAGACCTAAAAGACACCTCGACCTGGAGCTTGAGCTTAAGCTTGAGCCTAAGTCTGCCGTGTTGCAGAGTGAGGCGAGGACCTGAAAGGAATGGAAGAAGGCCAGAATGAGGAAGGGGCGGCGATGAAGGAGGGTGTGATGATTGATAGCGAGGCTGGCGAAGCGCAACGCAAGGGACGGCAGCGCCCGTGAACCCGTCCGTTCCTGTTGTTTGGTTCCTGGAGGGATCGGATCAAAGCCCGAGTCGGAGTGCCTCCTATGGATATTGGTGGTGCCGCCCGGGCGGCATTCCTGGTTGCGTGAAATATGGTGTATGGAATATCGTCCTCGGCATAGGAGAGAGACAGAGTAGGCGATAGGACGATGATGGGCGATGACAATGTCAAGTAGGGGCAGTGTTATGTTTGTTTCTTCTTCTTCCCCCCTTCTAATTGTTTTGCGTGGTAAGATGTGCCAGTGTGAACGTGTGTTTGAATGCACCAGTCCTCGGTCAAAGACTCCTGGAGGCGCAGGAAAAGGATAGGGAGAGATAAGGCTGTGAGGATAAAGAAACGTCGGACTTCACGATCAAAACACAATGCAAAACACACAAAGGTGACGGGAAGAGGCGTCTTAAGCCAGAGTCCAGAAACGCGGAGGAACCACCAGCATGGATCGCTAAGGTAGGTACCGTCGACGATGGACGGCAAGCTAAAGTAGAGCGATTCTACCTCGAGGCAAACTCCAGGCACGCTACACGGCAACTACAGACGCGATGAGGGGGCGGCAAAGAAAGAAGGCTGGACGATGCGAGGTGTCCGACCCAACTCAGCTTGGCCGGACCTATCCTAGTTGGGTAGGTCCCTTAACAAGGCGTGATATTGCGCTTGACGCTGAACGCGTGGGCGTGCGTGTGCTGGGGATCGGGGAAAGCATGGAAGAAAGACGCCAACAGAATTCGGAGCAGATGGCCAATGAAGCCACTGACGGGAAGAACACGTTCTCAACGATCTGACACCATGCCGTTTTCCTGTCTCGAGATGCAGCATTGGAAAGCAAGACACGCACCAAGCCCCCCCACAAACGGAAAGAAACAGAGTCTGGGCTTCAGCCCATCATTCATTTCTGTTTCGTCGCCCAGCTCGCTCGACGTCCACTTCCCCCTAATGTCTCTACAAACACCTCCTTCGGTCTTGGAGTATACAGAAAACCGGTTCGACTGGGCATGCGACCGACCTTCATCGCAATGCCGCGCGCCGGCAAATCCCTCCGTTTCCATCGTCGCTAGGACATGCCTTGGCTCCAGGCTCATCCATTGCGTAGACAACCGAACGGACGCCCATGGCCGTGACCACGCCTCCAACCCCCCCCCCCCCCCCCCCCCCCCCCCGCCTGACCGCATACCCCCCGAAGGACAACTCACCGGCCATCTTGTGCCGTGCCGTCACCCGTTTCGCCATTGGCGAAGATCCAATACCCGAACACCCACCAGGCCCGGAGCGACCAGGACCTTCCCGCTCACCTCGTGGGCAACAACGGCCAGGGAGGGGGGACTGCGAGGAATCATGACGGATGGATCGAATCTTGCGCCGGCTGCTCCCCCCCCCCCCCCCCCCCCCCCCCCCCCCCCCCCCCCCCCCCCCCCCCCCCGGCGCAGCATGGGTCCCGCGGATGGGTGCTGAGTGTCTGTCCCCCAGAGCACACCAATTAATTTCGCCCATGCATGTGGGTTATTGCGAAAAAAAGGCGGCAAGGATGATGCTGGACTCATCCAATGCATCCAATCTGCTTCGCGATTCCCCTTGCCGAAGGGCGCGTGCTGATCGAATCACGGCCAACTGACGAGATTGACAAGCCGGGGCTGGCCGGGAGGCATTCAAACTCACGTGTTGGCCTCATCTTTCATTCTTCGGAGAAACTTCCTGGCTGCAGCTTGGCTAGTGTAAATCCTAGAGACAACCTACTGTACCTAGGCAAAGTGCCGACATTACCCAATCCGCACGCCCGCCCACGACACCGACCCTTAGAATGAATAAGCAATTCGATAATTGAAGCTAGCGAAAAGGACCATCGGAGTTATTTCCACAATAACGTATCGTCTCCGACTCGGCCGTTATCAAAATGGCCTCCGGACGGCACCGGTCCGAAGACGCACTCATTTCCAACAGCCTCTGGTCTGCGTACCAACTCATCTTGAACTCGAACTTTTATGAAACAAGTCAGCCGACGAATACGATGGCCAACGCCCGCCGTGCACCTTGTTGTGCCGTGCTGGGGCAGTGCCATTGTCACTCGAAATCCTTAATTCATAGCCGCCAAAGAACATGACTGCGAGAAGTCAAGGGAGCCCATTGTCAAGTCTTGTGCTGTAGTTACATTATATCCAAGACGTCCCGACAGAATATGTAGCATTGTCAAGAGAACCCTTGATACATAGATAAAACAATATTCTATCAATGAGCAAACGCTCTTCGAGCATGTAACTAAAAGACCAAGGATAAGTATTCTCGTTCCTATTTGATCCTTACGAATGTTGGACCACACCGGCAACGGTGAGCCAAGACCTCGACGCTCTGGGAACAAGGGGCTCAGTCAGCGGACGACAGGGGGCGACAGTAGTTGTACAACCAAGACCACAATTGTCTATGAGGCAACGAGGAAACATTCGCAACCGGAGGGTTTATCTAGGCACCTTGCTGGATACTGTTTGTAATGTCGGCCAGCGCGCATCTGCGAGCCAAGGCCACAAGGGCAGAGCATCTAACAGAATGACTCCTCGATAGTTATCCGAGAAGCCGCGGCTAAGACGGGATGAAATAGTCGTGGATGGACATTACTCTCTTCAAACCTTAAGTTGACTGATGAGCTAGGTATTGCAGTTGTTGCAGTTCGCGGCTAGGTTCAAACCGTATCCGGTTCCCCGTCGAGAGGGAGTCACAGAACTGTTTTATCCTTTCCACATGGCTTTCAGAGCTGTTCTAAATCGGATGTTCCTCTTACCTGAACTCTGTTGCGAGGACCCCAATACACTTCCTAGAGGTCTGTTTATCCCAATGTATGTAGCCGTCCGAGAGAGTCATCCAGTCGCAAGCAGCCAGACTAAGCAGCTGTATGCAGGCTTTCGTCCGTCTTGAGGTTGATGCTCGCCGTGGCTGCTGCAAAATGCAAATGCGTATGCAGATGCAGTCAATAGAATCACCAAATCCAGAAAAGGACATCACAGATGGCCCGGGCGCGACTCCACCAAGCAACTGCAATCCTCGCCAGAGAAAAGTCGAGCTAAGGCCAGAACTGGTATGGCGTCGACATGCCCGTCAGAGGCTACGCCAGAAATAGCCTAAAGCGTATCCACCAACTGCCAAGGTTCCCCCGTCGAGACCTCTCGGCTCCAGCCTTTAGTCTGGCAAACACCTGTTCCATTTCACCCTAAAAATGTTCCAGCGTGCTCTTTTGCTCTCATCTTCCACTTTGGCGGTCATCAATCATCAGTCCCTGCCTCCAGCGCACGTCCCCTGCCGCCATCCACTTGTCGATTTGGTCCATCTGCACCCGGGTTCTGCACAGCGTCGCCGAGGATTTTCCAGACGCGAATGACGGATTTGCACGTCAACCGTTGGGGGATTAGCTAGCTACATCTCCTCTCGAGAAACTTGTCGATCGTTGCTGCACAAACTGCGGCACCGCCTTCGCTCAGCAGTCCATCGACGACAACGTGCCCGTTCCCGTGGCGCATCGAACAAAACAGCCCCCACATCGCGAGAGAGGCATGCGACACCCTATGCGCGGGGATTGCTGGATAAAACTCTCCACCGAGCAGCGAGTACCGGTTCTAGCCTCCCAGGCACTTTGACCGGCGCCTTCCCGAGACCGACAACGGCTTGCCGCTCCATCAGTTTCACCTTCCATACGGGAGACACTCGCGATACCCTACAGCGCAAGAGGTGGCAGGCGGGGGTGGACGGTCTTTTCTACTGCTCCTTCCACCACACCAGCACCACTCGACAGTCTCTCCTTCCGTCGGACCACCTTCCTCACCCTTCGTACCGACTTCCACTTTCGGTTTCGACGCTTGCAGTGCGACCTCATATCTTCTAGCTAGTCGGGACCTCGTCCTCATGGTGCGTCGTCTCCCAACTTCAACCCCTCGTAACACATCACAGCCCTGCTAACCAACATGGCCGAATCCAGTCTCGCTCAAGGTTCCGGTTCGCCTTTGCCGCGCCGCCGACGCAAAACTCGTAAACCATCGCACAAACGGACTATGACGCCTCACGAGACCCAGCACAGCGGAGCCGGGGGCTATGTATCGGGTGCACAGGTCGCCGCCTCGAACCAGACGCTCAACTTCATGTTGGGCAATCGTCGTCAGCCGTCGTGGATGACTGGGCAGCATTCAAAAGCGTCCACTGCTCCCCAGCGCAACACGGCACCGATATCGAGCAAACTTCATGGCGCTCACGACACCCCGAGACGACCGCCCTCTAGGCCTCCGAGTCGTACCTCAACAAACAGCACCTCAGATATAAACCGCCTGGCACCTGGGAGTGTCGTTGCAGTCACTCTGAGCCCGGCTGACGGCACGCAACACAAGTCTGCAGCTGTGCTTGAGCCTCAGATACTGTATGTTCCCTATGCCATTTTCTCTTCTTGGGATGCCTCAACCCTTTCTTTCGCCCGAAACGTCATGTCTGTTTCTAATATCCTTCTCTCATAGTGACTGCGCAGCCGCGCTTCCTTCCCCAGCTCCGACTGACCAACCCAGTCCACCCACAGCCAACTCCAACCAGGGCTCCCTCCAGAATATAGACTCTTGCGTCCAGAGCCCCGACGCGGGCCACGGCCATTCAGCCAATACCTGGAACACCATAGCGGCTCTGACTGGTGAACCGTTTACCCAGGATCAACCTGCCGATGCTTACCATGGTACCCCGGGGCCCAGCACCACACTCTTGCCGGAAAGAAACCACTCCGCATCGAGATTCGTTCCATTCGAACATAGCGACAAGCTTACGTGCTTGGAGCCTTCAGATGCACCTCAAAGCAGGTCCCATGATCCAGTCTCCGTGACTAGCGTTGTCGCTCCTCCACCCACGCCAGCTTCTGCAATCATTGTGGATCCCCGGCGTCAGTCGAGTCAAGCTGCAGCATTGCCTCCGTCGAACGGACGGCCAGTTGCTCCTGGCCATCACGCGCTAAAACCTCCAGGTCCAGTTAACAATGACAGCCAGCAGACCGTCGGATTACCTAGAGCCAGCATCTATCCAGCGGATAGTCTTCGTCCTAAAGTCATGGCTGAGAACCTCGACGGCTTCGTCCGCTTTTGTGGCGGTATCAATAAGCTCCCAGACGACGGCACCTCTACACCTAGGATCCGACTGCTCAAAGAAGCCATTGAGACGGACGATTACTTTTACATCGTGCTACATCAGATTCTTTGTGTGTGGTCTATTGACAGGGAAGCCGTGTACCGCCTCCTTGGTCTTGCTCCAGACGTAGCAGAGGGTGCGCTGAGCATCATACAGAATACACTCAGAAAAAATGAAAACATGACCCAGAGGCTAGTGCATTTCTTCGCAGACTTCCCCAACACGCGCACCTCTGGTTTGTGGGAAACCGAAGCCTTCCGCAAGCACGCCGGCGACGTTTCCGTTTTCCTCAACAACCTCCATGAGCAATGGAACAGAATTCACATTCCGGCCATGAGACCCCGCTCCGGTAGAGGCTACCCGATTCTTGCGGACGAGTTGCGCTACCAGCTGAAACTTCGGTCGCCATTACTGGAAGGCATATTCTTCACAGTCACCAGGCGGCACATCGGCGTCCCTGATGGCCCCATCGCGGATCAGATGATGACACTGTTCCGGCAAGACGCCCACGGTGATCACGCCGGATTGTCTGAGCAGGAACAGAGGGTCTTCCAGCATTCATTGATATCGAAGTACAAACACCTTGTGCACGAGAACGACCGAAATCAACAACAGCAGCAGCAACAACAGCAATTGCGGCAGCAGACTCATCCTTCGCAGGCCACTCGAGTGCAGCAACCCATACTCCAGCAACCCATACTCCAGCAACAGACCATGCCCGAGCAAGTGAGGGGGCATTCCGCCAGCTTCTCTCCCACACAAGCGAGCGTGCCAACTCCGACGCAAAGTTCCCCCGTTGTGAGGTTCGACATGTACCCTTCCCCGCCCGTTCAGAACCCGCATCAGTTCCAACGTAACTTCTCAAACAACCCTGCCCAGGTGCCTTCGCAGTTGAGGCTACGTAGCCATAACTCGAATCAGATCAATAGTGGAATACAGCAACCCATGCAGCAGGGTCCGCTGCGGATGCCGCAAATGGCCGGACAGATGAACCAGCCTCTCACTCCAGCAGGCTCTCCTCATTATACCAGCGTACAATTGCCGCATGCTGCTAGAATGTCACAAAGTCATGGTCCAACATCTTCTGTGCTGCAAGCGCCCCTGGGAGGTCTTTCAATCTCTATACCAACCGTCACGTCACCCACCCAGTCTATGGCTCCTCAGGGCGTAGCAGGTCGTTCGCCGGGCATACCCCAGGACCCGTATCTGCCGCAGCTTCGTCCTTTTCACCCTCAGGGATTCCAGCAAGCTTCAAACGTGAACCCGGACCCGAGACGTCAAACTTCTCAACAAGAATATCAGCAGCGTCAAGTCCAGGCTATTGCGCAGAGGCAGGTTACGAGTCTTATGTCGCCACAGGCGCAACAACTACCTTCTCCACGGCTACAGCAGGCGCAGGACATACCCTCTCAAAGGCGGTCTCTGCCAAACGTTCCTGGCCATCTGCAGTGGAACTCAAACGTTTCAGGGGCTGTTCCAGGAGTGGCTCCAGCAGTTGGGAACTACCAAGCGTCAAGGCCGCCCATAGCTCGGTCCAAAGTAAGTCGTGATGCATCGGGACGGTTGAGAGGCAACGTGTTCGCGCCTCCCCACGTGCAAATCCCTTTGGACCGGGTGCCTCATACACCTTGGGAACCAAAGGCACTAGGCACGGCACTGCATCAAGTCGAAGTCAGAAGCCCAAGACGGGTCCCACGAATCCTTCCTGGTGCAGGTGACCCGACTAGGCCGGATAGATACTACCAATTTATCAAGAAACTCGCAGTGGGACCAATCGCAACGCCGGCCAAGCAAGCGCTGCACCGTCTCGTCTTTACTGTGCCTAAAGAAGACATTGCCAAGCTCTGTCCCAGCCGAACGATGACAGGAGACGGCATTCCCGTCTCGGAGTACTTCAACGGGTCTCTCCGGTACCGTCTTCGCCTTTGCGAGCTGCAAGTCAACCCGGAGGATTCAACGAAGATCACAGAATCCACTTGGGCGGTGGCACAGACCTATTGGCCTGATCACATCAACATCTTCGTTAACGGCAAAGTCATGCCGATCCGTCGCAAGCAGCACAATGGACAGCACCAACCGGTCGAGCTTACCCCGCTTATTTTTGCGGGCACAAATTCGATATCAGTGGCGATTTCACCGCCGTCCCGCCCTCAAAAGCCAGACACGACGTACTACATGGCGGTTGAGATTATTGAAACCTTGAGCCATGAACACATTTTCGATATGGTCTTACGGCACGGTGTCATTTCGGCTGATTCAACAAGGAAGGCCATCCAGAACCGTCTGAAGCCTGCCGCCGAGGATGAAGATGACGAACTGACTGTGGTGGGTAACGATCTTAGCATTGATTTGGCGGACCCATTCAGTGCCACAATATACCAGATCCCGGTCCGGGGCGTGAGTTGTACGCACATGGAATGCTTCGATCTTGTCACTTGGCTGCAAACACGGCCGGCCAAGCCTAGGTGCACGCTTCATGCAGCTGGAGATGAATGCCGTCACTGTAGTCGTGGTCTTGGGGCGAGACCTGAGCCGTCGTTGGTCGATAAATGGAAGTGTCCTTTATGCGACAGAGACGCTCGTCCTTACAGTCTTCGCAAAGATAATTTCATGGCCGAGGTTCGTTCGATTCTCGATTATGAGAAAAAGCTTCACACCAAGACAATATACGTCGCTGCAGACGGAACGTGGAGGCCAAAGGTAGAAGAAGTAGACGACGAAGATGATGATGAAGAGGAGAACGAGCAGCCGCCTGCGAAGCGGGTTAAAACACGACCAACAACATGCGAAGCAGCAAATGCTGTTGAGGTTATCGAGCTGGACTGATCAAACGAAGATGAAGGCGACGGGACGGACAGAACGGAGCCACGGCGCCAGCACACGAGGAAGTGGCGTTTTGATATTCCCTCGTTGGGGGAGTTACTCTCGGGTTGAGAGGATTTGCTTTTGCTTGAGCATTGGGGACACCGGAATGATACCATCTGCAACATCTGGGCGTTTTGAGGATATGTGACAGGGCCAGGAACCCTGCGCAAAGGCTTCGGGTCTTACCTCTCTGAGTTGTTGCATTGCACAATCAAGATGTAAAAGAAGTAGAAGGGCCTGGGTGTTACGGTTCCGAGACCATAATCACTAGGACATAGTTAGCTTCGAGACATTGTGTGTACATACGCATTAATACCAGAGCTTTTGTGTCACTCTGAGCCGGGCTTTCTCCGAAGAGGTGCGTCTCGGAGACGCAACCACCTGTGCGTGCGCGATTCCTTCTCGTCTGGAGTGATGGCTCATGTCTTGGCGCGGGCGTCTATTTAAGGTGCGACCGACGTCGGCTGTGCCGGCAATGTCAGGAGACAGGCCCAAGAAAGTGGTGACAAGCAAGGAACACCAAGACAGTGAGTGGATGGATGGTGATTGGGCCAAACGCCAATGACATCAACCCTGCCAGAGCTTCATTCCGTCACACGCGTACCACATTTTAATTCCCTTCACCTCACCTAACGGGATATCTATCTACCTGACTTACAATCCTGATTCTTGCCTTTCTCCCCTCTGTTTGCTACATAGCAGGCACGGTTGGCGGTAGCTTGGCGGCCCGAGGCATCGAGCTCGCGTCTCTCGGTCTCGGCTCCGCACCACAGAAAGTCAGCTCTAACAACGAGGCTTGGAGAGGGGCTCAGCCACGCGTCTACGTCGCCTCTCGACAATCAGGTCAACATCACGTCCGCGGGAGAAGCAAAGAGAGAGAGACCGGACTTTTGGCCTGTTTCACGGCGACGACGGCCGACGCAGGTTCTGGCTCTTTCCCCCCTCCCTTCCCTACTCATCCGAACGACCCTCATTTCCAAAAAATTCCGAGGGCTTTGATGAATTGAATTGAAAACTTTCCCCTCCTTCATTCTTGGTCTTGGCTACCTTTGCTTTACACAACACACACACACACACACACACACACACACACACACACCAAGCGCACCTCTCCAAGAAGAAAAAAACACCCACCCCACTTCGTCTGTTGCCCCTCATTGCAACTCGTGGCTCGCACGGTGCGGTACCGCTACGCTCGTTCAAGTGAGGTTGAAGCTGTTAGTGACGTCTGATGCGCCCGTCCCTCGCCGGCGTCTGACCGACAACCACCTGGGAGAGACAGGGTCCGACACAAGCAAAAACGCACATGGTATTACCACACACCCGCACCTCCGGCACCACGACTCATCACCCACCGGTAAGGACGAATCCCCAAAAGAAAAGTGGACTGAGCGGAAACACCACGACGCAACCATGTCGATCAGGATAGCGCTCGACAATGCGCCCGAGTTCTACACCAATCTCGACTCCGTCACCGGCCGCGTCGTGCTGCACCTGAGCCGGCCCGAGCAGATTGGCGGCATCGTCGTCAAGCTCGAGGGCGAGTCCAAGACGGCTCTCGGCCTACCCCAGGGCTACGACGATCGCGCCCCGCGACCCGGCGGCGGCCCCGGGAGCATCGCCAGCGAGAACCACAAGATCCTCTACCGCGTCGCCCAGGTCTTCCCGACCTACGAGGAGGACCTCGGCGGCGGTAGCTCGAGCTTCGCCCAGAGCTACATGATCCAGGGCGGCCAGCACGAGTTCCCCTTCACCTTCAAGCTGCCCATCAACAATGCCTGCAGCGACCCCGTCGCCATGTCCAAGATCGGGGGCATCGGCGGCATGGGGGGCTTCGGCGCCGGGATCGGGCCTTTCGGCCTCGGCGGTGCCAGGGTCATGGACGGGAGCAAGCAGCTGTTCCTCCAGCACGTCACCAAGACCCTGCCGCCGTCCTTTACCGGGTTCCCCCGCCAGGCCGAGGTCCGGTACTACCTCAAGGTGACGATCCAGCGACCCGGGTTCCTGAAGGAGAACTGGCGGTACCAGATCGGCTTCAAGTTCATGCCCATTGAGCCTCCTCGGCCGCCCAAAACAACACAGGAAGCCTTCGCCCGGCGACCCTTTACCTTCAAGCCGCGTGCGCAGGGTTTGTACAAGAAGAAGTCCTCCCTCTTCAGCTCAAGCAAGGACGAGAGCACCACTGCCGACTCCGGCGCCGTACCGCCGTCCATCGAGCTCTCGGCGCGCCTTCCGCACCCGCCCATCCTCACCTGCAACCAGCCCCTGCCGCTGCGGCTCATTGCCAAGAAGCTCATCCCCTCGCATGAGCAGGTCTTCCTGACCTCGATCCAGATCGAGCTCGTCGGCAAGACGCACGTGCGGTGCCACGACCTGTTCAACACCGAGGTGAGCAAGTGGGTCGTCGTCACGCAGACGGGGCTCAGCGTGCCCATCCTCAAGGACCCGGCCTCGGAGGACCTCTCGCTCGAGTCCGTCATCCCGGACGACCTGTGGCGGAACATCCCGCTGCCCAACACCGTCGCCCCATCCTTTGTCGCGTGCAACCTCCAGCGCCACTACGAGCTCGACATCCAGCTGGGGCTGTGCTGGGGGAAACCGCCCAGCCCGCGCGGGTTCCTGAGCTCGTCGAAAGAGAACCCGGCGGCGCAGACCATCTTTTTGCCGTTGCACTTCTCCAAAGTCCAGATCTACTCGGGCGTCGCGCCGCCGCCGCAGCTGCTGGAGGCCTTGGCGGCGCAGGCCAACAGGCCCGGCGCCGCGACGCTGAGCGTGCCGCCGAGGTTGCCCCCACGGACGGCGCAGTCCGCGCCCGTGACGCCGACGCAGCAGTATCGTCCTGGACAGCAACGGCCACCGGCGGCGGCGGGACCGGGATCGCAGGCGCCGCAGTATGACCCGCTATATCCGCCGCAGATCGGCACGCCAGGGGCTGCGGGCTTCGACGAGGCGCCGCCGAGCTACGACGAGGCCATGGCCGCGGACGCGTCGGCGCCCGAGGAGAGGCCGGCGTATAGCGGTGTGACGAACGAGAACGCGCCGAGTCAGATCCCAGAGAAGAGTTAGACGGGTGTGTGATTTGAGAGCGATGGGTTAGGATTGTGTGTGAAAGGCAGGGGGCCTAGGATGAGTGAGACTGAAAGGGAGTTGCGGCGTGATTTCATAGATTGGTTTGCATGGATTGATGGCATGTAATGAAGTAATGCTGGTATGACCCGTCTGCAAAATTTAACTAGACGTCAGCAAAGCCGGGAGACGGATATCAAGTTGGGAGGGACTGTCGCGTGGCCCGGCTGAGGGGGGCGGCTGAGGTCTTGCGTATATTATACCATGTTTAATTGATGGGTGTTTATATTGTTGTCTGTGATGGGCGTTTCTCGTCGGTGCCCATGTGAATGAGGTAACCTTAGAATACCCCGTCTTGAGACGATGGGCATGGCTTCTCCAAATGGCCTGGAGGCAGGTGACGTGATGTGGCCCTGGCCAGGTTCTAGCTATGCCTGTTCGTTCGCACGCCCATGGATCTCGAGTTGAGATGAGCCTTACGGCGAAAGGGAATAGATAAACAGCTTCATAAAATGGCGTGCACACTACCCGCCATCCAAGGCCCCCTGTGTCTTCGGGTCAAGCTCCTCAGCATACGGCTTCTCTTCGTCTTGCGAACCGTTCGTTTCCGCCCTGCACAGCACGCGGCATCTCGCACTGGTCCCCGCCCCTTGTCGTTTGGATCTGCTTAACTTGTTCGCCCTGGGGCCGGGCTCGAAAGCAATAAACATGCGCTGCATTCCCAACTCCGTTCGAATCTGGGAGCAAACAAGCCTCCCTGCATCGCTCTGGCAGAACACGACTTAGGAAGAATGAAACCCGCGTTGTGTCTGGTGTGACGTCTTTACGTCTCCGTCCTCGCGGGGTTCCACCTCTCGTCATGCATGCCCTTTCCTTGGAAGGAGGCTATCTGCAGGGTACGAACAAACGAAGAAAAAGACCGACGAGCGGAGTTCAAGGCTCAAGACACTGCATGGGTTCGCGGTGTTCGCATGGCAGATTCACATGGCAGGGGGCGAGGAGATGAGACGAGAAGGGGGGAACTGGGTCGAGCCCCGATGCCTAGAGTCGACTGCATGGATTAAGTCTATGGCAGAACAATGGGAAAGATGAAAAGTGAGATTCGAGCAGGTCGTTTCCCGTCGCTTTCCAGCGATGAGGGACCTTTCGGTTCCTGTTAAACTACCCGGCCACCTGTGCCGTCTGCTGTTGTGAGAAAAGGGGCGAAGCTTATTCCCGTCTAATAGAGCCGTGGCCATGCATTTTCGGCGCTGTGTCATTGGTTCGTTCGATGCAGAAGATGTGATGAGCTTTTGAACTTCCTAAACGCAATGTCTCCCAGTCAGATCGGGGCCCGGCCCATGTCCTCTACAGACACGGACAATTGAGAGGGGAAGACACTGCTGATTTCCGACGAAATCAGCATGAACGGGACAGGGATGCCACCAAACACGATTCTTCACAGCAGAAAAGGGCGGTCCGAGGCGAGCGGAGAACTCGGCATGGTTTCGGCCAAGGGTAAATTCAACCAACAGACTGAGTCTGCGTTGGGCACCGGGCGTGCGTGCGTGGGATGATCGGCGCCTGCTCCTCCACGGCGCACCTTCTGGACCTCTCCCTACTCACAGCACGGAGACTGGTGGTGTTTCCAAGGAAATTGATTGTCCATGTTCCAGGCCGTCTCGCTCGAGCCTGCCATGTTATGCGCTCGTATTCTTACACAATGTCTAGTTGCACTGTACCCCCTTTTCAGCGCGATCTCGTATATCCGATCCCATGTAGTTTACACACGGCACACCCACCCTCCATCAACTCCCCTTACAACCCCTCCTTGGCCAACATGTCCGCAATGTCCAGGTAGAACGCGACGGCGTTGAACGTCCTCGTCTGCCCCATCCACACCTTCCTGAGCGTCCACTTCAGCCTGTTGGACCAGTTGATCAGATCCAGGTGGCTCACGTCCAGCAGCGTGCCCTGATACTTCCCCCAGCGACTGCTCGCGACGCTCACCAGCCCGTCGTTGGCCCCCTCGGCCTCCTCCAGGATCCGGTGGCTCTGCCGGAACGGGCTCAGCAGCGGCGGCCGGTCCGTGCACGCCCCGTAGCTAAAGTACCGCACCTCGTCGCTGTCGGGCGTGCGCGGGTTGAACTCGTCCTCCATGTACTTCTGCGTCAGCTGCCCAAACGCCTGCGTGCCCAGCCCGGCGCGCTCGATGAGGCCGTACAGGTTCGCGAGCTTGACGGGCCCGCGCTCGTCGAGCAGAAAGTCGGCGAACGCGCTGCCGCGGTGCGGCGTGGCGACGGTGACGAGGCTCATGACCTTGACGTTGGCGGGCTTGAGGTGGGAGATCATGTAGCGCGCGTCGAGGCCGCCCATGGAGTGCGCGACAATGTTGACGGCGCGGCCGCCGGCCTTGGCGGCGATGTCGGCGCCCAGCTTGGCGGCGCGCTCCTCGATGGAGCCCGAGGGCGGCACGGAGGTCGTGATGATGTTGGACGGGCCCGAAAGCGTGCTCAGCGACTCCGAGATGCCGCGCCAGTAGTGGATTGGCGGGACGTAGGCGCCCAGGCGAAGCTCGGCGAAGCCCATTAGCCCGTGGGCGAGGACGATGGGGTACTTTGGCGTCTCTGTCCAAGTGTCAGTGTGTGCGTGTGCGTGTGCGGGTGGATCACTCGTGTTGGGGGATGAGGTGTAGGGGGTTGGGAGGCACAGAGGGCACAGCAAGAAAAAGGGAAGGGGGCCGGGTGGGGGAGGGGGAGGGATGGTACCATAGTGTTCTCTGACCACGGCATATTCATCGGATATCTGTTTGCCCAGGTCTCTGAACCTTGGGTCGCCGTCGTGGTGCTTCGACCGCAAGGGCGAGGCCGAGATGCACCGGCTGCTGCCCGACGACGCGAGAGGGCGAAGCAAGCGAGGAGGCGCGGTTGGCGCACGAATTAGCCCGGGGGAGGGCGCGCGAGGGCGGCACCTCGTCAGGCATGCGCTACTCATGGCATGGGAGGGAGCGCTGACGACGAGGAGGAGTCAACAAGGCGGACTGATACCCAACTCGGGGGTGTGGGCGAAGGCAGGTTTTCCTGTGTGCTCTCTCTCTCTCTCTCTCTTTGTTTGTGTCTCCTCTTTTCTCCGCGTTGGCTGGATGTGACGGGTAACCCTGTCAACGGCTCTCCCTCTCTCGCTCTCTCGGCTGGCAAGACAAGATGGCTAAGACTTTCTTTAACGTGGGAGAGTGGTGTGGAGTAGCGGTCGCCGGTGCATGTGGTCCTGCGGAAGCGAAGGAAGAAACGCGCACTGGTGGTGAGCAATGAGAAGCGTTTGCCAAGCATGTTTAAGCGCCCGGCTTTTGACGTCACGCAGGGCCGCGGCCGGGAACGGCTTAGCGCGATCGGGGGTCTCTCGGCCGAGGGGTCCACCGACCGCGGGCGGCCGCTAGTGATTAGTGGACGGATGTGTCCCGCCCGCGCAATCCACCGTGCATGGGCCAGAGCTTCTTCTTCTTCTTCATGATCCTTTCTCTCCTCTTTCTGTCCGTGCGATCCGCGTCCGGACGACACGACCAGGGTTCGGATGGGGGCAAGCCTGTTGGAGCTTGGTGCAGAAAGCTATGCAAGTTGCGCCCTGAAAGTTTGTCAATCCCGCCCGCGTCGGGATCTGGACATGGTCACAGACTTCCCTCCCTTCCCCACCCTCCCAATATCCAACTTTCCATCCACCGGCTAGCCACCCGATGCCAGGCTCATCTCCTTCTCGTCGAGGTGCAAGGGCGGCCGCATCATGCAGCCTGCAGTGTCTGCTGTGCGGTGCGTGCGTGCGTACACAGTTTGTTGCACTGCACCTGCCATGGCAGGAGCGGAAATCACGGGTGCGTCGGCCATCGGGTCCTGACGATCTGCCTGCTCTCTTTCCCCTCGCCTCCTCCCGCCTTATCGCGGCGGGTTTGCTGCTCCCTGTTGGCCGGCGCGCCGGAGCTGACAACCTCAGAGCCGTCAAACTCGAGACAGGAAGCTCGTAACCGGACTCTGATGTCAAGGACGGTCTGGCCCCCTCACGCGTATTTGCCCTTTCGCAAATGAGAGGTCGCCGTTGCCAAACTCCCCCGCTCTTGGGGCCACGTCGGGGTTTACCCCCAACCCCCAACTTGCCCACAGGCTCAAAATGTTGTGCGGCGTAGCAGCGTCGACCTCAAAGACTGGCTGATGGCCAAAAATCTTGACCCCCTCCTCAGCCAAGCTGTAAGGCAGATGGGAGCAACGGCCGCGGCCTCCATTGGACGAGCCCCCTTGCTCACCGGCCATCATTGACCAACATGGGCTCACTGGATGACCCCCCAATGTAACCTCCTCATCTGCGCCATCCGTGGATAAACAGGCCGCAACCGCCAACCGGCCCTGGACCATTGGCTCAGAGCTGCTGCTGAAGAGGGGCCGGATCTGCAAACATTTCGACTGTTGCACCAACGAACCGTTCCGCCGGGACGGCTTCGCCCTCACACCCCATCAGCAACGCCCGCACACATTTGTTTGTTTGCCAGCCTACCTGCGTGCTTGCCTGCCTGCCTGATGGCTTGTTGGGCAGGCGTCCACTAGATGATGCTTCCTCCGCGGCAGTTGAGGCTTCATCCAAAAGCCACTCAGCCCTGCTGATTTTCGTCTTACAGTAATGCCAGGTGTCTTCCAAGCATCGTCATCGCTGTGCTGTTGGTCAGAGAACAACAGGCCCGGTGAGGCTATTCGGCTACGAGGTCGACTGAAGAAAGTTGTCGTTGGTACAACGTCTCTTCCGTAGTGGATGTATCCACTACGGATGGCACCGCGGAAAGCTGAGGGTGTGCCCGTTTGGATCGACCCCGGCCTGGTCCTGCGTGAACCTCTCATCCCGGTCGGATCGCTCTGCTCCATTGTCCATGCCGCCGCCCACAATCGTCCGTATGCCAATTCAACCGCCGGTGGTATGCAAACCAGTCTGCTGGAAAATGAAAATGCTTGACCCATTACTCACCGGGGGCTTCTGCCGCGTGTATATATCCTCCACGCCCGGCGCGCTTCTTCCTCTCCCGCTCCCTCTCCCGGCATGCCCAGCCAACCGATGGTGAAGCGACGCGACAGTTACTGTCGCCTGTCAAGTGAAACATGAGCACAATGACAGGCGACTGCGGAGACCACACGTGCCCCTACCCGGGGGGCTTTACTTCCTACTCGCCTTCGGTAATCGGCAGTGCCATCTTTCTGGTGGCCTTTGCACTGCTGGTGCCCTTATCCCTCTGGCAAGGCTTCCGTTTCAGGACGCCTCTATTCGCGTCAACTCTGGTGACCGGCCTTCTTTTGGAGGTCTTGGGCTTCGCCGGAAGGCTGAGGCTTCGGGAACATGCAGCCAGTTCCACCTCCTTCTTCCTCTGGCTTTTCGGCGCCATACTGGGCCCGACCCTGATCGCGGCGGCCATCTGTCAAATCCTACCTCACGTCATCGCTCTATACGGCCTCGGGATTGGTTTCACCCGACCAAGGGCCGCCGTCCTCTTCCTCACATTTGCCCTTGCGCTTGTTGTTGCGCTGGAGATCGCCGGTATCGTGTCTGTCGTCTTTGGGCTCGGTGGCGTTCAGGTAAGAGTCCGTCACTTTACTGTCGAGAACCCACAGCGTTAACCAATGTTTGTAGACATCATCCATCCTACTTGCAGCTCTGGGTGTTCAGATCCTAGCACTGTTGCTCTTCGTGGGCCTGTTTCTCTGGTTTACCCAAAAGATCCCAGACCCGAAGCATATTGCCGTATACCAAGCACAGCGGTTCAGGAACTTTATCAAGAGTGAGTTGACAGGCTCCCAACTGCATCGAACGTTGAACTTACGATTCCACCAAGTGATACCCGTAATTGCTGTTGTCCTGGTTGGGCACACCATCTACCGTCTCGTCGAGTTTTGGAACGGTCTCGACAGCCCTCTTCAACGTTCTGAAGCCGCATCCCTGGTCATTGGCAGTGCTTTGCCACTGCTGGTGTCCTCGGTCTTGTGCGTATACCATCCCGGTGCCGCATTTGGTCGGGCGTGGAACCTGACCTCTCCACGTTTCCGTTCTGCGTCGTTTCGGTCCCGTCGTCCGGCGGCTCCGTCGCCTCTTGTATCGCCCACTGCGCTTTGGGACGAACACAAGGGGCCTCGCCAGCCGGGGTTCACTGCTTCGCGATTCCCGGACAAGAAGATGTCGCCTGTCGGTGTTGGGCCCGTCCCGTTGAGACAGTCCACGATGGCAAGCAAAGTTGCTACCAGTCCTGGCGAGAGATCGGTGACTTACCCGAGCCCCATCGCCTCAACGCACAAGCTGAGCCCCATCGGCTCGACACACAAGCTCAGCCCAACCTTCCACAAGACGCAGCAGCAGTCGGCGAACCCGAACCGCCACAGTACCAGGTCGAATGGAAAGCCCATGGTGAATAGCGAAGAGTTGTGGTAGACAGACGGGGCAGTGGCCCAGATCGGGCCGGAAGCCAATGCTGATGGGTGGGTACACAACGTACAGCCTCTCCTTCTCGCGGTAGCGTGGCGTTTGTCAATTCTTGGGTCGGACTCTTTGTTTTTGTTCTTGGATTGGGATCTTCTTTTCTTGCATATACCTTGGGCGGTCAGAGTTGATCTCTATGTGGGTGGATTCCCATGGCTCCTGCTTATTGAGTCGTCGATAGTTTCATAAACTCCAAGCTCCCGTGGCGTTCCTCCACAGGAAGTATGCTAAACCAAAAAGGGCACCTCCAAGGTGTCCGGCGTGCCCTATCCCAGTTTCTCGGGCGGTGCTTAAGCAGTAGGCGTCCACGGCGAACATGCCCAGGGCGACGACGCGCAACGGCAGCACCTGGTTCGTTCCAGAGAGGCGAACCTTTAGGGTGGGAAACATGCATGCCAACGCTGTGCCAAGGCCGGCCAGTACACCGCTAGCTCCGACGGCAGTCCTTTCCACGATGCCCTTGGCCCCGCGTCGGTACCTAGCATTGTGCAGATGGGCAAGGCTGGCGGTGAGACCGCTACCCAGTGCGAGTAGGATAAACCGGATAGGCGAGACGCCTAGTAAATAGAAGGATTCCACATATGTCTTGTATGTCGACATGTTGACGAAAAGGTGCAGTGGCTGAATGTGACTAAAGGCTGAGGTGAACAAGGTGAGTAGGCGAGGGTCGCTTGGGTTGAGCATGAAGTATCGATGCAAGAAGCTGGAAAGGCGCTTGCGATTGATAGGGAGCGGAGAGAAGACGGGGTGGAGGGCCAGCAGCCATGCGAGATGAACGGCGACGTTCGCCAGGGGAACACCGTAGAAGATGGCGGTCCAAAGTGCTCCAATATTGCTGGGCTCAAATCGCGAAGGATATCGAAGACTCGAGAACGACGCCATCGTGAGATAGTCAACCCGATTTGATGGGCAGGACGGAGGGGTTTGATATCCAAAGTGAAATATGGGGCACTAGACAAGAATATGATCGTATGTGCTCTTCCGCAGTTACTCGAATCTGGTAACTTTTCCATGCACTTTTGATTGTATAAAACCATTCGGATCACACTGAAAACGACATGGGCCGAAGAAGAAGGCAGAGAATGATGTCAAGCATTGATTGCCCTTGGCTTGAACTGAGGCGAAATTTCATGTGGTCAAATCTGTCGGGGCGGTTGATCCGTGCACTGTCGACCCTCTGGGCCGTGTCCGACTCGATGACATGACACTGTACATTCTCTCAACCAGCAGCGACAACAAAGCTCCATCACATACCCATCCGGCCCCAAGGGTATATATACCAGAATGACAGACTTGAAGATATGTGTCTCACACCCGGAATACCTGAGTTTGGTCTAGTATCCCCCTTACCTTTTCCTCAGGCTTCTTGTCTTTGGCCACTCGCCTCCGGCTCCTCTGTTGAATTTAGCCTGTCGCTAAGTTGGACAGCGACCAAGATTTCTTTTGGCCTCTGAACGCGCCCATTGTCTCTTCCTTTCTCCAAATCTACCATCTCAACAACGCCTTCGGTTTGGACTCCCTCGGCATCAGCATGTTGTTCGTCTCCAGCTCTCGGTTGATTGCCCGTACGCTCACTCCGAGAGTAGCCTGAGCTGCGCGACCACCGGTTCATGAAACTCTTTCTGTTGCACGTGTCCGTAGAGACAGTTGCATCCCTCTTACTGATTTGGGCGGTGCTTCCAAGCTGGCTTCGCAGTCCCAACAGGAACGACGCGTGTCTGAGCAATGGCTGCAGCGCTGGAAAGCAACCTACCCAAAGGCCGACGTGGAGCTCGGCATCAGTCCATGCTGCGACAGACAACATCTTGTACGTTCTGCATGGTGTCAGTAACCCAGCCCTCCAGAAACCTCGAGCAGCCGTCGCCAAAGCCAGTGGTACTTACGTGTTCTCACTAAAGTTTGTTGTAGTAATGATGTAGAGCCGAACGATGCCAGTGACGACAGCGAAGATGCCTAACGAGAAGACGAGCAAGATCTGAATCGCCTTGACGCCCATTTTGACGTAGTTCGTGACGACCCAGAGAGGAAGAGCCACCAGCATACAGTCGACAAAAACACAGATGCTGGCATGGGCACGCATCATCGCGCCCTCCTCTCTCCTGTCTTTGCATTGTCTCCAGGAAGCACCAAAGTTGAAGTAATCACTGAGCCTCTGCGTCAGCGGCAAATCGATTCGCGAGAGAGGGCTACTTACGGAATTTGCGAGCATTCTGTCAACAAAAAGAAGAAACCTGTAAGACTAACAATTATGACGATGCTGCTGAGGCCATATATGTTCCACGTGTACACCTCTGGCAGCGGAAAATCAGCACAGAGACATGTTTGGATTCGACGGGTTCGTACTGTTTTTGCTTAGGCGCGGCAGAAATGCCAGTATTGCCAATCGCACTGCTCCGGAGGCAAGGAGATAGATGAGTTTCATGATGGAAAGCCTCTGTTGCGGTATGTCAACTTGCGAACTCCGAATGTTGAGCGAAGGGGTCTGCTGACATTGAAGAAATGGAGCAGCGTATCTCGGGGTACATCCTCCATCTGGGCCCCTGTTCCATAATTGGTTGCATCCATTTCCAAGGCCGAGAGCGTTACACTGAGTGCCTGGTGCTTGTGTTATTATGTCGCGGCAGGTTCCTAGAGAAGATACGACGACCTACCCAGGCTACTGTTGCAATTAAGTCATCCCATCCTAGCGCCTTTACCATGACCTTCCGTACAAAAAGGCGGAGAGATATCAATATCGTCGACACGATGATCAAGGCCAGATTCAGGTTGAAGATGTGGTGTCCAGCAGAACCTGGATGGTACAACAACGACTCCATGTTGACACGACGACCGGTTGACGAAAGTCTTCTTGTGCTTCGAACGGTTCGAGAGTATTGCCAGTCATGGATTCGTAAGCCAAGATCTATGGCGATGATTCTGGGGTCGGCCAGTAATTATGAGTGCTGAGGCCATCAACCTTCAATTGATACCAACCACGTGGGACACAAAAACGTCAAAAATCATGGGCTCACTTGGCGCCTGATTAGCCACACGCCAAGGAAAATTGCAAGAAACTCTCGGATTCGCTGACGTTTGCCTCCAAAACCGGGCGATGAAGATAAGGTCTAGCCTTCGACGGCACGGCGAGTGGTTTGATGGCCTGGATAGACCACACTACTTGCCGAACGCCACTAATCCATGGACAAAAGCATCAAGCCCGGATATAGGAGCTTCTTTCGTTGTCGGAAAGTTACAGATGCTCACATTGGCCACACTTGCAGCGAGCTTCGTAGCCACAAGCTCAAGGCTGAAATTCAAGGGCTTGCAGGTTTCTCAACTGTGTGTGGCCTCTATCCACCGACCGCCACCGACTCGATACCAACTGGGAGTAATTCTCCGCACGATAAGGCCTCCATTGTTCTCGGCGTCATCATGATAGTTCGACGGCCTCGCATATGGCGAAAGCGAGGCCGAGACGGATCCCGCGTACGACGGATGTCTGAGGGGAATGTTGTCTAGCGACACCTGCTGTTCTAGGATGCTGGAGCAGTGTGTTTCCGACGCCAACAATAACAAAGTAGCGAGCGGTTCGGCCGTGTTCTTCGAACCCGCAGCAAGCGAATCTAGAATTGTTGATGCTTTTTCAAAGCTGGAAAATGAACCCTGCAGACCAGTTGACACTTTCGTCGATATGCAAAGTTTAGCATAATGCCACCCGCCGGATGATCTCCAAGCATAGCCCCACGGCGAATACCGAAGAATGCTTGTCTTATACAATAGCCGACGAAACAACTCCTGCCGAGAGTCGGGCAATTAGCAGGCGGTACAAATGCAATTGCTCAAAGCTCACACGTCTACCGAAAATGGTCTCTGCATTCCTCGCCATCCCCGCGTCCGGGTTTTCCCTTGCGAGACAGGGCATTCGCACCCGTCTTATGTGACGGTGCATGCCATCTCGCCAAAACCGGCTTATGAATATGTATCGGCCTCAAATCGAGAGCGATGGAGATGAACGGTTCGTTTTATGTTGACGGCGCTCGCGCTAACCAAGCGAATTGGAGAACCAACGGAGCCGTCCTGAACGACTTCGTCACCCAGCCATCTTGTGCCCTGCAACACAGTTCTTCTGGCTGCACTGGGTCCTTGCCATCGGCTGGTCTCAGTAGTGAGCATCGTTGACGGATGCGGACTCTGCCGATCCGTACCAATATATTGGATTTTGATTCCACCTCCCGCCCTACTTGCGTCACTCATCTGCCGGCCAGGAGAGCAGGCTTCAATAAATTCCAAGTCGAAGCTTCCACTCCATTGATTCATCCATAAACCGTTATGCGCCTGTGCAGTTACCACGAGCTGAGAAGGTTTGCCAAGAGAGAGCCCTTCTCCCTTTGTTTGAATGAAGCTAACCTCTAACCAGAGCCCTCGCTTCAACGCCAGAATATCCCAGTACCAATGCTTTGTCGATTCGATAACAGCACAGCCTTGTAGTCCGGACGGATAGACAGGAAGCTCACCTACCATCGGCGACACAGGTCCTCCCTTGGGTCGTGCACTCGGGCTTGTCCAAAATAAAACTGCCACAAAAAAGAAAAGGGAGAGGGGGGATATACCCAGCGCCACCCGTGGCACAGGAAATCCAACACATCGCCGTTTTCGTCAAGACGCGCAAACATAGCAAGATCGATCTTTGGGGAACACGACCGCCCAAACGCCAAACATCAAGCCCGCTCCTCATGAGTACCTCCTCTCGACCCGACGCCGTCGTCATCACTCAGACCGTGAACGCCCTCCTCCTCCGCACCTTCGCCCTGCTGCAGACGCCTCTCTCCGTCTTGACGCTGCACCAGGCACTGAACTTTGCGGACAAAGCCCTCGCGACGGCGTCGCATTTCCACCGCTTCGATCTCGAGCCCCGGGCGCACCTCTACCGCGGCCATGTCCTGCGCGCCTGGGGTCGCTGGCGCGCCGCGCATGCCGCCTACGTCCGCGCTGCGAGTGTGAGAGGGCAAGGATTCTCAGGCACGGACATCCGGGGCTTGACGAAATATTGTCTCGAGATGATTAGGTTCGAAAATGAGCGGGAAGAGAGGTTGAGACAGGCATATTTCAACTCTGTGAGGGAGGCCAGGAAAGACAAGGAAGGCAAGGAAGGGTCGAAGGCGGTGCGGTTTTCAGATCAGCGGAGGGTTCCTCGTATCTTCCACCGCCACGACGATGATGAGGGAGCCCAATCGGACGAGAGCTCTGGTGAGATGTATCTCATCTTGAATGGTAACGGTGAGGTCATTGGCAGCCGAGAGAGCTTGCCTGACTTACGGACAGTACGCGGCAAATTTATCTGCAGGTCGCCGACGGCATGAGCCTTTGAGACGAGACCATGCTTGAGGTTGTTACTGAGGTTGTTACGATTATGGGTCATGTTACCAAATATAGGCGAAAGAGTAATGTATGAAAGGGACGCAATTGATGAATCGAAACTGACTCCATGCGTTGATTGTCTAGCATCCCTGCCTTGGAATTCTTTGTCAAATCAACCCCCGGGATGGGTTACCACAACCATCATCTCGCTATCTACTTTATCCAAAAAAAAAAGCATGAACACCAGAAGCCTTTGAGCTTTTGTAGACTTCTATAACTGTCTATGCAACGTTGATAGCTGAAAACGTGACGGTGGTGCTTCTGGAAGAAGCCATTGAAACTTGTGTCTCTCGCCCTGGATCTTGATATGACCGTGGAAGCCCAGCATGTCCAATTCTCGCGGAATCTTTCTTTGGTTCCTTTCCGTGCTTACATGCCCTTTCTATTCTTAAGCTGTGGCTTCTATATGGCTCGATCAAAGCTCCTCATCTATCTGTATGTAACTTCCAGTATTCGTGCGATATCATGTCCGAGAACGACAACAAGACAAACCCCACCGGCGGGGACGATGTCAGTCAAACAAGCGGCAACATTCAAGATCTTTATGACCCTTCCAACTCTGCCGAAGATTTCGCTTCCACCTCTGGGCCCAAAACCACAAACGTTCCCGATAACACCGCCGAACCCACCTCGGCGCCTGCCGAGAACCAGACTACAAACTCCACGGCCCGCGAAGGGACGACGCAGGAGAAAGCTGCCTCCATAGCCAACAGAAGCACTGCAAGCTTACCACAACAAGCATACCCAAATGAAAATGTGGATGGCGGACCGCAACGGTCGATTGCGTCTCAGATAGACAACTATAGGGCTTGGTTCCCCCCGGCGGTGCAAACCCTCTACAGTCCGCCTTAGCAGACGACATTGCCGCGCCTTTCCGACAGACGGAAGGGGAAAGGAAAGGTTTACAGAGGCGGGTACATACCGAAGTTCCCATTATCGGCGCCGGTGCCGAGGCAATCAGCCCCCTGGACCTCAACCACGGCCCAGGGGTTGGAGCTGCGAAGCCCGAGCTTCACAAAGAAGAGTCGCGAAAAAGACACCAAGACTCTTCGCCGGAAGACACTGGTTTGATCCTTGGTCAAGAAGACATGGGCTTGGTAAAGGTCTCTGACCTCATCTCTCAGACCATTCCAAAAATAGGCCTCGATTCCAACTTGAGACCCCTTCCACCCATACCGCACGCTCCAGAAGCTACGATCCCAGCAACTCAACCCAACTTCACCGCAGCCCCGAGAAGAACGAGCAACTTGCCGCGGATTTCGATAGACACCCTCAACACCGCCACGACGGACGACCGCGACACTCTTCCCTCAGCACTAGCAAGGAGGCCGGACCTAGTATCGGCTTCGTTGCCGGTCAGCCCGACCACACCCATCTCTGCGTCTGGGGCCTTGACTCCGAGGGAGGTAGCCCGCCGTGAGAGAAATGTGAGATCTAGATGGCATATCCCCGACGATGAGTCGGACGAGGAGAAGTCCGCTCCAGCAGATGCTGCAGATAGCCCAGCCTCTCTACAGGCTCAGGGGCAAAGTCAGGCTGCCGAAGAAACACAAGGCACCCAGAAAAGTCAAGAACATCTGACTGAGGATCCTTTGCCGAGCCTGGCCGAAGCTCAATCAACCATTACCATCCAGACTCCGATTCCTACCAGACCGGTGAAGTTCAAACTCTGGAGATCGCCAGAATACGCCCCAGAACCCCTCAGGTCCAACCCGACATACCCTCCCATTTCTCTACCCCAACAACAATACCAAACCTTGTCATCACAGACAGCAACCCCAACCCAAAGCCACCAACCCTTCCGTTCCATCTCCGCCCCTCAGGCCTACAACGTCGAGCCACCCCGCGTCGGCACCGGTTTTGACCACCACCGCGTCCGCGCCCCGGCCCCTGGCACCCCCTGGCGTACACACCTCTTCATCGCACCTCAAGTCCTCCTCGGTGGTACCGCCGAACACGCAAGAATCATCGAAGCCTACAACGCCGCCTTCGACGCCACCTCCGAGGCCACTCAGACGTTCCTCTCGACACGCTACCGCTACCCGGACTACACCCGCGACGAAGCCGCGCGGCGCCGCAAGCTCGACTTCGAGGCCGCGACGGGGGAGAGCATGTCCGACGACGCCTACTACGCCCTATTCGACCTTGAGACGGCCAATGACGGCATGATATCGGCGTTGCTGGAGTGGATGCAGGGCCGGACGTGGGTCAAGGTGCCCTTTGTGAACCGCATCCTCCACCAGGTGTGCCGGCTCATGTTCACGTCGGCGCAGGAGGAGGCGCGGCTGCGGCTCCGATTCCAGCGGGACTGCTACACGTTGCAGGACGAGATCGACGCGGCGGATGAGAATACCAAGATGGAGAGGATGCGGGACTCGTGGCAGCGGATGGACGCCGCGGTGAAAAGGCAGTACAACTTTGTGACGGCCAATTCTGACGACTTCCGAGCCCCGCCGGAGGTGAGGCACAACTGCAACCTGGACGCCAGGCACTGGGACCCCCTATCCCACAGGTTCACCAGCCTCTTGCGCAACCGGCAGGACATCGAAGATACTATTGGGCGTCAGGGCGAGGTCCTGAAGGAGGATTTGGGCCAGCTGGGGTTGGTCTACGATGAGTTGGAAAAGAATAGTAGGGACACCACCGACTACATGCGCAAGAGGAAAGAGAAGGCTGTAGACCCAGAGTTGTTCCAGAGCACCAACCAGCGAGTATTGGACTACGCAAGATTCTTAAACGAGGAGGTCAACGTCGAAGAGGAGGTACGCCGGGCAACCACAGCCAAGTTTCTAGAGGCCGCCACTCGCCGGCTGCAGTTGCGCGACAGATACGCCCTCACGATGGACCAGGTCGCCGAGGACCTCCCCGAGCCCTCGGTCCCCGTGTTTCTCTCGCCTCAGATGCTGGACAGCCAAGAAATACGACCCGTGCCGCACGATCCGATGTTGGTTCCATCGGATCGCCCTCAGGCGGGAGGTTCTGAGAATAGAAGCCCGGAAAACTTTGTTGCCCCTGGCTCGGTAGACCCTTCACAAGTCCCTGCCCACCCGCCTGCGTCCCCCTTTCCCATGCGAGCGGGACAGCATGCCCCCGAGCCGCGGCCAAACTTCTCGAATCCATGGCAAGAGGTGGAATTGATGAGGCCGAGAGGATCATGCACGCGTTGTCAGATGCTGGAACGAGAGCTCCAGGCCAAGCAGAAAGATCTCGATGAGAGTCGTCGCGTGAACCGGGCCCAGTCGGCTGAGGTGGAAAAGCTCAAGGAGACTATCAAATCGATCCAGGATAAGGACACAGAAACGGCGTTTGAACACATCGACGACTACCAACAGATCGTCCGCACAGATCTACGCCAAGCACTGCAGTTCATCCTGTCGATGCTGGAGATGCATGGCCGGCGGGCCTACGACCAGGCAAACGTCCTCGAGACGTCTCTCCATTTCTGGCAGACCGGTGGATCGCTGGAAAACGTCCTGACCGAGCTCCAACCGCTGGCCCGGTTCGTCAGACGACTAGCCAACACGGTTTATGACATTGGGTCGCAGATCAGCAACCAACTCGAGCAAGTCGACTGCAAGAAAGAAGACCGCCTGCGTTTTCTCGACGAGAATGCTCGCCAGAGGCGCCTGATTCAGTCTCTGGAAGCGCAAATTGACAGCTTGACAACCCAGACGCAACAAGGCCTGGAAGCGCACGCAAACAAAGAACTCGAACTTGCAAGGACCATCCAACAGCAGATGCAGGCAGAGAGCGACCGGCTCAAAGAACAGATCCAAGACTGCCAGAAGCAGCTTGAAGACCTGAGGAGCGAAACTGAGAAGCGAGATATGGACGCTTTGCAAACAGCGGACAACAGCATACAGGATTTGAACGACAGACTGAAGAGAAAGGAGGTTGAACTGGGTGAACTCGAGGCTCAGAACAGGGCTTTGGAAGAACGGCTAGCAACTACCACAGAGAAAGTCGAAGCTCTCGGCAAAGCCAAAGAAGAAAGGGATGAACAGGTCAGGAACCTGGAGAAGCACGTCAAAGACCTGCAGATTCAGCTTGAGGCCAAGGCTGAAGCTGCCAAATGGTCATGGAAACCTCGTCCGCAAGCAGGCGATCCCAACTCTGAGAGCCAGCACAGCGATAGGATCTCTCAGCTGCGTACCGAGTTGATGGAGGAACTTGATAGGGCAGGATCACGGCCGTATCAGAGATTCGATACCGAGGCAAGGAAGGTTCTGCCGGGTCTAGCACGGGGTATCCTGTGGCCCAAGAAATCAGCAGCGGCAAACCAAGCGCCCGACCAGGGCGTCAAGGTTTTTTGGAGATTGGCGGCTTTCTCGAGAATGCGAGGCGAAGTAGTCGCAGCACTCGAGCGGAGAGATTTCGAGGAAGCATCCGAGAGGCTCAACCGTCTCCAGGCGTGGAACACTGAAATGGGCCCGTGGCAGACAGAGGCTCAAACGACGGAGGTTCTTCGAACCATGAATTTTCTCCGCTCATACGCCAACCTCGAGCTTGGGAAGATAGAAGGGTTCGGCGCCGCTTCATCAGAGAGGCTCCAAGTCGCCAGGGCTTTCTTCGACGAGGCGGTTTCCTCAGGTGACACAGAGACCCATACATCGTGGGATTCTCTAAAGGAGCACATGCGTTATCGATTGGATAGTGGTGAAGGGGAGCCTATGTGCGAGTGCGAATACAAGCCTCGGATTTGTCCGAAGCATCAGCGAGGTGGTGGAGCAAGGTACCATAACTTCATGGAGGCGGATGATCCGCAACAGGCTGAAATAGAGTTGACGCAGGACGCGTACAATTCACTTCGAGAACATGCTCAAGCTCTGTAGGCGTGTATGGCGTCGAGATGGTTGGAAGGTGCGGTGCCGCGTGTATCCTCCACAATAGGGGACCTAGGGAGGGTGATCTACAAGGCGATCGGCTATCGAGAGCTGACAAGGAGCAAATGAGAGGGCATGCCAGATGTTTGTTTGTTTATAACATTATTGTCGACTCGCGATTGCCGGGGATTTGGCTGCTATCGCCGGCGGGTCGTCTCCTTGTCTTGGTGTTGAGCATTCAATCTGAATCATGAGTTGAAGGAATGTATGTCTCAGTTTCCGCGCGGCCGGCTGAATCGTATGATTCCCCTTCGGTAAAGGCAGCAGGAAGTTGATGGAGACATCTTCCTAGGCGAGTACGGTCGAGGCGTTGGAATCTGCCAATGACAAATGCGGCCGAAGTTGGTGTAGTAGGAGTTGATGTCGGCAGTGCCAGGTGGGCGAGAAGTCAAATTGATGATGGTGAGAAGCCGGCGGTGGGGCCGAGAGGAGGTGAATGGGGCAATACGGGGATTGTGCCGCTACCTTGTCGACCCACGCATCTGGCGTGCGGACCCAAGTACCTCTCTACCAGATTCCTCCAAGGTCACTCCTCGCCTGGCCTAGTTAACCGCGCGGACTGATTGCTCACCCACACTGATGCATTCCTCACACTGACAGCTCGTCTCTCACTCCAAACCCCTCTCAACACTGATACCTACGCCAACTACAATTTGACTCCTCCTCACTATCCAATCAACGGTTTCTCTTCGCCTTGTTATGTCAGGCTATATGTTCCAATCTTGTCCGGTCCACAATTTAGCAAGCCTGAGCCAGACGGATCCGACCCTTGTCTCGGGAACGGCATCCTCGAGCCTCATCGGCGTAGCCAGTCGTGCTAGTGCACACGTCGATCATATCTACTCAACGTGGGCCCAGGACTGAACGAAGGACGGCGCCACCGTGTTCATCACTGCTGGGTGATGTGGGCGGCATGCAGAGTCGAGCCCAAGCCAGGAACTCCATGCTTAGCCGCGTTTGCTGTAATGGAGAGCGCCCGACGAAAACAAATGCATCCGGCGTGCTTCGAACCTGTCGCTTCCCACCGCCTCCTGCCGCACATCCTATTCACCGGTCAAAAGCACGGGGACGAGGGACCGCTCCTAGAACGCACTGGATCGATCAAAGACCATGGCAGTCGATACGCGACGTGGAGGTAGACCCGTGACGCTGGGCTAATCTATGTTAATCTACCAGCCTGCCAGTCCAGACTGCATCGTCCCGAATCTGGCGTCTCGCTTGGCCTGCGGTATGGTGCGCGTGAACCAAGACGGTTGCTTTACCAAGACATTCTTGGCCCCTGACGATGAATCAGACCCTCCCAAGGGCTACCAAGCTATCGGAGACAGATGCAGGAGGGAGAGAAATGAGCAGTTTTTTTGCACGGAAAATCCGGTACGCGCGATGCAACGCAACTGAGCCCGATGCTACGCCGTCCCGGCTCGGAGCAGGTATTCGTCCGCCCTCTCCAGCTAGGCGGCTTGGGCAGTGTAACCGACCGAACGTGAAAGTCTACCTCATGCTACAGTCCGCCGCCTTCGACTCCAGATTGATTAGATTAGGTGACCTGGCCAGGCCTCATTGGGCACCCCATCGGTTGGCTTTCTAACTAATACCCACAACACCTCGAAGCTCCCCTGATGAAACGCGCCTGTTTCCGGTGATGGCGGCGGCAAGGAACCGACAACTTGGAAGTGGTGTGCTGCGACAAGTCGACTCTTGCGAAATGCAAACCTTGGCTAGCCACATTTCCATCACGTTACCTGTACATTGTGTTTTCTTACGCATCAGACGTCAAAAACAAGACCGGGTGACGAACGCTTTGCGTGGCCTGGCTGAGTCTGCGCCACTCACTTCATGTCCCGTCCTCCCGCGATCCCGTCCAGCTTGTTTCCTCTGGTTCGTCCCGTATCCGGCGTGCCAGCCCAGGAACCCCCGCTGGAACGGCGCCGCCCACTAGCGGGCAGCCATGCAAATCGTTCAACGACCTCCCCTCTCGGGGAATCAGACGCCGGGCGACTACGGCCAGAAATCACGACAGACGGATCAAGGCTCGATGCGGGAAGGTCGAGCAACCGGGGCTACCCACTCAGGAGGTGATTTTGGAGAAGTAGATAGCATGTGCTGCTGACAGAACATTCCAGGGATCTCACACAGGGTACTTTTGTCTTGGCTCGCGCCAAAAGACACGGCCCGTACGACGGTTCTCTGCAACCTTGTTTCTGTCCCGTCTAGGCAAGTCATTTACGTATCTTCCAGATGCAGATATGTACCCTGATACTGGGCCCCACCTCGAATGTCACGATCTATGCGTTCTGATGCCGAAGTACCAGACTCTAGAAACATTTGCCCAGCCATGCCAGTGCCTGGGTCGTAGCGTAGCCATGTCTCTGTTCGAATCATCGGGGCCGCCCTGTCTCTTCCGTGGTTGGCGTAATTTGCCCAAATGATTGTGCCAACACACCCCCGGTACTTCCCTTTTGGGCTGCGAAGCGAACGAGTCCGAGTTCACGGCATGCTGCAGACGTTGACGGCACACCAGAGACGTCTGCCCCCTTGCCGCCGCGCCACAGGCCACTCTACTTTGACCTCCGTCAACTTTCACTCGCCTACTTCACCTTGCCCTACCCCCTCCCAAAGCAGCTCGCCCTGGCTTGCCGTCCTGCTGATCTGGGTAAAGCGACACAAGCAACGCCCAGGGCTTTGTCAAGATGACAAAACAAGGCGGCCAGCCGGCCGAGATGGAACAAGATGTTGCGGCCGTCTCTTTCTGGACAGGGGGAACCATATCAATCTAGATCCACGGCCCGTGCGATCCTCCACAGCAAACAAACTTCTCCATCTTCCCTCGCCTACCTCCCGCGGTCGAAGGCCTCTTCGTTGTGGGGAGGAGGAGATGGCGTCAGGGTTGTACCGGCTACCGGCATCAGAGACCTCTCGATGCTTGCTTTTGGCATTTCATCGTTGGGCATCGCCCAGGTATGTGTCCACGTATACCGTTCGAGTTCCCCATCGGCCATCTAAAGCAGCTATGCAGGAGCCGGTTGAGACTATCCACTTCGACCAAGGCTTGGCTGACTTTATGGGCCCTGGCGGGGAGTCGCACGGGGAAAATCTCCTCTCTCGCCAGACCGGCCCAGGAGCCCGTCGACCATCTGGGGAACGTGGCGCCTGGTCTCACATGCCATGGGGTTTGAGTGGCGTGCGGTCCTGGCATGAGAAGGCCCTAGGGGGCGTTGTGTAAGTGCGTTGTAAGCGCATGAGAGCGGTCGTTAAAGGGGTGTAAGTCCAAGCAGGTGGCCGCGAAGGGAAGGTCTCGAGATACAGCCCAGCACAGATATCATTGCGACATCCATTGGAGATATGGGCTGGCTGCACCAGTTCGGACGGTGATACCCTCCACTTCTTATCTGGAGGTTGCCTCCCGAAGGTTGGTCAGAGAGAAGGAAGACGACAATGGAGAGTTTACAGGGTTGGGGAGAGCCACGAGGAGCCAGCCACCATGGCCTAGACAGCTCGACCGCCGCATCCATCAATGACAGCATGTAAGTGGGAACCTGCAGGTGATTGCAAGTTCAGCAAAGTTACATGGCAGCCCTTCAAGCTTTTCGGATCGAGGACCATTTTCTCATGCGCCTCTTGCGAGCACGCATCAGTAGAACCCAAAGGGCGAGTTCGATAGGAAGCGGACTGTTCAGAATTACAGGAATACTGGGAAGCAGCCAGGGAAGACGTGCTTGGTGGAGCCAGACGTTGGCAGCTCCTTCCCAAATGGATATTTGCTCTCTGAACTTTATTTTGCTTCTTTTGTCACGGCCGCCAGGGTGAAGACAGACTTGAAGATAGATGGGAGGCCCAAGCCGGGGGCAGTCGATCTGTACTGTGCCCTGCCTTCACCTTCCGCAAGGTACCTCCTTCCTCACTACCTGTCACGGCCATGAGCCAGCCCAACGGCCCCTCCTCCACCCACTCCCACTCACTCAACTCACCTCGATATTTTTCCTCCTCACCTCAACTTTCGTATCCCCTCCCCCCTGTATACCGCAAACGGGGGCTAGATCCTTTTCCCTTTTCACTTCTTACACACACCCTTCCCTTCTGCAGGGTCCCGAATGAGCGTTTCTTCTGCCTTGGAAAAGATCCAAGACCTTCCGTTCCTCTCTTATCATCTGGGCCCCTTCACCTGATTGCTGCTTCATCATCAAGCCTCATCATAACAATACCTCTTGTTATAAACTTGGCACATTCCCGACCTCCTGCAGTGCGTGCAAGCTGGTTCCGCCTCACTCGCTCTCTCACATACAGCCCTCTGCCACCAGACGTACATCTTTCTTCCACTCCTCCAAGGCCACAAACAGCTTTACTTCACATCACAGACGGTTTTTACTTCACACGTCACGGATATCCATTTCGCTCACTCACAATGGCTGGAGGTAGTGGTGGAGGCCCGGCGGCCTTCCCTAAGCTTTTTGCCCAGCGCAGCCGCATGAACCATGAGGTCGTGACCTACTATGCCACTGGCTTGGCCGCTATCGCGGGCGTCTTCATCATCTTTCACTTGAGCCGCCTACTTGCTCGGAAGACTGGCGTTGCTGCGAAGCTCTCGTTTGTTGCGACACCTTTCGTTTTTGTGTCCCGGTAGGTCTCACCAACACCAAAATTCTCCATCTCACCAGACTGTTTCACAGAATCGGAAACTAACTGCCACTCAGCGTCATTCGCAGAGTTTCTGTCGGCAAGGCTCCCTTCCTGCCCTCTACTGGCCATGCTGCCGTTGCAATCACCTACCTTGTGGCCAACATCGTCCTCCTCCTGACGTACCTCGATACCTCGGTCTTGCCCTACCTCACCGTCGTCGCAGCTCGTGCAGGATGGTAAGTTGAACAACAATTTATATCCCGTTGAAATGCCATCAGGGAAGCTGACACCTCACAGGCTCTCCATCGCCAACATCGCCTTCCTCGTCTTCCTCGCTCTCAAGAACACCCCTCTCGCCTACCTGACCGCCTGGTCTTACGAGCGTCTCAATGTCCTCCACCAAATTGCTGGCTATGTCACCATGGGCCTGATCATCGTACACGGTGCCACCTATTCGGCGTACTTCATCGAGTCGGGCAACCTCGAACGTCTCCGCGTCCACGAGGAAATTTATGGCATCGTCTCCGGTTTCACCTTCCTTGTTGTGGTCCTCGCCGGCGCAGTCGTCCGGTTGTGGTACTATGAGCTGTCCTACATTCTTCACGTGTCCGGCTTCGCCATCTCGATGGTCCTCGTTGGCCTCCACCAGCCCGAGCTGTCCAAGAAGATTATCTTCATCACGGCCGTCGCCGCCGGCATCTGGATCTTTGACCGCGCTGTTCGTCTCGTCCGGGTTGTGGTTTACAGTTTCAACAACACGGCTACTGTTCACCCCCTTCCTAATGGCGGTACCCGTATCATCATGAAGAAGGCCCCCTACGGCGCGAGGTCTGGCGAGCATTGCTTCCTGTGGATCCCCAAGATCCGCGCCTTGGAGATGCACCCCTTCACCATTGCGGCCATGGACCCCCTTGAGTTCGTCATCAACTCGTACGACGGCTTCACCCGCGACCTCCACGAGTACGCCGTCCGCCACCCGGGTGCGACCCTCAAGGCCTCGGTCGAGGGTTCCTATGGAACACTCCCCAACCCGGCCGAGTACGACAAGGTGATCCTCGTCGCAGGAGGCAGCGGCGCCAGCTTCACCGTCGGCATGGCCCTCAACCTGCTCAAGCAGCTCACGCGGATCTCGGGGCAGAGCATCGTCTTCGTCTGGATGGTGAAGGAGCACAGTGAGTCACTCGATTAACTTTGTGTAAAACAGACCGCTAACCTTTTTAGCCCATCTCGAGTGGTTTGCCCGCCACCTGTCTACGATTCGCAACTCCTCGCAATCATCTGTCCTTGTCTACGTCACTCGGACCCCCAACTCCAAGGGTGCCACCACCGACGAAGACCGCTCCCGCTCGGCCACCATCTCATCCCAGGCTTCCACACCCATCACTCCGGCCACAGAGAAATTCGACATCGAGAACGGCATTACCCAGCAACCCCCAAAGGTCCTTACCCGGGCAATCTCTGATCCCGAGAAGTCCGGCTCTGAGTCTGACGCTACGTTCCCCGCCTCTCCCCTCCAACAGAACGGGGTCCCTGTTCAGGTCAACTCCATCCCCATCAACTACGGCCGCGCCGACGTTGCAACCATCATTCGCGACAACATCAATGATGCGGCCCCCAACCAGCGCGTCCTCGTCATGGGTTGTGGCCCTGATGGCCTGATGGCCCAGGTCCGCAACACCACGGCGTCCTGCATCCGCACTTCTGGTCCCGCGGTCGAGTTGCACTGCGAACAGTTTGGCTGGTAAATGGGAACATTTGCACGCGCGGAGAGCACTCACTAAAAGGGGCTTCGGCCTACTGTCGTTCCCCTTTTTCTCTTTGCTTTCTGGCCTCTCTCAGCAAACTACTTCATGTGCATACTTCACAAGTTGGTTTTATGTTTTTTTCGTTTTCTTTCATGGGTCGCTGGAGTATCACCGGGCAAGGAAACGGGTCTTCTTTTTGCAATTTCACATCAGGTTTGACGAGCAAAGGAAAGGAGACGATGAATGGGTCTCTTTTAGATGCAAGGTCGCAGAGAGACAGAATTGGTCATTATTGATGAAGCTGCTGCACGTCAGGCACGAGTTCATACCCCCTTACAGAAGCCTGGCCTCAGTGGCCGCCCTGTAATCTCAATGATTCGCCGGAGAGGAGGATTAGGTCCTCGCAATACAATGATTTCAGAAGCAGAAACCCTCCATTTCCTGATTTCCCATGTGTGCTGGGCGTGAAAGAGTCGCATGATTTGGTGGTGGCATGTATGACGCCCTTGATTACGTGAACCCTTAAAGCTTATAGATACCTAATGCAGGCTTGTCGCCTGCTCAATCCAAAGGTTGAATCCAAGCTCCAAATGTAAAACGACAAACGGGTAACGGCATGACGTTTCGACCTCATCTGAAGTCTAGATCGTGGACCGCCAAGCCCCGGCAGCCCGGACCGACCGCCCCCTTGAACCCCGGAACGGCACCCACCGAGCATCAACAGCCAAGGCGAGAGACTACACAGAACCAAGGCGTGGTATATTACCGCCCAGACATCCCCATCGTCTGCTTGGGGGGAGCGTTCCGCCTCGGCGAGATCGTGATTAGGCCAAGGCCTCCCCCCGTCGCCCAGCGCGTTTGCCCTGCCACGTCGTATCGAGAAGAATGATAGAAGCTCGAACGACTACAAGGGCGGAGGAAGGTACGACGTGGTACGACGTCGAGATGCGCCGACGATCACGCCGGCTCGCTCCCGAGTCACCTTTCCCACGAGAAGGAGCCCAACATTCCGGAGGGGGGTTGAGGGCAAGGGGCGAATGGAGGTCGTCGACTAGGCCAAGCTTTTCTCGATGGGCTGGCCCCCCAGGGAGGCGGTGGTGGAGGGTAGGAATTGAAACCCACAAAGACCGCCAGAGACGCGGCAAAGAAGACGTCACACGACTGGGTGACCACGAGGCCAATATGAGGCCCGCCCAGTCAAAAGAGAATCGTCGGCAGCATCAACGACGTTGTTCCGCCCGAGAGGGAGGGGGGAGGGGCGCCTTGGAGGTTGCGTGGTGAGTTCAACCCGGGCCGTTGGGAGAGGGAAGCAGACGCCCGGGTCCATCCATCCCGAGTTTTCCAAATCACGGAGGTGCATGTCCCGCAATCGACAACCCTCGTGGAGTAGAGCGGAAACGAAACATTCCCTCCCCCCAGGGAGTTAAACTTTCTGTTTCCTAGGGGAGGGGAGGGGGGTTCCGCGAAACGGATGGATTAACCCTAGAGGGAAGAAACTCGCGAGCCCTTGGCCGTGAGCGGTACCAAGTCGGAATCCACGTCGCGTCGGAGGCAAGATGGGATGACACCGCGCTCGGACGGCGGTCCCGATGGGCGGCGGCACCTGCCGGGTTGGACTCTATGCGAGCCACGGCGGGTAGACGTACCTACGTTCGCAATCGCGCGGTGTAACCCAAGGCGATGCGCTCTGGGTTGTTCGTCCCAGCCGGCGTCCTCCATCTATGGTTTGGCGCTCTGGGACGATCACCACTTGCTCGTGAGCAAACGTCAGAATCGGCCATCAGTAAACGGGGCTAGCGATCGCTCAAAATGAACAATGTATATCTTGAATAGTCCCTTCTATTCTTGTATTCGGTCTTTCTATGAGCCCGAGAGGAGGTATCATTGTTGAACAGATGCATGTATAGTCTTTCTTCCCATGTTTCCCCAGCGCCATTTGTTGAATAAATGCCACCGGAATTCCGATTGCCCCCCTTTTCCCCAACGTTTACAAAAAAATAAAAAATAAAAATCGCATCTCGAGGCGCCTCAAACCCACCAGCAAGCATACCAAACTTTGCTTAGAACAGGCCATCGATCTCACCGGTCTCGACGTCGACGTCAACGTTCAAGTAGCCGGGGGCCGTGGGCAGACCGGGGATGGTCTGGATATCGGCGGCCAGAGCGTACCTGTGATATATTTAGCTACTGTCGTCTTTACTGGGGCGGTTGTGACTTACAAGTAACCCGCACCAGCGGCCATTCTGACGTCCCGAATGGGAACAGTGAAGCCAGTGGGAGCGCCCTTCAGGTCGGGGTCGTGGGACAAGGAGTACTGCGTCTTGGCAACGCAGATGGGGAGGTTCCCGAAACCCTGCTTGGTGTACATGTCGACCTTCTTCTGGGCAAGCTCGCTGAACTCGACAGCAGCCGCGCCGTACATCTTCTGTCCGATGGCCTCGATGCGCTCCTGTACGGAGCCCTCGAGGTCGTACAGGAGCTTGAAGTCCTTGGGCTTCTCGCTGGCGGCGATGACGCCCTTGCCCAGCTCGATGGCTCCCTTGCCACCCTCGGCCCAGTGGTTGGAGAGGATGGCGTCCTCAGCACCAGCAGCGATCGCCTCCTCACGGATGACGGCAATTTCGGCGTCAGTGTCCGTAACGAACTTGTTGATGGCAACGACGACGGGGATGCCGTATGCCTTGGCGTTTTCAATGTGCTTCTTGAGGTTGACGCAGCCGGCGCGGAGGATGTCGACGTTCTCCTCCTTGTAGACGGCGTTGAGCGGCGCACCAGGGGCGATTGGAGGACCGCCACCATGGACCTTGAGGGCACGAACGGTGGCGACGACGACGACAACGTCAGGCACGAGCCCAGAGGCGCGGCACTTGATGTTGAAGAAGCGCTCTCCACCCATGGTGAAGTCGAAGCCGGCCTCGGTAACAACGAAACCAGCCTTCTCGGAGTGGTCCTCGTCCGGCTCAGTACCGACAATCTTGAGGGCCATCTTGTCAGCCAAGATGGAGCTGTTGCCGACACTGATGTTTGCAAAGGGACCGGCGTGCACAAACACAGGAGTACCCTCCAGAGTCTGCATGAGGTTGGGCTTGATGGCGTCCCTCATCAGAGCGGTGAGAGCGCCGCCAGCACCGATGTCGTCGCAGGTGACCGGGTCACCGCTCCTGGAGCTCGCAACGACCATGCTTCCCAGGCGCTTGCGCATATCGGCCAGATCAGTGCTCAGAGCAAGGATGGCCATGCACTCGCTGGCGACGGAGATGTCGAAGCCAGTCTCACGGGTGTGGCCTTTCTCGGTCGGTGCGGCGCCGACAGTGATGCCTCGCAGGTGACGGTCGTTGACGTCCAGCACACGTCTCCATGTGATGGTCTCAGGGTCGATGTCCAGACGGGCGAAGCGGCGGATCTCCTCCTCGGTCAGGTCGTTGGGGTCCGTCTTCTCGATACCCAGCTTCTTGAGGCGAGGCAACATGACAGGGGGGAACACTCTCTTGCCGTTCTTGGCAGGTACGAGGCGCTTGTAGAGGGGGCCATCCTTCTGGGTGTTCTCATGGAACATGCGGGTCTCAATTGCAGCAGCGAGAAGGTTGTTCGCCGCGGTGATTGCGTGGATGTCTCCAGTCAAATGCAGGTTGAACTCGTCCATGGGAATGACCTGGCTGTAGCCACCACCGGCGGCACCGCCCTTGATACCAAAAGTCGGGCCTTGACTGGGCTGGCGCACGTTGGCGAAGGTAACGCGGCCAAGGTGGGCGCCCAAGGCCTGTGCAACTCCCATTGTGGTAGTCGACTTACCCTCTCCAAGCGGCGTGGGAGTAATACCCGTGACGACAACGTACTTGCCGTTGCGACGGTGCTCAAGGCGCTTCAAGAGGCTAAGATCGACCTTGGCCTTGTAGGCTCCATAGGGCTCGAGCTCGTGGGAAGCAATGCCGACCTCCTTGGCCAGACGAGTAATCTGCTTAGGGTTCTGGGATCTCGACACCTCGATGTCAGAAGGGACAGGCTCCTTGAGGTGCAGCGGCAGAGGCGAGATCTTTCTCTGCTTTTGTCTCTCAAAGGACTTGACGGTAGAGTCCACAACGTTGGACAGCAACATGGCAACGGTCATGGGACCGACACCGCCAGGAACTGGTGTGATGTGAGAAGCAACCTGAGAAGCCGACTCGTAGTCGACGTCTCCGACGAGACGCTGTCCCGACTTTTTGGAAGCATCGGGAATATAGTTTGTGCCAACGTCGATAACGACGACACCAGGCTTAAGCCACTCGCCCTTGATAAAACCGGGCTGACCAATGGCCGCAATGACAATGTCCGCGGCCTTAAGGTGCTCCTCCAAACCCTCGGTCTTGGAGTGGCACACGGTGACAGTTGCGTCCGCGTTGCGAAGAAGGTAGCTCACAGGGCTGCCGACAATATCGCTGCGTCCGATCACAACAGCGTTCTTGCCCTTCAAATCCACTCCGGTCTCCTTCAACAAGACCATGACACCCTTGGGAGTGCAGGGGATGAAGAACGGGCGACCGCCCTTCTTGGCGAGCTCGCCGATGTTCCTTGTGCCGAAACCGTCGACATCCTTCTCGTCTGCAACGGCAGATGTGATGACGTACTCATCGAGGTGCTTGGGAATAGGCAATTGGACCAAGATACCGTGAACGTCGGGGTTGTCGTTGAGGCGGTAAATGCGGTCAAGAAGTTCAGGCTCAGTGATGGACTCGGGAAACTGGATGAGCTCGCAGTCGACATTTGCCTGAAAACGTCAGCACAACATGAAACAACATGGAATCAATGGCGGCAATTACCTCCTTTGCGGCCTTTTGCTTCATGCGCACGTAGGTGCCTGCGGGGTTGTAAGCATCGCGACAAATTTCATGGTGGGGTAATCACGGCAGCAAAACATACTCGAGTCCGATCTGTCGCCGACTGTGAGAGATTGTGGTTAGCAAGATACAGACGAAATGGGGTCCGCAAAAGGCTCAAGGGAAAAACACCTTGGATAATGGTGAGCTGAGGCTGGAACCTGGGGTTCAGCTTCTGCTTCTCGAGGATGTCACTGGCGATCGATTCCCGGATCTGCTTGGCGATGGCAGTGCCATCGATCTTGTTGGCGACCATTGCTGGAGATGATGTCGCAAAGGACCTATTGGGAGAGATTCTGTCGTAGGAACCCAGAGTCCTTGCAATGAACGGACGGGAAGATTGCCAAGGGACCGGTAATGCAGCTCGATCTCGCAGGTGTCCAAACGCAAAGTTTTTGGGTTGACGGGGGGGAAATGAAGTTGTCGGGACGGACACCGAAGTTGAGCGCGCAGGATGGGTGTAAGCTGGAGCAGCGAGAATGAGGGGTGAGTGACAGTGGTCCAACTCGGGGTTTAGCGCTCTGCAGGGCCGGCGGCCTGATGGATCCCGACCGGTATCTACCCCAAGGTTCTGATATGACCGGCGGGATGCGGGAGCTTGAGCCAGTGAATTTTGAGTGGCCAACACTGCAGCTCTGGAGGACAAGCCGCGGGTTCTAAGCCGAAGCTGAGACGTGTTGGGCAACTCGAGGCGGCATGGCCAAGACAGCCTCTGCGTGCCCTTCAACTGACTGATAGACGACATGCCGAATACCGAAATCTTGCGTCTCGCTTTGAGGGTGTGCTTGCCCCTCGCCTGTTCTGCGCTGCAGGTTCACAAGCAGTACTTCCCTTTAGGCAATTGGGTGGATCTAAGCGATAGGCTCTGTGACTCTTATATCGTGTGAGTCGTGTGTGAGTCGTGTGTATGACTGATGACTCCCTGGTCCTGGCTCTAAAGGCTCTGTGTGTCCCAGCAGTGCCAATGGGAAGGATCGGCAGGTCGAAATTTCTCGGGCGTGTCCCCGAATGTCGGCTTCAGACCCGATCGATAAGGGAGCCGAATTATGGGTATTAGTAGGCACAATTACAGTCTTAATATCGACTGCTTGCTGTGGTAGATGCAAGCGACACACTTGATGTATACAGGCGTTCTTCAATGGTACGAAGTAGGCTGGCTCGGTTGGTTGGTTTATCGAAACGAACAATACAAGTAGTCAATTGAGGATGAAAGAAAACCGAGTTGAATGTCGAAAAGAAAGGCTGGAAGGAAAGGAGGTAAAAGGTACAAATATGGTACAGGACAAAGAGAACAGCGACGGTGGTCCGGATGGTCTGATATCTCTGCTCTCGCATAAGAAACCCCGGGCTGGGCAAAAGCTGTTGAAACCACCTCAAGTTCACTCGAGGTCCGTTGAGGTTAGAGGATTCGAGGCCCGAGTTGGTGTTTTGTTTGCCGGGGTTCCAAGTCCGGATAACGCTTTGAGAAAACAAAACTGGGACTGACTCAAGGATGAGTAGAGATTGCCCCAAAAAGGATGTAGTCGTCGACGTCGCGTTGGTTTGGAAATGGAACGAATGGCATTGATTGGCGATGACGAGATTGGACTGGCGATTGGGGGCACGGAACTTCAACCAAAGCGAATCGAGGCCAGGAGCAGCTAGTGTAGGTTCAATGACTCTGGTGCAGCTCCTGCCGTGACGCGCCGGGCTAGGCGCGCTAAAGTCCTGTCCTGCAAGCAAGCAACGCCTCACAGTGAGTCAACCACTCCTTGGAGCTCGAGGTCCAGAGCTGTGGTGGCCGGCTGTGTGCCACCATGCCTGAGGCGTAAGGCGGTGAATGGCTGCTCACCTCAGCCGGCAGAATGGTCGCGGGGAAAAAGTGTGCCCCACACCAGTGCACCGAAACCCACAATGTCGAGGTGAAGGGCAAAAATTCACGATTGCCCGACGACATCGCAAGCCATTTAAAGACCGACGTCCCCTGCCGCAACACCGCCCCCCGTAACTAGCAGCCCCGAGACCGAGAAGCGCAATACTACTCGATAATCAGACAACATGAGGCCCGTTCTTTTGGCAGGTCACGAGCGTGCGCTCACCCAGATCAAGTACGTTTTCCGTATCCGCTTGCGAAATTGTCCATGGAAAGAGGGGGAGAGAGATATGGGAGGCGCCCAGGACTTTCCTTAACCCCCCTTTACTCGATCATGAGGGGCTGCATGTGGCTAACCAGGCGCGCCATCGTCAATAGGTACAACTCGGACGGCGATCTCATCTTCTCGACCTCCAAGGACCAGCAGATTTGCGTTTGGTACGCGCACAATGGCGAGCGTCTGGGAACCTACCACGGCCACGTCGGTGCCATCTGGACCGTCGACGTCGACCCCACCAGCACCATGATCGCTTCCGGTTCCGCCGACAACACGATGAGACTCTGGGATATCAAGACGGGCAAGAACCTCAAGACTTGGGAGTTCCCCACCGCCGTCAAGCGCGTCGAGTTCAACGAGGACGGCACCAAGCTGCTCGGTGTTACGGAGAAGCGCATGGGTTTCCTCAGCAACATCATCGTCTTCGACATCAACCCCGACCCCGAGGCCGAGCAGACCGACGAGCGTGCCCTGACCATCGTGTGCGACGAGAGCAAGGCCACCGTCGCCGGCTTCAGCTACCTCACCAAGTACATTATTGCCGGCCACGAGGACGGCTCCGTCTCCCAGTACGATGCTAAGGTGGGTTTAGTGAGAAGTACATCACTACAAGGGATATAACGCTGATTGCCTTTTAGAACGGTGACCTGATTTACAACGAGCCCGTACACGAGCTCAACACTCCCATCACGGATCTCCAGTGGTCGCAGGACAGAACCTACTTCATCACCGCCAGCAAGGACAAGACGGCCAAGGTACATATATCGCCCCGATATACCGCAAGGCCGACTGCTGACCTGATATAGCTCATCACCGCCAAGGACCTCGAGGTTCTCAAGACCTACGTAGCCGATACCCCCCTCAACAGCGCCACCATCACGCCCAAGAAGGACTTTGTCATCCTTGGAGGTGGTCAGGCCGCCATGGATGTCACCCGTACCTCGGCGAGACAAGGAAAGTTCGAGGCCAGATTCTACCACAAGATCTTCGAAGACGAGGTCGGCAGAGTCCGTGGTCACTTCGGTCCCCTGGTAAGTTGGCCGGCTCTTGTGATGTTTGATATTGCGGCAACTAACACACCCCAAGAACACTGTCGCCGCAGACCCCACCGGCAAGGGCTACGCGTCCGGAGGAGAGGACGGTTACGTCCGTGTCCACCAGTTCGACAAGGGCTACTTCGACTTCATGTACGAGGTTGAGCGGGAACGGAAGAACAGACAAGAGAACTAGAGGAAAAGGGAGGGATTGATTGGTTTAAACAACAAACACAAAAGCAACGCCCTTCTTTTTTACGTCTTCTCGTCTTCTTTCGCGGCTTGCATTAGTACGGCGTTCTGGGAAATCTCTGGGGGATGGTTAGATTGGTTTTTGTAAAAACCTAGGGCAGTCCGCGAAGAACAGACGAACGAAAAAAGAATGGCTTTGGTACGGATGATATCAAAACATTGCTCTCTTTCGCCCTGGCGCGGAGAAGACCTGAGGATGAGATGAACCAAGACAACAGGGTAATGATGAGTTATCTGGCACCTACTTTCAACGTATTACGGCATGATTGCAGTTGTGCAGGCTTGTGTCCGTGTTCATGACTGAGACATTCATGGGTACGGGCAATCTGAGCGAGGGATAATCTCCCATCACCTTAGAAGAAACCTATTTATCTACCGAACAAAGTACGCAATCCACGATTTGAAGGGACTGTCTTTGTACCCGATCTAAAGAAACTTGATGGGTCAAATAAGCCATAACACGTGACACCCAGCTGTATCGCGCAGAGAGGCAGGTCTTGCTATTCTTTGGTACACTGTACATGGCAAGGAAAGCTGAAGTGCTTATGAACAGCTGACAATATAATTGCAGCCCAACATGGCTTCTTAACCAATATGACTTTTGTTATTCGGCTCCACATTCCAACAAAGCGAGCATGCCGTCTTCCCGCATCATTTACTTGGCATCACACTCAAAGCCAAGTTGGCCATCGGCCGCGATCGCTGAATGTCCTCCTCAGTTTCGCTCAACATCGGGAACACACAACTGCCCAATATTGTAATGGCTGAAGTTAAGGGGCGATTCGGGTCTGAGTCGCCAAACACCGGCACAAAGTTGGGTGATGACCTCCGCGAGGATGTATCAAGTCCAAGAACGCCATCAAACATCGCCCAGCGTGATAACTCAGTCGACAGACTGACCCAGAAACTGTCTCAAATCATAGCTCGACGACGCTCGTAAGTGCCCACCACGATGATTGAGACTGCTTCTCAGCCTCAACCAGATTCACAAGTCCTTGCCAACCACAAAGACCTGGTGCATAGGGTCTTTTATATATTACAGTTGACCATGCTCGCACAGACGATCTTCAGGTTGGCCGGCTTAGAGCACCAACGGCAACTTGAGTATACGCTCATTGTCTGTTATGTTCTGTTGTTTGGCGCCCTGCTAATTTAAAATAGGGGTACTATTAAAACATTGTTCTTGCTTTTCGCTGCATGCCTAAGCATTTTTTGTAATTTCTATGTTGATGATGGCTCTAATTTGTCACCTGATGCCGAGGCCCTACAGACCACTCTACAAGCAGCTTCTGATGGTGGCTACATCAAACAAAGTCTTTGAGCAACAAGCGTGCACATAATAGGTATTTCGATACACACTCTATAAAAAAAAACGCAAAATGAAAGGGACGAGACTCGAACTCGCGCGGGTTGCCCCACCAGGAAACAGATGTTAAGCTGACCTTAACCTGGCGCCATAACCAACTCGGCCACCCTTCCGTGTTGATGATCTCTAGGAAATCCCAGGACCAGACGTTGTTGAGACGATTGGGCGACAGCAAATTATATAAAGCCTAGGCCAGGGTTTGGAGGAGGGGTTTGGCGAAGTGTGTGCATGATGTGGGGGTTAGCATGGGAACTTCGTTGACTCGGTAGTGGTGGTATCGTATTGCCAGGTGGGGGTTTCCACGCCGAGCGTCGATGGTTGAACCAGGGGTCTTCACGTGGGCCGGGATGGTCTAAGACATCAACCAGGTCCGAAACACCTTGATAGAAAAGATGCCGTTCGAGTTCTATCCGGGTTCGCTCTGCCTCTGATGCTATCCCCGTAGCTGTCTACAAAGCTGCCCACAAAGCTATCCACAACGCTGTTCTAGAAGTTCCATTTCGGCCGGGAAAAGGTTGGGTGGCGGGTTGGAATGAAGACTCTGGCAGGTTCGAAAGAATGTGGGGCCACGACTCACCTATGACTCTTCCATGGGTCGCAAGCAAAAAACGGGGTTGGCCAATTTGAGGGACTTTCCGGGCTCGGACTCGACTGAGACTGGGGGGGAGGTGGGAGTTTGGACGAGAAGTCGATCTCGAGTTGGGACGAGCCCAAGTTTGCACTTACTGGTGTTGAAACATGTTTTGGTTTCTTGAGGCATACTTTTATGGCAGACAACCAGAAAATCTGAAGTTGTGAAACCCGAAACCTAACTACACAATGCCGCGGAAGACGTCACTTGGAGAGCCGAATTGCGACAGTTTAAATGTGTTTGTGATTATCCATGTAGTGGTGACAGCTTGACTTCCAAGTCGCCATCAACACCACCACAAGTTCGACAGGGGAAACAATGATATGTGTGTAGCTATGGACCGTGGACTAGCTAGCCGTCCTTTATTTGGCATCATCGCAATAAACAGTCCCAACCTAAACACCGCCCATGCACCTTCATAAAACCAAACCAACGCCTCTCGTGACGCACTTCTAATGTTCGGGAGTCCCTATCTCCAACCCACCCTCCTTCCCTCCCTCCAGTTAGATGTACGTCGATGCTCGCTCAATCCCGTCGTCAAGACATGTCTGAAGAAACCGTAGTAGACAAAGGAGACAAGATCTTGGGGCAATGGAATCTTTCCTAGTTGACCACTGTCGAAAGTGAAGAATGTTCATAGAATGCCACCGCCGCCGCTGCGCGCCGCTGGGCAGACTTTATGTGTGCCGGCTGCGCTTCGGTCCGCCGCCAAACATGTTCTTATCCAGGCTACTGAGGTCGAAAATTTCGGCAAAGTTGATTTTACGCTTCGACCCGGCACCACGGCCAAGATTGTTTCCTTGCCTTGATGCCGAGCGAGGGATATTTGCCGGGTGCCGTGGTCTTGTTGTGCGGCCTCCGGGGTTCGCGTTTGTCGATGTTGTGTCGTGTGTTCGAGAATCTGACAGGTCCAAGTTCGCGAGGTTGAGATAAGCGTCTTGCTGAGGTTGCTGAGGCGGCCAAGGGTGCGATGATTGAAAGGTAAAAGAATCCGCCGTCGGTACCGTAATCGATATGGGTTCGGGTTCCTCCTCTTCTTCCACAGCCTGAGGGATGCTAGAGGGTGCCGAGTCCGTCCTCATTTGGCTTTCGCCTCGCAGTGCCGACAGCTGAGTGCCGCTGCTTGTCCTGTTGAGCTCTGGGGACGATGCAGTTTCTGCCTTTTCCGCCTCGTCGTCGCTTTCGGCGTTTTGAGAGCTTTCCCGTCCGTCCAGCCGTTCGGTTGCCCAGCTCCGGACCCTCCAGCCATCGCCGTCGCCCAAGCCAATTTTCTCCTTGTCAAGGAACGCCAGCAGGTCGTCGAGGCAGTCCTGGTACCCGTCCATGCGGGCCTTGGACTGTGCGGCCGCCGAGGTCTTGTAAAGTTTCGTCACCGAGAGCGCAGCGGCCTTGAAGGCGTCGAGGAGTTGCTCGGGGGAGTCATTTTGTGTCGTCTGCCTCGCCGCCGAGGCGCCAGGCAGGGAGGTGTTGAGGCTTCGCATAGAATCCATGGTAGTAGTCTCGCAAGTTACGGAGAGACTGAGAATAGTCAGTATGGAATCGAAGAATGAGAAAGACAGGTCCCGCACCTCTAGCGGTGTAATGTAGGTCGTTGAGTTGTCGGGTAAACAAATCTTGACGCCGGAGTGGGGTCTAAACGGGGTCCCCCAAGTGACTGGCGATAAGGTGTGGTGGTGGTCTCGAGTGCAGCTATACGGGCAAGGTTTGCAGGCGGCTCCCCTTGACACCAAGAATGAAGCGATTGAAGGGTTGAAAACGTGATGATGGAAATTGTCCAACAGGCTGCGATGCAAGATGCAGTATTTCGTCGATGGAGGGAAAGTCAGCTCGCCATCAGCGTAGAGCACATGACACTGGGATGCGGCACTAACCGAGCCAGCAGCACCTTAACAGGCCCAATTTACGGATACCTTAGGTGGCTTTGACGTTATCCGCCTCGTGGCCAGTGCGCTAGTTCTGAGCGGCTGACCCAATCCTGGAGCGGACGGTGGACCCCCCGTGCTGTTCCACGCTTCTGCCCCTAGCTGAAGCGACGGAGACGTTCTCATCGGAGGCTGCCTTCTTCCGGGTCCGACTTCCCGGGCGGCGTTTGCCTGCACTCCATTTGACGGGTGCACGGGAATGACACGGCGAAAACACGCTAGTCCTGATCGGAATTTGTCTTCTACAGCAGAGGGATCCCACCTTTCCTCCATCATCTAAAAAACATCTACGACCGTTTACCCTCGCGCAGCACCAAAGCACTCTACCTTTTTGAATGCTTCCTCAATCAACGTCACCTCCAAGCAATCTGGAACAGTCGAGCAGCATCTACAGTTTCTGGCGCGCGTGGCATAACCGAAAGAAACGCGTGTAAGTCGCGTAAAGTGATTTACAGCCGTCCAGATGGCGCCTCGCTCGAGAGCTGCTGCGGTCGACACCGACGCGTCTATGTCGGACGTCGCAGACGCTCACCCCGTGGAAGGGATGGTATGTGGTCATTTTCCTTTCATGTCGCACCGTTGTACTTCTCACGACACTACGAGTCGCGATTGTATGGGGAAACCGTTTGGCTGACATGCATACAGGAAGTCGATGAGACTCCCGACTACACCGACTCGGACACCAATGCGAACACCACAGCCAGTAGTGTTGTTGGCGAACCTCTCGGAGATGGCCGCAAGAGACGGTCTGAAGCCAATCAGCTTCGTCGCAGCATCTTCGGCAAGAAACATGATCGCTTGGGTGAATCAAAGGTACGCCAGGCGCGAATCCTTTGCCTTGACAATAGCTCAGTCAATTGGAGAATGCTAAATGATGTTCTGAAATAGGAAGAAGACAGTATTCGTCGATTCCGATACTTGCTGGGTCTTACAGACCTCTTCCGTCACTTCATCGAAACGAACCCTAACCCCAAGATTCGGGAAATTATGACAGAGATCGATCGACAGAACGCAGAGGCATCAAAGAGCAAGAAGAAGGGTTCGCGTCAGGGCGGCGCTAGTAATGAGCGAGTGCGTCGGACCGAGGCTGAGGAAGATGCCGAGCTGCTCCAGGACGAGAAGCACGGAGGCTCTGCCGAGACGGTTTTCCGCGACTCACCCGCTTTCATCAAGGGTCAGATGAGAGATTATCAGGTCGCCGGCCTCAACTGGCTGATTTCTCTCCATGAGAACGGTATCTCTGGCATTCTTGCCGACGAGATGGGTCTCGGAAAGACCCTGCAAACGATCGCGTTCCTGGGCTACCTACGACACATTATGGACATCACCGGACCGCACATCGTTATCGTACCGAAGTCGACATTGGACAACTGGAAGCGAGAGTTTGAAAAGTGGACCCCCGAGGTCAATGTACTGGTGCTTCAAGGCGCGAAGGAGGAACGTAACGCGCTCATTAACGACCGATTGGTCAACGAAGACTTTGATGTCTGCATTACGAGTTACGAGATGGTTCTTCGCGAGAAGAGCCACCTCAAGAAGTTCGCATGGGAGTACATCATCATCGACGAAGCGCACCGCATCAAGAACGAGGAATCCTCCTTGGCCCAGGTCATCCGCGTTTTTAACTCCCGAAACCGACTTCTGATCACTGGTACACCCCTTCAAAACAACCTCCACGAGCTGTGGGCTCTGCTCAATTTCTTGCTTCCCGATGTGTTCGGTGACTCCGAGGCCTTTGACCAGTGGTTCTCTGGCCGAGAACAGGACCAGGACACCGTGGTCCAGCAACTCCACCGTGTGCTGAGGCCCTTCTTGCTCCGAAGAGTCAAGAGCGACGTCGAAAAGAGCTTGTTGCCAAAGAAGGAGGTCAACGTATACCTAGGCATGTCCGACATGCAGGTCAAGTGGTATCAGAAGATTCTCGAGAAGGATATTGACGCTGTCAACGGCGCCAACGGAAAGCGAGAGTCGAAGACAAGATTGCTGAACATTGTGATGCAGTTGCGCAAATGCTGCAATCACCCTTATCTCTTCGAAGGCGCTGAGCCTGGCCCGCCGTACACCACCGATGAGCATCTCGTTTATAACGCTGGCAAAATGGTCGTTCTCGACAAATTGCTGGCTAGGATGCGAAAGCAGGGCAGCAGAGTTCTCATCTTCTCACAGATGAGTCGTCTCTTGGACATCCTGGAAGACTACTGCGTTTTCCGGGAGTACAAGTACTGCCGCATTGACGGTGGAACGGCCCACGAGGATCGTATCGCCGCCATCGACGAGTACAACAAGCCGGGCTCCGAGAAGTTCATCTTCTTGCTCACAACGAGAGCCGGTGGGTTGGGCATCAACCTTACCACTGCTGATATTGTCGTTCTTTACGACAGCGATTGGAACCCCCAAGCTGATTTGCAGGCCATGGATCGTGCTCATCGCATCGGTCAGACCAAGCAGGTCGTTGTGTATCGTTTTGTGACGGACAATGCGATTGAGGAGAAGGTCTTGGAAAGAGCAGCTCAAAAGCTTCGTCTTGACCAGCTTGTCATTCAACAAGGCCGTGCTCAGGTTGCAGCCAAGGCCGCAGCCAACAAGGATGAGCTTCTCTCGATGATTCAGCACGGTGCTGAGAAGGTCTTCCAAAATAAGGGCGCTTCCGGTGTGCTGGCTAATAAGGGCGCTGACCTGGATGATGACGACATCGACAAGATTCTTGCCTCTGGTGAGTCAAGGACCAAGGAGCTCAACGCCAAGTATGAGAAGCTTGGAATCGATGACCTTCAGAATTTCACGTCTGAGTCTGCCTACACCTGGAACGGAGAGGACTTCAAGACAAACAAGAAGGACATTGGCATGAACTGGATCAACCCCGCCAAGCGTGAGCGAAAGGAGCAATCCTACTCTATGGACAAGTATTTCCGACAGGCCATGTACCCGCCCAAGGAGAAGGACACCAAGCCCAAAGCCCCGAGAGCTCCAAAGCAGGTTCCTGTTCACGACTACCAGTTCTACCCACCTAGATTGCGCGATCTCCAGGACCGTGAGACGGCGTACTACCGCAAGGAGATTGGTTACAAGATTCCCCTCTCTGATGGCGATGAGGAGAACCTCGATGAGCGTGAGGCAGAGCGTGCGCTGGATCAACAAGAGATCGACAACGCAACGCCACTCACCGAGGAGGAGCAGGAGGAGAAGCAACGTCTGTCACAGCAAGGGTTTGGTGAATGGAACCGACGCGACTTCCAGCAATTCGTCAACGCATCAGGCCGTTACGGCCGCAATGACTACGAGAGTATCGCTGAGGACATTGACAACAAGACTGCTGCCGAAGTCAAGCAGTATGCCAAGGTCTTCTGGCAGCGATACACCGAAATCGCAGACTACAACAAGTACATCAAGGTCATTGAAGATGGCGAGGAGCGTATGCGCAAGATCGAACACCAGAGGAAGCTGCTTCGTAAGAAGATGTCCCAATACCGCGTCCCCTTGCAACAGCTTAAGATCAATTACTCTGTCTCCACCACGAACAAGAAGGTGTACACGGAGGAGGAGGATCGATTCTTGCTGGTTCTTCTCGACAAATATGGCATCGACTCCCCCGGCCTGTACGAGAAAATGCGAGATGAGATCGCGGAGAGCCCTCTGTTCCGGTTCGACTGGTTCTTCCTTAGCAGGACACCTGTCGAGCTGAGCCGTCGCTGCACTACGTTGTTGACGACCATCGTCAAGGAGTTTGAGGATGTCCATCCTACAAAGGGTGCGAACGGTGTCAACGGCAAGGTTAAGAGAGAAGCCGACGACGAAGAGAATGACGAGGATAGCATCCTGGGCATGGCACCAGCGAAGAAGAAGTCCAAGAACGGCGTCAAGGTAAGAACACAGAAGCGCTCTCAAACCGAAGAGACTCCACTGACCATGATCACAGAACAAGGCACTAGACAACGTCAAGTCGGAGGCCGGAAGCAAGAACACATCCGCAGCTCCTTCCAGATCGTCGAGCGTCGCATCGACCAAGTCCGTCACCAATGCCAAGAGTAAAACGAAGGGCAAGAAGAAATAGATGGATGACACCTTACACGAATGAACAGTCGGGTCTTTTAGGTGTGGGTATGGCTTTCTGGCAGTGGCTGCGAATAGAAAAAGGCGTTTGGTCTGGCATAACCTTCTGGTCGGTCATCTTTCTAGGGAACCCTGTTGTATTGCTTTCGCGGTAGACTGCCTCTTGGGCTGTGTCATTAGGACCTATGTATGTTGAGCTCGGATTACACGAGAATAAAACGAATTATAGAGATGTTTCTCGATTCTTGTACCAAGCATTGCTCACTCCGGCCACTCCTATACCTTTTAGATATCGCCATCCAGGGCTCTATATCCAGAGCTCTCAGTTTCTATGGTCCTCAGGCACACATGTTTAGCTGCATACCTGGTCGTCGATAACTCTCCTTTGTGTCCCTTCGTGGCAAGTGATTGCTTGTCGTTGATCTCTGTTTTGACAGCTCGACTCGTCACAACCCTATTACCAAGACCAGGGCGAGTTCATCGTGGCGGCTGAAGCAGGCACTTTGGGAGGAGGTGGTTATTCTTTACCGGAAATGTTGGCAATGTTAGAGACATACTTAGGTAGAGAGTGGGAGATACTAAATAGGTCAAGTATTTGAAGAGTGGTTGGTTCAAGAGGAGGTGTGATTTCGGCGAAAAGGACAGAAGGGAAAACTGCAATGTCTACAAGTTTGGTCCAGGAGATGCAAGTGATTTGGCCGAAGGAACCGTTGCAGAAGAAGATAGCAGCAGTATTACAACTTGCTTAAAGAACAGTCACATATTGTTGAGTAGACAGACCTGCTGTTGGCCTGGCTGTGGCATGGAGGATACCGACCGACCAGATGGATGTCTGACTTCGGCTTCATACGAGTATTCGCCATCACACTCACGAAAAGCAAAATATGAATCGAACAAGAGTTGCAATCTTGTATGAGAATGATGTGACATACAGCCCAGAAGCGCAAAAAAGTGCAAAAGTTTACCGCGATCCGTGGGACTCGAACCCACAGCCTTCCGATTAAAAGTCGGACGCTCTGACCAAATTGAGCTAGGAAAGCGATGACTGATTATTGGAATTTCGGTGTGTTTAGAAAACTTATATACCTATAGCAATACTCGAGCCACTCACAGGCTGCACCCTGACCCACTACACCCGCGCTGACTTACATGCGCAAAGGTAAGACTTAGATGGCATGTATGCTTTCGCAAGACGCCTCGGGCATAGAGACTTTGCGTAGAAGATCACAGCAGACAACGCTGGGTTGGAATGATGAGGGGCTAGGTTGTCAGGCTATGAGGCCAGTTTGCATCTTAAAAAGAGATATGCTCTGCGGGGACAAGAAGCTGAAACTGTGGCATCCCAGTAAAAAGCAGCGCACTTGTGAAGGAGCTATCTTAGGCATTGAAGATTGCATCGTAGTTTAAGTGTGTTTGTATGTGCGTATAAGCGCAACATCCACGTCTCGTATCCTCATTTACCAACTTACACCTGGTAGACTGTGTGCTCTTCTGCAGCGAATGTGCCCAAATACCTGTGCTTATTGGGTTATTTTCCGATCCCTAAACACATACCGTTAGTTCAGTCAATGTGCACATCTAGCTAGAATGGCTTCTAAAACTCTCCAGGCCGGCCGCACAAGACCTGGTTGGCTGGTGAGATGGAACGTCATTCAGTGCCCTGCAGTAGCACTAGCACTGCCCCTCCATTCTCCATTCCTGGATCGACATCCCAGCTCCAGGTTCAGGTTCCCACCCAACACCGTCGACCGCCATTGTGGTGCCTAGCTCGGAAGCTGACACTCTACTCAACTCACGTTCTCTCCAACGCTCTCTGTCTGTTTCATCGTCTTCGCGCAGAGCTTCGGGTAGCTCAAATTGCATTGCATACAGTACAGGCGTGTTTGGAATTTCATCATGTCTGTCACCATCGAAAAGATCCTGGCGGCTTCGCCCGCTACCCAGCGCGGCCAGCCGACCCAGCTCTCCTCCGACAACAAAGGAGAGCGTCTTGCCTACGCCGTGAGTTTGGTGACGCTCCTCCGCCAACAATGCTCCGGCTAACAATGCATTCTCCTAGGCTGGCAAATCCATCTTCCTCCGGTCCATCGACAACCCTTCCGTTAGCAAACAGTACACCGGCCACACCGCACAAACGAGCGCTGCCCGCTTCTCGCCCAGCGGCTTCTACGTCGCCAGTGGAGACGTCTCGGGATCCGTGAGAGTCTGGGACGCCGTTGAGGCCGAGAACACTAAGGGTACAGCACACACCCAGGAAACCCGATAGACGGCTCTCGATACTGATAAGCTCACCAGGCGAGTACCACATCATTTCGGGCCGCATCAACGACATCGCCTGGGACGGCGACTCCCAGCGCATCATCGCCGTCGGTGACGGCAAGGAGCGATTCGGCCACTGCATCACGGCCGACAGCGGTAACTCTGTCGGAGAGATCAGTGGTCACTCCAAGGCCGTCAACTCGGTCGCCGTGCGACAGCAACGCCCGCTGCGAGCGGCAACGGTCTCCGACGACGGCTCCCTCTGCTTCCTGCACGGCGCGCCCTTCAAGTTCAACTCGAAGCACGCCTCGACCCACAAGGGCTTCGTCTTCGGTACGGCCTTTTCCCCCGACGGCAACCAGCTCGTGACGGTTGGCGCCGACAAACGCATCCAGCTCTACGACGGAAAGACGGGCGAGCCTACAATTTCGATCGGAGAGGGAGAACACACTGGCAGCATCTTCGCTGTTTCTTGGGCCAAGGACGGCACCAAGTTTGTCACTGCTAGTGCGGACCAGACCGTCAAGCTCTGGGACGTCGAGGCGGGCAAGGCCACGCAGACGTGGAAGTTTGGCGACGGCGTCAGCGTGGGTGATCAGCAGGTTGGAGTTGTCTACCCTCACGGCAGAACCGACGGTCTGATCATCAGCTTGAACCTCAATGGCGATCTGGTCTACTTGAACGAGGGCAGCGACAAGCCCAGCAAGATCGTCCAGGGTCACAACAAGAGCATCACGGCTTTGGGTGCTTCGTCCGACGGCAAGGGTCAGACGCTCTGGAGCGGTAGCTTCGACGGCCGCGTCTGCCAGTGGGACGTGGCCTCGGGCACTGGCTCGGTCGTCGACGGACAGGCGCACACGAACCAGGTCACCCAGTTCAGTGCTGAAGGAGGACAGACGTACAGCGTGGGATGGGACGACCATCTGCGGATAGTCGACGAGTCTGCCAACACTTTTGCCGGCGAGTCCGTCAAGCTCTCTGCGCAGCCCAAGGGCGTCGCGGCTACCGGCGGAAAGCTGTACGTGGCGACCATTGAGGGTGTAGACGTCTACGAGAAGAACAAGCTCGTCTCTGAGAACCGCCTCGGTTTTGCTCCCAGCGCGGTTGCGGCTTATGGCTCGACGGTGGCTGTGGGATCCGGCAACTCCGTCAAGATCTACACCGCGGACGGCTCAGGCAAGCTTTCCGAGACCAAGTCTCTCGACAAGTCGACTGCCCAGATCTCCTGCCTCTCCTACTCCAAGGACGGCCAGTATCTGGCCGCGGGCAACCAGATCGGCAAAATCGTTGCTTACAAGACTGCTGACTGGGAGGTCGCGACGGACCGCTGGTCCGCGCACACGGCGAGGGTTACGTGCATCAGCTGGAATGATGCCGCGACGCACGCCGTCTCCGGAGCTCTGGACACGCACGTCTACGTGTGGAGCTTGGCGAAGCCCGGAAGCCGCGTCAAGGCTCTCAACGCGCACAAGGACGGCGTCAACGGCGTTGCGTGGGTCGAGGGCGGAAGCAAGATTGCGAGCGCTGGTGGCGATGCCGCGATCAAGGTGTGGACTGTGGCTGGGTTGCAATAGTTGGCCTGAGAGTAGACTTGTAGACACTTTTTTGACAGATGACGACTGAATGAAAAAAGCGACATGATGTTATCCTAACCAAGAACGCCGTATGAAATTGGGTATCTCCCACGTCTAGAAGCAAGCTGTCTTCCCCAACCATACATGCCTATCACCCTGCTCGGTCTACCTTGGTGCCGAGCTCGTGAATTATCAGATTCATCCCAACTACCAAAAGGACGAAGGAGGTGGCCAGAACTGACGAGGCTCCTAGTCCATCGTCATCTGCGCTACCTCCTCCCGCTGCACCTCACCAGTAGCAGTAACAGCACCTTTATTGTCATTGACCTTGGCAGTCTTCGCGGGCGGAACAGGCTCCCCAGAGTACCGATCTATCATGGCACTGCTGACTTGCCACAAGTCCGCATTGACGGGTGCCACTTCGCCGCCCACAGGGTGAGGCCGGAACTGCTGTTCGGTCTTATCGAGCTGCAGGGCCAACTGCTCAAGGGCCCACGATATGTCGCCAAGGCGGCCCCAGATCCCATAACCCTGGCGCTGGATCTCCTCGGCCAGCTCGACCTGGTGGTTGTCCTTGAGGGTTGGGTTGGGGACCACAACGAGGGAACGCTGACGCGCATCCCGTCGAGAATGGTTCCCGTGCCTTTTTTAGTATGCGGGTTAGCCTTCAAGCTTCCGGCATTTCGACTTCAGTATAGGTCATGTTCTCCTTACCTGCATGGCATATGACCACACCGGCCTTACGAACGCCGGGTTGGGCTCGGCACTTTGCCATCTCAACGGTCAAGTCGTCGACGAAGTCGAAAGCAGTGAGCTCCAAGTTCGGGTATCGGTCCAGGATGGGTGGCAAGACCTGGCGAGAGAAGTGATCGTAGTCCTTGCCGCATTGCAGAGTGAGATGAGTGTAGTGGTTCTCGGCGATGAAATCGAGGAACTTGGAGCTCACGACCTCGGTCAGGAGCTGGGTGAAGCGGGCTGTTGCGCCGACTGTGACGAGGCAATGGCGCTCGATGCCGAGGGGTTTGGTCTCTTTCGTGGACATGTTTGATTGTTCTGCCGTGGGATGTTTTACTAGGAGTCGACGTTGATATTGTTTGTAAGAGCTTTGGAAGGTGAGCTTCTGTATCGAGGTGATGTTCAACCAGCGTAGTTACTCCAAGTGGCCGATTGGGGTCCACTGGCGTGGGGTTGGCTGGCACGCGGGTGTGCTATAGCGCTGGCCCAAGCACTAAGCCGATAGATGTACAGGGATTGGTACTCTTCGAATGCAAGCCAACCGTTCCGAGCTTGGACATTGGACTTGACACTGATGGACTATCTCGTTATATACAACTGACCTACCAGGCCGATGATAAACTTCGAGCCTTTCACCTCCGGCGAACACACACGCATCTTGGTTGCAATGATGGAATTCAAGTCATATCTCTATACACGTTAACTTATATGGGTATCGTTTCCGTCTTCGCCTACTTCGATACACTCTGCTTTGCCGCTACCTGCTCGTAGCGACCGTTTTTCTTCTGATCTCTCCAAAACGGCTCGACGCCCATTTCCTGGAATCTCTTCCTCTCATACACCTTGGTCACCATCCAGCTGCTCACGAACATGACCAGTACAACACCAAAGATGGCCACGCAAGCAACCAGCGGTGCCAATATAGAGAAGACTGTGAACCCATAGCTGACATTCTGAAACGCGCTGTCGCCGACGAGCCTATCCGTAGCCAACCCAACTTGCATAGCCGTCAGGACGATGACAACGTAACCGAGGATCGCCGCCAGCGTGGCAAAGTTATCCTGGAGCAGGTCCTCATAGACCGCGTGGGAGGCCACTTTGGAATATCCTCGAAGCACATATCCGAGACGAACGCGATAAATCTTGTTCAGCCGGCTGAGACGAAGCTCGCCGTACCAGTACCGTGGGTTGACGGACGCATAGCAATGGTTCTGCACGATCTGGGCCGATAATGCCTTCCATCGGTCCCAGCTCATCTCCGGCGGAACAAGACCTTTCTCGTAGGCTATGCGGAAGTCGCTCTCGTACGCGATGAGGCGGTGTAAGTGAAGAGGAACCCGAGCGCACATGCGACGAGCTGCTGCTTCCGCGGATGGCGCTGTTGGTCGGCATCAGCAGCCAGGTGGACGGCCCAGAAGTCTGGGCTCAGAAGCCACCGGGGAATCGGCTTGACGAAGATTCGGTTCTTGGTCCAGACGAGATGAAGTTCAGGGCTCTCCGTGATTTGGATCTCGCGTGAGGTCAGCACCTGATAATGAAGAGGCCGAGGCGGCATCGGACGACCACAGATCCAGAGGAGGTCCTGGACGTCGTTCAGACGCCGTACAAGGAGTTCCCGTTCCAGGAAGTCGATGTCGTCGGCTTCCGCCACGACTATGTGATCGTGTTTTGCTCGGCTTGTCGCCGGCATGAGATGGCCAAAGTCTTGAGGCTGTTGTACTGTCGGTGCGGGATTGCCGGCATTTTCAAGCACCCGGACGGTGAAAGGCATAGATGACTTCTCCATGGCGCGACTCGAGGAGTTTAACGCAGGCGGGGCGATATGGATTGTGCTGGTCATTTGAGTGTCTGTTCCGCTGTCTTGCCGAAATACCACAGTCCTCGAGGCGCCGCTCGATTGCAGAAGGTGTGATTATTCGAGCAACAGGGTTGGAGGCGAGGTGCCAAATTGGTTCCTGGCCCAAGACGTCCAAATGTTCCAAGCCCGGATTAAAATATCAGGCTGCCTTCTTTGATAGTATTAGCCGTGACAAGGATCTAACTGCTAATAATGTGAACGACAGCTAACGATGCGACCTGGGGACTCCTGCAGAGCCCTTTTGGATCAAGGTGTCAGCAGGCAACCATATTCGTTGGGTTTCAACGGCCGCTCCCTTGTCAATTGAAATGAGTTGTTCGCCTAGAGCCTGCTACAGTAGAGTGTGCTATGCTCCATTTACAGACGAGCCCGCTGACGCGCAGCAGGACTAATTGCTTACGGTGGGACAGCGCTACAAATTTGGAGGCGATTTAATTCAGCTGATGGCACTATTGGTGTCATTGGATGATCGTTGACATCGCAGGATTACATTGCATGGGGCGGCTGACACCGCTAAGGTTGTTTCCGGCCGCTCCACTGCAAGGGGGGTCACTGGGATTACTGTGCCCTTTTGGCCCCCAACTTACAACAGCCTTGCGAGCCAGTGCTTACGCCGTTGCCTAGCTCCCGTGGTCTTATTCAAAGCTTGATGTTCCCCAGATTCAGAAGACGCGTTTTTCGTGCTTGAGATATTGCAGTGAATAGCAACATCATGTCTATACGTCGCACAGGAACGAGGAGGGTGCCACATGGCGGTGCTCCGGGAGTTCCGAAGCCCAAGACAACTTATCAGACGGTTCAGCAGGGCTTCAAAGAGTTGTACAACCCTCAGAAGGAGACGGGTTCTGCCATCGACGTTGAGTATGTTGTCGATGCCAGAGGGGTGTATGAGCTTGTTGCGAAATCTGACACTTTGGCAGCATTGTATTTGTACCAGGGCTGGGTGCACACCCAGAAGACAGCTGGAAGTCTGGATCGGGGTTCAACTGGGCGACCGGTATCTACGATGGCATCTCCAAGAACTCATCTGAATCCAGCGGCAAGAAGGATGGTCTGGCGAGGGATTTCCCCAAAGCTCGAATACTGTTGTATCAATATGAGTCGGCGTGGATCGGAGACCTCAAAGTGAAGACCTTCATGAAGGACATTGCCAAGACAATGCTGGAGGGTCTTCAAGCAAATCGAGAAGTACGTTGGCCTATGAAATACTCCGATACAATACGATGATACTAACATGTGTCCAGAAAATCCGAGATCGCCCAATCGTATTCATTGGGCACAGCATGGGAGGTTTGGTCATTGCTAAGGTGAGTTTCGGGCCGCACATCACTTGCAAACATTGGGGTGGGCTAACACGCCTCCCAGGCCATTACGCTTGCCGCAGACACATATCGGGATATTTTTCCAAGGGTGTTCGAATGCATTGCTGGGTGCGCGTTCTTCGGTACACCCTTCGGCGGAGCCCACGTTGCCGCTGTGGCCTCTATGCTCGGAGATATCGGTGAAAAGCTAGGTTACACCAAGTCTTCGGCATTGGTGAAGATGATGACACCCGGAGACGAAAGCTTGAATGAGCTGCGAGGCGACTTTCTGCGGTTGGCCCTCAAGTTGAGTCCGGCGGTTCAGCTTACTTGTTTCTATGAGAACCACCCAACCGACTTCACGCAAGAAAGGTACGGCACAACCATGTCAAAGATCGCCAAGGCCATTATTCCCAAGAAGGACCAGGACTTTGTAACAAGAGAATCGGCAACTCTGCCTGGAATCGAGGAGATGGGTCTCGCGGCCAATCATCGAGACCTTGTCAAATTCACCGACTTCAAGGACCCTCGATACCAGCTTGTGAGGGAGCCCTTGAAAAGAATCATTCATGGTGCTAACCTCGTGGTAAAAAACCGGCTCAATTCGACGCGTGGCATTGAGACAGAAGTATACAGCGACGTCATGGAGTTGCTGAACGGTGGTAAAGTGTCGAACAAGCGTGATATGCTTGCGCTCCAATTCCCCCCATCCATCTGGATCCCCAACGAGCCGGTGTATCTTGACTGGCTAGAAGAGGACCACGATGCAGAGAGCACGACACAGCAAAACAGAGGACAGGCCCTGTACATCCGCGGACCAGAAGGAAGAGGAAAGACGCGAGCGACTATGGCAGCGTTGCAAGGCGTCGACAAGATGATCAAGTCTGACAAGAAGGACAACAACGGGCGGGGACCTCTGCTCTCTGCGTACTTCTTCTGCGAACCTTCAACAGACTTCTCGACCGCCGAGGATCTGCTCAAGTCCCTGGTGCGACAACTCATCCGTCAGCAGGCCACGCTGGCTGTATACGCGAAGCACTTTGTGAAGAAGAAGGGCGATGACTCCTCAAAAACATCAGCAAACCTCACAGTCGAGAACCTGTGGCAGACCCTTCAGGATATCCTCACAGATGAGTTCATCGGTCGAAGGGTGTATTTTGTCATCAACAATCTGCACGTCTTGCCCGAGGATGCTGATTCGACAAAAAAATTGATGCGATTCCTCAATGCGGAGATGCACGAAATCAACAGCGAGGACGATAAGCGGGTGCCAACAAGGTGGTTCCTTACAAGCAGAGAGGTCTCGCATGTTGAAGATGCTTTGAAAGTGGATCACATTCGGCTCATCGATCTCGAAGACGACAAGTACTGCGACCAGGTCCAGCTGGAGTTGCGAAAGACAGCGCAGGAAAAGGTTCAAGAACTGGGCAACTCGAAGAAGTACAACAAGGCACTCACATACTATGCGAGTAGTCTCATCGGTAAGCGGGCATCGAACAGCCAATGGATCAAGCTGTCCTGCATGCAGCTGGCCGAGCTGCCCGATGCCGAAAGCGATCTCAAGATTCGACACATGCTGGAGAGGATGCCCCAAGAGCTCAAGGCTCTCCTAGACGCAGCGTGGTCACAGATTTTTCATTCGAATGAGAAGGACTCCGACAAGATAAAGGAGTTGCTGCGAACGCTCGTTCTCACGTTCGAAGAGCCCACGGAGGACGAGCTTGTCGTTCTCGCCGGATTCCCAGCCACTGCGGAGGGCAAGGCCGAACTCCAAGACCTAGTCAAGAAATGTAGGCCACTCTTGACTGTGAAGCGGAGCGGAAAGAACGAGAACACTGTCGGATTCATGGATAGGGTCGTCAAAGAACATCTTTTGGAGAAGGGGACGTCGAAGAGGACATTGGGCATGACGAGTGATGAGGGGAAATGGCAGCAGGGTATCATCGCCCTCCGATGTTTGGCACACATCAAGGAAGTATTCGACTTTCCTCCAGAAGAGAAACCTGCTGAAGAGGTTTGTGACGAAGACGAAGACCCAGAGGCTCAGCCCGCGGAAGACGAGGAGGACGACGACCGATCTGAGGCAGACGACCAGAACACCGAGTCGGAAGAAGATGATTCAGACAGTGGCACAGAGTGGGATGATGATGATTCCACCTACGGCCAGTACGACGAGGACAAAGAAACTGAGGAGACTCGGTCGCTAGCCGAAAAAGTTCTGCCGTACCCCGTCAAACATTGGCTGCATCATGCCAGCAAGGCTACGGTGGAGATAGCTGAGGACCTCAGCAGAGACGACTTTTGGCAGACCGAGTCCTTGATCCGGCATCGATGGCTGATTGTCTACATGTCTATGACAAAGGTCCTTGACGGGTTTGAGAGCAAAGACCTCACCGCTCTGCATATCGCTGCCGCGGTTGGCTTCAAGCAGCTCGTGTCGGCCCTCATCGAAAACGGACACGGAGATGAGATCAACAAGCGCGACACTCTCTACAATACTCCTGTAAGTCTACTATCCCTTTCAAGTCTTGCTTTTTTGGGGAAAGGGGACGATATTGCCTTCCCCTGTATTAAATACTGACCCGCTGCCAGCTCCATTTTGCTGCTTACATCGGAAGACCGAACACAGTGGACGAGTTGATCAAGCGAGGCGCCAATATCGACGACTGCATCGAGATCAGCGAGCAGACTCCGTTACACATGGCCGCATTTTCCGGTCATGTTAAAGTTATGGAAAGGCTGATCAAAATGAATGCCAATGCAAACGCGATTGCAAATGATGTCGGACCGGTAATGAACGCCGCCATATCGTCTGGTAACCCCGACGCTGTCAGGTTGCTCATTGAAAACCACGTCTCGTTGGCTGTCGAAGATGATAATATCGACTCACCACTGGCTCTAGCTGGTCTACATTCCGACCTCTCCATGTTCGAGTATCTTACAAGCACATATGCCGACAAGCTCCCGGCCAAGGAGTTCGACAAGGCGTTCATCAAGGCTGCCGTTTCTGGCAGGGTGGACGTATTCAACAAGTTGCTAACCTACTCTCACCCCCCGAATGCTTTCAGGACGCTCTGGAGGCAGCAACTGAAGAGGAGAACTGGGAGATCGTCATGATACTTCTGCAGAAACACCAGGGTCTCAACTGCGACAGTCTTTTCCTGAGTGCGGCAACGACTGCAGAACATCAAGACAAGGTCTTGGAAGCTGTCTGGGAGTACACAAACGGGAACATCTCCACCGAAAAACTCAACGAGAGTCTGTACGAAGCCACGGATCTTGAGAAGGAATCGACAGTGAAGTTGCTTATTGAGACGTTCAACGTCGATCCCAACGCGACCGGGGAATAGTGAGTACAATTTCTGCAACAAAATCTGTAGACCAATCTGACATTCTGAAGCTACGGAACCGCCTTGACTGCTGCCGCGTACGACGGAACGCTCGATATCGTCAAGCTGCTTCTCGACAGGGGCGCCACGGTTGACTTCCCTAACGGATGGGCTCTTCAGGCGGCTGCCTTGCAGGGCCACTATGATGTAGTCAAAGAACTCCTCGACCGCGGAGTGGACGTCAACGCGTTCACTACCAACGAGAACTTTCCTCAAGGGACGGCCTTACAGGTGGCATGCGAATCAGGCAAGCTGGAAATCGTCACGCTGCTGCTGGAGCACGGTGCGAACCCCAACCTGGGTGCCGGAGAAGACACCTGCCCGCTCATTGCCGCTGCCTCGAAAGGAGAGCAGGAAATCCTCAAACTTTTGGTGAAGGCCAGAGCAGACGTCAACGTATTCGGCGGCTGGGACAATTCGACGGTGCTGATCAATGCGGTTGTCAACCTCCCCGTTGAGTCGCTACAAGTGCTTGTTGATGCGGGTGCCGACGTCAACCTGGCCGACCAGGAGGCCGACACAGCTTTGATTGTTGCTGCTCGCGAGGGAGATGAGGACAGCGTCAGGTTCCTCCTGGATAACGGGGCCGATATCTTCCATACGAACCAGGATAACGAAAACGCACTTCAGTCGGCGATCACATACGGAGACAATGACGAGTGCACCGCGGTACTTGTAGAGCGCATTTCGGAGCTAATGGCGGCATTGAAAAAGGCCATGGCAGAAGGGAACACGGCGGTTGCTAATGTGGTACGAAGTGTCGGTAACGGAAATCACGGTCTTAGTTATGACGACGAGGAATCTCGGCCGTCACAGGTGCAGGCAGAGAGCGAGTCGGTGACCAGAGACACGCAGCCGAATCCCAACGACAAGATAGACGACGAATCTGATGAAGAAGATGGGAAAAAGGCGGATGATGACAGCTTGAAGGCAGAGTCGCTCCCGGTTAACGCTCAAAAAGTTGTGGACGAAGCAACCGAAATGGATGACAGCTCCTTCCGGCCGGTGAGACAACTATCCGAAGAACTCGAGGCCGCCCTCACTGCCCAAGTCTCGCTGCTTCACCAGTTCACATCTGCGCCTCGCAGACCGGAGAAGGTTCCGGAGAGGGAGCCCGTTGAACTTCCTCCGACGACTATTTCGGAGCTGCCCTCCCAGCAAGGGCAGGTGGACGAATCGTTCGGCCATTACGAGTTCGACCAGCTGACTCGCATCGAGGACTGGCCCGACAAGCCGTCTGAGAAGCCAGCCTTCGTGAAACAGCCAACGCTGCAATGGGCCTCCCAGGCCGAGAATGTCCCAACCGAACCGGTGCTCTCACCCGGTCAGGCTCCCATCCGCCGGAAACCTGCGCCAAGCGTCTCGTTCGGCGCCGCGTATGCTCAGAACGCTTCCCCTGCACCACCAGCTCCGTACAACAATCAGTTCCAGGCTCCACCGCCGAGGCTGGATCAGAAGGCGAGCTTCGACCAGCGTCCTCCCTACCAAAACTCTGCATCGTACCCCGGGGCACCGGCGTATCAAGGAGCGGGATACCCCGGCGCGAGCCAGACGCAACCACAGCTTCCAACTCAAGCAGTTGTCGACAGTAGGACCTCGAAAGAGTACTCTCCTGCGCTGCAGCAGCCGTCGGGCGCCTACCACGCCCCCTACGACCCGTCATCATACGGCAGACCAAGTATGGACACGGCGCCGCAGAAGACGCAGCCGTTCCCGGATCTGCCCTATACGGGGCCCGGGGCGTGGCAGAGTAGTCCGCCCCTGAGTGGAGGCCAGCCTCTGCAGCAACAGTCGTATTTCGGCCCTGGTAACGGGTCACCGCCTCAGCAGCAGGAATGGTCTGGTCAGGACTCGAGGTGAGTTTCTCAAATGTGATTGCCGCGTGGTGAGTGTATCATGCTAACTTCCGAACCTAGGCCTGACATGAAGTCGCATCGTGCGTCGTTTTTAGGCATGAAGAACACGCTGGACAAGGCGAAGCAGTTTAGTACCGGGATTATGAACCGCAGAACATCTGGATTCTAATGGATGGGTGGGAAAGGACAATATGCAGTATGGCGACGGAGGAGAATATGAGTACAAATAGCTAATGGATATTTACGATACCAAACATAATAACATGTTCACCGTTCATTGACATACCTTATTTGCCTTCTTATTTGGTCGCTAGGACGCCTGATCTTACTCCCTGAACCTCCGAGATCTTGAAATAATTATAGCCATCCCACGGAAGCGGTCCGGTCTCATGATTATATTCGTAGGCATGAAAAACCTGCTCGGAACGGCTAGGGATGTTCCTACTTCCGAGTACTTGATGACTCTTGCTCCGTAGCCATCTTCTCCGTGGTAACATCACCAATAGTGAAGAGGATGGGTAGAGTTGCAAAGCAGACAGCAAAGTTCTGGCACACAATAAATTCCGCAAAATTCCAATAATTCTTCGGGGTCTTTTGTTATTGATTTTCTTCAGAGATAGAAAAACAAAGATGTAAGCCTCCATACAATGTGATTGTCAAAGACTAGTGGCTGAAGTTGGAATTAGAGCGGAAAAGGATGGTCAGATCAGTGGCTGGTGGAAGAAGCGGACCCACTACTGTGGCTGGAGCTCGATCCAAAAATTTCCGGGGACAATTCCCAACGCCATTCTCAGCAGAGCGCGACAACCCAGGAATCAGCATTGCCCTCGGCCAATGTAAAGAAGCAACCCGCCCAACATGGCAGCAGCAGGGCAAGCATTCCGACTCTGCGTCCGCAGCTGTCGCCGGATATCAACGACACCGCGCATCGCCGTCACCGTACCCCGAGCCTCGACACGCCAATTCGCCCAGACGCAACGACGAACATTCGCCGCGAGCTCCACAAGACGGGCACCGCCGAACGATGAGGGAAACCCCGACGGCGAGGAGGGCGAGGAGGGTGTCATTTCTGCGCCGCGCGAGACGCTCGAGGAGATGATGCAGCGTCTCAAGCCCGAGGAGCTCAAGGCGCTTGAAGGCGTCAAGAAGCTCGATCCGTCGGCCCAGCAGATGTCGCTCGAGCAATTCCTCGAGAGAGAGATGAGCCAGGACGAGGAGAAGCACGAGAGGCTGTTCACCCCGCAGGAGTGGAAGCAGGTGGCGGCCGAGGGACGACCGAACAGAACGTCGTTCTGGTACGACGAGGACGACCCAACGGCCCCGACAGAAGACATGGCGGACGAGTTCGACGAGGACGATATGACGCCCATGGCGCACGGAAAGTTGGACGAGATTAGGGAGCACAGACATTACCACCGTATCATGGCGTGGGAGATGCCGCTGCTGTCCAGTACGTTCTCGCCCTCCCCCAATTGGCTTTGCCAAAGTGGCCTCTTTAGGGGTTGACCAAGATTTTTTGTGTGCTGACTTGTCACCCTAGAGCTGGCCAAGCCGTTTGAGCCTCCCCAGGAGGACCAGATCTTGCGATTCCGATACACGACGTACATGGGCGAGTACCACCCGGCAGAGAGGAAGGTGGTGGTGCAGTTCTCGCCGGCCGACCTCAAGCTCTCACCCGTGCAGGCGGACAAGCTCCGGAAGCTGGCGGGCCCTCGATACAACCCGGAGACGGACGTCATCAAGATGAGCTCCGACAAGTACGAGCACCAGGCGCAGAACAAACGCTACCTGTCGGACTTGGTGGACAAGCTGATCGCGACCGCCAAGGTAAGCAAACGCATCTTGCGTCTCAGCACCTGAACAAGCTAGACTGTGTGTTGGAGAGCGAAAGGCTAATCAAAGAAACCCTGATAGGACCCCAAGGACACGTTCCAGGACATCCCGCTCGACACGCGGCACCACGCGTTCAAGAACAAGCCCAAGTTCCCCAAGGAGTGGCGCATGACTGAGGAGCGCCGCCAGCAGCTGGATGCGTTCCGCCTGCGGGCGCTCGAAATCGACGCAGGCAAGCAGGAGAGCGGCCACGTCGTCGACGGCACGGAGAAGATCGAACAGGCCCTCGCGACGGCGGAGGAGCAGGCGGGAGAGAAGGTGGCTCAGCTGGTGGGCGCCCGGGGCCGGGGCGCGGGCAAGCAGAAGGCTGTCCGTCGGTAAGGAGGGTCATGCTGCTTGGCTCCGTCCGAGAAGGGGACTCCAGTCCCGGACTAAGGAAAACTGTGTATGACTAGGCGGCTGATCCGTCAATGGGTTCGGCCTGCCCGTGTAACATCTCCGTGTATACATCCGTGCCAGATTGGAATTATAGAAATCCAAAAAATAGGGTGGCTTTTGCGGTTGATCCTATCACTACATGTCATACGGACGAAGCTGGACGTTCACCAATGATATAACGTGGGCCGTCGCGGCTACAGCAGATACCAGCAATCGCTTTGGCCTGATGAAATGTTGGCCAATGAAGCCGAATCCGAACTCTTACCTGAGAGACATCGACCTCTCCGATGGCAGAATCGCAGTCGAAGCCGCCGTTAGCACCCTCATTGGGGAATTAGAGCTTGCGCCGACGACAACCATGCATACGGGGAATGTTACCGCATGATCTCCTTCCCAATTGACTCGCTCAAGATCAGCATGCTGGGATGATTGCCAGTCGCTCGCATCTCTGTGTCCCATTCATGCCCAGTGGGGACTAGGCAGAATGCGAAAAGGGGATCCAAGAGGTTAGACTCTCAGGGACAGGGGTATTGGCTGTTAGTCAGCTAGATGGATCCAAGCCTTAATCGATGCCTCGGCATCTTTTGGCGTAAGGTAGGTGCTTCGTTTCTTCCCCACATACGAGGCGCCACCCCCTGCAGCCATGCAGCAACCGGTAGCCCCGACTGATTTGCGACCTGGCTAGAGCTTCAAGCTTGGCGTGTTCACCCTGCTAAAGCTCAGGCGTCACGACTACGAGCAAATTCTGCTAGTAGCAAGACGGCGTCAGATGAGACTGGCGTGGACGGTTCACCTGAAGCCTTAGCTTCCCTTCACCTGGGCGCCTTCTAGGGCTGTTTGATGAGCTTCGATAGTGATCATGGTCCTAGGTGAAGGTAGGTACGTTAGCCATGCGTGTCATGTAAGGGACGCTGTCAGTGATGGGCGATGGACTACGACGGTGTCCCCGTTCTAGCCCGCTCCGTCGGGACATCTTTAGTCCCCATTCCCTGTTCGTCCTCAACGCACCAGGGCTAGGACTGCCACTTAGTCGGATTCCCGTAGCGGACGGGACAGCATTTTGTTGTTGGGTACTGTTCACATGCAACTAGCGTAGCGCACCGTTCCCGTAAGCTCTTCCCCCTCTCCACGCCATCTTGGGAAACGAGCTCGTTTCCAAGGTGCAGCGGATTCGCCCCCCTGCCTCCCCAATCACTCTCCTGCATTCATTCTCGTTCGGGCCAGTCAGATACATCCATCTATACATCATCATTCGCACTCGCATCATCGACTTTTCAATTCTTTGGCCTACTGTTCGAGCAATACAGTGATACACCATATAACTGCATTCCATCCTTGAAGAAAGCCAGCAACCATCAATCAATTTAGGCACCAAGACCCGCTGGATCGCTGGACCAACATCTTAGCCGAGGTTTCCAAGACTCCTCACTGCATATTAGAGTGTCGTAGCTCACGTACCTAGCCATCACACCCACGCGGCACGGAGGCCGAGCACGGGGTGGAGCTTTGTTGCATCCATCCTTTTCACTTCACAAGCTACCTACCGACGGCGTCCGCATCTGCTTGGCTGCTGATACTGCGAACTACATAAAGTCGCGGCAACCCTTACAACTTTAACTACTCCCCCCTTCTCCGCGACCCCGAACCCCCGACTTTTGCCATCTTCCCCTCACGAACCTTCTTCCCATCTCCTCAGGTCCGGTTCATCGTGACAGCTTTGAAGAGTCCATATACAAGTCCATCGTATTGAAGCCGTCATCATGTCGCTCGCACTCGACGTCAAGATCCCCGAGTTCACTCACACCTCCACCGACGACATCTACCGCCTCACAGACACACTGCGCGCCACCTTCCGCTCCAACAAGACCAAGGACCTCAAGTACCGCACCCACCAGCTCCGGAAGCTCTACTGGGCCATCAAGGACTTCACCCCCCAGCTCTGCGATGCCCTGCGCAAGGACCTGCGCAAGTGCAAGCATGAGGCCCTCCTCTCCGAGGTCGAATGGTGCGCCAACGACTGCCTCTACATGCTCAAGAACCTTGAAAAGTTCGCCGCCGACGAGAAGTGCGAGGACGTGCCCCTCACCTACTCCATGCTGAAGCCGCGCATTCGCAAGGAGCCGCTCGGCATGATCCTCGTCATCGGTGCCTTCAACTTCCCCGTCCAGCTGACCCTCATCCCCATCATCGGCGCCATCGCCGCCGGCTGCACCGCCGTCCTGAAGCCCTCGGAGAGTGCCCCGGCCACCGCCATGGTCCTGACAAAGATCTTTGAGGCCGCCCTCGACCCTAAGGCCTATACTGTCGTCAACGGTGCCGTCCCGGAGACCCAGGCTCTGCTCGACGTCAAGTGGGACAAGATCATGTATACCGGCAGCACCGCCGTCGGCAAGATCATCTCCAAGAAGGCTGCCGAGACCCTCACCCCCGTCACCCTCGAGCTGGGCGGCCTGAACCCGGCCTTCATCACCAAGCACGCCGACGTCAAGCTCGCCGCCCGCCGCCTCATGTGGTCCAAGTGCCTGAACGCCGGACAGGTCTGCATCTCTCAAAACTACATCCTGGCCGACCGCGCCATTGTCGACGAGCTCGTCCGGAGCCTCAACGCCACCCTCAAGGAGTTCTTCCCTAGCGGCGCCAAGAACAGCCCCGACTTCTCCCGCATCGTCAACCAGAGGTCGTTTCAGCGCATCAAGAAAATGATTGACGAGACCAACGGTAAGATCGTCATGGGCGGCGGTATGGACGAGGAGCAGCTCTTCATTGAGCCCACCGCCGTCCTAGTCGACTCCATGCTCGACTCCGTCATGAAGGACGAGTCCTTCGGCCCCGTTTTTGCCATCATGCCGTACGACTCTCTCGACGACGCCATCAACATTGCGAACCAGGTCTACAGGACGCCCCTGGCGCTCTTCGCCTTTGGCAACGACCAGGAGACTAAGAGGAGTGAGTAGACATCGTCACTCTCGTGAAAATGACACATGCTAACACACTCGCAGTCCTCAACGAGGTGACCTCGGGCGGCGCTACTATCAACGACGCCTTCTTTCACGCCTCCATCGCCACCGTCCCCTTCGGCGGCGTCGGTGAATCGGGCACAGGCAACTACCGCGGCCGCGCCTCCTTCGAGGCCTTCACCCACCGCCGTTCCATTGCCCGGACCCCCTCGTGGATGGAGAAGTTCATCCGCGTCCGCTACATGCCCTACTCCCCCAAGGAGCTCGCCCGCCTGCAGCGCATGACGGCCGACAAGCCCGACTTTGACCGCAACGGCGTGCAGGTCCGCGGGCTCGGGTACTGGGTGCGCTTCGTCGTCGGTCTCGGCGCCAAAGGTGCCAAAGGTGCGTTGCTGAGATGGATCCTGGCCCTGGTAAGTCTGTACACCCTAACCCAGCGAAGGCGTTATTAGGACCTTGATCGGATGAGGAGGGAGAGAGGAGAGAGAATGTCTCACACTTTCTATCACACTTCACCTCCTAAGATCATGTAACCCTCTATGCCTATTTACGTACACACACACACACACACACATTCCCCAGGTGCAGATCTGGCACATCACGTCACATGCCCTGTGCGATTTTTCTTTATTGTAAGTTTAGCCCCCGCTCAGGTGTGTCCTCTTGGAGGTCGGGGGGCATTCAGAAAAAAGTTTCGGCTTGCAGGATACACTCGTTGGGAGTGAGGAAGATATCTCAATGCCCGGGCCGGTGCAAAAAGGGGGAGGAGACCTCGGAGATGGACGACACTCTTTGGTGGCTCGGGCGGGCTTGTACGGTACTGTGTTATATACCATTTTCCATATGTTCACGCGGTAATAATGCGACGAAGGCAACGCTATGCCTTTTGACATTCTTTCAAAGCCGGTTTCTTCGTCGTGCAAATTGACTGGGGGCCCTGCGTGGAACACGGCCGCTAAGATGATACTCCTCTCGTGGCCGCCTCCCTACTCTCTGACGGCTCAGCAATTCACCGTGTGTCACCTTGCAGTACCAATGGGAACCGTCCACGATCTCCTCGCCACCTCGACAGGGACGTTCATCTCCAACCGGTCCTCGTCCTCTACTCCCGCGCCCGTCGCGTTCGTGCCGCAGCTTGGCTCTTGTGGGAACGGGTCGGGGTCGAAGTATCCCGGTCTTGCATCGGATCGCTTCCTCTTGCGCCGCCTCTGTTCTCCGAGAGTGGATTCGACGAACGACGAGAAGGCGCTCGATCTCGAGATGTTGCGCAGCTGTGGCGCGCTGGTCTGTGGTCTTGCGGCCGAGCCTCCGGTGGCTCGGGAAGCTTGTCCTGTGTCGGCGTCGTCTTCTGTGTAAATCGCCTTCTCCTTGCCCTCGTATTTGCCCCTAGTCTTTGGGATGTTCAGACCCACTTCCTCATCGACGAGGTCCACAGGGGAAACAGCTTCCACTCCCGAATAGACCGGATTCTCGGCTGGAGTCTTGTCCGCTGGACTGTTGATGATCGATATGGCAACGGCAGCAGCGGGGCCCTTCTCCTTCCTCTTCTTCGCGTCTTTCTCGGCCCATCTCCTGTTTCGACCCGTCTTGTAAGTCTCAAACCCCGTTTGCGCAGTGCGGTCGCCGTCGATGTAGCGCTCGAGGAACAGCTCGAGGCGGTCACGGAGACGGAGAATGCAGCGGTAAGGCGTTATTCGTGGTCGACTTTGGGGGGCAGGTGTTGGTGAACTGGCCATGATGCCGCGTTTCGGGGCTTTCGAGTGGTGATTAGCCAGAGTCCGGCTGGGATGCAAGTTTATCTCTGGTTGACGATGGCCGACGAAGGGAAGCAGGATAATGGGATTGTAGTTGGTGTGTAATAAAAGAATGGCGCGGACATCGGGTCGCCCAGCTTGTCACCCATCGCCTTCGTGTACCTCATTCACCGTTCCGCGAACCCCTGAGTGACAACATCGAACAGCAGACATCTGCTCAGATCAAACGGCCCGTCTGTGCCACACACGGCATTCCATACCTCTCGCTCTGCTGGAAATACACGGATTGGGAAACCACCATCGTCCACAAAAGAAAAAGAAGAGCTTGCCGTTTTTTTTGCATTCTATAAGTAATCTGGTAGTACAAATCCCACCATACCTCTCCCGCCTTCCTGCATCTCTGTCGTCTATCTCCTAGCAGGAAAAGGCGTATCCCTACTCATTTGATGGCCATCTCAGATACCCCTGAGCTGTGTATTATCCCGCTCATCGACCCGCTGGTACCGCTCCGCGAGCGCCTCCTTGACCGACTTGGTCAGCCCGCTCGGCTTCTCGTATCGCTGGTGCAGCGCCCTCTGCACCGGTGACGCCGCGGGGAGCACCTTGCCGTCCGCCTTGACGCTGACCTTGTCCTCGGCCACGCCCGCCGCCTGCTGTGCCGCCACGAGCACCGCCTCGCCCTGCTGCTTGCCCTTCTCTACGGCGTCGCCCACGGCGACCTTGATCTCAGCTGCCTTCTCGTCGACGTACTTTCTCGCCTCGGCAGCCTTGGTGCGCGCCGCCTCCTCGGCAGCAAGACTCTTTTCCCTCGCGCGCTCCCACGCGCTGCGCGCCTCTTTCCTGACGCTCTCGCTCGTCTCCTCCGCGAACGCGACGCCCCGCGCGGACGCCTCCTTCGCCAACGGAACCGCCTTCTTCTCAACGACCTGCTCCGCCTCGCCGGCCTTGTCGATGGCGCCTCCCCAGAGCCTGGCGGCGCCGCTCTCGAGGCCTTCGCGCACCTCGGTCCAGTCGGTCCGCTGCGCCCACCTGACGGCGTTCTCGACCTCGCGATTCCAGCGGTCCTTTGCGGTGGTGAGGAGGGTCTCGCGGTCCTTGACGGCCTGCTCGGAGCGTGTCAGAGGCGGGGGGATGCGGACCTGGGGCTCGAGGATGGAGGAGAGGACGTGGGTCTGCGAGCGGAGGATATGGGACTGCGTTTCGCGGTTGCGTTGGTGGGCGAGGACTGTCAGGTAGGCGACGCCGAGGGTCACGGTTACGCCGCCGGTCTGTTACGGACGAGTTAGTTGCCCGGTGTGCCAATTGGGAACTCATGTCAAGAGTTGGGCGGTCGAGGGACGACGTACGAATCCTGTGGTGAAGCCCATGATGGCACTTGTTCGTTCCGTTTACGGTGCGACTGTGCGCAATTGAGCCGTGCTTTTATATGTGGTATCCTCTCCGTGAAGTTAATCTAGATCAAGGGATCATGGTGCGATTCGGAGAACGACCGTCGTAAGTTCGAGTTGGCGTTGCCGCTTTTGGGTGCTTCCGAGAAGCGGGACGGCCAGCTTCGGTGGGAATGACGTTAATTAATCGGCTTGCGAGAGAGAGCGAGCGACTTTCAGCCTCTCCGGGTGGATTTCGGCGAGCCGTCGCAGGGGTAGAGGTACCTTACGGGAGAGGACCGCTGGGAGGGAGACCCGCACAGGCGCACGCGCTAAGCCAACCAGCGGCCTCTGAAGGAGCCCACACGGTGCTCAGGAACGACCAGGCCGGGGATACGCCGCCCGGGTGCCAAAAATTTGGGAGTGAGAGACGAGAAAGGCTATATCGCATCGATTCGATCTGCCCTGCGAACCACCGGCCCGCCATCCAACGACGTACGACCAGAGAGCTTCGACACCAAGCCTCACGAAAGCTCTCGCTCCTCCTCGAGTTCCCGATTGAACGAGCCTGCCGATTCATCGGACCCATTTAAGACACCTACACATTAGCCATGGCGGGCGGTCTCGTCAAGTACAGGCACCTGAGCCGCAACTCGTCGGCGCGACAGGCCCTCCTCCGCGGCCTCGTCACCTCCCTCGTTGCCCACGAGCACATCCACACCACCTACGCCAAGGCGAAGGAGGCCCAGCGCCTCGCCGACAAGCTCATCACCTACGCGAAGCGGGACAACGAGGAGACGAGGCGGAAAGCCCAGGCCATTCTCTACGTCAGTCCGCCCCTGCGGCTACACCAGCCTCGACATGCGATGTCGCCCACGTGTGAAGGACCATGAAAGCTGACAGCTGTGTTTCGTCTACAGACCCCCCATGATCTCCTCCCCAAGCTCTTTGGCGAGCTCCGCGAGCGCTACTCCGAGCGCCCCGGCGGCTACACGCGCGTGCTGCGCACCGAGCCGCGGAGCACCTACGACCAGGCGCCCTCGGCGATCCTCGAGCTCGTTGACGGACCCCGCGACGCCCGCTTCATGATGACGGCCAAGGCCGTCGCCTTCGACAAGGACTCGGGCAAGAGGCACACGGAGCTGACCAAGAAGAACGTCTCCAAGGTCACGAGGTACCGCAAGGACGGCAAGACGGCCTTCGATGACATGGTCGCCAGCTTCCGGCTGCTCAGCGCCAGGAGCAACGGCGGCAAGGGCAAGAAGGGCGACACGGAGGAGACTGAGGCGTGAGTCGGCGCTGAAGTGTGAGTGGGAAAAAGGGGTAAAGGTGTGGATGACGGGGGGAGACGAGGCGTTGCAAAATCTGTAACTCATAAAGAACGGTGTATCATCAGAGGGAAATACCTGGCCAGTCTATAGATTACGGTCGTAGGGTATACATGTATACTACGGGAAGCTCCCAAAAGACAAAAAAACTTTTCACGCGTCTGCCGCGATCAGGCAGAAGCACACATCTACTCTATCCGCCGCTTGTTCTTACACGAAATCAAAGGTGTCGCCCTTCTCCTGGATCATCTTGCCCACACGCTGCGTGCCGACGACACGCTCCAGCTTCATGACATCGTACTTTGAGAACATGACACGGACGGTGCCCTGGCCGGGCTCCAGCTTGAGGTCCTGCTCGCTGCGGGCAAGGTAGCCTCCCGCGATCTCGCGGTAGAAGATGGGGTTGTCCGGCAGGCTGTACATGACGACGCGCTGGACGCCGCGCAGCTGGTAGCGGCGGAAGTGGTGCGCGCGCTCCGTGTACAAGAGGACCTTGTGCCGGCCGGTGAGGAAGTGGGAGCGCGCGCGCGAGGCCTCGGGCACGTCGGCGTACTCGGAGATGGTGCCAAAGGAGAGCGCCGCGACGGCCGGGTTCGTGGCAAAGTAGTTGCGCACGCGGACAAAGTCGAGGTACGAGGGGATGAAAATGAGGGTGCCAGTGGTGTCCTTGGCGCGCTTGATGAGGGAGGGGAGGATGGCCGAGACGAAGTAGTCGAAGCGGGCATCGGGCTCCTTGTCGATGGACCGGCACTCAAAGCGGGAAAAGGTCTGGCGGGCCTTGAGACCGAGCTGTGTGAGGACGCCCGCGGAGTCAGCCTGGAAGCGGATCTTGCCGGCCCAGTTGTAGCACTGCGTGCGGAAGAGCTCGGTGAGCTCGGGGGTGTTGAAGGCCGACAGCATGATGGTCTGGCGGAAGTATTTTGCCCAGTCCTCGAGGTACCAGCTGCGGACGCGGCTAAAGTCGCAGCCGTGGGCGTCCTTGGGCTGGAGGTTCATGTGCGCGAAGATGTACTCGACGTGCTCCCAGTTCTGCATGAGCTGGGCATCGGCCTGGTCGACGACGACCATCTCGATGGAGCTGAGGAAGTCATAGTCCATCTTCTTCTTGTCTTCCTCGGCGCCGATGGCCATGCGGAGACCCAGCGGACTGGCGAGGAGGATGTCCGAGTTGTAGAACTGCGAAAAGTACTTGACCGTCTTGCGCGTGAACTTCATACCGATGCGGAACATGTCGTCGTCGTTGCCCTCGAAGAGCTCACGGAAGTCGGCGGGCTTGTCGTCGCCGAACTTGACGTCGTCGTCGGTGTACGCCTCCTCGAATCGTTTGCGGTTCTCCCGCTGGTCCGGCGCGCACAGCTCCTCAATCGTGTTGACAATCTTCAGACAGGACTGTCTTGTCGGCAGGATGAAGAGAATCTTGGGGCGTGTGAAACCCTGGTCTCTGAGCTCGAGGTCCGAGTTCTCCTCCTTCGCGAGCCTATAGTTGTTTTTAATGACTCTGTCTCGGGTCCTGTGACTGTGTGAGCGATTACCCCTGAACTGGGTGTCGTGAACATTCTTACTTGAAGACATGGTTGACGGCATGCAAGCACACAAGCTGCCGCAACCCTTCAGAGTTTTGAGTGTTTCGGTTATCGTACAGAATGTCGTTGTAGTTGAAAATCGTAGGAGCAATGGCCTGCTGCAGGGGATCGAGTGTGGCCATCTTCTTGGAGGCAGTTTCTCTCAGCTTCTGCTTGAGTTTGAGGCCGTCCAGGCTGGAAATCGGGGAGGGAATCGCTGGTGCGTCTGAACCTTCCACCTGAGGATACGTCACGACCGCTTTCGAAACCTTTGACATTGTCCGCTTGAAAGTCCAGTCCCTCTTTTGGATCGCCTTGACTCTCTTCACGGTCAAGTCTTCATTGGGTGTTGTGAAGTGGTTGTCGAACGGATCCGAGGCATCGACGTCGTCTTCATCATCGCTTTGCTCCTCTTCCTCTGCCAGGTCGGCCATCGGATCTTCGGCCTCCTCAACTCTGTCGACATCCTTGCCCTCCTTTTCGTCTTCTTCAGACTCATCAGACTCGGACTCGGTCTCGGAATCAGCCTGGGCAGTGCCTTCAGACTTGCCGCTTTCGAGTTTCCGTCTTTTGGCGCTCGGCTCTGAAGATTCTGTGAAACCTTGAAGAAGTGCCATGTATGGGCGTGTGTTTTGGGGCTTCTCATCCTCGTCCTCGGACATGGAAACATCAGAATCCTCTTCTATTTCGGAGTCCATCTCCTCCTCTCCGGACTCATCCTCATCCGATGACCTGGCTATGTTAGTCCTCATGCAAGATTCATGGATTTGGGGATAGGACTGTATCGTACTCCTTCTCCTCAACACGGGCAGTATCAAACCGGGATGACCGAACAAACGGCCTGCCTCCCCTGCTTCCTCCTCTGCCTCTTCCTCGTCCGCCTCCGCCGCCACGCCCTCTGGCGCCGCCTCTTCCTCCTCCTCCCCGGAACCCGGCACGACCTCTGCCTCTTGGGCCCATGATACTTCACTGAGAGTCACCGAGAAAAGATCTCAGATGAGATTGTAAGAAAAAAACGAAAAAGTGAAGTCACTGAAAAAAAAACTCATTCACTTGTCCCGTCGCAGAAAAAAAAAGCTATAAGTCGTCGGCCATAAACTCAGCCTTGCAGAAAATCCCACGCTGGCCACCAGCCACAGCGGGGCACTGCCGCCACAGCAAGTCGTTATCGATCCTTATCTTAGCGCGCACAACCCGGTCGGGGCCAACCACAAATCGCAAAATCCGCACTCACCCACTGAGAAAGCGAAAGGAGGGTACGGGTGCAGAGTTCGACGCATTTTTTGAAGCGAACCATCGCGAAAAAAGGACGCCCGTAGCCAGAGACCGAAACCCACTTCCCAAATTTTGGCCCGCGCATCCAACCCGACCTCCCCCCTCCCCTCCCTCTCCTGAGAACAACTTCTCAACCCTCTCCCGCCTGCAGGTCCCTCCGAACAGTCAACGACAACCCGAAATTCTCAAATCCTGCCCAGTATGGCTGTCGCCGAAACTGAGAAGTTCCTCCACCTCTCGCGGCCCATCGCGCCGGCCACGATTGGCATCCCAGGCAACATTGCCCCGCTCACCGTCAACATCCAACCCCAGGTACGACACCTCTTGCTGCGCTCAACGGCCCAAGCTATATACCCCGAAGCCATGTCTCAGACCTCACTCAAGTCTTGACATATATACATACACAATATTCATCTACCCCTCCAAGACAGCTCGTCGCTGACCCCACCTCTTCTCTCTCTCCTACAGGCTATCCTCTCCATCCTCGACCATGCTGTGCGAAGAGACATCCGCGATACGCAATCAACTCGCGTTATCGGCGCCCTCGTCGGTGTCCGCTCCGAAGATGGCACCGAGGTCGAAGTGCGCTCCTGCTTCGCCATCCCTCACACCGAGAACGAGGACCAGGTCGAGGTGGACGTCGACTACCAGAAGAACATGCTGGCCCTCACCCTCAAGGCCAACCCGCGCGAGTCCCTTCTCGGCTGGTACACTACCACCCACGAGCTCAACTCCTTCTCCGCCCTGATCCAGAACTTCTTCGCCTCCCCGGAGACCGGCACCTTCCCCCACCCCGCCGTTCACCTGACCATCAGCACCGACCCGACCTCCGACATCGAGGCCCGATGCTATATCTCCGCCCCCGTCGCCGTCAACGCCGAGCGCGCCGCCGAGAGCTGCCTCTTCATCCAGGTGCCCCACAAGCTCATGTATGGCGACGCTGAGCGCAGCGCCCTCGAGGCCATCTCCATGGCCAAGGACACCGAGGACCGCACCGCCCCCGTCGTCTCTGATATCGAGGGCCTCGCCCGCTCCATCGAGTCCGGCACCAACCTCATCGAGCGCGTTAGCGACTGGGTCAACGGCATCCTCGATGAGGACGAGGAGCCCAACCAGGCCCTCGGCCAGTACCTCATGAACGCTCTCTCGCTCGCTCCCAAGGTCGACCCCGAGCAGATCGAGCACGACTTCAACAACCACATCCAGGACGTCCTCATGGTCTCCTACCTGGCCAACACCATCCGCACGCAGATCGACCTGTCGCAACGGCTGGCTGTTGCCAACCTCACCGGCGGCGAGAAGGACGGCGAGGGCAAGACGACCGAGGGCGGCGAGAAGGGCGAGCAGCGCGGTGGTGGCGGACGTGGCGGCAAGCGTGGTGGCCGCGGCGGTGGCCGTGGTGGCGGCCAGAGGGGAGAGCCCAGAGAGCCTCGCGAGCCCCGCGAGCCGAGGGAACCTACCGAGTAAAGCAGCTAATCTTTGTTTGAAAACGTATTCTCTCACATGCAGAGCCATGGAACAAGAAGAGAGAATATCGGACAAGCCCCCCAAAATGGAAAAAAGGAGACGGAGGTTGACAGAGACGTGTAAGCCAGCACGCGATGCAGGCATTTTCCGCCGCAAGGTTAGCAAGCATGGCATCATGAGGAACCCACACTTGATAAAACCATCATGGCGTTATGGCAGTGGCAGAATTAGACGGCCTAGGGTAGAATGCGCTAGGCAGTTGCAATGATGATTATTCACGCTTTCATGCAGATATTCAGACATGATAACGATTGGATATCCTTGATTTTCAAGAAAGTTGAGTGACAATTAAGGTACGTAAGTGTTCTAGCATGCAATAGCCTACATGATCTGATGCCATCCTGTCCCTCCGTATGAACGCCAATATGCTGTACCTTTGAAACCCCCCCCATGCGCCGTTCATTCTGCCGTAGACCTTCAACGTCAAATGCTCACCTAAACACCCATGTTTGGCTTCTGCGGCAAAGTAGCAGGGTTGCCATAGTGAGGCAAGTGGCTGAACGTCTGTCCGGCCGGACCCTGGGGAATAGCGGGTTTGTTAGGAATGTGGGGAGAAGGGTTTTGCGGAAGGTGCTGCGGCGGGTGTTGAGGGATGTGAGAACCCGGTGCTTGAGGGAGAGGGTTAAGGTGATGAGGATGTTGTGGCGGCGGAGGGTGGTATGAAGGAATCGAGTTGTTCGATCCCTGCCGGGCCATGCCATAACCGTAAGGGGCCGGCGGTCCTGGCTGCTGGTAGCCGGCGTACGCCAAGTGAGGTGAGCCAATCTGAGGGCTACCATGATGAGAGCCAGGCGCGCTAAATGGCGGCTGAGGTGGCTGCATTGGAGCCATGCCCCCGCCAGGAACGAACGACTGCGTCTTGGGGTTGAACGCATGCCGGTTGTAGCTACCAGGAATGGGGTGCTGGCTCTTAGGGTCGTTTGGGTTGACATTGGCCGGCAGCTGTCCGTACATGTATGGAACCGTGCCCTGTCCGGGCGGCGCAGACATACCTCGCGGGGTGTAGGCGGTCGCATTGGCCGTAGAGGGAGGAGTCATCGGTACCGGCGCCGGTCCGAATCCCTGCTGCCAACCTTGCTGCGGAGGGGGAGCCGGTCCAGGTCCAGATCCTGCATAGTTCCTGGCGCCCGGAGGTGGCTGGAACTGGGCTTGGTTTGTCTGCGGCGGGTACTGAGACAGGTTAGCTCGACGTCTTCGAGTGTGAAGTGCTTGCTTACGGGTGGCATGTTGGGGTACGCCGCATTGTAACCCGTATTGGGCATCATGGGAGCGAAGGTTTGCGTAGGCGTAGTGTTGTAAGGGGCTTGGATCTGGTTCGGATACGGTTGCTGCTGCACCGGAGCACCGTACTGGTTGGAGACAGGGACGTACTGGGGTTGCGGCATCCACGTCTGTTGCTGCGGGCCCCAGTAGGGAGTGTAGTTGTGTCTCGAGTCGAAGCTGTCAGAATCATCTCGTCTCTGTTTGCCCGTTTTACCCCTTTTACCAGATTGGGGCTTCTCTCTAGCAGAGACTGAGCTGGCGCGTGAAACGCCATTTTCACCATCATTGTCTTAAAACATAATCAGTATGACTTCAAACAAAACATATGGGTATACATACCGGGTGTTGATTCCCCAGTCTTTTCGGAGTTACCAAATATTCTCTCACGGGCTTGCTTGTATGCTTCTTCACGTTGTTCCCTCGATAATCTACACCAGTCAGCAAAGCACAAGCCATCGTAGGATAGAAGACATACTTCTGGTTGGCAGCACCTGACTTGTCCTTAGAGTCACTGCCAGTCTCGGATGTAGGCTTGGATGGAGAAGAGCTGTTAGTGCCAAACTCTCCCTCCTCTCCACGTCGCATGATTTTTCGCGGCAGAACTGCAGGCGGAGGTGGCGTCTCGGCATTGGTCTCCGGAGCAGCGATACTAGCCAGCGACTCAGGCACCCTGGCATAAGGGGTTCGGAAAATTCGCACAGATCCAACGCGAGCTTCATACTGATGTGTCATCCGGTAGTAATCGGCTAGCTTGTGGGTGAGCATCCTACAGAAAGAATTGGATGGAGGGAAATCCATATAAGGTTCCCTAAACGGTTGTCAGCCATGTGAATTCTTGAGTTGTTCTCAGATAGACTCACTTGGAGTTCTGAACAAATTTGATCAACTCGGCCTCCAGTCGCAACAGGAATAACCGGTCCTTTGGGGAAGCCATGGCCTCCAATAGCTTTTCGTCTGGCGCTTGTCCATAGATGGTGTTCAGAAGATTGGCTGAGTCGGGTAGAGTGGCCGACAAAGCGTTAGCAGAGGGCATTGGCGGTTGATCCGAAGAAGCGCTCTGCGGTGTGATCATGCCTTGGCTCAGAGCTCCGGAGATGGGCTGGGCGAGGCGGCGATCTGGCATGTCGCCAAGCTGAATGATCCCCCTCGCACGTGCAGCTATATCAGAGCCCATCCTAGAACTGGGTAGGTTCGGTCCTCGGAAGGAAAACGAGTCGTCATCTTCGGCAGCCGCGGCTTTGACGCTGGCGCTGTCGTCCGGTCGCAGTGACTCCTTCTCATCCAACGCGAAAGTTGTTCCCGACGTGATGCTTTTCCCGTCTAGACTAGGAGGCTTAGTGCCGAGCTCGGAGCTCGAGTCAGCTCTCTGGGAATCGTCTGAACCGTCCTTGGTCAGAGACTTTGATCGCTCGTTGAACGAAGATCCCGTTCCGTTGACGACGAGGCTTGGTGTTCGTTGTCCAATGTTTAGGTCTTTCAGTCCATCCACGACAGGGTCGGTCGCATCAGCCTTCTTGGGCAGGGCAGGCTCGCGCTTGGCGGCAGTCGGTGCGGGTTTCGTGGAGTTCATGGCCAGAGATGGGTGGCTGTCGGCTCCGTTTGCAAGGAAGGGTGTAGGAACAGGGGCGGCGTCAGAGGACGAGGCTTGGTCTGGGCGGTCTTGAGCTGATGCGGTTACTCGTCGTACGGTAGTGACAGGTAGGTTGTCTTTTGATGCCGATGCAGCGACCTAGACGAGCGCAAGGTATGTTAGCATTTATCGCTAGGCAACAACTGAGCTTGGAAAACGAGGGGCAGCTCAGAAGCGCAGCGCACCTTTGCGAAAGAGGGCTTAGGAACGTCGGATGACATGTGGGCAGTGGCCATAGCTGAAGTAGAGGTTCAGAGGTGGCTCGACTTCAGCCGTTGGTGGTGGGATAGAAATGGAAGTCGTCTGCTCAAGGTGAATCGCGCAGGAAAGCTGGTGACGCGCGACGAGACGAATTGGAAACCAGGATTGAAAAGAGGATGAAGGACGATATCCGAAATCAAGAAACAAACTGGATCAAGGCGGGCCTGCAGAGCGAGAAAGAAATACCGTGGATCATCGTCGGGACAAGCTCGTCATCGTAGCTGGAGTGTTCCTGGATGGTCGATGGTTGGTAGCCCCGGTTCTCGTCAGAGAGGAGAAATGGGCGTCGTCGGATGCTTGGATCAGGTCTGCGCCCGGGTGGTTGTCCGTTAGCGGTTGTAGCCCAGAACTGGATCGCAGGTAGCTGGCAGGTGAGCGCGCAATATATGAGACGAGGCGACTGTGAATTTTTTGGCGGCCTGCGAGGCAGATGGTCCGTCACGGGCTTGAAAAGAGGGGGTGGGTGTGGGTGGTGTGGTGCAGACGATGTAGTGTGGGAGGGAATTGACAGAGCTGTGGTGTGGGTTTTTGGGATTGCGCTGGAAAGGGAAAAAGAAGATGGGGAAACTGGAGAACGGAACCGACAGGCTCAGGCTCACTCACCCTTGGCAATTTGTTTCGCTAGCTCGCTCACGGTGTGCAAGCGAGGTATCTGGAATATAAATAATGGAATTGTGTCGCGATAACTGACTCCGGGAAAAAGGTGTGAGGTTCCTCTTCTCTTCTGGTCTCTATTTCTCGGTCGTAGAGCCGTGGTAGAGGAGCTAGAAGCTTAAATGCCGGCAACTCCCAATCGAGCGGACAGCGGTCTCAAGTCGGTATTAGATGGTGTCAGACGGCTGCCATCCCTTCCGCAACGTCGTGTGGGACGTCAAGCTGAAGAATCGAGTGGTGGTCACAAATTCTGGTGAGGATTGAGCAGGTCTCGTCTCGGGCTTAGTAGGTTGGCGCTGGCGAGAGACAAAAGGCCAAAGCCTGAACCGAAAGTGGCTTAGTCCCGGCAGATTTCGAAGTGGGTGTGGCTGGTGCGTAGACGGAGGGGCTGGTGCTTTTCCGGTCACTGTTCGACATACGCGCCCCCGAGGAAAGGACTCTCGTGTCTGGGAGATCCATGCGGATCACTACCTTAAGGTGACCTTACATAAGCAACCAACCTTACGTTGGTTGGTGTCGCCGGTCTCTCAAAATCGAATCCCATTGCTGAGCAGAAACACCAAACGAATTAAACTGCAGGCATTGATCAGCTTCGTTCCCCAGGAACGAAATACCAACCTTCGATCGGGTATCTTTTAGCACGACGAGATTGTTACTAAAAGATTCAGGTTCTCTGTTAGCAAGAGAGACGAGAAACCGTTCAACCTGCATTCACCTGCCATACCGCAGATCAAATCCTGAAATAGACCACGTCTTGGTACAGGACGCCGAAACAGCGAGAAACTGGCAGTAAACCCCCAAAAGCCCATCAAACAGACAGCAATCGTCAGTCATGCACCCCTATAGAGGACGTGGCGGCCCTCGCCAATCCACACCAGCAAACGTCCAGTGCCAAAAGTGTCTCAAGAGAGATAAGTTCATCGTTGATCGCTTCATCACAAACACTGCGCTAACTTCCACAGAACGTCACTACTCATACGAATGCAAGGAGCCGGCCCAGACCCGTCCCTACGTGTCTCGGCCCTCTCGAACTCAGCAATTGCGCAACCCGAAGCTCATGCCAAAGTTGACGAATGAAACCCCAGACGATGCGGATCGCAAGTAAGTACTCCGGCTTGCATTGTCAATCGAATTGTCTGCTAACGTGAGATGTAGGAAGGGTATTGCAGATGCTGAACTTGCAAAGAAGGAGGCTGAAAGGGCCAGAAAGCGGGAATTAGAAGAGAGGGACGATGAGCTCATCAGAAAAACTGAGAGCAAACGCCAACGGTCCGAGTCCGTTGACTCCGTTTCCACCATTTCAACGAGCCGCTCTGCTTCGCCGCCACCGCCGCCCAGACGACGTTCACCATCCCCAGTGCCTTCTCGTCGGAGGCAGAGATCCCCCGAGGACCGCAAGCCCTCCAGGCCAAGATCGTTCAGCCCAGAGAGCGAGGATGCTCGCCCCGTCTCCAGGCGCTCAGGCAGGAGCAGACACACACAGTCTCCGCCTAGACGTCGCCAAAGATCTTTGTCTCGGGACAGCCGTTCGCCCCCCGAAACCTACGAGAGAAAGTACCGTGAGAGGGACGAAGACCGTGTGAGACCAGCCGGGAGCGGCGTTGCTCGCGACCCATCCGGTTCAAGAGAATCGTCCATCTCTCGTGACGGCGGTGCTAACAGCACTCGGAGGTCGCTGTCAAGATCACCCGACCGTCGGGGCGCGAGAGGCGGAGGCCGTCTAGGCCGAGGTGGTACCAGAAACTCTGGGTATGGAGACGGCCCCGAGCGCCGGGTTGACCGTGTTGCCAGAAACGAAAGGCAGGAGAGACGACCGGAGCAAAGACAATTAGAGCGGGAGCGCAGTCTCAGTCCGTTTTCCAAGAGACTGGCTCTGACGCAGTCATTGAACATGGGCAGGTAGCCGTTGGGTATCAATTAGATGAAGATCAGACGGAGAATGCCTGATCTGAAGCCATAATACAAGGAACTTTTACCGTCTCATACATGATGCTTTCGCCTCAGCTAGCCAAATCGTCATCCTCCTCCTTCTCTCGTCTTTCGTCCTCTTCTTCCTCTCTCTCACGGACGCGGACACCTTCAACTAGCGCGATGCCGTCCATTCCAGCCGCGTCGCCCTCTCTGCTCCCTGCATCGACCTGCTTCGCCTGTGTTGCCGCCTTCTGCGCACCTGTGATGCGCTCCCTCACAAGCTTCGCAATTGCATTGTCCGTCCGCACGTTGAGGACCTCTAGCTTCTTCTCCAAATCTCTTTTCAAGTCCCAATTCGGCTTTTTCGGCTGAAGTTTGAAGAGGTCTATGCCCTTGTCGTCTTGCGATTCCTCAGCCGCCTTTTTCCTTACGTCGGCCTCAATGTCTGCCGCGAGCTCCTCGAGCGTGGGCTGTTCCAAATCTTGTGTGGGAGGCGCCTCGAAACCGAGCTTGGGTCCTCGTGCTTCCGGGTCGTAGTTTCGGCCGGAGAGGTGCAGTTTTGTGACATCTGGCTCTGCTGGCGGCGAGGCTGCACGTTCTGACTCGGGGGAACGACCTCGTCCGTTGGTTGTTTTCTCTTCAGGTTCTTGAGCTTCGCCAGGCGCGCTTTGCGGTCGTCTGTCACGGCGCTCAGGGTCCCTTGCGAGCTGGACATTGCGTGATGGCAGGTTTCGTAAGAGAAGAAGGTATAATTGTCGAGAGTGTAGCGTGGTGGTTTGTGAGGTCGGTGATCGGGGATTACAGTCCGATATTGATCCTTTTCCAGCGCGTTCGATCGAGAAGTTTACGGTCGAAGGTTGGTGGCCGGCTGGTAGTGGGGCGGAAATTTGCCAAAGCCATTACAGCCACGGCGGAACACTTCCCATGAATGCGCTAAAGATGCACGGGCTTTCCATAGTCGCAATTAGCTTCGGGAAGTGCAGGGGTACTCTGGGGAGCTGTAGCGTCCGAAATTTCGCGATTCCAACCTAGCAACCTTGAACTCGACGAACACTACGACCATCCTGCAATTTGAACATGCCGCCTCACCAGCCCAGGGTTTTCTCAAGCTAACCCTACACTTCCGCGTTGGTTCTCCGTTCAAACCAGCGCAATGTCGCAACCTTTCGTATGCCGGCCATGTTTGCAGCGCATTCAACGACGTGGCCGTCAGTCCTTCAACGCTGGCCAAGCCCAGGTGCTCCTCCAAGCTCGACACGAAAGCACCGTGGTCAGCCCGTCCTCTGGCCAAATGCCGTTCAGGATTCGAAAGATCAAACCAAAGTACCTAGCATCCGATCCTGGCATCGACATGATCAGGAATCGACCGGATTTCTTCGCGCGACAATCCGTTCAACGCATCGAGGCCGAGACGGCCGCAACCCCGACGAAGACTGGCCCTTGGGCACACGAGCTGGCACGAGAAAAGAATACGAGATACCAGGAATACGGATACTTGCGGCATCATCTCAACGAGACAGAACTGAAGCGCTTTGCGAACTGGAAGAACGACTTTATCAGGCTATTCGAGTTTGCGGCGCGAGGTTCCTCTTATAAGGTGCCTGAAAGGCTGAATTGGATTATGGACCGTCAAGCCGTTGAACATGCGATCGAAAACTGGGCTTCATGGCCCATTCAAAAGAGAGCTGATTCTGAAAGTTGGCATACTCTCACATTTTCCGCTCTATGGTCTTGCCCTGATCGAGCGCTGCCTCTTCTTGAGATTACCACCGAGGACTTTACACCACCGGGCTATGCTCTCAAGGATGCTGTTCACTTTCTTGCCAAATGGCAAGGTCAAGAGTTGGCTGGTGACGCACTTGCAACTCATGCCAAGTCTCTGTGCGATTTTGTTATTGCGATCATCAACAAGACGCCTCAAAATCATGTTCGTCTACCGCAAAACACCATATACAACCTTACGGCCACCACGAGCATCGAGAATGTTGAGGCACTTTATCATTGCCTGAGGGAAAATGGCCACAATCTACACCATCATACTTTGTTACACATGGCTAGCCGACTTGCAAAGACCCCGCAAAACAAGGAGCTTGCTCTGCAGATGGCCATCGAAGCTATCGAAGACGGAGGCGCCGATCTCAACTCAAGTCAGTGGTCAAGTCTCTGCACCTCCATTCTTGCCCTTGAGCCCAAGAACATCAAAACAAGCGACGAGTTCTCCGCTGCGGACGCATTTGGTGTCCTCCTTGAGCATGACTTCGTCCCCAATATGGTTAACTATACGGCAGTAATCAGGTCGCTGTGCTTGACGGGCCAACCGGGGAAGGCTTGGGAAGTTTTCCAGGTCATGCAACGGCACGACATCGAGCCGGATTCTATCATGTGGTCTACCCTTCTCGACGGAGCGAAGAGAGCTCTTTCGGCATCCACTGTCGAACGTGTTGTAGAAGGTGCTGCCGAGCACAATGCAATCGATGTGCCGTTCCTCAATGATTTGTTGTTTTCCCTCCTTCACTTCTCTGAGGCGGAGACTAAAGACAACAAGAGTGCAGGCCCTGGCTCTGTGCCAGCCTTCGGCCCGATGCTGCACTTCTACTCCAAGATCTTTCATCTTGCGCCTTTGCAGTCGCTCATCCCAGTCGACCTCTCGCGTTACCTCGATGCCTCACGGGGTTTGGAGATGCCCGCGGACTGGCAATTAGCCCGGCAGTTGTTCCCTGCATTAGATGCGGCCATGTCCGCAGTCCCGGACAAGCTGAGCCCGACAGGCGCCACTCTGGGCATTATGTTCATAGCCTACGTGAAGAGTCTCTCACAGCCGATCAATCTGATCTCGCTCTACGCCTATTTCAGACAACTCATCTCCAACGGCAGTCCCGTCGCCACCAACTTCGTCCGAGAAAAGGGCACTTTCGTATACGACGTTGTCATCAAGGCGCTATGCGAGTCGCCGGGCATGCTCCGCGCGGCCTTAGATATTATTGGCGACATGCTCAAGCACACGCTCGAGGAGCGAAGCAAGTCCACCAGCGCCACGAAGAAACTGGCAGTCGAGGCCACTCTTGCTACATCGTCGTCGCCCTCGCTGCCGCTTCACCCGGCGCCAAGCGTCTTCACATGGAGCATCCTCCTGCATGGATTTCTGTTCCACAAGGAGAAGGGCTCGGGGGAACGCATCCTCGCCATGATGCGTCAGCACGGCGTGGAGCCGAACCTCGTCACATGGAACACCTTGGTCGCAGGCCACGCCAAGAACCAGGACGTCAATAAGACGGTGCAGTCGCTACAGCGGCTCGAGGCCGCAGGGTACGAGGCAGACGACTATACGCTGAGAGCATTCTCCAAGTTGGTGAATAGAGAGGCTGCTTTGAGGAAGATGGAGGAAACTATCGACAGAAAGAAGAGAAACACGGAGGCCAGGGCAAAGCTTGTGCTTGATGCCGATATTGGGTTGCAGCTGTGAGACTCCAAAGAGAATGGCGATAACATCGCCTTGAGCCTACGCATTTCCCGCGTGACATATATAGAACCATTGTCACATCTGACTGAATATTATACCCACTCTACTTACTATGTCATTTGATCCCTGTGTACATGTTGGTGAAATGTGAACCTGTTGTCTAGTGATACACTGATTGAACTTATCCTAATTTCAAAGCCCCTTTTCACAATCGATCTATAATCTCAGACATTACCGGCTCTGGTTATTCGTGTCCGAGGAGTCAGTCAGTCGATCATCACGTCGATGGAGGAGTAGTGGCTCGACGGCTGGCTTTTAACCGCAAGCGGCCCTAAATCAGTCGACTTACTATCTTCCTGTAGACGGAAGAAATCCTGGGCCTGTCTGTTCGTCGCAATAAATCGCTGCGTCTCTGAAAACCTGATCTTGTTTTAATGAACGGGATTCAAACATTCAAGTGGAGAGTTAATACAAACATCATATCGTGACGAGCATACAGTCGCCATTCAAGATTACAAAAACCGCAAGTCAACTTGGTAAGCATTGTCTCACAGCGTTGAATCCGAATACCTTGTATACGAGCTGCAACATTCCAGCACTGTTCGGAATGTTGTCCAGACTATCAGAAGCCGACCCAGTTGAGGTTATGATTATTTTATTTGAGCCTGATTTGTCATTGTTGTTGAAGTTCGATCCATGGGAATTATGTCACGACTTTAGACCAGTTGGCTCAAGGAGAACATAGTCAAGGGACCTAGATGACTGGAGTTGCCAATGAGGACTCTAACATATTCATCAAACCACGCACTACTCCGCTTGCTGTTGGGCCTCCCTCGAGCAAGCGGGAACCGCCAGCTCTACTTCATCAGAAGTCTGTCGGAAGAACTCAAGCAGCAAGCGAACCCGTTCTCGCCTCAATGTGCTATTTGCAAATGGATGAAAGAAATGCGGCCTCGCTCATGGCAGATACCGTACTCTGTTGAGAGTTCACGGAGATTACACACACGATACAGTGTTGAATCCTTGTTCAACATACATCCTTCTGGTATCAACCGCCATGATTTGAGAGGGGAAACCCCGTCTCTTGATGCTGTCCACGACCCCAACCTTTAGCTTGACAATGACGCCACATCTACCTAATATCTTGCCATGTTCATTGGCTTCCTGAAAGATTGGCGATGCTGTTACTGGCCTTGGTGTGCAGGTGATCAAGGAGAGCAAATATCGGGTAATAGATAAGAGAGCAGGGCTTGGTCCCGGTGCTGACGGAGATCAAGGTAGGCAGCAGCGGCAGTGAATTTTGACTAAACCGCCCCCCCCCCCCCCCCCCCCCCCCCCCCCCCCCCCCCCCCCCCCCCCCCACTAAACCCCACCAACCCCACCAAACATATTTCCTCTCTCTCTCTATTAAAAATCCCTAAAACAACAAACACACACCTCGAATCTGTGCTCCTCAATCACCGCAGACATCGCATCCTACGATGTGCCAGCTTTGCCCTTGCCCAGCATTCCCTTCCCGTTATGATTCCCGAGGAGAAGTGGTAGAAGCGCAAGAAAACAATGAAGGAGAGGGAGATGAAGGAGAGGAAGATGAAGGAGAAGAGGAATATTGCCGACCACGACCACCTCAACTACTGAAGACCGTTGTCCAGCCCGCGCCTAGCCACGACGGCGCCCCAACCTTCGCCGCCTATCAAGTCCCAATCACCACTCAAGAAATAGAAGCTGAACTTCGGTCCCAACGTGCCATGTTCGGCATTGTTGTCTACGACACAACACACACTGCCCGCCCTACCCGCAGCACTCAGCTCGTGCGCGCTATGTTTGACTGCACCATACTGTCTCGCAGAGGTCGATTACCCCGGCTTGAGGTTGTTACGCTACCCTTGCCGCAATCCTTCTCATACGAAGAACGCGTAGAGGCTTGCATCCGCCACCATGAGCAAGAGATCCGGAGCCGCCTTCTGATTGCCGATAAGGCTGAGGCGGCCTCTTGGTTTCTGCCTGAGCGCATTATGGATAGGATGTTTACGCGGAATATCCTCGCTATAAACTGCATTAAGGAAGATAGCGATGACGATGTAGCCTCTTGGGAAAAGGCGCTTAGTAACAGAGAGCCGTTTCATCCAGCTAAGAGCAACCCTGATGCAAGTTGCTCTGGTAGCTATCTTCATATTAACTGGCAACCCCGCAAGCAGCAGCTACTTACTGATTATCCAAATTATGCCTTTCCTGAAAGACCCGGTGTGGAATTCTTGAGGGAAGGGTTTGAGGGGTTTGGGGACAGCTTTATAGAGATGGTGGATGCACTTCAGCCTTTCTACAATCACTTTGTACCTGATGGCGTGCTTAATCGACAGCTAGAGGAGGCTAGAAAAGGTTAACTATGGTGCTCTTAGTGCACATCTATCTTATATATTTACAAAAGGAAAGAAGATTGTTGTACAAGAAATGCACAGTCATATGCGATCCGGAGCCGCAAGACCGGTCACAAAGTTCCCTGCTCCATCTACCATCATGCTCAGATGGCCCGTAGCGCCATAAACGGACCAGCCGTTGCTTGCCGCAACCCTAGGAAAGGTGGCCACCGGAGCTGTAGCCCAGCCGCCAGGCCCAAAAGCGGAGTAATACCAGGCTGGGTCGGTGTCATCGTCCCAGACGCGCACACCCTGGGGATTAACGGGTGCATGCACGTTAAGATATTTCCTCTCGGCATCCGCAAGGAAAGTAGCCACGTTCCTCTCAATAGTAGCCAGTTGATCCTCAATGAATTCAGCGTACAAGGCGCGCAGCGATGGGTTTCCGCCTGCATTGTTCACAGGGTGGCCAGGCCAGAAGTTCCAACCGTTGATGGCGGTGAACTGCCGATCAAACTCAGAGAACACGAAGTCGAACCAGTTGGAGACGCGCATCCACTTGTTCCAGATGGCCTCGTTCTTCGCATACTTCTGGCCCGTCAGCGCATTAGGCGGCACGAATTTCAGAAACGTGAAGGTAGCCATGATGTCGCGGAGCGTTTGCCGATCGTTCTTGAGTTTAACCTTGGTCGGGTTGTATCTGGGTGTACCGCCACCCATCCATACCCCTTTATAATTATTCGTCTCCCACTGTACCAGTGCGAGATGGGACTCGCTGCGCTCCTTAGAGAACTTGTTTCCTACTCTGATGGTGTCTGACCGACCGAAGCCCAACGCCAGAGTTTCGTGCACCGTATTGCCTTGAGGGTTTACAGTGATTCCGAGAAAACTTTGATCGAATTGGAAGGTCTGACCGGTGCCGCCCAGTTTGAGTTCGCCGAGTAACACCTCAGCCACCCATTCTGGTGTGGCCATTGAGTAGGCGCCTACCGTGGTACCTGCCCCTTTGCCGAGCCATTCGTAAAATGCAGTCAACGTCTGCGGCTCGTAGATGTGTTCCGTTTCAAACCCAATTTCTGAGTATAAAGCTTTAGCTGTAGCATCATCCATTAAGACAATGGTCGGACTGCAGACCAGTCCGGGAGTAATAGTGACGATGTTCTTCAGGATATATGGGCTATTCTTGGCTTTCCCACAGGGCGCATACCGCCCGACATCGAGATCGATATTAGGGTATTTACCACCGAACGTCACTGTCATTTCTTTCAGGTTGGCCTGCCTCTCGACCAGGGACGGGGTGGTGTCGTTGTTTGGTGTTGAGCGCCCAGAGACACTCGAGGAGTCGGCATATGAGCAGATATCACTACTCAGAAGCGGGCATGCGTCGGCCCTCTCCTCGAGGATGTAGCCATACCTCTTCTTGACTCGCCGAGAACCAGAACTGTCAGCATTCACCCCACATACTGGGCAAGTACCGACATCCGAAGCGTTTGCTGTGGACTCTGCAGGGCAAATTAGAGATCCAATCAAGTTATCTCTCTTTACCAGCTTGGCGGACCGCTTGCTTGGTTGTGTCTGTGTGAGCGATGGTGCCGCGGCAGCACATTTCTTCTCAACGATGGGGAACTGTGCAAAGCGTCAGTCTTGTTCTTGTCGAGGCAGGCGGATCATAGAATGAGCGCAGGAAGAATTCAAGCAACAAACCGTTCCGGTGCTCCAGATGCTGTAGTATCTGTTCAAGCTGACTCCAAACAAGGACCTAGGAGGTGAAAGTCAGCATGGATCGACACCCCAGAGAGCAAACAATACCACGGCAACACTTACGGGGCAGAGACTTCCGCAAACATCTCGGCTTGAGCGTTGACTCCATAACAGTATTCCCAAGCTGTGTCTGAATTTGAGCCAGCTGAGCCGTACCAGGTCGCAGCACCATTGACACCAAAGTCGATCTAATTACATGGTTAGCCAAAGTCCAACGTCTCCTGTTAGGAGTGTAAACACTAGAACTCACAGAGGCATCAGGAATGGAGTCATCGTTGAAGACAATGCCAAGTGTAACTTTGGGCGTTACCATCAAGTTGAGCTCGCCACTTGCAGAAACGTCGTAGTAAAACTCAGGCTCCTGCAACGGCTTGATAGGGTCCGCAGACGTCGCTCCGGAATATTTTGGACTGATGTCCGTCGTGAGGACGTCAGTCATCCCACCGTTTGCATCGGGAAACTGGTGGGTGAAGTCCCACTCGGCGAGTCTGAGGTCGACGCGGGCCTGACCGTGCATCGTGGCGGTGCCCTGGAGCTGGCCGAGGACTCGGAAGTTGGGACCGATCGTCACGATGCCGGGGACGCTGAAGGTCGCCCCAAAGTTCTGCAGACCAAAGAGCTCGATTTGGCCGGTGAGGAAATGGAGGGTCACCAACGCCTCTACGTTGAGAGAGGCCTTGACCGAGCCGCTGTTACGAAACAGTACGTGTGACTCGTCAAAGGTACTCAAGTCGCCCATGTTGCCAATTAGGGTCACTAGAGCCGACGTCTCAATGTTTACGTTCAGGTCGGCCCATGCCTTGAAGTAGCCCACCGTGTCGACACCCTTTATTTTGCAAGCTATCGACTCGTCGTAGAGGTTCCAGCGGATCTGCTCATTGACTCGGTGTCTGACCAACTCGTACTCTGCGTCCACTTTACTAAACCGGTCTATCCAGTCCTTGATTGCTCCAGACTTTGAGAACCAGCGGGCGTGCAGCTCATGCAGTTCGTCTTGGGATGTCGACCGCTTGTCGATAGACCACAAGTGATACATGTACTTTTTGTACGAGCCATTGTGGTCGCGGTGGACCTCTTCCTCGATCTGACGCTTCGATCGCTTTAGCTTGGTCGGCGCTGCCGCGACGATATCGCTCCAGTACCCTGGGTCATCGCTGTAGTCGATACGCAGCAGCACGTTAGATCCTCGGCCGCGTTTTCGTAGGGGAGAGAAATCGTAGTCAAATGTAAAGTCGTAGACATAGGCATCAGCCAGTTGAGGATTCCTCTTGACCAGGCGATGGGGCAACGTTTGGTTGTCAGAAGGCGTCAAGGAGACGGCCATGGCGTACCTCCCGGGGCCGCACCCTTCTGGCATCTCCACCACCGTCTCAGCCACTCCTCGGCCTTTGTGGATGATGCCGCAATTGCTTGCGTCCGAGTTGTCGGTACACACGGCTCGAACCGTGTGCCGCTTCTCGTGCATCGCTCCCGCCTCACAGTCAAAAAGCTCCCAGTGAGACCCGTCTCGCTTGTTCAAAGACGTGAGCTCGGCCTCAGGGCCCGACATGATGTACCAGCCAAACGAGTTCTTGTCGGCGTTGGTGCTCTCTTCAGGTGTAGGATCGGCTCCGCCCATGGTGGGGTCCAGCTTGACGTCCCATTTCTGCTTGTCCGTCGACGGACCGGGATGGGGGAAGATATTCTCCAAAGGGATGGGGAGCGTATCAATATGCCGCCTGAGTGCGTTGGGGTCTGCGCAAAGCGTGCGTTGGACGTTGTAGGTGAGCGCAGGGTTGAAAAACGTGGAGCCGCCCAGCTCGCTGTAAGTACAGTCTGCGCCGCCGCCCAGGTTTGACGTGGCGATGGCAGTCTTGCCAATAGGGCAGGTTTTGGCCGACGCGCACTTGGACTCGCCGCCGTCAACAAAGCCCCAACGCCAGACCACTGGAAAGAAGACGTGTCAACGTCCTGATCGCAGCAGTAGGGCATCCATGAGTTGGCCTTGGCGTCTCCCTGACAGGTGCCATGGCCTGGGGCGTGCTTTGCGTACGTGACGAACTTGCGGCCCTTTGAACATACATTGTCCGTACTGGGAAGGCCGTTGGAACCGATGTTGACACATATATCGTCCCAGTCACATACGTTCACGCCCGTCTCTACGGCGTCGCAGCAAAAGGTGGCTGATCCATAGAAACAGTAGTTCTCCACTCCTTTGTTATTGATGAACCACTTGTCCGAAGCAATGGAGACCTGGTTGATATCACATCCCGACCCCGAACAATCGCCGCCATCCAGCCGATTCCACCCGCAGGTCTTGGGGTCGGGTGTTTGTCCCAGAGGACAGCAAAGAGCCTTGTAACGCTTTGCTCCTGACCTAGGATCCACACTGCAGCGGTCGCTGATGAGACGCTGCTGGCCGACCGGGCAATGCAGGATGCCTGACGTTGTGCAGTCACTCCAGGAACAGCTACTGATGTCCACATTAGTGTAATTAGATGAGTCGTCGTGGTTTGTGCCAGTTGTTAACGAGAGGCTCCCGAGGCCTCCGGGGTAGAGAGTGGCGTTCAGGAGTTGGTGATTATCATCATCCAGGTCGATGGCCCACGCGGCGACGCCTAGGAGGCCCTTGCTTTTTGCGTACTTGACTTTTTCAATGATGGAGTTGCGGTCTTCATAAGAGATCCACTGAGCATCACCGTAGCTACATCAATTGTTAGAATTCCGGTTTGAAAAGAATAGCATGGCGCATGAGTCAACATACCTGAGGTAGTTAGTGCCAGTCTTGTCGTCAAACCTGCCACTGCCGATGGCAAGTTCGGATTGGATCTCATCGTAAGACATGAACCCGGGTTGTCCACTGCACTTCCCAGCCACGCCAAAGCCAGAAGCTGAGCAGCCAAGACCGGTGCAGGACTTATCGGAGAGAGCATAAGTACGACCAAAGAAACCTATACCGAGATTGATCTGCGTGTGTGGTACCCCAGCATTTGTTAAGAAGCCGAGTGATGCGTCAATGGAGCTCTTGTCTGACATAGCTCGGGTGGTGCTCTTGTCTGTACTCTCAATGTCAAAGGCAACAAGGTTGATCCAGTTGGTTGAGGCGGCTATGGAGGCTAGGTCGAAGCGTCCTAGGATGGTGGTGTCAACCGGCAGTGTGGATGAGATTCCCCATGCAGTAGAGCCTGCGGACTGCGTGTCAAAGTACTCCCGCATCTCATCCAGCAGGATCACGTAGTTGGTCGCATCTTCACCTGTCTGGGGCCACCGCCAATCGATATCGACGCCATCGAACCCGAATTTCTGGAGAAAAGACACCAGATTAGCCAAGAATTTCTGGCGGTTCTCATGCGTACTGGCTATATCGCTAAAGATGCCCTGTGTGCCGGACGCTTTCCGTGATCCGGTCGAAAAGTCGTAGCCTCCTAGCGTTAGCCAAACGTGCAGCCCTGTTGCCTGCCCCTTGAGCGCTGCAAGTTGCCTCAGCTGATCTTCATCGCCGTTGGCGTCCGGAATCAGGGCGAACGTGCCAGCCTCGATCCAACCAAATGCAACATTAATGTGGCTAACCGAGTCCGTCGGCACGAAGTTCGCTGGTCGCTGTCCGCAGCCCCGTCGCGAGATACTGTCTGCCTGGAAGTATCCTACGATGATGTCCATAGCACTGCTGCTGCCGCCACTACCGTCAGAAGTATCGCCGTCATCTGAGCTGCATTCCGGAGAGGGACAGTAACCATGCGAGCAGGCAAAAGCGCAGAGGCCGTTGTCGTTGCCCAGGTTGGATTTGATACCGCTGACCTTGACAACAGGAGGTGGCAAGTTGAGGGGACCCTCCATAGAGCAAAAGCAGGAGAGGATGGGACAAAAGCCATAATGGCACGCCCAGCTGCAAATGCGTGAGAAGCTGCCATGTCCACCACCAGTGACGCACGTGTTTGGGTTGAAGGGCGATGTGGTTGGAACATATTCGCGTTGTTCCTCCGTGGCACAGGCTGTCGACGGGCAATAGCCCAGGTTGCAGGCAAATGTGCAAAGACCGCCATAGTTTGCGTCGCCATTAGCGGGGTAGCCCTTCACTCCTGTGGACTCCGGCTTCTTAATGGCTTCTCCCATGTTGGTGCAGACACAGGCACTTGAGGGGCAGTAGCCATACTTGCACGTGAACTCGCACAAGTCGTTGAAATTGCCCTCGCCCCAGCCTGCGATGCAGACTTGATCAGCCAAGTCACGAGGAGGTTTCCCAGATACGGACCCTCCACTAGAGGCTGAACCGACCCAAGGGTTCCAGTTGGTGACGCCGGAAGGACAGTCTCCTGAGATGCCCTGTGGAACTAGATAGTCGATGATGGTGCTACTGCCCCTGACGACTTGAGCGTGCCACGCACCGCCGGTTCCAAGGACAGGGATGCTGGTGTGGTAGACTCCTACACCGCCGTCGGGGATGTAGTCCCAGTCCTTGATAGAGTAGTCTCTGCCTCCGAATGAGACCTTGAGCTCAGCTGAACTGGCCAGGAGGACCGAAAAGTAGATGCGGTCCGGCGTCAGGTCACGCGCCTCGTACTCAAGCTGGAGCTGGGAAGCCGTATTTCCGGTGGTGCCTCCGTCTGCACAGGTGTCACTGAGCGAGGTCCGGAACCAGGTGACCATACTCTCCTTTGTAAAAGAAGCCGTACCGGTCTTGTACAAATCTATCAGGTAGGGCAGGTGCTCTCGCCAGCCATCGTGGGGCATGTCCTTGACGTAGTTGTACGGGGCGTCTCCTACTTGGAAAGCCTCATACTGGGTGTTGTCAAGGGGTCCAATGTAGTGAGACTCGCCGTAGTCGTTCCAGCTAATGATCTCCAAGAACTCAGGCTCAAAGTCCATAGACACCACCTGCTTCCAGCGCTCATACCAAAGGTCACCGCTCTTCCACAGCCAGTTCTTACTGTAGCCTGGCAAGTTGGTAAAGAACCAGGGGGAGACAGGCATCATATACGGCTTACCGCCTAGCAGCTGGTTGTACGAGGCGTCAATATAAGTCGTCATGTTGCGCTGCCCATAGGGCCACGCGGCCCAGTTGAAAAGACCATCAGCCACACCGTCTCCAGCATTGATGGCGGGGCCTGCGCCTAAAGATGACCAATCCGGTATAAAAAAGCAGCCTGTGTCAGCCTTGATGCTCTTCCAGTCGTCGGCGTTGTCAGGACCCTCAAAGGTTGACACAAAGGGCTTCCCGTTGTACTGGAAGTGAGCCTGAGAGGAGCCGTATTTTTGGATGAGGGCCTTGACTTCAGCCATTGGCCAAGGAACATCCCCGCCGGCATAGTCAAAGGAAAAAAAAAGCTTGAAGCCCTTGGCGCCGGCTGCCGCAAAAGCGTTGGAGATTTGCTGGTCGTTGTACTTCCAGCCATGTGCAATGTTGAGAGCAAAAGCATCGATATGTGCCTGTTGTGCAAGGGCAATGTTGTCTTCCCATTTTGCAATATCAAACGTCTCAGTATTGCCGACCATAAAATGGGCAAAGACTGACTTGCTCTCAACGCTTCTGGTAGCAAGAAGCGCTGCCAGCAGGAGCGTTGCGAGAAACAGCATGGTGCTGGCGCAAGATCGGTGTCTACCGCCGCAGAAGACACAATAAATGAATGTAGAAGATGATAAAGAGATTCAAAAGAGTGACGTCTCCGTGCGACAAGTGCCGCCACAGAGGGAGTTGATAAGTGAATATCAGGCGAGAGAGATAGAGAGCGTGAGTTGGCCAGAGATGCATGGCTAAGATCTTAGCAACACAAGCGAGGCATATGGAGATTTTATCCAAGCTATCTGAGACCGGCCTTCTCGTCACCCTTGAGGACGAGGCTCAAATTGCCTTCTTCAGAAGTGGACATCAGAGAAGCCCCAATGGGCTGTCTGTTGGAACGAGGTTACATCCTGCTCGCCTGAGCTTCCGGGCCGACACCTGAACCCTGAAAAGCCCACATAGTCACAACCGAACAACGTTGGACAGAAGGGACTTTCGGTTGTCGGTCGTTCGGAGCACTGATCACCCTGAGTCACGACTTACACGGGATTCGGAAACGAGGCTGCATTTGGTTAGAAAGTGGTTGTTCTGCCCCATTAAGTAGAGGTTGCTTTTACCCGCCTTAAGCACGTCCCACTCTTGAAGAACATATTATTTTATAATATGGAGAATCAAATGACCTAGACTGTGCCCTTTTGTAAGATGATCCTTGCCAATCACCGCATGAGATATTGAGTACCAACATCCGGCACCTTATTGCAAGGGGTGAGACTGATTAGTGGAGCTTCCTGAGCTTAGCGTCCGGGCCGTTCCGATTGGCCTGGGTTGTTCTCGATAAACATTCTGTGGCGAGAGCAAAGAGAGTGGGAGACAGTCAGAATAGAATATGAATGCCTAGGAAAGAGATATGGATAAAGTTGAGAGTTCTTAGAGTTCGTCGAGCCAAGCATTTTGGACGTTACAATGCCAATGTCTTGGAACTTCTGTACCACAGAGACTCCCCTCTTCGTCTATCCCCTGCCGGTTGCGGTGCCACCTCGGAACGATTCATTAACCTTGTTAGACACCGAGGACAGTCTCACTGTCCAAAGCTTAGCGCCAACAAGCTCTTAAATCAGCCCCATCGTCTCCACGTCCGCTTAAGACAACCTGGTTTAACACTAATGAGTCGGTAATGTAAGCGGTTGTAGGTACATGAACGAATCCTTTGGTTTTGCCGCTGCTGCCTTCGAAGATATTGCTACAGCTAAAGGTCGATCCGCCTGCATCTTTCCACAACTTCGTTCTTCATCTTCACACCACTGAACCAGCATCACCTCTTCTCCCGAATAAGTGAACGTCAAATATGAAGCTTGTCGATCTGTCCGTGTCTGCGGCCATCTGGGCTGTGATTGGTATCAACTACCAAGTCGTGGCTGATGTTCGTTTTCCCAACGTGCCTCAAGGCACAAAGGGCTATACCGCTACTTGCATCGGAGTCCTCAATCAGGCAATCAACTGCGACGCGTCTTTGATGTGGGCGACAGAGATCGGTAACTTCTACGATAAGACCACCATTGACTTGCTTTGCACGTTGGACTGCAGGGTATCTCTCGGTGGTTACCTGGAGCAGGTGAAGTCCGGCTGCAATACCAGTCGCTACGACGGTCCTGACGGTCTCAGCTACCACGCTGGCTACAGTGCCGAGCTGGCATGGGAGCGGTTCAACGTGCTCTGTGCGTCCAATGCGTACGTACACCAAGTGTCCAGAAGTTACATGTAATGCTGACCGCGCCTGGCGTACCAGCGCTGGTGAAAATTGCAACTTGGTACTAGGTAAACTAGCCGGCATCAACCCCGAGAACCAGCTGAGAACCGCCTCGGGCGACCCGAACTTGATGTGCAATGAGTGCGCGCTGTCTGCTATCAAGACACAAATCGAAATGCCTTTGGCATCAAACGCCGACCTATCCAGTGGCCTCAGTCAGATTGCATCGTCCTGTAAGACTACCGTGGCCGTCACACCTGCCCCAGTCGCAAGCCCTGCCTGGGTCACCCAGGGCACTGCACCGGTTCCGACCTCGACAGCAGCAACCACATGTGCCGGCAAAACATACATTGTCCAGAAAGGGGACACATGCCAGTCTGTCGCCAAGCAGCAGCGCATCAACACGGCCCAGCTCCTGATGGCGAACAACCTGCTTTCCAGGTGCGGCGATTTCCCTACCGCCGCTGGTAGCTTGTTGTGTATCCCCACGGCCCTTACTTGCGACCCGTACGTCATCAAAGCCGGCGATACCTGCGGAATTATCGCCAACACCGCGAAGGCTACATGGGCTCAAATTGTGTCCTGGAACGCAGAGCTTGGAAGCTCGTGTCAGAACGTCCGCCGCTATGTTGGCGATGTTGTCTGTCTCTCGAACCCGGGAAGTAAGTCTGGTTCTGACCCGGCTGTCACCACGTCTGCCGCCGGACCTAGCACAACGACAACTTGGATTGAGTAAGTTCCTTTCTTGTGTGAACCAGTCATTCTTTGATATCTTGGATACGAATACATCGCCTCAGTAGCTTCTATACATTGACAATTACTGACGTCTTCTATTTTCTATGGCAGTGTGTTCACCCTACCCATGAAACCAATCCCAATGAACAATGGTCACACAACCGTGATCATCACTGACATGTGGGCTGGGAACGGCGAGGACGAGTTGTAAATCGTCAATGGTTGCGAACGAGGATTTAGCGATGCTGTTAGCCCGCTGTTGGTAATCTGGCTTTCTTTTTTACTTGTTCGGCAGGGAGCAGTGTCATCTCGGGGTTAACTAATATAGTCTTTCCGTTGCAAACATCATTGAGATGATATGGATTCCTCCTGTAGTTGCCTGGCTTTCCAACTTCTCATTACGGCTCAGCATGATAGGTAACATCGTAGCCAAATGGATATATCAAGTTAAAAAAGGCAATTGATACATTACCTTAGAGACGTCAACATGCTATCTTCTCTTTGGTATTGATCGGGGTCCATCATGGACCAGAAAAGACGCCTCTAGGTATCCATCACAACCACTTTGACTCACCCAGCTTTACGAACACATCCATACGGCATGGTAGAGGCGCCAAGGGCTCAACCTACCCAGCTTTGATGTGAAAGACACCTATAATGGCTTGTTCAAGGAAAGGCTACTGCAGAGACCGACAGCGTGAGTGATCGCACTGCGACTAGTGCCATTAACATGTGTCTCTCCGAGCACCCCTTGCCAGATGTGGCTGGTGCTGGCCTGCGCCTTGCCTATTGCCTCACAAATTCACAAATCCCCCTTTTCTAACAACACGTTTACAGCTTACAATCAAAAGCGATTGCCATTGAGCTTATTCTAACTTCAGCAAATGTGAAGATTGAAAAAGAAAAGTTGGGAAAAAAATCAATCCCTACTTTGCTAGGTCAGCTTGCGCATGGATGCAATACAATGACACGACCTGCGATGCGCCGTCGAAAAGAGCGATATTTTCAAGCTTCGCGCCTCCTGGCCAGCGAGCGAGACTCAGTCCGGCGTCCAGTGGCAAGGGCTTCAGTCAGCTCGTTTACGGCTCTAGAGGGCAGGCACAAGTGTAAAGTACTTAACTAGGAAGCGCAGCGGCTATTACAACAGATGCGTACGTGTAGCTACAGTGCAATCTGACCATCTTCTCTTAAGACCTACAGAACTTCTTAAACTGTCAGTGATTGTTGAATAGAGACCCCACCTTGGCTGTAAGCTAACAAAAAAGACATACAACACCAGGTATTCGCTGATCGTCACCGACTCAACTACTAATCCGGCCCTCACTGGCTTATCTATGGGAGAGCGGACGGGATCCCGAGTTCTCCAGTGGGTGTGGTCGTATGTGATCATTGGGCCAGCACAAATTGATTATACACTTCACCGTTTCCACTTCGCCTGTGAACCTGCCCTACACTGCAATCTATGTTCCTTGGTACTTCTTGGATCTTGGCCCCGCCAGAATGGACACGATCCACCCCTATGCTAAACAGCTATGTAAAGAAAGGGTTTGAACGATTAGGGGATAAGGAGACAATGGAGGTGGTAGAAAACGGCAGTGGATAGATGTAGACGCTTGTGGTGATGAGTACCTTGGCCAAGAATAGAACCGTCGTCTATGGTGCCATTACCGGATTCTGATAGTATCGTTGCATACTGGTGGCCTAACCACCGCCACGGAAACACTTGGTGCCGGAGAAGAGCAAAATCAATCCACAGTCGAGCTGGCTCCTATCCCTGGACATTAGGAGCGCTACTAGATCGCCTGCGATACAGTTGTATTACAACTCTGAGTAGGAACAAGGCAGCTACACAAGCCGTCAGCTAGCATTACTGCCAACTAGGATAGAGAGCCATCAAACGTATAAACAAGACCATCAAGGAGCTAAGGGGCGTGACTAATAATGTGCCGATAGCGTGGACCACAGCAGAAGCAGACCTAAGCCAAATGGTCAAGAGAGCTGCATGGAAGCCGCTGATCAAGGGAGATCGTTAGCGGCGAAAGGATATCAAGCGGCATTACAGCGCTTATAATAGCAAGAGCAGAAAGAAATGAAAACGGCTAGACCCTACTGGATGGCGTAGGCGAGTATTCCAAGAGGACGACAAAGTTTTGCCTGAAAAACACGCGCGCTAGCTGTATAACACACTAGCTAGAACACAAGCCGGGGTTCTTGTACAAATACAAACAGGGGTTTTACTCTTGAACGGCGATCTATACATGATAAGGACTGCACTGTCACAGGTGTGCCTGTGCAGAGAGGCAATGGAGGCATTCAAGCATTTCCTTTCTAATATATGACGAAGATGACACAATGCAAAAAAATGTAAAAAGTGACGGGGGTGAGGACTAGCAACGTGTCGGCGCGTCTAAGAGGAAAGCAGGATAGAGACTTATACGACTGATCGCTGGATATGGCAGCATTTTAAGCGATAATTAACTATACTCTAGCTACTGGCCGGCTTGAGAAAGGGCAGCAGACAACCTGACTGACTAACCACCACTAACCATACTAGCTATTGATCTTGTGCCACAACAACAGGTCTGCGCCAGCGGCCGAAGATAGGGAACTGGTCACCTTGAGAAGAAGCCTTTGAGAACGACTTGCTATAAGCTATTAAATCCACAAGAACCAAGGACACAAGAGGATACCCGTGTACGAGAATTATGAAGGTAGAGACTTATGTAAGGACTCGACGAGACAAGCGCCGACTGTAAACGAATAGTCATTACATATTTAAGCGTTAGTTTATTTTCGTTACCGGGGCTTGATGTATTTATTATCATTGTATGACCTTAACGGTTCGTACTCTGTGAGACCTCGACCTGCTGTCTACCAGTCTTGCATCTAACGATAGCGACTTGACCCTTATTTGAGGTGATATCACTAAGAATAACTTCCCATAGGACATTCTTATGCTGCCTACACAATTTCTTTTGTTGAAATTGAGACGCCAGCTCTACTTCACTTTTAAAAAAGCCCAAAAAGCCTTTTATCTAGACAAAGCATGGCTACAAAGATATGCAGCCTTTTAACTACACTTAAAAGTATTTCTATGAGCCTGGAATCTTTAAGCGCAAGGCAGACTAAGTGCGTTACGAGAATAACGGTTATTACTACCTCCAGTAGTAGACCTACAACGTCAAGGACTACTAGCACATATGTTACTAGTAAGATAACTTCTTACAACATCTAACCCTACGCTACACACCCGCCATCCTGCCAACCATTGATCATGCTGCCTGACGGCAATAAAACGTATTACAGCAACATGCAGTTTGGATGTGCAGGTGCTACAGGGAACCCGCAGTCCCGGGACAACATGTACTCTTCACGGTACTCAAACGACCAGCCCATGTCCCGCAAAATTATCAGCCTGTTACCCATCAGCCGAGGAGCCCGCAGATTTGATCAGCGGTACCACATACCAACACCATGGCAACCTGCTTTGTCGTACATGGGAACGCAACAGCAGCACATGCTGGTGGCACAGAAAAACGAACATTTTCTATTATGGGACCACAAAGTTCTAGAGTTGCAGCAACCAAACGTGACACAAAACGATACTGCCAACTTGATTATGATTCGTGCTCTCCTTAAGGAATCACTTCTATTGTTACAGATTCCTTCACAGAATCGTTGACGTCATTGCAGGCTCTTGTTTATCGTAGTGGGCATTAGCTAAACAAGAAGCCAACATCAAGCCAGGATACACAAGGGTCTATTTTATCCCCTCCGCAGTGCAAAACTAGAAGATGCAAAGATTATTTAACCATGATTTAACACTTTTAGTACAAAGACATTCCTGGAAATTCGCAAAACTTTAATCTTTACCCACAGGGTCCCAATGGATATCTTTGAGATCTAATTGTTATCCAATGAAACTCAACTGTAGTGAATGTTTTAGAACGATGGGCAGAATATGAAGCAATAAGACGACTTGAACCACTAGAGACATTGTTGGCTAGAACAATGAAAACTATGTGGGCAAATGACAATAGCTTACGGCGTGATGCAAGTATCAATGGTCAAAGTGGGCAATCTCAAGAAAGTGAAAGGCCAATTCAGGCCACTCAAGAAGACAATAACCAGAAACCCCCGGAATTCAATCAAGCAAATCAAGCGGGTCTAATTGCCTGGCCAGCAAGGCACATTGCAATGTGTAGTATTATCAGTAGTTATCGTTACGGATAACTACTGCACGTAACATCTGACTTCTCGCCCCCCTACCATCAAATCTTATAAACCAACGAAATACTCTGCAATATCTGAAACTCCAGAGACAACACTCATAGAATTTAAGCCCCTCTCCCACAACTCGGATCTCTCGCATCGTACCATGTGCCGAGCCTGCCCCCGTCCTGATTTCAACCGCAGTCCTTCCCCGGAAGAGGATGAAGAAGCCCAAGAGGACAATGAACAAAGCGAAGCTTCAGAGGACGATGAAGATGACAACAAGAGTCCACCATCACCGATGGTTTTTCTAATCCCAAAGAAGAAAACCATGTTTCAGCCTGCGCCCAGCCACGATGGCGCCCCAATCTTCGCGGCTTATGAAATCTTAGAGAGCTCGCTAGACTCAGAAGCCGACCTTCGAACCCAGCGACCCCCGTTTGGCATTGTCATCTATGACACGACGTACACTGCTCATCCGCCCCGTTCAGCCTGTCTCGCGCGTGCCCTTTTTGATCGCACTCATTGGTATCGCAAACGACCGCACCACCAAAGCGACAGAATCAAAGCTGTCACTTTGCCTTTGCCCCAATCAGTCTCAGATGCATAGCGTGCAAAAACATGTATAGATCACTACGAGCAGGAGGTCCAGGGCCGTCTCTTCATCGCTGATAAGGCTGAAGCAGCCTCGTGGTTCCTGCCTGAGCGTATTATGGATGCGTCCTATGCAGGGAGTATTCTCGCGATCAACCGTTTTGAGGATAGTAGTGACGACGATATTGAGGAGGCTGGTTGGGAAGTCTCGCTAGGGAATGTGGATCAGGTCCGCTCAGCTATCAAGTACGCCGACATGAGCCCCTATCGAAGCTTTCTGAACATTAACTGGAAACCCCGTGAGGAGCCATGGGGCCCTCGCATCCCTGAGGAGATAACGCCTGAGATATGCTGCTATAAGCTGGGATTTGAGGCTTTCGAAGATGGTTTCAAATACTGAATGGACGGGATTAGTCCGTTATATATCCATTACATAGCCGATGGCTTACTCGAACCAAAGCTAGAGGAGGCTAGGAAAGATTGATCCTAGTGTTTCTAAAGACTATAACTATAATGAATCTAAATGTAAAACAAGCCTAGAAAACAAAGAGAAACACGGAAGTGCGGACAGGGAGACACGCTTGAAACCAAGAGAAATGCAAGTTATGTGCGGCTAGGAGCTGCAAAGATTTGTTACTAAACTACCTGTTCGATCTACCATCATGCTTGAACGACCTATGGCGGCATATTGGAACGGGGCAGGGTTTCCTGCTCCTATTGAGGTGGTCTTTGCGTTCCGTTTCTTAGATTTCTTAGCTAAGCAAGGTCTGATCAGGGGTATAGAAACCTCGAAAACACGGAAGGACTTAGATTAGGACCACACACTCATCGGACTTTTCCACGCTCAAGGGAGCATCCTTTCTGTCTTTCGTGATGACGAACACTCTGATCACCTCTACACAAGAACTTTGAGAGTCTCTACTTTATCCATCGCGTCTCAGCCAAGCCTGATCAGGGAATATCTGTCTTGATCAGGACAGCTGATTTACTGCTGGGTAAAGGCATCTTGCGTAGCTATAGGGGGTGGTGGTGGTTGTCCACCGCACCGCACCGCTCACTATAGATCTGATCACCCTGCACACTTCCAATATATAGAACAACCATTGCTTGACGCTACCTTTAGAAAGCTGACTTGTGCAGGTATAGCCTAGCCGTTAGGCCTAAAGTCACTGTTGTCCTAAGCCAGGTCGCCCTTTAGGTTCCAGACTCGCGTGCCCTGGGTGTTGAGGGTGAAACGATTGCTCTTGTAGTCTGCAGCCGCGGTTGTGATAGAATTGGCCATAGATCAACGATAAAAACCATTAAAAATAAAACAAAACATACAACACCAGGTATTCGCTGATCGTCACCGACTCAACTACTGATCCGGCCCTCACTGGCTTATCTATGGGAGAGCGGACGGGATCCCGAGTTTTCCAGTGGGTATGGTCGTATGTGATATGGGTCGACGACGAAATCACAGATGTACCTAGGTGCTAGTGATGCTCGCAATGATGGGTAAAGCAGGCTTCTTCACTCGGGTCATCAAAAGATCAGACCCACCAAGAAGGTGCAAACCTTGCGTCTATTCGAAAATTTTGAAACATACTGTACAGCTACACAAGTTCTGGTTCTGTTAGCCGCCTTTTATGTCCTCTTCTTGAACTAGCCACTGGAGTGGCTTCTGACTAGACAAAAGCTGTACGAGACATAACATCCAGTGTTCGTGGACTACAGAGCTCTGAAGTCTGTTGAAGGGGCTACTGCTCTTCAAAACCCCAGACAGTACGATCTTGTTATGTGTGACTTTGAAGATGTCGATATCTGCACATTGAGTATTCTAAGGTCGATACACAGCAGCTGTCGGGGCTTGGATACAGAGAGACAAGTTCAACTAAGAGGTAGATGTGAAAAGGGACTTCAACCATCTCCGACTTCCCTAGTTACCTTCGTAACTGGGAGGTCCTTATATAATGGCCCCTAGTGCTACACTGGTCCTCATAGGTCTCGGGACCCTGCATACAGACACTGGATAGTCTTTGGTTCCGGGAAAATGCTGATGGGCTCGTGATGTCACTCCCTATCCAAGCTTTGTAGTCGTTTTGGTTCTAGGGCTCATGTTGGCCTCGTGACAGCAGACCGCTTGCGCTTGACAGAGTATGGCAAGACAACTCCTGCCAGACTCGGTAATTGCGGTATTACAACTACACATACAATGATAAAGATCACGCCGCCTAGTCTCTAAGTAGGGTTGTTGACGTAAACGCCTCAAAGTTGCCTCATTACCATACGTCTAGTTTGTAGTTTCGGTAACGTCTTTTGCAACTACACGTGAATCACGGTAGCGTCGAAGAGGAGGTTGAATATCCCAATTGTACCCAATCACTCGAGAAAAGAAGCAGGGAGTCTTGTTCTGTTCAACCGTAGCGAAGGGCAGCAGCCAGGGTTGGACCCCGGACGTTGCTGCTACTGGTGCTACTTCTCTAAAAGCGAAGTAATGTGACCAAGGTTTTTTGCAACCGTTGATGCAATCGACGGCAACTCCTTTGAAACTGCAGTTTGTCCTCACTGAGTGGGGTTTTGGGCTAGGTCGGATGACTGAGTCCACGCACAAGCTTGGGAGTTCGCTTAACAAAACGAGCAATGTGGATAGTGATTCTACGGTACTCATGAAGCAGGATTTAGCAGCGATTAGCGGAGGCGGTCACTACTACTCAATACCTTCTGCCTCGCAAGACTCTTCCAGGAGTTCATCTGAAATGCACTCCGTGTCGCTGAGGGACGAAGTCTACCATCGTGCCTACGGTCTCCGTGCATCAGCCCTAGATGAGAGACACCACTGTCAACCGTAATCGATCCGGTTGTGAGGCCTACTTACATCCTGTCCCTCTTTCCGGGATTTCAACGAGAAGACCAGTACCTACCATAAGCAGCTCCACTATCAATACCTCCCGAAGCCTTTAGATGTCTTCAGGCCGACAATATACAGAAAATTTGTCAGAGCGGTTGCAACACCTTATAGATTAGGGAAGTCAAAGAAAATAAAGGATTTCCTACATATCTACCTTAGTTGCCTTTAGCACTATGTTATTGTCTACACCTATTAGATAAGCCGTTCTACTACTTCGAAGACGGTAGCTGCAGATTGTTCACAAACCTCGTTAATAGATAGGCAAAGTAAAAGGAGTTAGGATAAAAATGCAAAAAGACATACAACACCAGGTATTCGCTGATCGTCAAAGACTCAACTACTAATCAGGCCCTCACTTAGGCTCTTGTAGAAAGAGCAGAGGCAGCATTTTTGTGATGGCTTTAACAACCCAAAGTGGTAGGTATTGCTCCCTAAAATGGACGGTGCGGAACATCGTGAAACTGTTAAAGCAGGCAATGCGGCAGCCTAACCCAGATGAAAGTAGGGCAATCCGGGCGAATGTCGGATACATATCTGAAATCGCATTGCGCCAGCTAAAAACGCGAAATCCGATGGCACCCTTGGCCACATGGCCAGCTTGCAGATGAGGGGCTTTTCCGAGATACACATGGTGAACCATAGACACAACAAAGATATCCTATCAATTGACGTACTTTGGCAAACATACGTATAACATAGTCTTACTTTTCTATTTGAATAATTCACGAAGGGCTGCACGGGTGTACACAGGCTTTTTTTTTTCTTTTTCTTCTTTTTCTTGTCTTTTTTGCAGCTTTTCCATTAGTAATTCAGAGCGTTGCGATTTTCGCTCTCGCAAACGTGTGCTCCAGTCGCTTCGGTCTACATGACTGTGGTTGTATAATTACATAGATATATCAGTATATCTATGATTGTTTTTGCTGTTGCTGACGTCTTTTCAGGAAAACTCAGTTTCTACTATTGTTCAAGGGGCACAGGCGATGATTTAATCACGTACCTTTTGAGTTATTTCTCGTCCGATTTTGAGCAGTTTCTCTGGTCAACATTGTCACTACCAGCTGTGAAAAACAACAACACCAACAACGACGTTGTTATCCCACTGGAGTCAGAAAAGTTGCAGCTATGTGCTATGCCTGCGGAAGTCTCGGTATAGATCCATGCCCGAACCCTCCAGACGACTATGAAGACTCCTACGACGAGGAGGAGGAGCTGGAGTTCGCAAGACAGCAAGAAGAGCAAGCCAAACGAGAACTGGAGCAATAACCGGAGCCTCGAAAGCGTGGAGGACGACAGCCCCAAGCAAAGCGTTTGCAAAAGCCGCCGCCAAAGAACAAGACAATAGTTCACCCTGCACCAAGCCACGACGGCTCCACCGCCTTTGTCGTCTACGAGGCCACAGAAACGGTCGCCAACGACGATGAGGCCGGTCTCACAACCACCCGACCCCCGTACGCGTTTGTAATTTATGACACCACCCCAGAGGCTCTCCGTCCCGGTCGTACCGCCGAGTTAGTGCAGGAGATTTTTGAGCGTACATACGAAGAGCGTCGCGGCAACGACTTATTGCCAAACCGGATTGAAGTTGTCGCTGTGCCTATGCCCCAGCCTTCCCCATCAGATATCTGGGACTCTGAGAAGCAGTGGAAGTTTCGGATGAACCCTAAGCCTATCGAATCTCGTGGAGACGGCGGCAGGTTCGATTGTGTCTTCCCTTGGTTTATTAACCGCGTGAGGGCCTGTGTACTGCATTATGAGGCTGAGCTGAAAAGCCGTCTTGCTATTAAAGATAAGGTGGTAGCTAAGTCATGGTACCTGCCTGAGAGGATTAATGATGGGGCGTATGCACGAGGTATTTTTCTAATTACCCAGCTTAAGGAGGACGTAGATGATGGCGGATATGGGAAGCTACAAAGCTGGAAGGACGCGCTTGGTTGGACTAAAAGGGTTCCGTCTGAAGACTGGAACTTTATGACTGATGAGCGAGCCGACCGTAGTATCTACGGCGGCCTGTTACAGGTGCTCTTTCAGCCACGTGAGGAGAGGTGGGAGTACGTGGCAGGTGTGCCATGAAGTAAAGGATGCTTTAGAGGATCTAGCTATAAAACAAAGGAACATAGACAATTATTAAACAAAAACGAATCTAGACCCGGAAAATGTACATAGAAAACACTAAACTGAACGCGGCTTGGATGCGATTTAGTCACCGAATCCTATCAGGAACACCAATCCATGTTACCTTGTTGCTGTTACCGTCAAAGGTCATGTCCGGGTTCCCAAAGGCACCAAATTGAGACCAACTCCCACCGCTTAGAGCCACGCGCGGGAACTTGGCATTGGTGATCCAGCCACCTGGGCTAAAGGCGTCACTAGGCCACGCCTCGTCGTCAGTATTTGCCCACTTGCGGTTGCCGTTCTTATCCACTGCCGAGAAGTACGATTTATACAGGAAGTCCGCTGTGTCAGCTAGAGTTTTCGCGTTACCCTCAATTCTTAGCAGGGTATCTTCAATGTAGCGCGCGTATAAGGCGCGCTAGAGGGATTTTGAACTCCGGGATGGACCAACCTATTCGTTTTCGTCAGTTTCCCCTTATCCTCGCTTCTTTGCCATCTCTGGATTCTTGGTTTCGAGCAGAGAAACCTGAACAAAATAAAGATCATGAATTTCCTCAAAAGAATAGCCGTTTTGGCCCTCATCGGCCTGATAAATCAAGCTGTCGCTGATGTTCATCTAGCAAATATTCCCCCAGTTGCCCGTGGTCTCAACGACACATGCATCCGAGTTTTAAACCAGGCCGTCAATTGCGATACTTCCCTCACCTGGGCGACCGAGATTAATAACTACTACAACGAGGTTACGGTCAAAGCACTCTGCACGGCTGATTGCAGGTCCGCATTGATGTGTACATCAAACAAGTCAAGGCCGCCTGCGAGAGTAGCCGTTATGATGGCGCCGATGGATTCAGCTACGACGCTGGATACAGCGGCGAGCTCATTTGGGAGAGATTCAACGTGCTATGCATATCCAATAGGTAAGTCTGGCAAAGGTGGTCTTTGTGAAGGAAAGGAAAGCTAACTATGGATAACGCGGGATAGTGCCGGCGACAACTGCAATTTGGTGCTCGGGAAACTAGCCGGAGTCAACCCCGGAAATCAGCAGAGGACAGCCTCTTCAGACCCAAAACGTCATGTGCAACGAGTGCGCTATTTCCGTGATCAAGACTCAGGTGGAGATGTCACTGGCCTCGAACGCCGATATAATCAGCGGTCTCAGCATGGTTGTGTCGTCTTGTAAGACGACTGTCGAGGTCACCACACCCCCGGCCGCGAGCCCGCCCTGGGTAACCAAAGCGACGCCGGTCCAGACGTCCGCTATAACCTCATGCATACCTTCATCCTCTTTTGCTGGCAAGATGTACGCCATGCAGAGCAGAGATACGTGCCAGTCCATCGCGAAGGCGCAACGCATCGATACGGTACAGCTTCTCATGGCCAACAACCTTGTGGTCAACTGTTCAACTTCCCCACGGCCGTGAGCACGCAGCTGTGCATCCCTTCAGCCGCGATATGCGAGCCGTACGTCATCAAGAACGGAGACACTTGCACCAGCATCGTGAATGGTGCGAAGGCTATGTGGGCTCAGATCGTGTCCTGGAACCCTGAGCTGGGACGATCTTGTCAGAATGTGGCCGACTACGTTGGCTTCGTGGTGTGCGTATCAAACCCCGGCGGTAGCTGGGTTGACACCCATCCTGCGGCCACTGGTACGACTACACCGGGAGTCACGATAACAGCGGTTGAGTAAATACAAGCATCCTTTGACCTTTCGTGCGGGCCTTGAATTCCGTATCTTTTGGATTGAGTGTGACTCATTTACTTCCTTTCGCACTGTATTTACCTTACCTATGACGCCTATTCCCATGAATAATGGTCACACCGACATCCGTGTTGTGCCCATGTGGGAAGACTACGAGCTATGAGACGGAATCATGCAACTCAGGCATGCGGGTCTTCGTGCGAGAATAGGCCTTAGCCGAGTTCATATTACAAACAAGCCTAAAGCGAGAAAAAAAAGATTTATACTCCTCATCACTATCAAATATATCAGGTGATTATACCACATCTGACAACTGTACCGGCATCTTACAGCCAGCGTCACGCCGGGACGGGCAGGTCAATAAAGTCGTTGGCCTTTCTCGCCTGCAAGGGAGAAATGAAGTAATTCCTACTAACGGAGATGCTCGGCAGGCATGAAGCTTCGCACAGTGCGCTAACCTTGGACGGTGATCTCTATAATGAGCGTCGTTTGTTTATGGTTTTATTGATCGTATGTCTCACCTAATCCACTAGAAAAGAGTAGGTTTGTAAAAATTGAAAAAAGAACAAGCGAACGGTTAGCGCCAAACAGCAAAACGGCCGAACTATCTAAACGGCAGCCGGATTAGTCAGCAGGGGATCCCACTCTTCTAAACAAGCCTCTCTTCCTACATTGGCTTATCTGTGGGAGAGCGAACGGAATCCCGAGTTCTCCAGTGGGTATGGTCTTATGTGATATGGTTTGGCGTTCAATAAGGTTATATTAGCTTGGTGGGCAACCTTGTGAAAATACCAAAACTGACTGTCATATATACAGAGTCTATCACTTTGTTTCAGCGGCCATATGACCGTCTGGAACGTAATTCATTGTTGTAAATAGGCTTGGTACAGGAAATGATTTCAAAGTGTAACGTCCGTGGTGTATGTGTAAGGAAGTTGTTGTTGCCTTCTACACCTTAGAAGTAAGCACAGACATAGTGATCGAGGCCATACTTCTTTATCATTGAGGCCAAATAAGCCGGGAAATACGTTTGGCCATACTGTAACTGTTAAATAGAGTTTGTCGGCGGATGCCATGTGCTTCACAGTTCAACGTTGTATGCGTACGGGACGGCGTAGCGTTTCCTCGCAAGACGCCTGGCCTACATGATACCTACCTAGTCAAGGAATGAGGCAAGAGGCCTGAATACACACCACGTTATAAGGCGGCACATGATCCGGGACACATGTACCATCTCCCTGGCAACCCTTTCATCCCATCACGACAACACCCGCACCACCGGCCGCACCGCCCCACCCGCTCCTTCCATCCCAACGTAATAGAAACCATGAGAACTGCCCTATTTCTACCGTTTATTGAAAGAAGTGAAGCATCAATCAGCACGGGGGCGGCTCCTAGGCGTAGGGGTTCAGGTCAAGCCGTCTAAGTGGTGTGCAATCGCCAAGGTCGATCGTTCAAATCCCCCTCGATTCCGTACCCGACAGCCTACTCGACGACAGGCTTTGCGATGGCACCGAATCCCAGCATGTGCACCAGAGATGTAGCTCCCACCGGGGAGTGAACTCTTTTGATCCCTTGGGGTTCATACTTCTTTCCGCTTGCGGGCTGTCTTGCGACCTACGAAGTCTCGATGGCTGCTCGAAAGGGCTGCCCTTTGCATCCATGATCCTTGAGGGCTGAGACAAGGTCAGACAATAGGTTGTATTGGTCAAATGAAAGATTCGGACAGTGGTCTCCCAGCAGATACCAGATATACGTGTCAAGTCTAAAGACAAGGAGCAGAGGAAGAGGCTTGTCTTGCGGTTGTTCTTGTTACGCCAGACATGAGGAGCAACCGCTCATTCGGACCGGCAGAGGGGGGCGACATACCAGCATCACAGAACTACGTGTCTTTCCTGGCATGAAGGTTATGAATCGTGACTTTTCAGACGTATGCTTCGTTGACCGAGCTTCGCTTTCATAGCTACAGATGGTGTGTATATCATTACAAGTCAATTCCCCCCAGCCTCAAGCCAGCATGTGCAAGAAGCAATGAGCAAAATAATGGGTCGCTTCTCTCCCGAGAATGAAGCACCCTGGACCAATCGATCCCTCTGAATCAATGCCCTGGCGTTTCTCCCCTGAAACCTTTTCGCTTTTTGTTTCGATTCTTTATGTAAGCTTCTGTTTGATGAAGAAGGACCGCAGATGCGACAATTGCCAAGTGCAGGTGACAGCAAGAACGGTGAGCTGGATGAGCATCCATCTGATGACACGGGCGTTGGTGGATTCGGACTGGTCTCTGAACTCGGCCTCGCGTTCCTGTTATGCCGTTGTTAGCACCGCAATACCTTCTGCAAGCCACCGAGGCCGTTCCATAAGTCGTTCCAAAGGACACAGGTCCGGGACCAGCGAATACGCGCGCGATGGGGGTGACTTACACGCTGGAAGACCTGCTCCCTGCGGATATCCTGCAGGCGAGCGTTCAAGTCCTTGACGCGGGTCGCAATGTCCTCGAGCTTGTTCTTGTCAGAGCTTTCGATCTCGCTGCTCTCACCGATGGCGAGGTCGAGCGTAAGGCGAATGCCGCCGTTGTGGGAGTGGAGCGAGAGCCAGCCGGCGCGGCCAGAGGTGGAAGACGGGGTGAAGCAGAGCATGTGGTCGCCAGCATCAGCGGCCGTGAAAGTGAAGCGGCCCGATGCCTGGCCACGCTGGGAGACTACGCGGTGGTCGTTGTCGAAGGTTTCCTAGGAGCAACATGTTAGTCCATGTTTGCAATTGAAGATGCCGAGCTGGCAAAGGGATAGCTGAGGTGCATGATAGCTCCGGAAAGCTGGTGCGCGATCAGGGGGTAGCTTACATCGACAGAGATGTAGATGCTGAGACCATCGTGCTTGGCCCACTGGTTGGTCCGATCATCGTACTCCTCAGCATAGTAGTGACCAACGACGAGCGTGTCCTTGGGGAGCTCCTCGAAGAAGCACTTGGGCGAGGTGCCGTCGATGTAGAAGTAGAGCGCCTGCGCAACAGCGCTCAGCGAGAGCAGGGGGAGGAAAAGTCTCATGTTGGAAACCTGGATGCGGATTCGAGTTGACGGGGCGAGAGGAGTTGAACCGTGGACGTTTTTGGGGGCAGTCGACTCGTGCTTGTCGTCCTTTTGGTTGTCGGTTGTCGGCTGTCGAGGGGGTTGAACTTGGAGATGCTATCGTTTCCTCGAATTGGTAGCGCCAGGTCAGCCAGTTCGCTCGTGTGCCCACATTAAAGTCCCAAGGTGCGCGGGAGCGCTTCAAAGCTGCCACGTTCGAAAAATCGGCCTTTGAACAGGGGGACACGGGCCACCCTTGGGGGAAGATGTGGATCACGTGCGGTCTGGACGACAGCACTGCGCGCCGGAAAATGCAAGCGCGTACCTGGAAATGCTGCACTCTGGGGGATTCGAGATCCGGAGCCCGTCAATCGATTCCTCAACCTCACCTTTCGACTATTTTCTTCACTTTTTCGCGACGAATACTCCCCAATACCGTCAAAATATCACTTTTTAATCGCGAGGCTGCCTTGCAAGAATTCCATGATACCCATTTCCTTGATGCATGTGCACCGAACGTCGATAATTTGATGCGACCGAAACGAACGACAGTCGATTAAGGTAGCAAGAAAAAAAACCACCACCTCCGATCTACGGCCGACGCCAAAACCACGCCTATTCCTTCCGTCCTCCACAACGCCGCGAGAATGACATCCTCTGACGTGCGAGATGTCCTCAACCTCCCCGACAGCCACGCGGGCCCCCGACCGGCCAAAAAGCAAAAGACCTCCGCCCCGCGCCCGAACCTGAAGGGTCTCGCCCGCGAGGTGCAGAACCTGGGCGGCGACAACCCAATCGCTATCGTACCCGAGGTCTCCATCTTCAAGAAGCGGCGGTTCGTGAGCAGGAAGCCGGCGACGAAATGGGAGCTCAAGCCGTTCACCAACTCGGCGCGGGGCGACAGCGGCGCATTGGTGCTCAAGCACTGGAAGCGGAAGACGCCTACGGCAGAGGAGAGCGCAGAGCAGGGCGGAGATGCGGAGATGAAGGACGTGGAGGGAGAGCAAGGGGCCCCGAAGCCCGAGAACTCCATGTTTGCAAAATTCAACGTCGAGGTGGACGTGCCCCAGTACAGCGAGGACCAGTACCGGACAAACCTACAGAGCGACGACTGGACCAAGGAGGAAACGGATTATTTGCTGGGTCTGGTCCGGGACTTTGACCTACGGTGGCCGATAATATGGGATCGATACGACTACGTTCCAGAGGCCATCAACGGCGAGGCATCGGCGGACGGGGACGAGAGTAAGGCTATCATCCCCGTGCCGAAGCCGCGGACGATGGAGGACCTCAAGGCGCGGTACTACGAGGTCGCAGCCAAGATGATGGCGGTCCAGAAGCCGGTTCAGTACATGACGCAGCCCGAGTACACGCTCCACGAGCTCATGGCCAACTTCAACGCGAACCAGGAGAAGCTGCGCAAGGATTTCGCAAACAACGCGCTGACACGGAGCAAGGAGGAGGCCAAGGAGGAGGAGTCACTGCTGCTGGAGATCAAGCGCATCCTCGCGCGCAGCGACCGGTTCAACGAGGAGCGCCGGGAGCTGTACAACCGCCTGGACTACCCGCACACTGACCAGGACATCAGTGCGTTCAAGTCCAGCGCCGGACTGCAGACCCTCCTGCAAAACTTGATGAACGCCGACAAATCCAAGAAGCGCAAGTCATTGATGGCGGCCGACGGCGTCAGTCCCTCCACGCCTGCGACCGGTCAACAACCGGCGGCGGCGGCGTCAGACAACGCGAACCGGCGCGAGAGCATTGCCGCTGCAGCCGCGGCCGCCTCGGCGCCAGCGGAGAAGCCGCACAAGGACCCCCCCAGCAGCGTCGCGCAGACGCCGACGGCGCCGGCCGGAGGAAAGAAGGGCCACCAGCAACAGGAACGTCGCAAGCTCTCCGAGGCCGAGATGCACGTCTACGGCGTCACGCACCACGACCGCTTGTCCAGCGGGCCGACGTTCCGATACGAGAAGATCAACAAGCTGTTTACGCATAAGTCGAACCAGCAGCAGTTGCGTATCATGAACACGCTCAATGAGCTCGACATCCCGCCGCGCCTCGTCATGCCCACGGCACCCGTCACGGCGCAGTACGAGCTCCTACTTGGCGCGGTCAATAGCCTGCTTGACGCTCGAAAGGTCACGGACAAGATTGACGCCGAGATCAAGCTCGAGCTGGCCAAGAAGGCGGAGCGCGAAAAGACGAATCAGCCAGAGGCCGACCCGGCGGCCGAGAGCAAGGAGGGCGAGGGCGCAAGTCGGTCTATGGAAGACAAGAAGGACAAGACAGCAGACGGCGAGACGAACGTCGAAGCCGCACCCGCAGAGGCAGCCAAGACGGACGAACCAAAGACCAATGGCGACGCGGCCGGGGCCGAGGCAGCAGCGGTTACGAACGGAGAGGGAGAGGCGGCCGCGCCGGCCGCGACGGAAGAGGGGAAGGGTGACGCGGACAAGGACAGGTCAGCGCGGCCGGGCAGCAGCGGGGCGTCACATAAACGGAGCGCAAGCGTCATGAGCGCCGGGGGGGAAGATAAGACTGCCAAAAGGCAGAAGAAGTGAAGCAGGTACCGTCCAAGTACCATTAGACATCGAGGTACCTACCATCGACTACGCGCCGTGACGTGTAAGACAGGACGCGGGAGGCCGCAGTAATGTGAGCTTCTGCAAAGAGCGCGCGCATGATCGACCCCTAGTCCGGCGTAGTATGTGAGCAACGAGATATCGGTCGAGGGCCGCATACACAACCCGGCGCGAAAGTTGGGCCCCGATGCAAAAATGGCATGTTACGGGGTAAGCGGGACGGGTGAGGAAAACCCCACCCGCCACCTCTAGAATTCATGATAGGAACAGAAGCTTGAAACGATGCAATGAGAGAATAAGGACTGTTGCTTGCCCAACTTGCCAGGTGTTGCCCCAGATGGGTGATGTGAACAGGGGCATCTCTGGACGATGTGCCCTTATCTTTTCGGTATAGGGTAGCAATGAGCGGGAGGGGAAATTGTGAAACAAAACGCCGAGATGACCAGGTGGATTGATCATTGGCATATCCTACATGCTAGGAACCGCCGGGGATACAGACGAAGTCCAAGCGAGAGAGAGAGAGAGACAAGCCCTGTTGGGCCTCCCGCGCTGAGATGGGCATCATGTGCTCGTGTAAGATGATGTCAGGGGGGCAAATGCAGATCTGATACCCAGAAACGGAAAGTGTAAAAAGTATGCATATTCTTTGTTCTTAAATTTGGGATTGCATTGTGTGTGGTGGTTGCCAGAGATAAGAGGGCCTTTTGGGTGTGAAGTTCCCCGGAGGTTCGACGCGGGACGTGACGTCTCATTAAGCAAGATGCAGCTCATCGGCGGCTGCAGGTGAGGCTACAGTCTTATTATAGCAACGGCATCTATAAATATCGACGCGGAGAGCGGTTGTTGCTGGAGTCGACAGGGCATCGAGCATGAGCATGCCGTGGAGTCTCCGCAACACCTTTGCCTTGGGACCGGGCCATGTAGATTGCCAAAAGGGGGAGGTACAGCTGGATGGGCGTACGAGATCACCGGGGCCCCCAGATCCCCGGACCTGCATCGTCGACTCCGACGTGTCCAATGGCAGGAGGTCGCCTAGATGATGCTTGGCGAACGTCTTCGCGCCACGGCTATGCCTCGTGATTTCAGGGTCCTAGATGTTGGAGTCACGGAGGGGGGGTGTAGGTTGTAGGCGTCAACAGACGGCCGCGTATTTGCCCATCTCGAGATCTTTCCTGCAAGACGGGAGAGGGCTTCTAGGAAGGGAGGGACAAGGCACCGTGAGACGAGGTGAGGCGAAGGGCATCGGCGTTACGCTGAGGCACTCTGGATGCGGCTCTGTGTCTTGCTTGGGTGGCCAAGGCGCGAGTCAAGAGGCTTTCGTCACCCCGCAGAGTAGATAGGGGATGCGTCGTCGCTGGCGTACCTTGCAGGGAGACAGTTGCCACTCGGCGCGTATAGTTCCTGGCGGGTAGGTAAGCAGTGGACAGTGGAGATGTAAGTTCTCGGGGAGGGGTGGGAGATCTCCACGCGGCTTGGCCATGGGCAGCGGCCATGGTCAGAACATACTGCTGGGCCCGGTAGTTATTAATAGGAGTTAGACGCCCCGAGGATGCGTGAGATTGCAGATTGAAGTGGAGGGAAAGTTTCTAGAAGAAGGGCACTCAGCGGTGTGGCTTGACGTCGTTCGCGAGAGTAAGTAAAGGAAGAGCGCTTAGTGGGCGCTTAGTCGGAGTGGGCGATATCATTGGCTGGAGGCTCTGACTGACAAAAAGGGTTCGTGTGATGGAGCTGCGGTGTCGTGCATCTCGGGGAATTGGTGAGGCTAAGATTAGAAACGCTTGTTTTTCCCCCCGTCGAGGGGTAGAGTCGTCTTCTTAATTGCGAAGGAGGGCTGGCTCGCAGAGGTGCAAATAGGAAATAATTGGTCGAGTGTAAGTGGACGTCCAGGCGTCACGATGAAGTCGGGAGCGGAAGGTGCCTTGTCCTTGTCTGTCGGTTCCTGGCGCCTCTGGGGGCCACGAGTGCTTACGTCAGGCGGCAGCGCTTAGGTCAGCTCCCACCTCACAGTTCATAGGATGGGCCCCGCCGAGGAAGGATATGCAAATGTCACGTGATAGAGAATCAACGCGACCTACCTTCGTGTTCCCCAAGGCAAAGCGACGCTCTAGGTATCTGACAACTGTGAGAAGCAGTCGCAGTTTGTTTGTGACCAACAGACACAAAGGCGAGCAATTGGACTGGAACAATGGACATTTTGACTGAGTCGCGACAATGGGAAATGCGAGTTGAGGGTGTCCCCTCCTCCAAGTCTGGTCGGGTGGCTGGCGCTGGGCGGGAGCATGCAAGCAAGGGTGGTGCAAACGAAAGGCGGAAGACGAAAAAAAAAAAAAGATAGGAGAGCGACGCCAGCGAGGTGGTCCACGGTCCCACACCCCGTCGGCGGAAGTTCCTTTCTGGCGCCCGGGGTGAGGTGGCTGCAACTCCCGCAGCGGTACGTACCGCCCGAGGACGGTACCCGTGCCAGGTACCTACAGTACCATCGTACCTACGGTACCTACCTACCAATGTATTCTCCCATGGCAGCATAGCATGGGTCGTCGTTGCCCACCCAAATACACGCGGGGCGCGGCCTACCGTAGCACCTCACAGCGGGGGCAGCCGTCCGCTCTGGTCGCCAGAGTCGAGCGCGCAGCGCGCTTGAGCTGCTCTCTTAAGCGGGCTCGCTAGCCCCCAAACCTGCGCATGCCACCCGCAAAGAACCAACTGCAGATCTAGGCCGATTGCTGCGTCCAGG